GGGAAAAATGGAACGACGGCAAATCCAAGGCCGCGGTGGAACCATTGCCAACACATGTCTGTTGCATCGCTTGCTTTAGGCGAAACCAGCATCAAAAGTGCTGGGCGAGCGAAGCGCCCAGCCATCACAAGATGGTCGGACTGCAGTAGTTGCACCACAGGTCTCGTGTAATACATCTCAGGGCATGGCATCCAGGATCATGACGTCTGAACGCAAGAAGACTGGAAACACGAAAAGTCGAACTTGAATTGTGGATCTTTGTACGACTAAGACGCCTCGAGTCTGTCGCTCTGAGGTAGATTTGGCATCGTTGACAGAGGTCTAGAGAACAGCCGTGACAATCGCAACGAAATCACATTCCCCTCGGGTACTAACTATGCGTGCCCGTCGACTACGCTCTGTCTACAACGACAACCGGCGCGGCATCGTCCTCGACAGCTGGTACGACACGAGGGTGCGTCGTGTGGAGGTTCAGGTCCAGTCCGGGAAGGAGATGGGGAATTGATGGCAATGCTACGTGGAGTCCTGCGTTGATGGGTGTTGGGTCACGGATGACTTCGTGAAGGTTTGGCCGTCCCCGGCTCATGAGGCGCAGAGGTGTAGGGGCGGCGAGAACGCCTGCAGCCAATACAAGCAATGGTAGAAGGGCGGTAACTGAATGCATTTCGAGATGGAGTTTCTTAGGCTGGTTCTGTGCATGTGTCAGAGTGCTGTGTTGATTTGCAATCCATGATGGACTGACCTTGGCTTTGGTTACTTTGAAGTGTAAGATGGGTGTATTTGTTGCAAGATCACAGGATGACTCTATTCACGTTCATATGAACACGCCCTCATATACACCGCCACCTTCGGGATGGAGGAAGGCTTCGGGACCACCACTTCTCGTGAGCGTTCTCAACTGCTTACTCGTGGTTGCTCGCTGCCTGTTCTGACATAGCGATGCTGAATTCGTTCTCGTCCATACCAGGGACATGTTGCACAGCGAAAAGCTCGGAACCTACACCGAATATTGCGCCCAAAAGCCTGTCAGGTACCCGAAAGCTCTCCTGAATGCGGCAGCGCTTCTGCACTCATTGGAAAGATGAGGCTCGACCTTAGCGAAGTGCTCGAATGTTGTGCACTCGAAAATGGACGGCTAGCATGCAGGCCTGTCACAAACCAGAGCATAAGCTTCGTGATTCCAGAAGCCAGAGTGACCAATGAATGGACGCCTGAGAAGTTTTATGGATAGTAAAGTGGAGATGAGAACGAATATCGTTGCCACGACATATACGGTAACTGAAGGGTTCCATCTCTGACCTCAGAAGATCACGACAGGTTCTCCGCCACTACTTGGCTCGTACGGATCTTTGTGACCATGATACTCGAAATAGGCCTCCTGAAATTCTCGGTATGGCGAGTCGGGTGGGCAGTGTGCAAACAGCTCCAGAGTATTCGTGGCCTCGCGGTAATCATCCCACTTGTAGCAAGCATGTCGTTCCGGCTCGTTGGCCCAGTCTATCATTTTCTTCCAATTGCGGCATTTTCGAATTTGCCCGTCGCCAACATGATGTTTAGCAGGTGCAGGCATGGGCGTATCATCCGCCATACACATAATGTCTTGTCGCAAGCCGTCTAGGCAGTGATACATATGGCGAATGTCGAAAGTTTGTGTCGAGTTGTTATGCTTGGAAACAATTGCTTTACGAATGAGTTTCTGTGACGAGTTTAGTAGTCGTTGTATAGCTCGGAAAGCACCACATACCAAACAATGCAAATCGTGAACACCTTTCAGGTAGTAGACGCCTCGTTCAGTATCCCAGGGGAAGCGTGTCGTTGCTGGTAGATCAACTCTCTTCGCGAAATCGTCATGAAGTGCAACTGCCATGGACCCAGTATCGATCGCATCCCATGCTGCATCCATCTCAGTTTCGGTAGCATTCAAGTGCCAATAGTCCGTCATGGCATGGTATGGAGTCGGCGTGTCGAAACTCAGGCCGCTGAATCGTGTCTGCGCAGCATCTCGTGCAATCCTCAATTTCGCGTTGTCGAATACCAGTAGTATGTTCGCCGAAAGAGACAAGAGCAATATGGACATGTAGAATATGAAACTCCGCGTATTCGTGGGTATGATCTCGGAGTCGCTCGCGTTCCATTCTGTCCCGTCCTTCTCATCCAGTTGCGCCCGCAGACTCTCTTCATCTTCTCCACTTAGCGGCTGATAATATCTCGGTGGTCCGTCCATGGTTGCGGTCGTCTAGAGGATGAATGATCCAGGAGCAAGCTTCCTTCCTTTTCCTCTCAAGTTCCAAACGTCCAGCAAACGTCGGCCTTCCTTTGCCAGCGAATCATGCTGACGAGTCGAGAATTCGTGGCCAGCATGGTCCGATCACTTGATGCATTCCGATGCGCCAACGGATTCCGAGCCGTGCCACCAACGCAACCAATGTCCAGGCTATGAGCGTTCTGCCTCACATCGCGGTTCGCCACATATCGATTACCCCAGACGAGCAAGCGCGCCGTGGTTCGCGCGCTCCGAGCTCGGGCCTTTGATGAAGGTGTCTACTCTTGTCGCCTCCTGTGCACCAACCGACCTCAACCACGCCGCCGCCGCCCCAAGATGCAGCCTCGGGCGGCCCCAGGCCTGCTCCAGCAAGGAAGGTCGCATGCGGCCAATATGATAACCGCAAGTGTAACATCGTGCAACCAGGCGGGCGGAAGGGCCGTGAGGGGGTTATCGCCCATGATTGAGCTGGAGAAAACTGGGTGTGACCCGCCAAGACTCTAGGTGCCTTCCTCTTTGGGAGGGTGGTCGACTAAGATCGGAAACGCGACCAAACGGGCTGTTAGAAAGAAACGCCCCAATTATAGTTCCTCTTTATATCTCCGACGCCGCTGCATGAAAGAGGCGCATCAACTGGTCCTGGGGTTTGTCTGTCCGATATCGCCGCAATATGGGTTCCATCACGGTCGAGCAGCTGCCAGCGGCGGTCAAGATGAGTGTCACCAAAGAAGATCGATATGCGATACGAGAAGCCACTACCAAGCAAGAGCTGGATGGAATCTTGGATGTTATATGGGCGGCCAATTACACTCCCTACGAGCCATTTGTGCAACTCTTCTTTCCAGTTCTCGGCTACACATCAGCACACAGAGAGGCAGCGATCGCTGAGTCCAAGGAACGATTTTGGAGCCAACACCAGAGCGATCCGTCCAGCCACTGGTACTATGCATTCGACACACTCACTGGACAAAAGGTTGGCAGCGCCCAGTGGGTTGTCTCCGAGAGCAATCCGTTTGTTGCTGGAGTGCCCAAGTTGACTGCACCATGGTGGCCCGAGGGAGAATGTCGAAACTTTTGCGAGTCGATCCTGAATCAAGTCTACAGGCCACGGGCTAGTTGGATGACGAGGCCGCATTGTGGTGAGTGTGACACAGTTCACTATTCCCGGACCGATCACTGGCTCGAAATTCGCAACTAAAAAACCATCATATTTTCTAAGTATCCACGTGAAAGCTGATTGTGTGACAGCACTGAACTGGCTCGCGGTCATTCCCTCACATCGTCGCCATGGTGTTGGCCGCCTCTTGATGGACGTTGGCGTCCGGCGTGCCGATAGCCTGAACCTCGAGTGCTGGATGGAAGCCTCTACCATGGGCAAGCCCCTGTACGAGAAGTTCGAATTCCAATCTCTTCTCAATCTCGCATTCGACAATGAGCGGAAAGGCGCAAGCGACGAGTGGCGGAAGTGTGCGCACGAGATGACTCCCCCGCCAATATTCGCCATGTGGAGGCCAAAGCAAGGGAACTGGAAGAGCACGAGCGGTGGAGCCGTCAAGTTTCCATGGGACTTGGGGACAGCTTGATGCTATTTGGGAACATTACGCGAGTACGTGGTTGTGGCGTTGGTGGTGTCATTTTCCTATGTTGCATGTCAGTGCCGTACGCAGCGATGTCCGAAGCTGCTAAGATACCCAGACGGTACAAATTGATTTTTGCATACATTATCGCATTGCTTCCAAACTTCGAGCCTCCATTCCGCTTCTGCGCTTCTGTACCCAATCATGTGGCGAGTTCACAGCACTCCACCATGTACAGATGACTGCAACCTACGCACACACTCCCCAGGTCCTTCGTCAGCCATCTCCTGCTGCATCCGCAGCAGATCCAAGCAGCATCCGGGATCGGGTCGGCGCCCGGATACGGAGTGTAGTGTTGCTTCCTGGTGGATGATTTGCGTTTTCCCATGTCGGATGTTGAGATAGTAGGGTTGGTAAGCTGACTTCGCGCGCTATGGGGTCGCCCCAATGCGATCTTTAACAGTACTTGTAGAGCGTGGATATCAGAGCAGAAGGTTAGTCAAAAGTCGAGTGAGAAGCTTGCTTACAACCTAAGAAACACAATCGGACGAGCGTGGTAGAAGCGCGTATAACCGGAGCAGCTTGGGGCTGAGCAAATTAAGCAAACAGAAAACGAGACATTTTTAGTCAGGTGAAAGCTCTACAGGCGCAATGAGCTATTTCTACACGCATCTCGCTGGCGCGAGAGGCTGCTAGATCTTGCTAGATTGTCAATTAATCAAATGGTACATGTGTAAAATCACAAATACGACGACATCTGCACGCTGGTTCGATATGGCTACTTAGAAATCATGGGCCGCGAGCAGAAATTGCTCGCAAACGCGACGACATAAACAGTAAACAAGGGACGAAAGCCAGAGGACAAAACAAAATGCGCGAAAACAAGCAGAATGAGGCATGCGTCGCTAGCCATTCCCCTGCTGGTTTCTTGGCTTCGTAGCTCTCTAAAGTTCTGTCGCACTCTAAACAAAATATCAAACCTAAGCCTCTATTTTCCGTGGGCATCAAGAGAGCATTTCAAGGATTAATGTCGTTCTCCATTCTCTGAGCAATGGGAAAGCAACAAAGTTACGTTGTTGTCGTTCAACCGGTTTCAAAACCAATTCATTGTAGAAGTATGTACTGCCCAAAAGATCTTTCCACTAATCAATGTTCTCAAGCTCTCGACTGCGCGATTATAGATACTCGGACTTGCTCTCTCCAACTCACAAGATCGCCATATTCCTTGAGCTTGTATCAAAGTTCACAAACCCTACATGACCATTATGTCAAAACACACATTCAGCAATGTTTTATGTTTCTCCTTGACTGGCGATCGAAATCAAACTAATTCTGGCAGAGATGCCGTGTGAAGTCGCAGGGACATGGAAGCGTGTTACTGTTTCGCGTCTCCAAAACACCAAGACGGAGAGCTCATGGCTCTGTGCTGCAGTGCTACGTGCTTCAGGTCTACATTGAAACGGATTTACCAGCTTGCAATGTGAAGAACCAGGAAAGCCACAAAGTCGAAAAGACGAGACACGAACCTTAGGCGCAGTATATCCAAAACAACATTTCAGTACCCATAACCCCTGCCTCTCTTCCGAGTGTTCTCAAAAACAAATAAGGCTGGCCCATGTGGTCAGACTGAACGCGTCCGGTATGAGGACTTCTTCCTGTAAGTCCCAAAAGAGATAGTGCCTGGACGTACTGTCTGCAGTATTTAAACGACCTGCTTCTTCGCTATCTTCTTCTCCACAGCACTCCATACCTTGCTCAAAATCAATGGGCAAGAGAGATATGTCTTTTCAAAAAGGTCGAAAGAGAACTAGCATGTCCAAAATGATGATATCAAGAACTTATGGGAGAGGGAAGATTTTCAAAAACGCAGAGGCCGATGTGATGTTGCGTCTCCAAAATACGACAAAGCAGAGGTGCTGTGTCGTGGGCGCGGGAGTCTCGAGGTCTTTGCAGTGGAAAAATGTCACTTTCAGAATCTATGGGATAAACCGAAAAACCAGAGCTGACATCGTCATGTCTACGGCTCATCCAAGAACAAATGTCGGTGGTTCCGTGACATGTGTCGCTCTTCCAAGTGTTTTTAAAGGCCCAGGGTTTTGCCGCATGTGGTGAAAACGACGGCACTTGCTATTGTTATTCCTCGTCTGTATCCAAAAGCACATCGACACACCGGTATGGTGTGCTGCTCGGACGTGCCAGCTGGAGTATTTAAACACCGCTTCTTCGACATCATTCTCTCTACAACACTCCACACTTGTTTTAAAGTCTAACAGGAAGTTATATATTGTCTTCTTCCAAAAAAAAAATGCCTTGGGATGATGTGTGATTCTTCTGTCCTGCCTTGCAAAACAAAAAAACCAACACTACTATACGATGATCTCTGTGCTGCGTTGGTTCTAGATGTGAAGCACGGGGACGCAGCAGACATGTTTGTGCGTTGCTGAGATTGAAGCGAGGAGAAGTTAGTTTTATGTTTTTTTTTGATGTGAGCTCGAGGATCCAAAAAAATGGAGGATGGAACTACATATCGAGTAGAAGCATGGAGACAGGCTTGAAGAGCTACAGAATAAGAAGAATAAACTATTGATGGCAAGAGTGCGTTGGGTGGCGTGCCGCATTTCAAAGAACTATTCGGCCGATACATGTCGCGCCTGCAGAGAATTTGCGAGTTCATGATCTATTCTTTAAACAAATGCTCATCGCCATCACCCCAACGAAGTAATAATGACCACCATCATCTCCAAACATCCCTCCCCTAAATCTTCACCCCCTCCAAAATCGGTCTTGCCTCCTCACTCTTCCACCATCCGCCTTCACCACCAGGGTAACTAAACCTCTCCATACTCTCCGCCTTCATCTCTACGCTATACCCGGGCTCCATGGGCGTGACATAATACCCCTCTTTCACCTTACTCGGATTTTCAAAATGCTCATGCAAATGGTCCACATACTCCAACACACTCTTCTTGCCGCTAACAACCACATAGTCGATGGTGCTCAGGTGCTGCGTGTATTCGGGCAGGCCCACGCCGCCCGAGTGCGGTACGATGGGGACGTTGAATTTAGCAGCCATCAAGAGCACGGCGATGACTTCGTTGACGCCGCCGAGGCGGCAGGCGTCGATTTGGCAGATGTCGATGGCGGAGGAGGCGAGGAATTGCTTGAACATTACGCGGTTTTGACACATTTCGCCCGTGGCGACGCCGATGTTGTCTTGCAGTGTTAGGAGGAGTAAGGAGGAAAGTAGAAGAGAGGGAAGACTTACAGGGCTTGAGGGCTTCGCGGATGGCTTTGTGGCCAAGGACTATTAAAGTCAGTAAGTCAATGGCAGTGGAAGGATACTCATATACACACCATCATCAGGACTCGTCGGCTCCTCGATAAACCAGGGCCTGAACTCTGCCAACTCTTTCATATACTCAATCGCCTCGGGAACGCTCCACACCTGATTCGCATCGACCATGAGCACATTCCCCTTGTCGAATCCAATAATCTCCCGCGCAATGCGCAGCCGCGTCTTGTCCTGCTCCATGTCGCTCCCAACCTTCAATTTGAAGTGGCGGTACCCCTTGGACAGCGTTTCCGTCAACAAGCCGCGCATCTTATCTTCGCCGTAGCCCAACCAGCCCGCTGACGTCGTGTACGCCGGCACAGCCTGGGAGTTGAGCGCCTCCTGAAGCCGCTCTTTCTTCCCCTTCTCTGCCTTTGTCAAGATCTCCAACGCCTCGTCGGGTGTGAGCGCATCAGTAATATATCGAAAGTCAATCAACGACACGATTTCCTGCGGTTTCATGTCTGCAACGATGCGCCAGACGGGTTTGCCCAGCGTCTTGGCCCACAGGTCCCAGATGGCGTTTACCACGGCGCCGAGAGCGAGGTGGATAACGCCCTTTTCGGGGCCGATCCAGCGGAGTTGCGAGTCGTTGACGAGGTGGCGCCATGTTTTTCCCCAGTTCTCGACGAGGGATTCGAGGGTGCGGCCTTTGATGCGGTCGGCGAGGTGGGCGATGGCGGTGCAGACGATTTCGTTGCCGCGGCCGATCGTGAAGGTCTGTATTCCTATGAGTGAAACGCATGGATTGGCCCAGGTGAGTTGCTCACCATGCCATGGCCTTTGAATTCCGAATCGGTGTGTAGGATGCAGTATGCTGAGGAATAGTCTCCTGCTGCATTCATGGCATCGGAACCGGTCTTGTCGAGAGAAGTCTATTTGTACGCGTCAGTCTCTTCCAATTGCACTCGATTCCAGCGTATAACTTACCGGAAACCGTACATCCTTCGTCTCGGCATGTGTGATTGTGACCATCTTGTCTATATGTGATAGCTGTCAATAGAGGGGATATTTTTGATTCCGATGATTCCGAAAACGAGTGATGCCCCGCAAAGTACCACTCTTCAGATCAAGAGATGAGAAGCCACAAGCAGCAGGTCAATGAAGCTCGAATAGTGAAGAAATACGTATGCGTTATTTAATACTTCAGCGCACCTAGAAACCTATATACAAAATAAATGGCGATGCATCCGGCGCCGACCATCGTGGAATGCGCGACTAACCCCACACGTACTACGCAATTCGTGGAGAAACACGCTCCGTCGGGCAAGCCACACTTTTGCGGCTGGACATCGGGGTATGAGCGACCGTAGATGGCCACGCTTAATATTTTGCTTACCATGTGAGGCCTTCTCTGCTAGAATGACCCCTGTCAGACACTCTACGCGTAAATGATCGGTCAACCCTGCGAAAGCTTCGATAGCTTGTGGAAAGCTTGAGCTCACTTTGTTCACATGCATCACGAGACCTACAAGTCAGTACTTCATATTTTAACGGACCTGTAAGATTTCATGTGCAATTCCGCCCATAGTTTTTGTAATGTACAGACCGTGTACGGCAAGATCCAAGGACCCTGCAGCCCATTAACAGCCGTTGGCAACTTGCCCTTCTCCTAGACACTCACACGACCAAACGGTGGTAATAGCTTCGCCGTGGTAAAGCAATATCGACGGTATGCATCTGTCGCTCGTGAACGAACTACACCCTCCGTCAAGTACGCACTTATTTGATACCCCTCCTCTCGGTCTCGCTGTAGAAGATGAGCATACGCCACAGTCTCTTTACAAACGACTCTGCTTCTTCATCGAGAACCTGAACATAGTTAGCAATTAGGTCACATACTTCGCTAAAGAGAATGCATACCGGTTCCAGGTCTTCCAAGAGAGCCTGCGGACTGCCTCGCTTCCTCAAATGCCCAACGACGGAATCAACCAAATCTTCGTCTTGCAGACCCGTGAGCTCGAGCGCCTTGTTCGCGGTCCAGTCGCGGAGTTCTTTATCGACGTGCTTTGGCAGAAGATGATCCCAGGCCACGTTCCAATCCCACAGACCATGCTTGTCTTGGGGAATACCGCGTGCCAGCTCTGCCCGTGCCTCTACAACCTCTTCCTCGGTGAGGTTGGCGCGAACAGGAGCGTCATAATTGATAGGGATGAGGGTACGCTTCTTGGTGGTGGCTGCGTCGGTGGGCTCTTCGTCTTCGAGGAGGTTTTCGACGTCTGCGGCTGTACGGCGGGTCGGGGCTGCGGTCTTTTCGAGTTTCTTTGCGGCGCCACCGAGAGAGATCTTGAATTGTGCAGCTGGCTCGTTCTGTTCTTGAGTGCGCATGAGCTCCTCGGCCTGTTGATCGAGGAAGGCATCGGCTTGACCACGGGCGGCCTCTTTCTGTCTGTTCTGAGAAGCCATTTCGCTCTGCTCCTGCCGGCGGTCGATCGCATCTTCCTTTGCCTCCCTCTCGCGAACCCTCTCGCGCTCGCGCATGTAGTCGCCGTGATCGCGGTAGTAGATGTGACGCTTTGCAGCAGCTTCGAGGTCGTCGTCGAACTCTGCCAGCTGCTTCGCCTGTGCGTCACGAGCGGCCTGCTTCTCTGCCTCCTGGTTCTTGACACGGTCACTTTCACGTCCAAGCGAAGACACCGTCCTGTTCTCAAGCTTGAGCCAGCGAGAGAGCTGCTTCTGGTACGCGTCTTCAAGCTCTTCATCGCGCTTCTTCTTGCGACGGGCCTCGATCTCCGAGTCACTAGCCGAGTCATCGTCGTCTTCGCGACTGATGTAGTTCCCGCCATTAACGGCTCCTCCGTTGACGAAGTTGACGCCACCCTGGTAGTCGCGCGGAAACTGGGACCCCTTCGGTCCACTGGGAGCTCCCTGAACACCGCGCTCTGCCCTAGGTCCAAGAGGTATGCCATTTGCTCCTCCGCCTCCGGGTCCAGTGGGCGCTGAAGGCGGAGGAGATGTGCGCCTACCGCTGCGGCGACGCTCCTCTGCCTCGACCTCTTCCTCCCTCCGCAGGCGCTCACGGTCGCGCTGGTTAGATCGGTCGCGGAAGGCGGCAATCTCAGCGGCAACGATCTCGCGCATCTCGGCCGGGATGTCTGCAAGCTCGTCTTCGCCAGTTGTCAAATTGACAAAGGCAACCTCCACGTCTCCATCCTGCTGTGGCGCGTCTTGCATAGTGGCGTCGTTTCCGTACTCGTTTGCGGGCATGTTCGGTGGGTTGAAGAGGCTTGCGATGACTCCGGTTAGAGCTTCTTTGGCAGAATCGAGGCGGAACTGAACCGTATTCTCGTCTTCGTTGCGCGTCCTGCTCCATTCCTCGGCGTACTTGATAGATGCGTCGTCGACCATGACCTGCAGCTTAGTAGTCTCCACCTCTTCTTCTTCATCATCATCCTCCTTCTTGGCCTCTCCCGGCTTCTGGCGCTTGGTGGGCACCTGGACGTCCTTGAAGATCTCGGCGGCCGTCTCCAAGCTTTGCGCGTCTGCAAACTCTGCGAACCCAAACGTCTGAGGCTTGTTGTTCGCATCCGTAGCCCTTTGCCACCTCTCCAGCTTTCCTGCCGTCTCAAGTATGCGCACCATGCCCTCATCTCCACCAACGCCGTCCGGGATGTTTCCGACGAAAATGGTGCGAGCAATCGCTTCACGACTGGGAGGAATTACCTGTTGTATGGGCTCTCTGCCTCCGTCTCGGTCCATACCGAGTCCACGGCGTGCCGAGTTCGGTGCGCCTTCCCTTCGACCTCCCACAGGGCTATCCACCTTGCCACCTTGTGTTCCTAGGCGAATGACGGGCGCATTCATATTGAAGTTGGGTATGTTCGCGGGTGCTTGCCAGTTCGTCGGCAGTGGGCGCGGTCCTCCTAGAGCTGGTGGTCCTTGGCCGAATGCTGCACCTGGAGGAGCTGCACCAGGAGGTCCTGCGACGCCGGGCGGTCCTGCAAGCTGTGAGTAATGGCCGTTGAAATGTTCGCATGAGTCCACAGATGAGTTGACCCATAGCAGAGCATGTAAACTCACCCATTCCTGGCGGTGCCATGCCTGGCGCGCCGCCATAGCCTGGAGGAGGGCCAGTGAAGCCCGGAGCACCTATGCGCGTCAGCTAATTGTGCATTACATTTGTTGGAAGACATACCAGGGTAATTGTACATTTCGGAAGATGCACAGTCGCAATGCAGAAGGTAGAGTGAGCGTGTGTCGTGCTTGGAAGTCGCGGTCGCAGATTGAGGAAGGCACGCTAAGAAAGTTATCCATGGTAGTCGCGACGGAGATAGCGTGCCAAGACATTTCGTCGAACCTTCGAAATATCATCTGGGCTGCATCACCCGGGCCGCAATTGCGACTCCAGCCAGCATCCCAATCGTAGTCCACCTCGCACAAGGCACCGGCATGAGCTCACGTTCACTCGGCGAGCTCCTGCTCCGCCCGTCCCCCATTGCCCGCACGCCGCTGTGCCAGATCCGCCGGACGCCAGCATCATGGCCATCTCGAAGCATATCCAACACACCTCAGGCGGCCGCGCAATCGCAGGGCAAAGAAGATGACTACGATTACCGGTCCCAAGGACAGCAAAAACCAGCATCACAAGCACCACAACAGCAACAACCCCCCATCCGCCGCTCACCCAGCGGCCCAAGAGACACCTCGAAAGCCATCGACTCCCTCTTCGGCATGTCCTCGCAGCGCTCTCGCCCTCCACCACGCGGCCAATCCACATCCAGCGACGAAGTCCGCGCCGCACGCAACGCACACATCTTTGGCGCCGGCTTCAGCAACCCCTCCGGCACAAACCGGCGCACCGGCCGCGGTCCACCAAAGCTCAACTTCGACGACATGTCGCTGCCGACAGACATGCTGGACCCGAACCTGTCCAACAAGCCGTCCGAGGCGGCAAGTCTGGCCACCCAGCAGCAAGAAACGTTCGCCAACTACCCGCGGCTGAATCCGACGTATGGGCGCTTGGTGGAGCTGGACGTCAGTCGGGGACGCGATTTGGTGCGAGGCATTGGCATGTTGGGCAGTTTGGTGACGAGGAATAAGGTCAAGCATGAGATGTTTAGGCAGAAGTATCATGAGCGGGGGGGCTTGAAGAGGAAGAGGTTGGCGAGTGAGCGGTGGAGGGCGAGGTTTAAGAAGGGGTTTAAGGATGTTACGAGGAGGGTTAGTGAGTTGACTGCAAAGGGGTGGTAGAGTGTGTACTATATATGTATATGTTGGGCATGATTTTGGACTGTCTACGTGGATATCAGAATCGGATGTACGTCATGCATGTCATGTTTGCTTCTAATTATCTACCAATGCTTTTATATGCGTACGTCAATCATATACAAGAACCATCGCTATACTCGCACAAGTCTCCATATCTACCGCATCCTGTCCATATACTCTCCCCTCAATCCAACCTCTTTCCCGTTCCCCCACCCCCATATCCATACCCCCCGATCCCATACCCACCACCGCCTCTCTGCGGCACACTCGTCGGTAACCCATATCCGCCACCGCCTCCAAACCGCCCACCCCCATTCATGCGCTCAGTCGTATACCTCTTCAAGCGCCTGGGAAGATCCACGCCGCGGAAATACGCCACGCAAACCGCCGCGCTCGCGCCCGCACTCAGCAGGCAATAAAGCAGCGTGCTCGTGTAAATATGCCCGCCATACCCGCTCCAGCCCGGCGGCAGCGTGGTGCTGGGATACCAGCGCACGCTAAAGGACAAGGGCAGACTGTCGCCGATGGTGATCTTCGTGTTGCGCGTGTGCGACGCGATAGAGTATGCGGTCGCGGCGTCTACCACACCGGGACTCACGCTCTTGGGCGCGGCGTGGACGAGCAGATTGATGCTATTGCCGACGTGTAAATGGCTAAGTTGCAGTGTGCCCGAGAGCGCGACGACGAGCGGCGTGTATAGACTACTCTGGGTGCCGAGCGCGCCTTCTTGGGTTGATTCGTCGGAGACGCGGTATTCGCGCTCGAGCACGCTGGGAGGGAGAGGGCGAGAGGGGATTCGGCAGGAGAGCGGGGCGTCGTTATGGATGTAGAATTCGAGGAGGTGGAAGAAGGAGTCGGAGACGAAGTCGATGGTGCAGTTGAGGTCGCGTTCGATGCCAAAGGCGAGTTCGAGCGGGCGTCCGGTTTCATTGCAGATTGGGAATGGGATATATTGGAGTTGGCCGGATGCGTCTACGATCTGGGGGAGGTTAGCTTTGGGGCTGACGACTTGGGATGGAGGTGCGTACATGTTCGCCTGTGTCTCTGAGCAATGGGTTAGCAGAAGGAATGGTGACGATGGTGTTGTCTATTGACATACATTGTCCGGTTTAGACAACTGACGGGAATCGGCTCTCCAGGGTTATACCCTCTGCCCTCTTCCACACTCTTTAGCGGTTGCTGTTCACCCGCAGCACTTGAGAGCGCTACGCAAAAGGACGAGAGTGCGAGCAGCGCCAATCGCCATGAAGGCGCCCTGAAAAACATAACTTCCGTATGGATCGACCAAAAGAAAATGGGCAGAGAAGAGTTGCTCACGATCGGAGCACTCTCGGTCGTGGAGGACTTTAACGTGGATCTGTCATGAGTACCTATTTGCTTGGCCTGTGCGGGCGGACTTCCGTCTCCTCGCCGCAAACATCGGCTCCAATATGCACCAAAGTCGACCAGAACTCGAAATTACGTATGTTATGATTTATTCATCTACATATTCTCCAGACGCTCGGTTGATCGCTTTTGTCGCATGCCATGAAATCATTTAACCGTTACAGCCTCTCGGGCCACCAATCGTTCGCAGCGCTTACAAAGTAGACTTCTTCTTGAACGCATTGATGAGACCGCTCGTGCTAGCGTCATGAGAGTTCGACTCGCCATCCTGGTCAAGCTCGCCCAAGATCTTCTTCGCGAGCGACTTGCCAAGCTCGACACCCCACTGGTCGAAGCTGTTGATGTTCCAGATCGCGCCCTCGGTAAATGTGAGGTGCTCGTAGTAGACGATCAGGGCACCGAGAGTAGCGGGGGTGATCTTGTCCGCCAGGATCGAGGTGGTGGGACGGTTGCCCAAGAAAGTCTTGTGGGAGACGAGCTCATCGGGAGCACCCTCAGCCTTGACCTCGTCTGGGGTCTTGCCGACCATGAGGGCCTCGGCCTGAGCGAAGAAGTTGGAAGCAAGCATCCTGCAGTTGTTAGTTTAGCTATTTAATGTTGGACAGGGAATTCGTACTTCTGGTGCTTGTTGTTCTCGACAGGGTTGTGGCTCTGTGCTGCCAGGATGAAGTCGGTGGGAATGAGCTTGGTACCCTGGTGGAGCAACTGGTAGAAAGAGTGCTGGGCGTTGGTGGCGGGCTCGCCGAAGAGGATGGGTCCGGTAGTGTACTTGACGTAGTCTCCACTACGGGTAATGGCCTTGCCGTTCGACTCCATGGACAGTTGCTGGAGGTAAGCGGGGAACCTGTGCAGGTACTGGTCGAATCTGCAATTGTCAGGCGATGTTAGGGCTACAAGTCATCTGCAGCGTAGAACTTACGGAGAAACAAGGTGAGTCTGAGCGCCGAAGAAGTCTGAGTACCAGACACTCAAGAGACCACCAATAACGGGGATGTTCTTCTCGAGAGGAGTCTCCTTGAAGTGCTTGTCCATGGCATGGGCACCAGCAAGAAGCTGGTGGAAGTTGTCGAAACCAATGTAAAGGGCAACGCTCAAGCCAATAGCGCTCCATACACTGTAACGTCCACCGACCCAGTCAGAGAATCCGAACATGTTCTTCTTGTCGATACCGAACTTGGTGACTTCCTCTTCGTTGGTCGATAGAGCGACGAAGTGCTTGGCAATGTCCTCCTGCTTAGCACTCTTCAAGAACCATGCCTTGGCAGTGTTTGCGTTGGTGACGGTCTCGGCGGTTGTGAAGGTCTTGGAAGCGATGAGGAACAGCGTAGTCTCGGGGTTGGAGTCCTTGAGAGCCTCTGCAATGTGTGTGCCGTCAATGTTGGAAACGAAGTGGATCTTGAGGGAGCGGTCGGCGTAGGCCTTGAGAGCCTCAGAGACCATGACGGGGCCACTGTACATGGTCAGCGATCATACTTCTCACTTCTTCATGCCACATACAGGTCGGAGCCTCCGATACCAATGTTGACAATGGTGTCGATCTTCTTGCCAGTGTAACCCTTCCATGCGCCGCTGCGAACCTGCTCGCTAAATTCCTTCATGTGGTCAAGCACCTCGTTGACGCCCTCAACGACGCTCTCGCCATCAACCTTCATGGGCTGGTTGGATGTGTTGCGGAGAGCAACATGGTAGACTGCGCGCTTTTCGGTGAAGTTGATCTTCTCACCAGCGAACATGTCATCGCGAAGCTTCTCGAGGCCAGCCTCCTTTGCCAACTCAACAAGCAGTTTGATGGTCTCCTCGGTCACAAAGTTCTTGGAGAAGTCAAACAGAGTTTCTGAGCCATCGGCCTCGTTCTTGAAGGTGTGGCTGAACTTCTCGAATCGCTGGAATGGTTTAGTTGAGTGTCAGAAGCATTGTCTCACTGCCTACCTGAGGGTCCTTCTTGAAGTACTCCTTCAATACAATGTCCTTTCCGAGCTTCTGGTGGTGGTCCTGGAGAGCCGACCAGGCGGAAAGATCAGAGGCTTGTGCGAAGCCCGGCATATTGTGTTACGTAGCTGGTGGGGTGAGTAATTGACTGACTAACGATCCGAAGCACTTACAGTGAAATATGTATGGGGGGAAGAGGGTAATTGAGAGCAATTGATCAGAAGTCAGAAGCTCAGGTGAGTGGGATGATGTTGTTGTGGTGGAGAAGACTTGCAGATGAGGTAGGTAGTGCCCCGCTTGCGTCAGCGCGCCAGAGCTCTTGCCCCAACAGAGGGGCAGCGTGGTCCTGACGTCTCGAACGGTTGGGCTAGTCACTTTTACTAATTGGCCCTCACATCTGAAGCATGCTGATATCATGCGCACTAGTCAATGCATGATGAGGCTCCTTCGTGAGTGGGATATCGTCTTGCAATGCCTAAATCTAGGCTTCTTATTCACACAAATGCTGCCTCATGCGCCCATAGCATGGTTCCAGAACCCCCACCAAGACAATGCTAACAGATTCCACCAATGACAAAATCTTCTCTCTACAAGGCCATAGCCACCGGGTGTTCAGTTGTTATAGACTGAGTCGCCGTGGGAACAGCCCATCGCTAGATCAATCGCCCTGCTCCGAAGCCGGATACTAAGCTCCAACACTATCGCTCGTTGACGCCTTCGAATGATGGATCCTTGACTGAACCTCCCGCATCTCCGAGGCCAGCGACTGGTCGGTTGTAAGACCAGCCCGCAAACTGTTGCTGCATGGTCTGAGAAAGCATCGGACCGTCCACATATGAGTCCGTAGGAGCCTCTGAAGTGAATTCGCGGTCAAAATTGGCAGTGTCCTTCGCATCAACCTGAGCGCTTGTTAGCCAAAATCTTCGTCCATGCCAAGTAGAGATACATACCACATTGGGCTTGAAGCTAGGCTCGTACTTCCGCTCGAGCAGCTTGCGCCAGTCGATGCTGTGGAAGAAGTAGTGTGCCTTGATCTCCGCGGCGCCCTTTGCTCCCAGACGCTTCTCGGCGTTCCGGTCGAGCAGACGAGTCAGCAGATCCCGGGCCGCAGGCGGGACGATCTCTGGACCAGGGAAATGTAGCGGCTCGGTAAGAATCTTGCGGTACATGTCGTTGGTGTTCTCGTCGTAGAAAGGTGGTAGGCCAGTCAACATCTCGTAGAGTAGTACACCAAGAGTCCACCAATCGACCGACTTTGTGTAGCCCGCGCCAGTGAGCAGCTCAGGCGCAAGGTACTCTGGTGTTCCGCAGAATGCTAATGAGTGTTATTATGCATTCTCCCCTATCAATAGCAGTACTACTTACTATTCGTTCGGTCTTCGTCCTTCATGTCTAGCTTGCAGAGACCGAAGTCGCAAAGCGCAATGTGTCCGGTGTAGTCGAGAAGAATGTTCTCTGGCTTGAGATCACGGTAGATGACATTGAATCCGTGCAGACACTCCAGAGCACACAGAAGCTCGGCGGCATAGAATCGCGCACGGTTAATATCGAAACGTTGCTCCTTTTGCAAGTGGTGGAACAGCTCACCACCATTGACGAAAGCCAATACAAGGTAGAGCTTCTCGGGTGATTGGAAAGAGAATTTCAGAGGCACAATGAATGGGTTGTTGATCTGAGCCAGCACAGATCGCTCTGCCAGAGTATGCGCAACTTCGGACCGTGAGATGATGTGGGCTTTGCGAATAGTCTTGAGGGCGTAGATGCGGTGTGTGTCCTTCTTCCTAGAGATTGTGAGTCTTGATCACGGTCAATTGAACATGTGGTAACACTCACTGCACTTGCATGACCTTGCCGAAGCTACCTTTTCCAACCACCTTGAGCAGTTCGAAATCGTCGATGGACAGGCGATCTTGGCGGTTCTCGACGAAGTTGACGCCGACCCTCATCTCACCAGTGCCAAAATTGACTTTGATCCACTCAGCACCAGCCTGGCCTGCTGCTTGCTCGCTCTTGGTTGACTTGGCATCTTGCCGTGCCTCCTCAAATCTAGGGTTGATCTTCAACGTTCCAATGAAAATGTCCTCACTACGGCCGGCGTTGGGAGGCGCGGTAGGGTTGCGGATGTAGAGTGACACGCTAAGTTCGGTTACTCGCGACACATCGAACTTGTACTGTGTGTTGCCTCCCGCCCATAGAGGGTTCTCAGGGTTGCCCGAAACAGCATTGATGAAGACTTGCTGCTTGTCAAAGTCTACGAGCGCATATGGCAGGTGTTTTGAGGAATAGCGACCGTGGATAGTAGGCGCTGCGTTGATGCTGCCCGCTGCGGATTGCGGTCGATTCGCATACGAGCCCGCGACCGCATTTCGTGAAGAGGAGCCTGGTCGTACTGAACCAGCCACGGAGAAACCACCGCCTTGGGATAGTGATCCCTGGTGGTGTCCAGAGCTGAATGTGTTCTCATGGCCGGGTGGTAGAGAGAACCCTTTACCTTCATGAAGCGTGACTATAAGAATACCTGGGCGGAGAGGCGGTGGAGGCGGAGCAGCGTTGGCTTCTGAGGCGGCTTTTGACAGTCAGCAGCTTCATAGTGATTCCATGGGTCTACATTTCCTACCGATGCCATTTGGGTCCTTGGAGTCTACAGAGGTAGTGGCGGAGCTGGCTGGATTCTTTTCATCGTTCACTATGGTAGATGTCGATGATGACCGCGAAAACGTGCTCGATCCCGGCACGAGACTGCCAAGGTGTGTGTCTTTTAGCTTCTTGGTCAATTTCCAACTCATCTTGAGGAGGAGGAGGTTGTGGAGAGAGTGTGTGGGTGGTGGTGTGGACCAGGCGTTGGATTTGGGGTAAGTCCCGAGACGCGCTAAGACCAACGATTGGGCTCTTTACTACGAAAGAGCGATGTATGCGCCTAGCCCAACTATCGGAAGACGAGAGGAACGTGATAATGGTAGCAGGAGGTCGACGTTGAGGTTAAGGAGGATCTAGGGTCGCGATTTGAGGGGTAGATGCTAAATGAGTGGCGGTGCACAGGGTCAAAGTCTCCAGCGTCTCTGACGACGCACGGCTCACCCATCCATACACTTTCATTTCCTGCGTTTGATGCCCACGAGCAAATGCGTCATTTGTTACCAATGCTTATTTCGAGCGGGTGATAGGCAGCATTTGGCGTACTCGCTAGGACAGGAGTTACACAGGCCGCGCCCAACTTTGGCCTCGGGTACGACATACGACACTCGACCTTGCCCACGACCCATCGAGCATCCATCGCGCTTGCCGGCCCACGACAACCCATGGACACGTGCTAATATCAATAAAACAGTCTCCACGCGCGTTGCGATCCTGTCCAAGGGCACAATACGCTCTTGTCTACGCGCTCACCCTGCACAGCCACACGACCGCTGCCCTGCCAGGTGCAGCGATCGCATTCACCGCCGGTCACGGCACGCGATAGACGAACACGATGGGCGTAATAAAAAAGAAGACGGGCACGCGGGGCACCGAGGGCGGTATCAAGTATGTATGCGACGTGTGTTCGTCTGATATCACGTCAACGGTAGGCTTCCCCACATCCCCACCCCCAGGCAACGTTGTTGATGCATAGCATTAGGTCCGCATACGATGCGCCGAGGACACCTGCCATGAATACGACCTGTGCGTGCCTTGCTTCTCCGATGGCAAATGCACCCGCGACCACCAGCCCGCAACACACACCTTCCAGGTCATTGAACAGCATTCAATACCCATTTATACCGATGACTGGGGCGCTGACGAAGAGCTCGCCTTACTGGAAGGAGCAGAGACATACGGCCTGGGATCATGGGCTGATATAGCTGACCATATCGGTGGCTTCCGGGAGAAGGACGAGGTTCGTGAGCACTACATCAACACTTACGTTCAGAGCTCCCATTTCCCGCTGCCGGAGCATTGCAGCAAGGATGATACCGCCCTGAGCGACCGCATCCCACGGGATCAGTTCCAGGCCCAGAAGAAGCGAAGAATAGAGCAGCGAAAGCAAGATGCCGCAAGTGCTCAGCCAGCCACGCCAAAGCAGAAACCAACAGCCAGTGTCCCGTCATGTCACGAAGTACAAGGCTACATGCCTGGTCGTCTGGAGTTCGAAACGGAGTACTTCAACGAGGCAGAAGAGGCAGTCCAGCATATGCAGTTCGATCCAGGTGATGGCATCAATCCGCGTACTGGCGAGACGGAGCCCGAAATGGAACTCAAGATGACGATAATGGAGATCTACAATTCTAGGCTAGACGCTCGTGTGGAGAGGAAGAAGATCATATTCGAGCACGACCTTCTGGAGTATAGGAAGAATCAAACGGCGGATAAGAAGCGCACGAAAGAAGAGAAGGATCTCATGAACAAGGCGAAGCCCTTTGCCCGTATGATGCAGCACAAGGACTTTGAGGTGTTTTGCAAAGGCCTGGAGTATGAGCACAATCTGCGGCAGGCCATCTCTCAGCTCCAGGAGTGGAGGAACATGCAAATCACCAGCCTGAAGGCGGGCGAAAAGTATGAGACGGAGAAACAGCAACGCCAATCGAGAGCACCACCACTGGGCCAGTTTGACCGTCTAGCTTCCAGTAGGATTGGCAAGCCTGCTCCACCCTTCGAGCAACCGTCTGCGGCAACAGCACTTCTCCACAGCAACCTGCCTCAGCACATTAAGGAACAGAGCGGGCTCACTACGCCTCCACCGGACAGCATTACCAGCGGCACCAATGGCATTCCAACACCGCAGCACTCGAAGACGAAGTTCGTACCAAAGGCACTTCCCGGCACGGTGCCGCTGAAGTTCGGCAAGGAGTCCCAGGCAGATCTCCAGCTACTGACCAAGGAAGAGGTCGACATTTGCAAAGTCCTGCGTATCATGCCCAAGCCATACCTGGCTCTGAAGGAGACTTTGATTCGGGCAGCGCTGAACAACAATGGAAGTCTCAAGAAGAAGACTGCCAAGGAGATTTGTAGCATCGATGGGCAGAAGTCGGGACAGTTGTTCGACTTCCTCGTGCACAGCGGCTGGATTGCACGGGCGTAAAGGGGGAGGCATCATTCGTCGGCGTTAAACACATGGTATACCCAGACATAGAGGCGATAGGCGTCTGCATTGATATGCACATCTTACTGAACAGTCTAGTCCGTATCAATATGAGAGTTATGATCAGATCTACGCAACGACAAGTGCAATCGGACCGCCAAGGCGCTATTACTGCTACGGCAACGGCGATCAACACAACAAGCCGAGGCGGTCCTCTTACCTCCACACGTCCCAGTTGACCCACGAGTACTGTCGCAACTACCCCTATCATGCATTTCTAGTTCTCGAGCTGGTGTCGCAACCCCTGATAGGTTTTGCGGTTCGAGCAGTCGGTAGAGAGTTGCTCGAGCTGCGCTGACATCGCGCATTCGCTAGCGTTACATTCCAGAGCCACAGGCAGCCACCACTCCGTATGACGTCGCAATACTCAACCGACATGCCCGGGATCTATACACCATCGCCGTCGCGTGCGCAAACTACCGCTAGGACGAGCTACTTCGATGCGGCTCCGCGCTTTTCGTTGGCATCTGAAACCTCCGGTTACCAGGTGACTGACCACGAGACCCGAAAGCGGACCCGAGACAGCTACACCACTCAACCTTCCACCACGGGCATCTGGAACGACAACACTTTGGGATACTCCCGTACTGCAGACACCAAGAGCCCTCCTCCGCTTGCACACGATCGCTATCAGCTCGCTGATGGTGGTATGGAAGGGTCTCGTACGTTTGGGAGACAGGCTGGAGACTACGACGACTACTTTCAGCTTCAGAGGCAGCGCGGACAGTGGTCTGTTCCCCCAACACCATACAACGGTCTGAAGCCAATGGCCGTAGACGGCACGCAAACAACACCAAATGGCACAAAACCTTGGTCGATCCTCGGCCTCGTTGGAGGAGTGGCCGGCAAGCTATTCCAGTTCTGCACCGTACCCTTCCGAGGTTTCCAGGCTGGAGGCGGCCAGATGTATGCGGTAGACTCACAGGAAGAAATCGCCTCCAGACTTGGGCTCCACGACGATCCATTCTCACATCCCCACTATCCAGCCGGTCCGGTCCGACATGTCGCGCCTGGCAGCTTTCCACAAGATGACTACGGGGTCAGGTCTATCGACTCGCTCGAAAATGAAACTCCGGAACGACCGAGAATGACAAAGCGATTGAGGACAGCGGATAACTGGGTAGTTGTTGGCAACGATGGACAGATGGAATCCAGACCACCAACACCGCGGATCTCGGAGCGAAGAGTTCCTGATCAGCCAAGATCGCCATCGCACATACCGAGACCTGCGTCCAGAGGCGGCGCAATGACACCGTCACAAAAACGTCCTTCTCTTATCCCCGTGTCACGACGCTCGACCACAGATCGACGATCTTTCCTTGGAAGTGCCAAAGCAGCACCCTCGTCGCATAGCAGACAACGATCGCACAACCGTCTAAGCTACGGTTCACCCGCTGTTCCAGTAGAGAGGCCTAAGAAAGCCGCCAGTCCTTTGCCAAAAGCGAGTCAGCGTCTGATCAACAAAGTACGCCGCGAAGAGATAGAAGAAGACGCTCGCATGCGCAGAATGAGCTCGCAGATGAGCGCCATGCTTCGGGAAGCAAAAGAAGCCGTTGGGCTCAAAATTTGAGGTTGAGGATGTCTACGACGACGATGGCGGGTACGATGATGACGGAGGAATGCAAGGGTCCGGCTACTTCCCTCGCTTCTCTTAGCAACAACTTCCTCCATCCACATCGATGTATACCGCAACTGTACATACTTGGCACACATCGAATTTCGGAGTTTTCCTTGCTGGCGTTCTTTGAATGGCGTACCCTTCGAAGGCGTACGCGGCGTTACCAAATTTGGGAAATACCCTTGGCCCATGGTCATTGTCACGGTCTTTTGAAACCACAGTAGTAATGACACTCTTGATTGAACACAAAATAATTTCATAATAAGCATGCAATTTTCACTCTTCGTTGAGAAGGCCGAAATCAGCCCATTCTCCAACGTTTAGACTTACGACTCATTGTATCGTATTCAGACATCTCTGCGGAGTTGTCTTAAGCGTAAGATGAACGTACAGGTCTTGTAATACATAGTCGCAAATTCCAGGTCCTGCTCATCGTGCCGAACAATATGCAGAACTGCATGAGAACCATCCATGTAGCGCCAATGATTCAAAAATCAACCAACCATATACTTCCCTGGCCAGTCCAACATCTCGTCGTACGGTGCCACACCATCAACTCTCAAGAGTAATCCACCCTAAAGGCAAAATCGACTCTGTCCGTCGCCCTACCCAAACCAAGAGCCTCCGCATAGTCGCTTGATTTCCAGTTGGCGTCGTTCGGGGCCCTCATCCAGCGAGGTGCGTATTCGTCCTTGACCACAACCGTGACCTCGAGACACGGATTTGGGCCACGATAGCTCCATCTCAAGCGGAGCTGGCTGACCTTGTTTCCCTTGATTCCGCTCACCCATCTTGCCGCCTTGTTCGAGAGAACGGCCTGGATGGCAGACAATGTCTCCGGAGGGACATCTATTGCAGCAGAGACCGTGATGCTGAAGTCTGGAAAACGCAGTGTGTGTTTGATTAGTTGGAGTATATCGACGCATGGGAGATCGAGATCGGGTTTGCGCACCCAGACGCGGAGTAGGCCAGAGCGCGAGTATGTGGATTCGAGACGTTTTTTGACCTCGTCAGATGCACCTGGGCCAGTGCGAGGGTAGAAGGCTTTGAGATAGCCGTCGAGAGCGAAAAGAGGGATCTTATGGGTGGATAGCCAAGCTGGGCGGAACTCTGAGCGCATCTTGGAGGAGGCTTGTGTGAGGCCGATGTGTGGAAGTAGAGGCTTCTTGCTCTTCGGTTCAGATTTGTCTTTCGGGAAGATTGGTGGGAAGCAGCGGTGTGCGAACTCTACCGCGTAGCCGTAGATTTGGTTGCGGAGTTCTGTGGCGTGTGAGCAAAGAGCACTGTCTTGAGTACACTCTGTACGTACCTCCTGGTAGGTCCATCAAGCGGAAAACTCCATCTTCGCGCGGGTCCTTGACCTTCTCTTGCTTTGTTTGGTCCTTGGCCTCATTGTCTACCTTCTGGATCTTCTGTCGTTTGCGCGAAGGCCTCACTTGATTATCAGTGGCGGTGCGCTTCCTGTTCGCGGTCTTACTGCCAACAGCCTCAACACCTTTGATAATATCTTTGCGTGCCCTATAAAGTCAGTAATTAGCTATCATAGTATCATCAACGGATTGAGCACGCTCTCAAGAACTCACATCGTCGATCTGGGGTCGACTATCTGAGGTTGAGGGTCCGGCGATGCAGGAGGGATGCGGATGTGGGTGAGGCTTGATGTTGCGATATGCCGCAGCATGGGCATGCGGCCCCTCACTGATTGGCCCGTAGCGGGGGACAAACGGAGGCTGTTTCCTGATTGCATTCGCTACGGCGGGGATATTGCGATGAATGTTTCGAGGTACTTGGGATGATGCAAACAGTGAGTTCTTGTCCAATGATTACCACGCTATGCGCGACCATATGCTCGCCTTGGTGTTGAGTAAATAGCTGTTACTTTTAAACTTAGTAGTTGGAATAGCCTTATATAAAACAATGGTTGAGCTTTTCAGAATGTAGATCGTCTCTTTTATGCCTTTGGAATGACCATGTCCGCTGCTGAACCATGGCAGCAGTGTTCCCTTATTTTACTCATCATGAAGAACCTTCGTATCAGTACCATTGACACGGCATATTTGTAGTAGTAGTGATTGCGTACTGCTGGAAGCGGGCTCAGTGTTGTTTTACATTTGTAAATCAGCTCCGAACTGCTATGACGTTGGTCAAGGCCCAACCGCAAGGCGACACGAGCTTCTGCATATCGCACTATTTATCGAATATATGCTCAACACATGCAAATCTGATAGGCATCTCGAGATTTAACATGTCAAAGTTGGGAAAGAAGACACCTCATGGTTCACGGACCGTGCGCCACGCTAGCAAGTGCGCAATCAAGCAACAGCGCTGTCCCGAAACGCTACCATCTCAATCCGACACGCGAACAATCGATCGAAACGCGAAAGGACACGCGACAAGAGTTTCGAGAGGGAGATACTAGCTCAAATCTGCTGGATTGCTACGTTGCAACGCGTCAACATGGCGTTTCCCCCGATTCTCCTCCGAGAATTTCAAACGGCAACAATAAGCGACTTCATCCCGGGAAAACTTGCTACAGAGTACCAGGCACGTATTTCGATACTTTGTATCGTTTCAATGAACTCATAAATGGTAGCAATTGGAGTCCCTTGCTCATGCCATCCTATCAAAGGACGACAAACAATACAATGTTCATTTCCACTTCCATGATGGTCTCTGCGAAGGCAAAGCTTTGCCTCTGCTTTGGGACAATGGAGCATATTTCGATTCGGACTGTTTAAAAGATAACAAGCTACATCTATACGCACATTTTGAGAGAAAGGATGGCAGGAACTCGTTATTGAACACCCCAGCAACAAGCGCAGCGCCCTCATCCAGCAGATTGCCTACAGAGGCACCGTCCCAATCCATAGCGCGTTCCAGCGCAGCCACGGAGTTGAACAGAGTCGGAACATCAGGAGGTGTACGTGGGTCATCATCAAGACAGTCCCAGGTTGCTCTTTCAATCCCACGAAGAGAGAGGCGAGCGAATGCACATGACCTCTCCGATACCGATTCGGACGCTTCTGATGAGACTAATTTCCTCTTGAGTCCTAGTGACTCCGGTAGATTGAGTGACAGCGAAGAGGGACGTGAAGGCCCTTTACAGACACCACAGCCACTACCTGCTACTACAACGGCTATCCAACATGCTGCCGACTTTGAAGAAGCCTGCTTAACGAACGCACCGAAAGGAAAGTACGGCCACAAAGATAACTGGAAGGACATCGACCAAAAGTATAAGGACAAAATTGCGCACGCGAAACTGATTAAAGGCACATACGGTGTGGTTTCAGCTAAACCTTGTGACAGATGTGCAGAGAAAGGGGTGACTTGCCGTGTATACCACCCAGACTTGCAGGGTACTCGACCACAGGAGGCTCTTGTGGAGAATGCCGATTACGTAGTATGCCGTGCGATCTGAACGGGCGCCCCCAAAATTTACTATCCAAGAGGAAGAGGGCTTCCGAGGCTTCATCAGAAAAGTCGCATCCGAAAATACTTCGCCGCAGTACTGGTGGCGAGCCTACTGGAATGCTCAACTTTTGCCCTATTGTCACCTGTCCACGGAGGAGAGACTCATTGGGCAATAAAGCAAATCTACTTCGCCACGTTCAATCGGCCCACCCAGAGTACGATACAAGTCGACTAGATCCTTCAAGGCGTGTTAGCGTTCCGAGTTTTCGCGCTGCCAGTACGCCAACCACGGTCAGTGCACCATTACGCACTCCCAAGGGCATGGGCACTTTCGTCTGTCCTATCGCTGGATGCTTGAACCCCAGCAGTACACGAGGTGACAATTTTCGACGTCACATACGGCAGAGACACCCCGAATCTATTCACGCTCAGATACTAGAAGCTATTGTAGGGAGAAGCTATTGTAGGGAGAAGCAAAATACAATTGCCGTCCCCACCGTCGAGCGCCGAGTACACTGCGGATTTTGAGATAGCCGTCTCGGAAAATGCACCTCTAGGTGCTTTCGGCCGTCGATCCGACAACGACTGGAGCGCCCTAAGTATGTACATCAGGACGAGAATTGCACACGCAAGATTGATTAACGGAAAGTACGGCGTGCTCGCCCCAGAAAGCTGCGCAAACTGCCAGAGGAGAGGTACTGCTTGCATGGTATACCAGTACGTCCATCTCGTGTATGAAGTGCATTGAAGCAATGCTAATCATCTTTCTTGCTGCACAGTCCACATCTCGATGGAGGCGGAAGAGTACCGGGTTCTTATTGCAACGAGTGTCGCGACCGCAGTGTGAAATGCGAGATCACCGCAGATGTATTCTCCAAAATCCTGCTGGCTCCAGGTGATACGGCCAGTGGACAGGAAGTCAACAATGTGGAGACTGACAGTCAAGCGCATGCACCAAAAGAAGAGGATTACGAACAGGCGGACGATACTTTAGTCGAAGAACACTACAGGGACGACGGTGACTCGTTCGTTCGCTGCAGTGTGCCAGGATCTCCATATGAGGCGGAGCATGACAGAGAGGAAGAGTTGCCTGAAGGATCTGAGGAGGCAGTGTCTACAGCTGTGATCTCCGACCAAGCCTCACCCGAAGACAGCGCGTTCTACCAATACTCAAAGTACGCGGACCAAGGTCTTGGCTCTGCTATAGGACGAGGCCACACGACAGATTAAGCGTACTTCGTCGTACCAGTACAAGGCATGGTAAGCTACAGTCATCTTGGACAGTGTAGAGTACATCACGCGCTTTTCGGAAATCGGCATGGCTTAGCATACATACAGTAAGTGTAGCCAGCGCATGGGAGAGGGGCGTCAAGGTCTTACTGAAACGAACTTGACTGTATTCAAATAGCCTGCACAAGGATCGCCTGATACATGAGTTGACCAGAAATGATTCGTGGAACAGCAGCCTGCCCAGACATTTTGCACAGCCTCAATGCCAAAGGGGGCGCTATCTCAATCCACCACAACTTCTTCGTGAGCACAGGTCAAATCCTACAACACACATAGTATGCCGAGGCGCTTGATCCCTCGTTAAATCACGACGAGGGTACCGGTGAAGGACTAACTAGGGTCAGCTCATCGTGGGCTTGGAAGGCGTAAATCCAAGATGCTGCGCCTCACAACATACAGCATTGAACGCTATGTCGTGTGACAACAATACAGTATCATCGCAGCTCTTTGCTGAGAATAAAAGGCCCTCGAATGCATCACCGAAGATCATCTCGTAGTACCATCTAAATCAATCCTCTATCCCCCAACATGATGTTCCTCTTCTTCACTCTTTTCCTTGCAGCTTCTGTAACCGCGCAGCTCACAACCGCTATTCCCCTCCTTAGGTCGGGCTTCGGCACAGACAAAATCGGCTTTTACGCCTCCGTCATTGGCGTCTCAGGCCCCAACACCACTCTCGCAGTCACCTACGACAATGGCACAGACACACGCGCCGTTGGCCTCATGAGGGAACCTACAACGATGACCATCAGCCCAAACATGTTTGACTTCGACACAGACGTCCCCACGTCCAGCGGCACCAACTTCTACAATCTGCGTTGCGACTTGCAAGCCAGCGCAGACCCGGCATGCACGCTGTCCTACAATCCATCAATGGCGCGACGCGTGCTCTGTCCCAACATGGTGAGCACCACGGAAACGATTTACCAGTACTACGTGCATACATATCCCGCGCGCTTGGGATACGAGGCGGGCGTAGAGACGGTCATGCGGGATATCACGATTGGTGTGAATACGCGCGCCAGGCCAACGTGGTGTACAGACAGTAGCTATCTCCCGTCTGAGGGACTGGTGGAGAGGCCATCGGTGAGTCGCGAGGATGTGGCTTCGTATCAGGTGGTCGTCACCGCTGGAGAGGAGAAATTGAAGGCGACGCAGGGGAGTGGTGTCAGTGGCTCAGTCGCTACTCCTACTGTCTCTGTGCCCCTGTCTACTTTTACTGGGGCGGCGGCGCCGGTCAAGACAGTCATGCCAGCACTTGTAGGATTTGGCGCTGTCGCGGCTGCGTTCTTGTAGGAGACAGTATGGTCAGCTTGGGCGAGAGGCGAGGGACTTCTATAAGCTTTCTCTTCGAAACCGTAAATGTGGCGCTTAATGGCCAAACTATATCCGCGGAGCTGGCGATACTTGCAAGCCGTAGTCGATTGTGTATGCATATAGTTATCTCTCTTGAATGTAGCTTCGCTGTGTTCTTGCTCTTACTTATTTTGGGCCACTTCTTAGATGAAAGACAAAGTGCAATGCGTGATGTAAAGCCAGAGCCCGAACGACAGCCACATATCGTGCTCCTCTTGTTCTCTGCGGTTCTGTATCTCAATGATAATGTTGCCGACTCCATGCTTCCAAAGTTTCATGTCTAGCACAGAGCTACTCGGTGATCAACGTGAACGACCTTGTTCCCGCCCTGGACTATTCACATCCACTTTCGATACTCTGTAAAACTCGACATTTGCCCTCTATATGTAATGTAATGCCTCACTTGAATAGAGCCAACAGCTTTCATGGAGCCTGCAACGTACTATATTCCAGGCACTGCTGACATCCTAGCATAGATGCCTAACAACACTCATCAACGTACCCGGCTAGTAGTCAATGAACATGTGCGAGGAAGGATTGGTTACTTCTCTTTGCCCCATTTATTGTCTATGTAATCTTGTCTAAGGCTGCTGGCAAGATGTCACTTCGATATTGGATCGTCGGCCGCTTTGACGCGGTGCATCGTGTCGTCTTCTCCACCGTCGCGTCCCTGATTCCTGCGAATACACAGAGGATAGTCTGCAGTACCGCGACACTTTACTCCTTGCCTGTCACCAAACCCAGCTCAATCTAACAAAAAGAAACACCATCACCACCATTCATAGACAAAACCCACATACATCTTCACATCAACCACCCCCATTTCCCCCTCCACGCCCCTTCCATCCTCCACCCCCTCGTATTCCACGCACTCTCGCTCCATCCCACACCCCTCGTCTCAATCCTCCAACTCTCCATCGTGAACAAATCTCTCAGAAACTCCTCCTCATCCAACACGCCCATGTCCATCAATCTGATCAGATTATCCCGCATGGTCGGGAACGGCAGCCGGTCGAACCAGCGCGGGTGCGCGGTGGTGAGTTGGGTGGGCGTTGGGTGGAGGGATAAGGGATGGGAGGCATGTGCGGGCGGGGAGGGGGTGTGGAGGCAGGCGGTGCAGGAGAGGGAGAGGGTGAGGCCGTTGAGGTAGAGGGCGGTGAAGATTGTTAGGGGGGGTTGGAGGGGGGATTGCGGGGAGGGGAGGTAAGGGGCGGGGTTGATTAAATTGGGGGTGGTGAAGTCAATGGCGAGTTGATCGTTGGGGGAGGGGTTGAGGAAGTCGAGGATGGGGTCGGTTGGAGATAGTGCGAGTGCGGAGTCTATGTCTGTGTCCAGGGTGGATATGGGGTGGTGGGCGTGGACGTCTTGGATTGGAGTGTGCGCTATCGGGTTGCAGTTACATCGTCTTGATATCGTGGTGATGGTTGTCGTTGTTGTTTTTTGTTGGGTTATTTGGTCTTTGGCTTCGCGGAGTCGTTGGCCTGTGGTTTGGTCAGTTATTGTTATTCATACGCAGACGCAGTTCTAGCCTCCAAGACAGCCCAGTCTCGAAGCAGGAAAGCTTACTACTTACGTCTTGCTCTCTGTGCCAGTCTGTCTTGGATCGCCTTCCTCTTCTTCGGATCTTGGACATGCTGCCAATCATCTTCTTTCGGATCTGTACGACGGACCATTTCGGTGATTTATCACGCTTACAAAATCTTCCTCGGGGAGGACTATGATGCTACTGCACTGATATGTCAGAATCAACAGCGCATTTGAAGGATGAATGTTCGATGACAAATGTACTTGCATTGGTTGCCCTGAGCTTACTCAAAGGAGCACTAGCTCATCCTACGGACGAGTTACGCTCTGATGTAAAGTTGCGACGTACCACGCTTTTTCTGAAGGCGCGAAGGATTAGGAGAAGTGGATAGTGAATATAGTGGTGGTATTGGTAGATGAGATAGTTCTTCCAATGTTTCTAGCGACGCAAAAAAATGGTGCAGAAGCACACGACATCCACGCTCGACACTCTGCAGACCATTAACCAACAACCGACTTACCCTCAGCACCAATCCAGAGATGATTGCCTGACTCCAGCACCTCAATGTAGTCTCCTACCTTGACCTCGCCACTCTGCAACGGCACAACCTGCATGCCCAGACAAGGATTCTTGTTGCCTTCATCAATAATGCGATACTGCCTCAGTGTGGAATACGGCTCATTGCGATCAGCTATCGCAGTATCCGGATCTACGTTTGGCAATTTGCAGCGCGTGGTGCGACACGAGACGTTCAAGTCGAGGGGATCATGCGCGTAGGACGAGTTTGGCGAAGAGATACGGGCTTTGAGCCAGGCATCCTCGTGGAAAGCGGGTGGGCCAGTGATGTAGATGTTTGCACGGAAACGGAGGGCGTTGAGAAGAGGCACAACTAGCTGCCAGGGACCTTCCTGGCGCGGGAGCTTTGAGGCGACATCGTGCACGGAAGCGAGGTTCAGGATGTGGACGGGGTAAGAGTCCTGCATGCCGATGGTGGTCTGGAATCCGACATCTGCTTTTTTGGGGGCATTCTTCGTTACCACACGAGGCTGTTCGGGATTGATGCGGAAGAGCGTGACAGGATTTGAAGTGCCCAGGGTGTATTTGAGCTTGGCAAGGATCTCCGGGTCAATTTCAGGGCTGACGTCAAGTGCTTGGGGTGCGTCCTTCCAGATCTTCAATTCCTGGCTCTTGTATCCCTTGCGCTTGATGCGGTCATTTGGCGGATTGAAGGGGACCCTAAACTCCAACATCGGCTCCGCGCGCTTTGCCAGCTTGGCTGCAAGTATCTTGCCCCAGTTCTTGAGTCCCTCGAAGCTGAAGTCCGTATCTGGCGAGAAGGGGAATCGAACAAGCAAACACCCTTCACTTAGAACCCACTCTCCGTCTTCACTGTAGCCTGGGGCTGATGGATCTGGATACCAGACCTCCGTCTCGACCTTGGCAAGACGCGGGAACTTGCGCAGGGACATGAATTGCCATTCACTGTTGACCTTGCCGTCCATGGAGGGTAGTCCAGAAACGAATTGGCCAAAAGTGAATTGACGGTCGTACATGAGACCTGTACGGAGGACTTCGGTGTTGTCCAGCTCGACGGGAGCACATGACTTTAGCGGATAGATGAAGATGGCCTTGACTGTCCATGGATTGGCAGGCGTTCGCGTACCGCCGCGCGCAAAGCGTTTTGAGTGCTGGTCCTCGAGGTTACTCGGGCCCTGGAGGCCTAGCCTACGGCAACCCGCAGGTGGTGGCAGAGGCGTGTCACGCTGAGAGAGGGCAAGGCCGTAGAGCGCAATGGCCGGGACGAGGCAGATGGCCAGAGCAGTGAAGACCAAAGCCGGCGAGATGCTGAGTATCGGGTTCTCCATGGTTGAGGGTCTGACAATCTCGAGAATGATGTTGGAGAATATGCACAATTCTAGATCCTGAGAACGGGAGGCTCTTATCGCATCAGGGCGTGCCCAGCAAAGGCTAAGAAAATCCAGCACCTTCCTATTGCGGACGTGAAAATAGGAGTGGATGAATGAAGAATGCCATGACAATGTCCCGCAACGACTGGAGGCAGGGAGGCCATTGCCTTTGTGGTGAGAAGGAAGTGTGGAGGGCGCGAGTCATGCATTGCGCTCGCTTGCTCGCGTGATATCGCGGGGTGGGCGTATCACATTCGAAGTATGTACCTTCCAAGGTCCGCGACAACGTCTACATGTGACTTCACCTTCACTCTGACGCGTCAACGTCGAGGCCGAGGACATAGCGCGTCATGTTGTACAGCGAGAGTTACGCCAGGTCACGGGATTAGCCCGCGCCCCGATATCACCCGTCCCAGCACGCCCACGTCCCACGCGCTCCACCATGGCCAGCCAGGATGCATCGATGCCCTCGCCCTCGTCGCGTACGTATACACGGTCCATTGCACCTTCCTTACGGAGACTGACCCCATTGCAGATAGATTGCCCACCGTCTCTGCCTCCCAAGCGCTCCACAGCCTCCATGCCCGCGGGGCTCGCACGGTATCGACAGGCATCGCACATCTCGACAAGCTGCTCGCCCCTCCAAGCCTGCCCGGCCACGATGTTGCAGGCGGATACATGCGAGGGAAGGTAACCGAGATCTTCGGGCCGTCCGGCGCCGGGAAGACTAGCTTTGGGTAAATTCGGATCCTCGTTGCATCAAGAGACACAGGGACTGAGGTTGTAAAGGATTCAGGCAGCGGCGAATGCCATCCGACAAGGCCAACAAGTCGTGTGGATAGGTGTGTACAAGCCCTTCAGTGGACGGAATACAGCGCCCTGTAATTACTCCGACATGTACTAACTTCCTGCTTACAGACGGTGCATGTGCGCCGCTCGTAACTCGACGCCTTCTCCAAGTCTTCGCTGCATCCCAAGATGCACCCCTCACAGACAGCAGCACGGATGCGCCTTCCCCGCAAAGAGAAGCGGCTCGAGATGAAGTCTGCAGCCACTTGCACCATGTCGCTGCGCCAACGCTTGCTCACCTCCTGGCGCTATTCATGCATTCACCCGCATCCTTTCCTCCTCAGAGTACGAGTCTCGTCATCATCGACTCACTTTCCACCCTTGTCGACAATGCCTATCCTCGAAACGTAGAAGGAAAGAACAAGAACGAACAGACGCGTTGGGCTGCAGGGCGCAGATTCACTGTGATTAACGACATCGTCTCAACCTTGTCGAGATTCGCTGCTCTGCACAATGTTGCGTTGCTCCTCACATGTCAAACGATAACTCGTATTCGCGGCGCCTCGAGAGCACTACTGGTCCCGGCAATATCGGGGGTCGAATGGGAGAATGGCGTGTCCACTCGTCTGGTTCTGTTCCGCGACTGGGTGCGCCAAGGAAAATCGAAGGACACAGCAGGCGCGGATAGATTGCGCAAAGCCCGGTTTGCAGGTCTTGTCAAAGTTAATGGCACCACTCTAGCTGACGAGGGCGGTGTCGGGAGCGTAGTGCCCTATGCAATCGGAGACGTAAGTTAATCTAATTCCCGCAGAGCCTACACCATCGGACTTCGTCGCATGCAGCTCTCGTGTAACAAATCTCCGCTGACACTGAATAGTCGGGACTTCGCGACATAAGCATAGCTGCGGACGATATTACAGCGCACATCGTTCTTCCGGTGCAGGCGAGAAGACCGCTTAAAAGGCCATTTGCCGAGTTGGAAGAGGAGGACGCAGGGGACGAACCGAACTCTGACGAGCTGTACGGCTGGGTAGAGGAGGACGATGAAGTCGCTGCTGAGGGGTTGTTGATAGATGAAGCAGCTGCACCTCATCCTGGCGACGCTGCAGAATCTCGGTCAGAGCGTAGCACCAAGATGACGCGCCCCTCAACAATTTGATCGCTGGGTTCGAACGTCAGCAGCCCTTCTTGGAATTTCACAATCCATCCGGTCAAGATGCCCTCTCAGCCTGCGTCTTACTCAGTCACAACGGTGCTTATCGGGGACTTTGTGCTGACTGCCGCACTGGGCTTCGTCTGTTTCTTCGTCTCCCAGACCCCCATCTGACGAGGATTCCGTTCCAGTGGATGATCTTGCTTCTTGACCGATGACAAGGGTGCTTTACCCACAGCACAGGATCGCTATTCAGCCGTGTGTGGGGTTGCCCCTGTCATCCCCGGAATATCACCCACGCCACACACTGCAGAAGAATGTGTAGTCGCGTCCCTCAACCGTCCTGACATCAGCAACTGTTGTCTAGATCGTTTCGTCGAATCCATCAGTTATCGCATATTACAGCCAAGCAATTGCCTTTTCCCGGCGGTAAATGCTCACCCACGAAAACCAGCATTCCTATCGGACCCCCGATGTCGAAATGTTGGTTCTCACTTCGCCACTCTAGCGGTATGCTCCATGTGGCCCGAGCAAAGAAGCAAACAGGCAGTCTATTTCCTTCAATCATCATGCACACGTGCATCGAGCAGCCTGGGGTTTGGGACATTGCTCCTGCAGACTAGGTTCGGGGGAGCGACCCCGACCCACTGCCCTGGTACCGCTGACCGACAAAAGGGATGCCTTATTTGGACAGCATGGCCTCTGTGGCGTAGCGACTCTGGGGTTTCGAATGGCTAAGCGGGGAGGGGAAGACAATAGTGTGGGGGTGGAAAAAGTAAACTTGCTCAGGAAGCGCTTCGAATACGAGTGATGCTCGACAAGCAAAGTGAGGCGTTCAGCTAAGCTGATGGCAAGGTACTACAAGCTGCTCTGTCGGTCCGGTACTGCGACGATACTCGCCACTTCCATAACGATGCTTGTTCCACGCACCTAGGCGCCAAAGGAGACGCAATGTCATCCTCGAAACCGCCTCCAACCAGACTCGCTGATCATCCAACACTCCCCAGCGAACCACATTGTTTCGCTTGAAGCGCGTGGCCCCAACCCGGTGTGTCTCAACATTTGGCCCTCGCAGACGTAAAAGCAGCGAGACGGGTCGCATGGTATCGGCTACCACACTCTCCTTCGGTTGCAGAGAGCCTCACTGCGCAGCGGCCCCACATTTTCATCATGTCGCGATGTACCCCACGAATTCGCTTCCCGTGGCTATCTTTGCCCTATGTGCTGCGGAGACGGCATCGTTTGGGTATATTGCGTGCGATAGAGGCTGCTGATAAGGCGGAAGGTAATTTAGGCGAAACTTGACGTTTAGCGGGGGAGGCTTCCGAGGAGGCAGGTCTATGTCTGATCGACGTTGAGGAGTGACTGTGTCTGCTGATGCGAATGCGAATTGTATCATCGATGACCTCTACTGCATCGCGGGCCCCACTATACGTGATATCAAGATGTGCAATATACCAGACTCGAGGCACGCACTGGTCTTTCATCACACCGCCCCATTGCGAAACAGCAAGCAGCATATCAATAGTCCTCTGCAATCGTTTCATGTACCCGAAGTCCTCTATATCACACTCGCAATAATATACGTGCAGCGTGGATGGTTATAAATACATGTATCGTGCATGTTGTTTCGCAACTAGGCCTGAGGACGTTTCTGCCTCGTTTCAGTAGGGCGGATGTGATGTGGGGGGATGAGATGTGATAGTGATGTCATGGAAGTAATGTGTATGCTGGGTATCGACGATGGAGGCGGGCTGATAGATGTGTTGGATATGGGTGCGAAACATGGAGCCATGGAGGGTGTGGATGTAGTCACGCCGACCTAAGCGTGGAGTTTGAATCCCCAGCCAAAAGTGAAAGTGAGTGTAGAGTGGCAACCGGAGCTGATGGTCACATGGCAGAGTACGAAACCAGCACGTTTGAGCCCAAGTACATTGCAGTCCATAGACACCTTACAAACTCTACAATCTCTGGTAGAGTAGGAGGATTGATGCTCAACAACATGCAGCGCTGATGTCTAGGGTACGTACACACTCGACTCCCAGCCCAGCCGTCCTCGAGGTCCATTCGAATGCCTGCTGATAGGTACGGTTCGTCTACACTAAATTCCCCGTAGTGCAAGTACGTACCCTCTCCTCTCACCCCCGCCCTCAAATCCCACCAACCCACAATTTACCCACCTCTAAAATCTAGACTACGTATACATGTGGCACCGGTACCTCAGCCGCACATTTTGCAGCACAAGGTACCTCTGCCCTCGGTACACATCAGTTCGAGAATAGCCGGTCTGGCGCGCCTGGGGAAATTTATCCGGTGCGTGGGGGGATAGCGAAGGAGATTTTCACATGCCAGATATGTATGTAGGCGGGTGGGTATGTAGATGTACTTCAGGCTCGGCAAAGGTTAATATGTCTTGGAAACATGCAGGTACATGTTTCTCAACAGAAAAAAATGGGCATGTGATGTGTGTGTGTGTGGATAGGTTGGGTTTGTGGCTAGGAAGGATTAGGTCATGTGGTGTGAGTTGAGATCGTGACGGAAAAAAACATGTGAAGTTGTGCATGGAAGTGTGTTGAGGTAGATTGAACGTTTTGTTGGATTAGGTTTGCATAGGTGACGTGCATACACATGTGTATTCGAGAGTACAAGATTTATCCGCGTATATTGGGGAGATAGGCGAGCGCTCTGATACGTAGACGTGAGCTGATAAGGCGACATCGAGATAGCACAGGTTGCACGTGTAGATACGCGGAGCTAGTCAGCGGCGTCACTATTATGTCAGACATCAGTGGGAGGGAGACAATGCATGGTGTTGTGTGTGTTGATTGAAGCTTTTCCTTCGTCAAAAGCAGCGCTGCTTTGGCTTCCGGCGCTACCATGTCAGCGTCGACAAAGGAAGAACGTGGTCCCAACAGAAGTTATCGTATCCGTTGGTGCCAAATCGGATTCCCCGGACGCTTTCCACATGTTGCGTTCGGCATGTGACAGCACTTCTTTCAGCGCAGCTCTGACCGCTGGTTCACTCGGCCGACATATGCAGGGTCACTTGCAATATATGACCGTTGAAAGGACCTGATCTGCAAAATAAATTGAGTGCCCGACTGCGCGTGAGGCTCGACCTGGATCTTCCTTCGCTTCGCGGCTCGGATTCCAGCGACCTGGCTCCGCAGATTGGAACGGTGCTGCACAAAGATCCTGCACCAGAGCCCTGTACTGTATGCATCTGCACAGCGGGACGTATATTGCCCCTTTGCTGATACTTGCATCTCAACAAGCAGGTACTTTAGGATGTATTGTTTTGCCAATTTTTCCGTGGTCCAGACGGTAGATGCCGTCTGCGATAGAACGTGCGAGGAACATTCGATAGCCATATTAGTTCGATGCAGGGACCAAATAAGCACAGTAGACTCGGTTCTCCACATCGACGCCGTGGACCAGGAATTATTTTTCTGTCGAGTCTTGGTGCGCCGAGAAGACGGAGTGGGCGGGCCTCTGTCGCGCACTAAGTTTTGCAATTCTGCCATTCTTCCTGTCGCAAGTGTGTCCGATCGGAAGAATGCCTAGACGACGACGATATGGACAGTGCGGGTAAGATATCCTCTCGACAAGCCGACGATAACATGTGATCGAGACCCTTCACTCGGCGGATCCATCGCTGGATTGAGCAATTTAGCCACTCGCCCATGATTCACGTATCTCATATTCTTCGTCGCAAGTTCTTCCGTCGGGCCATCTTTGCATCGCTCGATACAACGCCACAAATAGTTTGGGTGAGGCACAGACCCAGCCTCACCCGTCCCAATCTTCCCCTTTCTAGGCTATCCTGGGAGCCAGAAAGGAAAGTGCAAATCGGCAACGGAAAGTGTGGAGACCCCACAGTCAAACGAGGATCGCGGCCGGATTACGGCAAACGGAAAGATCTAGAAGCTCGCTTGGTAGAGCCAAGTCAGCACAGGGCGAGGGGCGTGAGTGTGGTTATTCCAAAACCAACAAGGCCGCAAGAATGGTCAACTGCGTGTTTCGTGGGCAAGGCGCAGCGGTTGCGCAGACCCATCCCCGGAGAGGCTGGATAACATTCCCGTTAGGTCGTGTTGGACATGTGGAGAAAGAGTGATTTGGCTTATCATGCGCTGACTCTTTGTGTTTGAGCTTGACAAAGCGGTTAGTGGCCCACGATGTGAGGATTGGAACACAGATTGGCGGCAGTTGAGACCATGTGGAGCATTGAAATGACAGATTGATGGGATGTACCGGCGACATGCGATGGCGCCATCGACACCGGCGCCCGCGTGAAGGCTCGGTTGACGCGACGTGTTGAGACGACTGCTCAAGTACATTTTCCAAGTTGTCTTGTGCAACTGACGTATGCCATGCTTAAAGGGCCGACTCGATCGAAACACTGTGCGCCGCTTTTCTGCAAGAAAATCTCGTTGCGAGGGTCCAGAAAATCATACCGCCAGACCTGCCGATTCGAACGTCCAGACCGACCTAATGCTGGAGATCGTCATGCCGCAGAGATAGGGAAAAGGTGGAGTACGGCGCTCCAGTCTGGGGTGCATATCGCACAAGTGCGGTTTGAATTCAGCCAGAGCAGCCGAAAAGTGGGAGATGGGACGCAACAATACGAGCTGAGGTAAGGTGAGTGAAGAAGAAAGCCCGAGACACGGCATTTGACAGGCGGCGTTCGTGACGGCTTGTATGCAACTCGTATCCCGACAGTTGCCGACGGGTGGATTGATAAGGGTGCAGCACAGTCGATTGATCCTCAGCTGGGATGGCGCCCTCGGAAATTGAGCTTGGAAGTGAGTGCAAGGCATGTCACTTTTGGGAGCGCCTTCCGCGTTCGGCCAGAGGCGTCCCGGCCCTACCATGATTGGGACTAAGGATAATGCGCTACCCTGTCTTTGAAGCATTGCGGAGAAGTCTAAAATGCGGAGTACGTACAAATTTCGCTGGGCTTATCGCGTTGTGCGCCCACAGGGAGCGGAATGGAACAATAATAGTAGCATCGTGTGGAGGTTGCAGTTGGTGTGGTCACACAAAAAAGGGCGAGTGAGACATCGTTGGCGTGGAGAAGACGCCCCTCTCACCGCCATGTCCACACATGTTGCGGCTTCTGGGACCCGCTGTGTGGGCTGTGTGTGTCGCATGTGGGCGCAGATTTGCTGTGATGCGTGATGCGTGATGCTCTCCTGATCGAACCCCACGTCTCGTTCCAAGGTTTGATTGCGATTCTCTGTGTATGCGGGGAAACATGGGCGCGAGATGTGGTTGCGTGGAGAGCAAGACTGATCCCGGAGCCCCGGATTCGTGTGCCTCGTCCCCTGCCATGAATTTCGTTTGCATCACCTGGGGCCTAAATCACGTCAAGCGCAAAGTCTCTCGTAATGACCAAGGAAGGAGTAAAGTTGACATTGGGTTCGATTACGCGCTGATGTGAGGGTCTTTATCTAACCGTCTGCCTACCAATAAGCAGGCATCCCTGCACTCCGGGGCTTACTAGCCAACAGGAAACTGAGTGGAACTTATACAAGACTGCGCATCAACAGGATCCGCGGGGTATTGGAGCGAAACAAAGTCTACCGTGACTGAGCGGTGTTTCCTAGGAACAGGAAAAAGCCTCAAATAATGAAATGGTCATATGCCGCAAGCATTACCCCTCGTAATGTGGTGTCTATCCTGATGAATTCAACGCTTCGCTAAAACATAAATCATGAAATGCTTCCAGAACGCCAATGTATGCTGAGTTGGAGAGTGTGCTTTACATGCGATGGGTGAGGTCTTCGCCAGCTAACGACGGAGTCGAAGACGAGTTTCCGGACGAGAAGCCACTTGCTGAAGGACCGTTGAGGAGATCCTGAACGGCGACCTTGGGAAGTGGCACGGGCAGCTTGCGCTGTGCGCCCTCAGATCTTGAAATGATGTCTCCAATGCGCAGACCCGACGATTGGGGCGCAACATAACGCTCCTCGCGGTCAGTGGAAGGCTCCATTGGGGCAAGGGCAGGCACAAAGCTCTGGTTGAGACTCAAATGACGCAGATGCGGCAATTGCAAGTCGGCGAATCCATGAGGTCGGAGGCGGGGCGAATGCGCAGGAGTTGCAAGGGGGGTGTGGTCTGGTGTGGGGCTGGCGGAATCATGCGAGAATGTTGGTGAAGGGGGCGCAGTGGACATGGGCGAGCCTGGTCGTGACTTCTTCGTCATCCTGTGCGAATACTGGTCGTCGTCCTCATGGGAGTGCGATCTTGACATTGGCTGTGACGAGTATGCGTACTGCGAGAGACCCGGCAAGCGGTGGTTGTAAGGATGGTATCCGCTCGTAATGTGCCTGCTGGAGTGCGAGTGGTGGCTCGGTCGTTGCTCAAGTCTTGAAGCAGCATCGGCAAGCAAGTCCATGTTTCTTGAAAGACCGTTCGGGCTGGTGTTGCTACTGCTGTTGCTGCTGTGGCCTCCGTGGCGATACGCTGCAAGATCGTTGCCCATGTTAGGTGAGTAGTTGGAAAACGAGTGGGGAGGCGAGACATTGGGCGAGCCAATGTTGGAGCTGGGTGCACTGCGAGAAATAGGCTTGGATGGAGGAGGCATCATGTGGGCAAGGCCATTGCCAGGCTCCATTAGGCCAGCCTGGACGGCGGCGACAGCGGCCTGGTGGGCAGCGGCATGCTGGCCTTTGCCTCTCCGTGAGTTTGGGTTGTTGTGTATCCTCGAGTGACTGCGTTGCGTTAGTTTATGACAATTTAGCGAGAGTGAGCAACCGTCTTACCGAGTGAGTTCGTCTGAGCGGGAGAAGCGCTTTGTGCAACCGGGGAAAGTACAGGCGTGAGGCTTCTCTCCTGTGTGGGTGCGGATGTGGCGAGTCTGGTGTTCAAGACGGTGAAAGGCCTTGTCACAGAGAGGGCACTTGTAGGGCCTGGGCAGGTCCTGGCGAGGCTCATCGTGTCCTTGCTGGGTGGAGTTTTGGAGCAGCGGAGCCATGAGACTCACGGAAGCGGTAGCCATGGAGGCGTTGTTGGTGTTAGATGTGGCAGAGTGTTGGTTTTGGTGGTGTTCAGTGGCGGACTCAGGGTTGAGGAGGTTGTTAAAACCCAGGTGCGAGGTGTTGGATGACATGTGATTTGGTCAAGCGTAGAAAGTCGGGGGAAGGGGATGGGGGTCGGGTATATGTATGAATGGAGCGCACAGACTAAGCGGACAGCGCGTGTGGGGGTGACTAGGGTGGTTGATCTCGGAGCGAGAATTGCAACAAAAGCGGCGCACAGGCTTGGCTTGGCTCTAGCCGAGTGCAGGCCGAATGCAGGGGCGAGCTGGATGTCGTGAGAAGCGCGCTGCAGCGATGGCGTCTTCCTTAATTGCTGTCGTGCAGGCGGCCTGTGGCTCGAAATGGCGGTGCGAGAATGCGATGACTGCGTGCCTGGTCGCGGAACTTGCCTTGGTGGGTGAAGGGTCGACCGACTGTGGAGCAGCAGCGGTTTCTGCTGAACTGACCAGTTTTGCACAAATTTCAGTTGAAATCTCTTCCAGCGGTGAACGTCGGCGAGTGCGCACTTGTGGTGATGTGTGGCTGTCGTGAGGCGGTGGTGGGTAAGCAACAGAATAGCTAATAAGACAGGGGACCCAGTCTGAATCTGGTTCAGCAGAGTGAGGCAGCGAGTTTACGTGAGCGGGCACTGCAGAGGTTTTTTTTCTTCAGTAGTACGATGTGTGGTGCGTGACTGGAGCGTTGCAGCGGATGAGGAGACCTGGAGAGATAAGGGCAGCTGGGGTTGTCCAGAAAATGACGTCTGGGGTTGTGAGGGCGCCTGTCTCTTGGTGTAGACGTTGCTGCCCTCCATCTCATGCACCTGCACCTGTTTCAGTGCTACGAGGCAGCTGCGTGTCACAGTGACTTATTGGACTGACCACGACCCGCCCACCAGCAAGCAATCAATAACCTCAAGGATGCATGCCACTCTGACTGCACAGCACATGCAAGGCAGACGAGCATTACTGGTTGTAGCACAGCAGCTGCTTTTTGGTTGGACTTGGGCGGGGTGGAGGCCATATCTCCCACGTCCCGTCCAATGGGCATTCCTCCCAGTTGCGATCTCCAGGTGTGGCTGCTTTGCGTTCCACCACAGGAGATCCCCCTTTGACCGTCAATCGACAAGCGGAGTAGTCTGTGGGGTCTCGACTCTGGGGACTTGAGAATAAGCACCGCTTCATCACAGCTCGGGCGACTATCGCAATATCGCTGCTGCTATGCACGACTGTTGTTATACAGGGCCCTACCGAGCCGATTCACATGCGGCCCGCCTTCTATGCATCGCCGGGTGCTCAAATGAGGTCGGTGAAGCCAACATAGCCTCAAGCCGACATACAGGCAGAAAGGGTCCTCCTATCTGCCCGCCTGGGGCCATCAGCACGCAATGAATCTGCCTAGATCACGACACGCGGTCTGCCACGCAGATTGGCTGCCGCATGTCAACCAGGCGATGTCCGTGTCGTGTCGTATCTGGAGTGGCTTTGCTTGGGCGGGTTTGGCGGGGCTCTCCCCTGTCCTTGGCTTCCTGCTTCGCGCAGCAGATCGTGGGGGCTGCGGTACGTACAGTACTAGAGCTGCCTTTTGCGATATCCTACAGCGGACCGCCGCTCCGCGCAACAGTGACGCTATCACTGCCTAGATTGCAAACACGTCGCACAGCCTGTGTCTGCACGTTTCTTAAAGCTCGCGAGGAATCTCGCAGCTCGCACGGCGCCATTGCGACTCGACGCACTGGTAACCCGGGTCCGCTATTCTTATCAGTTCTTCTCGAAAAATTTGACGCCGATGCTAGTTTGACCCGCTGAGGGCAGGCTGGGGGACTTCTTCCGAACTAAAGCCTTGCCCGAGCCGCGAACTCCACGCGCCAACAAAGGACGGACGTGGCTTCAGCGTGCACGTGGAAGGACTCGTCGGGTGTTGTCGGAATGCGAAAGAATGGGGCTTGACTGCGACGGCGACATGCTACGCTGGTGGCGCTTACCCCTTGGAGCAACCCGTGGACATGCAGGTACAGTGCTGCTTGGTCGAGGGCGGCATTGAAACAATATTCCGCCCTCGCTATCGTCAAGAAAGTCATGCCTACCACGTCAAGGAGGCCAGCCTGGGGAGAGAGCTGCTGCCCGAGCCACCACATGACTGCCACATGTTGGCCGGACCTGACTTCTCAACATGCCATATCGTGCTCTGACGTCGGAATGCCCTGGCGCTGACTCTCTGACTTCCAATGGCTCGCTCAACGTGGCCCCGCAGGAAAGGTTTTACAGTTTGTCGCCCAACATTCTGACACGACCGCCCGGAATCGGCATCGAACAATTTTGCTTTCTGGCCCAAGACTTCCCCGACCCCAGAGGGTCATTCTGACGTTGATTGCGCACAAGGAGGAGGTTACGCGTAACTGGGGCAGAAAGGGATGATCTCAGCCTCAGCCAGACTTCGGCTATCCTTATTCAAGCTTTCTCTGGGGCCCCGCACTACCACATCCAACACTCGACCCCGATGCGAGGCGGTCCAGGGGCAGCTCTCCTCCAGAATGACATTAGACTATGCCTCTTGGCGTGGGTCTTCACAGTGATTCGTTTTTTCTCAAGCATGCACCAAATTTCTTCACTGTTTCATTGCGATAACACAGCCTAGGAATAGCCCACACACCAAGTCTCTTCTTATAGCTTTGTAGACTGACATGCCCGGTCGCTGGAGGATTGAATGAAACATCGCCAAATCCTTAGACTCCGACAGCGAAATCTACCTCCACAGAAGCACACCCCATATTCGAGCGACATTGATGTCATCACCTGCAAGTCCCTATTTCAGGCATACCGGAACTTGAAGGAAGAGTCCTTGCACTGATCGGCACAATAGCGTAGCGGCTACGACCGCTGCTTTCCGATGTGTGCAACTACTGTTGCATGTGTGTCGTCAGCAACTACACAATAATGATGGCGACCTCCAGATGAGCTCTTCGTTCGTACGATATCCTCCACGAGTACCGATCTGGCAGCACCTGTTACCCCATAAAGCTGGACTAGTTAAAGAAGCGCGTCATGCTAGACTTTCACAATTTGGTTTTACCGTTTGACCGAGGATGGGACGATCGATGCAGCTACGATAGCCCGCAACCAACATGTGAAATCACTACACAACTCTATGCGGACGACGTCTGATAACCTCACGGTTGTTATCTGCGGTCGGCGGGATGCGATTATTGAGATGCTCTCGCCAAGTCCAAGTACAACTGCAACTGTTGGCGTTGGAAGGCGATCATACGTCACATTGCATATGATAAAAATCTGGCCATGTCGCAACTGGACTTTCGCATCCTGTACACATTTTTACATCATCGCGGCCCTTTTTTTCGGTGAATACCTACATGGCTGTATACCTACTCTTTCGTCAAGCGTGTTACCGAAAAGCTACATCCGAGGTACATGCATACGCTTGTGGTTCACCCAAGGCATCATCGCGCTATCCGGGCCTCTGGAGAAGACGCAAGTCATACCTCGGCTGGGTATGCGCTTGTGAAAATCTCCGTGTTAGTAGAATCACTAATCGAACCTCCGAAATGATTTCACAAGATCATCGCGCCTCCAACCGCATGTCAGGTGAAGAAGAATATCATTTACATAGTACAAGTGGGGTATAAACGCTCTCTACGCTCTCAACTGCTTAGCGTAATCGCCTGTCGGATCTGATCGTCTCTGTCGCTCTCATTTGTCATTGATCTGGTTGTTTTCAATTGCAAGCTTGTTCCATAAAGTCAAGCGCCGCTGCAAGAGATCGTTAGCATGTTGGCCATGTTGGATCGGTGGTAGAGAAACATACCCAAGTTCTCGCCAATATTGCAGAATGACGATGTGCAGGAGGCGACGTCGTCGAAGAAAGGTCCGCATAGACAGTCGTCGTCTGCGTTCGGATCGCAACTTGAATCTGCTGCAGCTTGGTTCCAGCAGTCCGTCTGTGAGAGGTATTAGTCACGTGCCGCTTTTGTAGGACGATTCGATACTTACTGGACATTTTCCAACCATGCCTGGTCCCATACCTGGTCCACCTGGCCCCGGTGGTGGTCCAGGTGGTCCTGGGGGAGGCGGCGGCGCTCTTATCGCTAACGGTGAAGACGGAGACACCGGTGACGCAACCGCACCAATCGACCCAACCACAACCGCAACCAACGACAAAGAGATTTTCATGTTGTATCGCGTAAACTAAAACAATAAGACAGTGGTGCAAGTATGATGACTCCACATTCGATTCGGACTTGGCGTGGCGATGCAAGACGTGGAACGAACAAGCCCAATGCCAGAAATCCCCAACACGCCCGCACATCAGGTTATATAAACGTGCTCATCGCGAGGGAATTACTCCCCCGGAAATTATGTTTTATTAACGCCAGCCCGCTATTACCCTCGACATGTAGCGTTTCTACTCCTGCCGCACCATGCGTTACACATGACCCTTGAAACCCACACACAACCACGCGCAACGGGCAATGATGTTCAAATCCAGATGTGATCTCCTGGCGCGTAGAAGACAAGGGGCATTCGAGAAGGAATAAGAAGTGGGACGGGCGGATTGAACTGTGCTGTTCATCGCATGTTATGTTGGTTGTTCGTGGTGGTGATGCATGACTGCAGATGGACATGGAGACGGAGATGAGAAGATGAGCGCACGATACAGAGATGACAAAACCCACCACCCCCCCCCCCCAACGGAACCCTTTCAACAAACACGAATTCAAAAACATCTCGCGTATGTGAACGTACATTTGTCATTCCGGCTGTTCGGCTCCCATACACTGCCGGCCCGGGAGCTTGGTTCATCACACAATCACACAGTAACATCTGCGCGTGCCGGCAGCCGCTGGACTTGTTTCAACGGCGGGCTTACTCGAGTGCGAGATGGAATGGGGATTTCGGGGGCCACAGGGCCAAGAGCTTGAGTGGGGTCCTTGGTTGGATGGATTTGAACCGCAGCCGCCTGAGTTGTTTTACTGGATTAGGTTTCAGAAATACATATCCAAGTGGATGTGTTCTGAGTGCCGATAGCCGCCTGAGTTGTTTTACTGTCCACAGTTTATGAAATACATATCTCCGTGCAGGGAACTTGAAGCTGGTCTCCGCCTTTGTTTTGTAGTACACGAATGCATGTCGGTAGCCGTCTATATTCGTTTCAATATGGTTTTTTAGGAGCCTGTGTGTGGCTAAAATTAGGCGTGCATGTAGGTGGAGATGAAGAGAAGCAGACGTTGGACTGGACTGGAATGGAAGGCTTACATGCGTAAGCATGATTGCAGCGACAGGACTGCGATGGTGTCACGTCTTGTGTGCTACAAGCAAGTCGGAGATTTGCTTCACGGCGAAGCATATGTTAGACGCTAGCTTACAGTGGCGCTGTGTATCGCAACACGGATCTCAAGTGGGATCTGCTCTGCTGCAAATCAAATAGCAGACTAGAACTCATAGGCATAGGCGGCATGGTTACTTTGGCATCTGATATTGTGCCCGTTAGCTTGTACAGATATTTGCCTTCTTGCGAAGCATATGTCAGACCCTTATTCTCAAGGAACACCAAAGTCGAACGCAACTCCAATCTTTGTTAAAAGCTAATATTTTTTTTATTCTAAGCTACAGGATTGCTAAATAAGACCTAATTTTTCGATCCCGCAGTTCAGAATTTAACACAGTGTTGTGGTTGCAAAGTTATTCGAAGTGCAGTACAGGTAGTTCGCGGATGGCCATCGGAAGATTTACATCGATTCTCCACCATCTGAGCCCTCGTTTTCGAGTGATTCTCCATCATCAGCAACCCCACCAGGACGCTGAGAGAGTCCCTGAAGGCCTCCAGGAAGCTGGGATCCCATATCATTGACCATCTTTGCCATCACCAACGTTGCTAGGGTAGAGAGAGTCTGGTTAAGCTGCTGGAAGTCCCTAGAAGCAGCAGTGTTCCCAGTGTTCTTCCTCTTATAACTTGGCTCTCGGACCTCTCGAAGTTGAGCTCTAACGTTCTCAGAAGGTTGTTGAACGGTTGTTGCAACGAGGTCAGCAACTCGGCCAGCAACCTGAGCTTCTTGCCGGACAGTAGAGGTTGCTGACGCCAGGATAGCTGCAGTATCAGGCATGAGAGTGAGGTCAAAGTCAACCTGGATGACGTCGTTGGGGTGCTCGTAGGCTAGCTGGTTTACCAGCTCCATACACACTGCCCATCTGGTGTAGTAGTGGAGGTCCTCTAGGCCATGGAGACTCTCAATTTTTGCGTACTTCTTCTGGCCACGAACCGGGTAGATAACCACCTGCAAGTCCATCTGTTTCATAGGAGAAGCCTGCATTGCAACCACTGACGTAACCCAATCCTTCACCACTTGGTAGCTCCCTTTGCGAGTGTCCCATTTGGAGTTTCTCCAGCCAGGCAGTGGCTTGGTGTTTTTGCCAGGACCAGCAGTGTAAAACACCCGCCAACGAGCGTCAAAAAGCGTCTCAAATGACGTAGGAGACTCCGAGCGGAGACGAGGAGGTTGAGGACGTGAGCCAAATTGAAGGTTTCGAGCAGAAGGTGGGCGTTGAGCTGACGCGGGTGGCTCCTCGTCATCGTCCTCAACCTCAATTAAGTCATCGTCGGCAAGGTCGTTTGGAGCAGCTTGAACAACCCCAGCCGGCTGGCTGAACGGGAATTGAGACTCCTGAGGCTGGGTTGGGGTGAAGGGCGGTGTTGGCAACTGCCCTTGAGCGTCACCACCAGCCGGCTGGCTGAACGGGAATTGAGACTCCTGAGACTGGGTTGAGGTGAAGGGCGGTGTTGACAAATGCCCTTGAGCGTCACCACCTCGCCCCTTGGGCGTACGTTTGGGCGTCTTTTTGGTGACTCTATTAGACGCTTGACTGCTCGGTAACTCCCTAAGGGGAGCCCTCCTAATGGGGTTAACACAGCGGCAATAGGAATAGTTGCTGGGCACCTACTTGTTGCGGCGGGGGGAAGGCCTCATCGTATGCAATGGGGATGAAAATAACAGCTCCAGCAGTGAGGGAATGCCCATTTTATCATCCTCGGAGCATCCCCTCTCCCTGACGTACTGCTACGAAGCAAATGTGAGTACATCAACAATACCACTCAAACGTCTTTAGAACACGCTGCAAAAAGTGTCATTGCAGGCAAGAAGCGCAGACTTTGAAATTTCGGGCAGCCCGAAGTCTCACGCTCGGGGCAAGTCCTGTTTTTGCTGTTGTTGTTTTCACTCTCTTACATCAGCAATATGACTTTAGAACACGCTGCAAAAAGTGTCATCGCAGGCAAGAAGCGCAGACTATGAAATTTCGGGCAGCCTGAAGTCTTACGCTCGGGGCAAGTCCTGTTCTGAGCAACAGATACGCTGGAGTTTTACAGTTTTACCCGAGCGGAGTACACCTTCACGGTATCAATCACGCCACAGAAGCTTACACTTTTGTTGGAAATTCACACAAAGGACGCTTTGAGCAACGATAAGATCGTGGAGCAGATTTTAATGCGACGAACACGTCCTTCAGCAAATACGTCCATCGAATGATTTACATCTAGGCATGGATGAGCGCAGCGACCATGCAAGCTCTACAAGTGCTTACATGATAAAATGATGAAAATCTGCCAGTCTCATGTCGTGTAGCAGAGCATTTCGGTCTGACGAGGATGTTCAAGAAACCCGCACAGTTTCTCCGAGGTTCGGAAAGTTTTCGTCACCGCTAGCAAGGAAATCAGGTGATGATGTATTCAACAAACTCAAAATGCATGTGTCAGTCGATCGGCCCTTAACAGAGGTTTTTTGTTGGCAATGCGTGTGCATGGTCCACTGACGTCGTCCCGATAATCGTTCCGGTGAGCATTAGCATGTGCTTATACACTCGGACGGTGAAAAACGTGTTAAAATTGTTACCCACAAAAACCGCAAGAGACTTATCCCAAATCCGTCGTCAAGCTTTGTGGGGTGAATTTTGCGGCCTATGTGCGACTTCACTGTCTGGGCATGGAGAAGTGTAGTCCGAAGGAAAGCCAAATCTGGTATAAACACACATTCCGGAGTGAGTCAGCGCATTGTTCATCCCCGACTACGACAAAATTAAAGATTCGTTTTGCTTTCCCTTCTTACGCTTTTTGCAAAAAGCGTCAGATAGCTAGGCTTCTTCTCAACTCGAGCGCTCTGCTTTGACACTGTCGTTTTTCAAGAAGTGCATGCTACAAATGGATGAGCAGGCCATACTGACGCGCCGTGTCCTGAGTGACTTTAGGGAAGATCTTTGGACCATTTTGGGTACCTGAGTAGTCAAGTCGTGGGACAGGTTCGGTTAGGTTTTCATCATGCAATTTGCTTCTCAGCAAAGCAAAATGCATACACCATCTTGCAGTATGCGGTGTGTGGCGGTGCCAATATTTTCACGGCTAGCACAAGTAGAGCTATTCGATTCGAGCGAAGTTCCAAATGTCTTCCCTGGTCGTACTATCTCGTCCTTGTCATATTAACGAGGACGTGAAGTTACTCTTCGCAGACAAGCTTTTCCGAACTTCCGCTTATTCTAGCATATTCGGGCTACCGGGGCGCATTCCCATTTGCACAATGGGTAGCTCGTTCAACGTTGGCGGGTCCTTCGTGTCAACTATGTTAGACGTTACGATCTATCCGCAATCATGGTTACATGACATCTTCTTGAAAATCCGTGGATTCGGATAGAATCCCTCACGTGATGTTCGCTACTCAGAAACTCTGGGACTGCGTAGTCTCCCACAAATATGGATAGAGTAAGAACGAAACGCCACCAGTGTCACGAAGACTGCCAAACATTGCATTCACATTCCTCAATCATCCATAACTGTGAAACTGACCCATTGCAGTCCACATGATGCGCAATAGCCATACAGAAGACTCCAGTTTTTTTGCTTATGCTATGCTACCTTCCAGCTTGTTTCGTCCCTGCCTATGTATGGAAACAAGCAGTTGGTCTTACGTGAGATCGAGCGCGGACTTTCGGCACTCCGTTTCAACTGGAGCATGGAGATTTCGCATGACTTTGGTTTGATAGCATTGGCTTGATATATGTCATATGCAAGCTAGGTGTGGATTCGAGCATTGAGCATCGAGTGTCAAGTATCGAATGCAATCGCACGTGTATACACCGGTTCCAGCGAACAGTGTGCAGGGGGCGCTGGCTTGAGTGTATTGTGATGGGAAGTTTAAAGATACTAGACTATTAAGAATTTCGGGCTGCCCGAAATTTGTTGATGGGTTAGATTGTCCTATCTTAAGCCGCACAAGGTACCAGAAGTAGGGGGTTCCAGCGAAAAGTGTGCAGGGGGCGCTAGCTTGAGTACATTGCGATGGGAAGTTCAAAGATACTAGACTGTTATGAATTTCGGGCAGCCCGAAAATTTGTTAATAGGTTAGATTGTCTCATCTTAAGCCGCTAGAATTTAAAACCCAACCTATCAACGAATTTCGGGCAGCCCGAAATTCGCAAACCTTCATAGTGTCGAGCAGAGGACAGTGCAGGGTGCAAATGAGACTAGGAGTGGAAGTGCTTTCACATAGTCTGGTGTTGCAAGCACTCGACTTTCACAATACTCCTACGTCGCTAGAATATGAAATAGAGCGGGCAGTTGAAGACTACACCTTGTTGTTGTAGCTGATTTGCAGTGTCAGATAGGGTAACTCTCTTGACTGGATCCTTTGACTGTTTAGCAATGATTGTGTGAGATGTCTATTTTTCAGAGGATTCGTTGAATATGTTGTAGTTTGAGCTTGATGATATTCACGAGGAGTGAGTGTTAGTTGGACTTGTTGAAGTTTGCGTCGTGATAATTGCGTCATCGACGAAACAAAGAGCTTCGCGACACATTATTTCAGCAGTTTTAACATATGCTTCTTGTAAATTACTTGCAGAATGATCACAATCCGAAGAATAACGTTTTGTTGGAGTATGTTTTTTTAAGGAGAGTCGCTGGATATGCAGGGACGGCTCATCCTTTTTATTTTCGCACGGACCCTTCATTTGTCCAACATTGAATTCAACAAACAAGCACAAACTCACAGCCTGCTTACATCACGTCACAACCCCCTCAAACCTCTCACACCCTCTCCTACACCTGCTCAAACAGGCATCCAACCATGTCCTTCCTCCTCCCCTCCACGCCGGGCCTCCTGCCCAAATGGCTCCTTTTCGTACGTCGCCGCACTACCCCTGCCCCAATCCTCAAAAGCGCCGCGAACTAACGCGACAACTTGCATATAGACCGCGATCGTCTCCGTCGGCAACTCGATTCAGGCATACAGCACCCTCGCATTCACGTCGCGCGTATACAACCCTACATCCATCGACCCGCCGCCTACAACGCCGAAACATGTTACTGCGCTGAGTAGTCGGACGTTTGGGACGTGGACGTTCTTGGCTGCGGTCATAAGGATGTATGCGGCGTACAATATTGAGAATCCTGCGATGTAAGTTTGCAGCGCGAATCGAATGAGGGGCGTGATGGCTAATATGATGGGGGTAGATATCAATTGGCGATGTGGGCGTACATGTGCGCTTTTGGACATTTCATGTCGGAGTGGCAAGTGTTCAGGACAACGAGATGGGGATTGCCGCTTGCGGGGCCGATGTTCATCAGTACGGGCACGTTGGCTTGGATGTTCACTCAGTGGAATGCATATGTGACGGCATAGCACAAGAGGTACAAAAGCTGAAGGTTAGTAGGCCGCAGGGCCAAGCATAGTCGACAACACCTCATAATGATAACTGTAATATGTGAGAGAGTACAAGCTTTCCAATGTGAGAGCTCCGATTCGTTATGTCGTCGTATCATGCACATCTCACGTTGAGGACACCAGTCGCATGCAGTAGACGTCCTTGACTTTTTGACCTGCCTCGGCGGCTTTTTGACCTCCCGAGGGCTTTCATTGATCATAGCTGGAAAACATACATGACCCATTGGGACTCCGAATTCCTCAACCCAGATGCAGAGTTTTGTCCGTATTGAAACCCATTCACACTCCGTCCCGGTCACGCTCTTCTGCTTTCCTCATCATGAAACCGTTACTCCATCCCATGCGCTTAGAACTTGGAGAACTGCTTGGCGGCCTTTCCGCTTCGGGGGAGGACACGGAGGACGTTGAAGCGGACAGTCTTGGAGAGGGGCCTGCACTGACCGACGACGACCTGGTCACCGGGCTCGACACGGAAAGCGGGCGAGACGTGCGCAGCGAGATTCTTGTGGCGCTTCTCGTAACGGGAGTACTTGGGGATGAAGTGGAGGTATTCACGGCGGATGATCAAGGTGCCTGGACCCGGTTAGTACATGCTGCCAAGACTAAATTTGATATCCCATTCCAGTGCCACTTGCGCCATCTGTGATATCGGGGATGAACGTACGGTGCATCTTGGTGGACATGACGGTACCGGTGAGGATACGGCCACGGATGGAAACCATGCCGGTGAACGGGCACTTCTTGTCGATGTAGGTACCCTCAATGGCGTTCTTGGGGGTACGGAAACCCAGACCGACGTCCTTGTACCATCTCCTGTTGCGGGTGTTCTTGCGGGGTCCGCCGACCTTGTGGTTGAGGAAGATGTGAGGCTATCGCGGCGCATTAGCATCGAGCATGTCTATCGCGGTGGGTGGAAAAGCAGTACCTGCTTCTGGTAAGCGCGCTCGGACTGGACACTGTGTCGCCATTAGCAATTGATCGAGTGTGTCTCGGTATATCGATCAACGTACGTGAGCTCGGTAGCCATGGTTGCGGTCGTGTGGTGTTGTCGGTCGTCTTCCGTGAAGCTGATAATTCGAAATCCGTCGTGGCTCGCTTAGCTCACGGCCACGACAAGAGGAAAAACGTCGGCCCGCCGCAGCGCTAGTCCAGGGTCGCGCTCTTGGCCAATCGGCACTCGGTCAATAGCGGGCTTCGCAATGCTCCATGTGAGATCCTCCGCCTAGCCTACACGCTTTTTGTTGTGTAGACCGTTGCTGCTCCTTTTGAGGCTACCCCTCTTCATCTAATTCTTGTCCATTGTATTACAAGATGTCGAGCATCACGGAGACTTTTGGTGTTCGCATTGATGCGACCAATTCTCTCGTCCAAGCTGCAATCTATGGCTTCCTGCTTGCTGGTGTTGCAGCATTTGCAGCTCCTATCGTTAGCACCATCCGAGTTCTGTTGAGCCTGTTTGTCCTTCCTGGCAAATCTGTATGTGACTGTTTTGCGCTTTCGTCACTGGAAACTCTCTAACACCTCACCAGCTCAGCAGCTTCGGTCCCCGTGGTACTTGGGCCCTCATCACCGGTGCCTCTGATGGCATTGGTAAGGAGTTCGCACTCGCCCTTGCAGCCAAGGGCTACAACCTCATCCTCGTATCTCGTACCCAGTCCAAGCTTGACTCGCTCGCTGCAGACATCTCTTCCAAATATGGTCCCAAGATCTCCACCAAGACGCTCGCCATGGACTTCGCGCAGAACAAGGATTCAGACTACAACAACTTGAAGAAGCTTGTGGATGGATTGGACGTCAGCATCCTCATCAACAATGTCGGATTGAGCCACAGCATCCCAGTGCCGTTTGCCGAGACACCCAAGCAGGAGATGACCGACATCATCATGATCAATTGCATGGCTACGCTTCGTGTTACGCAGCTCCTTACACCAGGCATGATCTCTCGCAAGCGTGGCCTGATTCTCACAATGGCGTCTTTCGGTGGCTTCTTCCCCACTCCACTCCTTGCAACCTATTCTGGTAGCAAAGCATTCCTCCAACAGTGGTCATCTGCCCTTGGATCCGAGCTCGAGCCCCATGGCGTACATGTCCAGTGCGTACAGTCCCACCTCATTACCACCGCCATGTCGAAGATCCGCAAGCCATCTGCTCTTGTGCCCAACCCGAAGCAGTTCGTCAAGGCTACTTTGAGCAAGCTTGGCCGATCTGGAGGCGCACAAAACGTCGCCTTTACAAGCACACCATACTGGAGCCACGGTATCATGCAATGGTTCTTGTCGAGGTTCTTGGGTGAGAGGTCACCAATTGTTGTCAAGATCAACAGGGGCATGCACGAGGATATTCGAAGGCGCGCATTGAGGAAAGCTGAGAGGGACGCGAAGAAGCAGTAATTCTGAGGATTTGACCATGAGCAAAAAAAAGTGTCAAATACAAGGACGCAGTAATTCTATATGAAAGAAGGTATCATGACGACACATACTTGCAGCCAGGAGCAAACGGAACGCCATGCATACATATGTTGTACACTAATTTGTATACCCCAAAATACATCTCTTCCACCACGTTATTATTCACCAACATTATTTTTTCAACTCCGTCCACGTCCACTGCTTCCGCAAATTCTGGTGATCCCGCACCTCTTCCTCTTCCACCTCGTCATCACTACTCCCCGCACTGCTGCAACTTCGCCGGCTCTCTTTCTCCAAACTTGTTCTCGTGATCGACACACACCCTTCCTCCAACAGATTCCCATGACCATAGCCAGTCAAGGGATGTGATGTATTCGACGGCATAGTAAATCTGCACGAGTTGTCAATCTCATCCACATGGAGCAAGAAAACTGAAAGGCTTACATGAATCCCCTTCCCTCGACCAGATCTACACTCACGACACCTCCGCTTTCTTCGACTGCTTGTCGCAACTTTGTGTGCAGGCTTGGCCGGCTGCTGGGATCCAATATGCGAACGGTGTAGCTCTCTATCGCCTGCGTGGAGGTGTGAAATCTCTCATGCTGCGTCCCATCTTGCGCCGGTCTCTGTTGCTGAGGTGGAGAATCCGCGCGGTGCGATGCCCACGGGGCACGAAACGAGAGTGCAAACCACGCCATTGTGTGTAAACCAAGAGCGTCCAAGTAGCGCAGCCGTCCTTGATATATGCAGAAGATGTGTGAAGGCAAGTCCAGCTTCGTCGTTTGTGTCCACTTTGCGTGTGTGTGAACGAATCCAATTTCAACAAAGAAACAATAAAACCCCAAGATCGACGTGAGACACCCAATCCCTCGACACTTCTAGTCTCATTACATATATGACATCTCCCCCAAAAAAAACTCCCAACCAAGGGCCACTCTTCCGATACGAAGTAAACCCACGCCACCCGCGCCCCCTCTACCGCATCAGCCAGCGCCTAGCACACATTCCTCCAACCATTTACCGTGCCTTGCCCCATCGCAGTGCCTGGAAATCCAGCACAATGGGCTTGCTGCACGTAACCCCCCAAATAAGCGGCGTTGCACAAAGCCCATGCCCACGATTCTCGCAGCCCGATGGTCGCCGCGAGGTTTGTTTCGCGGGTGCGCGCAGATTGCCGCGGGACATGCATTTGTATCTCGATGGAGATGGGCGATGGTGGGAAAAAGGAAAAATGCTGCGAATGAAATGAAATGGACTGGGCGCCCGGCCTGTGTACCCGAGGGCTTTCGAGTCCGATGGGCTGGGTCAGGAAGCGGGCCGAGAAGCGCAAAAGTGTGTGTGACGGGGGCGGCAGGGAGGCGTCAGGAAAAAGTAAATAGGACTGATCAGTTTAGTTTTCGTTTCCAAATTTGGTGCTGCGGGAGGGCAGGAAGTCAAATGAGGCGTCGGAGCGCCCATGATTTATCTACATGCATGTAACGCTTGATTCAGGCGACGTACATGAGGCGGACAGCCCAGCTGTCACACACACGCCTCTTACTCATTTCCAGCACCCCAACCCAAAGCCCAGGATATCTTTTTTTCGTGTTGCTCGTTCGTCGTTCAAGAAGCAGAGTCTATCCCAATCGACCGCAAAAATATGTCCATGGGTGTGGCAAAGCGGGGTCAATGGTTCAAGTTGATGGTAAATCGAAATGATGGAGCAAGCGAGAAAAGGCGAGTGGTTATGCTTGAAACGAAGAGTCCATGCGAAGACGTGCAAGACTGAGAGAGGGAGCATCCTATAACTCCAAATCTTGTACTTTGCGTACTTCCTCCCATAGATTCACTGCACTCTCGGCTCTGAGCTACGTGGTGTCAGCTTGATGTGAGGAAAGTGAGCACTGCAACGTACCTTGAGCAGGTGCAACTCGAGTTCTCCGTCTGAGGTTGGCGAGTTGAAGAGCAGTCGTCCTTCCTTCGGTTTCTCTCCACTGGTGTCGCCACCGAACACGAGCTGTTTTGTCACGGCGGCATTGAGTAGCAGTCGATGTGTACCATCGGCGCGGAGGACGAAGCGTGCTTTCTTTGGCTCCTCGTCGGTGACGTTGAACTTGAAATTGCCTACTCCGCGTTCTTTCCATGCTTTGGTTGTGCCCTCGCCAGTCATGATGTAGAGCTTTGCGCGACCAGTCCAGACAGTTGTCTCGCCCTCCTCACCAGTCTCATGAGCTATAAAGTTGTTAGTCGACGTCGGTTTCAAAGGGCTGCAGAACTCACGTTGCTGTGAGAGCAACGGTTGGCTTGTTTGCCGCTCCTTGTCGTTGTTCTCTTTCTCGGTGTCGTCCTCTTCGCCATCGTCCTCGTCCGATACATCGGCATCCTTGTCGTGCCCAGGAGTGCCGAAGGCCGTTGCTTTTGCCTTAAGACCTTTAATCGTGAGATCTGTGGGGGTCGCGAACGATGACAATGCTGATTTCGATCCGCTAATTGCTCCAAAGCCACCACCCAGTGAACTTCCGAATGTACTGCCGCCAAATGCCGATTTGCTTGCCCCTCCCAGAGCTCCAAATCCACTAGCTGGCACAGCTGGCGCCGCAGTGCTTCCAGCAAAAGATCCAAGTGAGTTGCCTGATGTTGCAGCGAAAGGAGACTTTGACCCCGGGCTGGCAAGCCCGCCGAATGGAGAAGCAGACTTGGCAAGGCTTCCAAAGCCTGATGCTTTGAACTTGTCATCTGAGGTCTGCGGAAGGAGTTCGGGTCGGTCAGACGACTTGGGTGCTTGCGACTTGGGAGACATGGCGGCGAACGGAGACGCCGCTGAAGTGTTGGCGAAGCCACTTCCCGGGGGTATCTTATTTGTGGTTAGCCACGGACACAATTTGCCATCTTGCGCACACATACCTTGGCAGTCGAGGTTGTGGCATTTGCGGCAGGTACCGCGTTGTCCTTGTCTCGCAGTCGCTTCGAGTCACGCTCGTCTTCCGCACTTGTAATTGGTTTTCCGTTGGTAGTCGTATCCTTTTCCGACTGTGCATTCGCGGCCGCGCCCTCGACCTGATCGCGTGTCCGCTTATTCTTCGGGCTCGTGCCGCTGTTAGTGGTGGCGGTCTTCGCAACAGCTTTCGACGTGTCTTTGTTGGGGCTCGTCATCTGCTCGTCGCCGTCATTTTCCTCAATCCGCTCCACAGATGCTGCTGGTGGCTTCAAGGGAAGACCGCTCTCAATGTCCTTCACATCTCGAGACCGCTTGCGCACATGATGCCTTTCTGTCTCTTTCTCCTGCTTCTTCTCAGGCTGCTTGTCTGGCTCGGTTTCCTGCTCGAACTCCTCCCGACTGCGCTTCTTCCGTAACCGGCCGCGGTCGCTGTCCGATCCCGAGGCACTGTGCTCGCCGGCTTTGGCGCTGCCATTGGTAGGCTCTTCCATAAACTGGTTCGAAGTCGCAGCGGGCTCTGATGTGGCCTGCGCATCAATACGAGTCTCTTTCAGCTTGTCTCGGACGGGTTTGCCCTCGCTGTCGCTGCTCTTGTCACTCCGCGCGGGTGAGGTGGGGGCTTTTGGTGCATCCTTGACTTCGCTGGAGGAGCTTGTTGCGGCAGCAGATTCGGAATTCTTCGTTGCGTCCGCCATCCTGGTTCAAGGTAGAGTGCTCTCGATATGCGGATACAAGCTGCGTGTGCTAGTTGTTGTGGGGAAGGTGTGCGTTTCGCGCGCGAAATTGGGTGGTCGAGGCTGGCGCGTGGTGTGTAGTGTCTTGGCGGATGTCGAGGATGCGGGTGAATAGTCCGGTGACAATGGACGTGAACAATAGCGGCTACCGTCCTTAGTGAAGGGTGGGTGAAGCGGAGACTGCTGTTGAGCAGGGCGTGTGGCGGGCTGGCTGTGGACCAACACTACAGCTTATTTCCTGTGCTCTGGTGAGTACAATGCCTCCAGCACGTGGCCTGAATCTGGCAGAAGTTTTCTTTCGTCCAGAGTAGAGAGCCAGCGGTGTGTGCTGTAGAAGCTGAAGTGAGGTGGAGCGGTCAAAGCGCTGTCGGATCTTAATGGTCTGGATCCCCACCAATGCGCGGCTTGGTATGGCGGGAGATTACAGAGTCGGTGCACAAACGCGTCGACGAGGGCTCTGCGAGTGGGAAAGCGCGTTGGGTGTGATGAGTGGACAGAGGCTGCACAGGAGCTGGCGCTTCAGAGGTCGTGGTCGAGTGCGTTGTCCGGTACATGAAGACCAATGACGAACGAGTGGGATGCATTGGAGCTAATATGGCGCGCATATCAGCATTGCAGCGGCAGGCGCATACACGTCGAGTCGGCATTTTGTAGGATGATGGAACAACAAAGCAGATTATGATTTTTCTGAGAGATCATGTTATACTGTTTGAGTAACAAAATGTTGAACGCCAAGTATGTCCTCGAGGGCGGTCTGACCCAAACGCCTGGTATCTTGCACCGAGTCTCTAAACGCTGCAGCTACATTTACAAATATAGTTCAAAAGCGCTAGCTGATAAAACAGAGACAGCCCAAGAGCATGTAGAAGACAAACAGCGGGTATACTGCGATGCCCACGCGATTCCTGACCACACCACTTCCGCCCATAATTGACACACCCGCGGCCAGAGACCAGGCTACAAGGACCAAGTATACGGGCACTCTGACGATGATAGGAATGCCAATGGCGCTGAGGAGCGAGGCGATGACGAGCGGGAAGAGCGTGTAGCCGATGATGGAGACGGACTGAAAGAAGGCACTGTATGTAGTCAGTATGTATCCCTTGAGCTTCAAATGGTCAACGTACATGCTGCCTCCCAGGAGCTTGATCTGCATCGTGACGACTGCTTCGCCGATCCAGACCATGGCAAAGACGCCCGAGAAAACAATCTCCTTCTGCTTGCCTCCCGCGCCCCACGAGAGGAACAAGCTCAGTAGCAGACAAAAGACCAGCGGTCCCCACAAGTCCCAGTCTCTTAGCCCGTCGCTCATGCCGCTCTCAAGAAGGATGTCTGCGTCAGGCCATCTGCCTGCCAGGTTTCTCAAGCTTCCCCCAAGGCCATCTGCTTCACCACGCTCTGCAGCGCCAATACCCCCTCCACGCTGCATCATGCCGCCCAGCAGGTACTTGGGGTACAGCACCTGCTTCATCTTCTCCCATATCGCGAGGAGGTCCCGCGACAGCGTATCCCATACCGTCTCGTCGATGGTGTTGGTGGGCGCGCGACGGTCCTCGCCAGGGATGCTCGAGGTCAAGTAGGACTGTGTATTCGCAGCACCTGACCGCGATGAGATGTTTCCAGTCAGCGGTGCGCGGTCCGAGGTCCCCTGCAGCGGGTCGTCTAGGTCGTCGAGGGTCGCTGTGGTGGTCAGCTAATGTGCAGCTATCTGTATACTAGGCGCCTGTCACGCACCATCGTCTGGGTCAATCAAATCGCGCTCCACTGCATCGTCGTCGTAGGGGTTGCCCGAAGAGGTTGAGGCGCTCGGCATCATTGCCGCCATAGTGGAAAACCCTGCTTCGAACGTGTGCGGGATTAATTCTCCGTACGGACAGGTATCGTGGAATCGCAGCTGAGGCTCTGGTGTGGTGTCCTTTCGGGAGCTCAGCGAGGGTGCAGTACTAAACCTGGCTAGTGTTCCGCCCTCAGGGAATGCTTGATTGCTAGCGCGCAGGGGCACAACGACTGGCGTCAGTCACTCACTATTTAGCTTCAGGTATGGCTCCGCCGCTGCCACCAGTCTCGACCTGGTCTCCTGCGGCAGTATATAATACTTGTAGTTGCCGTCCGCCGTGAGTGTTGTTCCGAGTTCAACAGCCACCATGACAGACCCAATCTTGAACGACATCTCCCACAGACGCTTCAACTTACTGCGAGGAAGCTGGATACTAGTCTCGCCGCACCGGACCAAGCGACCATGGCAGTAGGTGTGACTCGCGTGGCCGATGGGAATATGCTAAACGGATGTAGGGGTATGCAAGAGTCACCGTCCAAGACCACACTCCCTGAGTACGACAATGAGGTAGGACCAACTTCCGCTAGTCCGTGAAAGTGACGGTCAAGTTGACATCCGTCAGTGCTATCTGTGCCCTGGAAACACGCGCGCCAATGGCGAGCACAATCCCAAGTTTGACCATACATTTGTATTCGTCAATGACTACAGTGCGGTCATGGAAGAGCAGGCCGATTATCAACCAAGCTCGAAAGATGGATCACTGGCCTCTCGACTCCTGCGCGCCGAAGCCGTCACTGGAAAGTGTTATGTAATCTGCTTTTCTCCATCTCACAACCTCACCCTGGCGGATATGACACCAGCCCAGATCGTTCCGATCATTGAGACTTGGACCAATATCTATGCTGCACATCTGGATCCCAAGTCAGTATTAGCGAAACTTGCTGCCACTATGGTAATCCCAGCACTCTCGCAGGCCGCACTTTCTCCACCAAGTGCGCAGTACAGATACATGCAGATCTTCGAAAACAAAGGCTCTGCCATGGGCTGCTCAAATCCACATCCACACGGCCAGGTCTGGACGACGACATCATTACCAGAAGAGCCTGCCATGGAATTGCAACAACTGATCAAATACAGGAGCGAGCAAGGCGGTGCACACATGTTGGTAGACTACTCCGCCTTGGAGTCACAAGAGAAGACGCGGACCGTGTTCGAGAACGAAGGGTTCTGGGCCGGTGTACCGTACTGGGGTGTCTGGCCATTCGAGATTCTTCTCACAAGCAAGCAACACAAGCGCTCGTTGGTGGACTTTACCAAGGAGGAGCGTGCGCAGCTAGCAGAGTGCATTGCAGAGGTAACACGGCGGTACGACAACCTCTTCGAGACGCAGTTTCCGTACAGTAAGTGCTCTTTCGGGTTAACGTCGACCGAAATGCCGACTAACATTACCCTAGGCATGGGTCTACATCAAGCACCTCTAACAGGCACGGAGGAGGAGATTGAGTGCAGTCACTTCCACATCCACTTCTATCCACCACTGCTCCGTAGCGCGACGATCCGCAAGTTCCAGGTCGGATACGAAATGATGGCGGAGCCTCAGCGTGACATCACTCCCGAGCAGGCAGCAGAGCGCTTGCGAGGCTGTGGTGGTGAGCTCTACCGCAAGAAGCTGGTTGATTCCCCGAAGCTGAATGGTGTGAATGGTGTAAACGGCCATCATTGAGAAGACTGTAGGAGCATGGTCGGGCTGATTGCTTTTTGCTTCGGTCGATGTTTCGCAACTTGCATAGCAGCGTTGTGGTTGGTATAGCAGCACTATTCGAGGGGAGCATCACTGCACGAAGGATGAGCAGTTATACCCTATATTTATGTAGCAGCCTCGAGCATTTCGTCGCATATAATGGCGGGCCGCCAGGGCGTTGGTTGGGTGCAAAATAAGCACAACCTTAACAAACATCATTTTTAACCTGTCCTTGAACGATACCTACCACCAGCCTCATAATTCAGGCATATCAGTATATCCGGCATCCCACTACAAATCTTGTACCTGGTGTGTTCTCGACCAGCCGACGTCATCCGCACCTGCCCATGTGCCCCACTCCAACCTGCTTCTCGACCCCGCCATCAACCCTCCCGAGCTCTCACCCAAACAACACCAAACCTTTACACATCAAATGTCAGTCTTCTCTGCAACACCGACTGCATCCACGCGACTAAACATTACAGACAATCAAAATGCCCGGCGCAAAGTTCACCGAGACGTACGAGAAGGTCAGCAAGATGGGCGAGAAGCTCAAGGCTGCTGGCAAGTCTGGACCCAGCAACGACGAGCAGCTACACGTACGTTTCCGACATGTTCCCAAATCTGAGCTGTATCTCTAGGAATTTTATACGCACATTTGCTAACATATCTTACCTTCCAGCTCTACGCGTACGCCAAGGTCGCCCAGGGCCAGGACTTCAGCGCCGCGAAGAAGCCCGGCATGTTCGACTTGACTGTACGTCTACACCATACGTCCCCGACTCACCCTACACATGTCTCGAATCGGTAGTGGCAGGACTAACACATTCACAGGGTAAGGCCAAGTACAACAAGTGGAAGGAGGTCGTCGATGCTGGTACCAGCCAGCAGGAGGCTGAGGACAAATACGTCGAGTTGGGCGAGCAGCTTGTGGCCAAGTACGATTCTTAGATTCTGAAAGGAGGATAGGAATGCGGAATGTGGCTGGCATACATACGTATAAATGAATGAGTGCATGCTCCAAGGAAAGTCGTGAAGGTGTGAAGTACAAGGTTATGCTCCTGGGGTGACACTCTTGGATGAGACTGACTTGGAAGTTCTCCGTCTTTCTCCATTTCGATCGTTCACATACGCAATTCTATATCTTAAAAATCCGCACAAGAGACTGTCATTGCATGAATAACACGTGTCTGAAATCGCAATCGATGTACACGCAATCGAATGCACCGACACGCGGTGAGGACAAATGACAGTGCTGATCAAGCTTACACAAGTACTTCTATCAATCGCGACAAAACACCACTTTAGCCAAATCATCCTCGACTGCTCTTTGCTTCACTTGTAACACACATATGCTCCTCACCAACTAGTATATTTAGATATACCTCCCACAAAGCTTCCGAGACACAGTTCTTACAGCTCTTTTTCTCAACCCGATCCCGATCCCCTTCCAAATGCTACTCATCCCACTCCCTCACCTCAACCCGGCGTCTGCCCCACAGGCGTCCACTGATTCATCCACCTCCCCACCATCCTCGCCACAGACTTCCTCAAACGACTCTGGTAGTAGTCGCACAAGGCGGCGCCATGGGAATTTTTCTTATTGGCAAGGGTGAAGTTTCGCGAGTGACAGCGGGAGTAGGCGCAGCGCCTGGTTGGTCCACATATGCGCGCGGTAATGCAACAGTGCATGGATGGTGGGTTGAGAGTGTGATGTGCAGAGACTTGGTAGGGAAGTAGATTTGGAATGGGAAGGGAATGCAATGGGATGGAAGGGGATGGTTAGCAGTGGGAGTGAAAGGGAAGAGAGGTGATGGAATGGAGGCGAGAGGTGAACATGGGTGTGGTTTCACTCACTGTTGGATATCATCTCAAGGCATGTCTTTGGTAGCCTCGTCGGTCGAGCGCGTACTAGCAATTTACTCGGCGTTTTGAAACCAACTTTTCAGAACTACCTTTTTTCTTCCAAATGACTTTCCATTCGTCTGCCGCCAATCCTATGCCGACTGCGTGATAAATTTTTGGTCGTCATCTTGCGTTTTGATGTCCTGCCGAATGGGCAAAGCCACCCCGTAGTCCGTTATGATAGAAGGCGGTTCGCGATAGAAGACATTGATGAGACCACTGTCTCCCACTCCCACAACCCACTGGCCACACCTACTCCATCCAAAGTGACGAAACGGAAAATTGTACTTTGGTACTTCGATGATCTTGTCTGCCTTGATGGACGTGAACGGATCGCCGATACCCCGGTTACGTTTCGGCTCCTGGTACTTCTTCTTCGTCTTCCTCTTGCGCCTTGTCGTGCCCGACCCAGTGCTTGTAACAGACGATGCATTGGAGAAGGTGCTCTCCTCACGTACGTGTCGTGGAAGGCCCAGTGGTATCGCCTTGCTAGATTGAATCCAATCATCGCCAGTGCCAGCTCCCTCAAGTCGCTGCAGGTCCCAGAAGAAAGCCTTACTCTTTTCGTTGCCGGCAACAAGGATGGGGTGGTGCCCGAGCTCATGGAAGATGGAGAATCGCATGTAGAAGTTGTTCGTGTAGGGTAGTTCGAACTGAAGCAGTCTTTGGAAGCGACCTCCCCAAGCAGACCGCGTGTTCGAGGTGGAGTTGGCAGGGATCGTGACAGGAGTTTTGCTGCTTATCGCTATTGAGGTAGGTATAGGGGCGTGCGGAATTTGTTCACTGTCCGAGCTGAACCCATCGATCTTCCACATGATGATCTTGTCTTCGCGACACGCATGACTGAAGATTAGGTCGTTATACCATTGTATACAATCCACAAAGTCGGTATGTACTTCTGTAGTAGTGAAATGAGGATAGTGGATCAATGCGGGCTTGTCCGTGCCCACGTGCTCACTCAGATCATTGGGTACTTGCCACATATTGATCTTGGTGTCTACCCCAGCAGACAAGATGAAGCGGCCCTTTGGATGGTACGCTATGGTCAAGACTTGGTCTTTGTGACCCTGGCCAAAGCAAATGGCGGCCAGTGGCTGCTTCTTATGAGCCGGATCAAGACTCCATATTCGAACGGTATGGTCGATACTGCAAGACGCCAGAATGGTAGGATTTATGGGGGACACTGCAAGGTCGTTGATGCACTTGGAAAGATTAGATGACGCCGTCAATTAGGCGTATTGAACTCACGTCGCCATGTCCTATCAACGTCTGTTTTTTTGGTCAGTAGATATCGCGCCACCAGAATGACACAACGCACCGCCACAAGTTCTTTCTTCGCAATGTTGAAGACCTTGATCTGATGGGTTGCATCGCCAGCCACGCAAAGTAGTGGGTCGCCATTCTCGGCTTGCGACCAGGTCAGGCTGTTGTAACAGATGGGCTACAAAAATGGAAATAATTAGCGAAGCAGTGATGTTAAACGGTGTGAGCGATGTACCTGGCCGTCTGGGGTTTCATGCTCCTCGTTCTCATACCAGTAGAGGATCTCGATGGTGCGATTGTTTTCCAGTACACAGCGGCAGACAATAAGCTAGGCCTATCAGCTATGCAGCAACACGAGCACGAAGGGGTACACACATGAGGACCGCCGCATACGGCAAACACGGGGTCGAGGCCTGGTAGGGTGTAGGGATAAAATTCCACGTCAAAAACAGTGGCTTTGGAGGTTAGTGGTGGAAGAGCGGTGGAGGCTTGACAGGTCTCACTAGAGTTGAGTTCTGGTTTAGTTTGACCCTAGAGCTGTCAATTGTAGGCTAAGGGTCTGCATGGGAGCCTGACGCACACCTAGTCTGATAGTGGCTCTGAGCGAGGGTAGGTCGCAGAGGCTGGCCATGACGCAAGACGCGTACGGAGCAGCTCGGTATGGATGCAGTAGGGCAATTGCTGCCGGGGCGGACGCTCGTGGGAGACGTTGGGCAGGGTGCAGTGGTGCCAATCGGAACAATGCAGGCGAAGAAGCAGTTAGCGGCGTGGGCCGCTTCGTGTAGGTGGCCGGGCGCTGCAGCTGGTAGCCGTGGACGGAGTAGGCCAGGCGGTGGGAACCACTTCACCGCCGAGCACAATGGGCGAGGGCGCAAGGTTGCAAGGTTGCAAGGTTGCCCTGGTCTGTGAACGCGCACTGGGCGAGAGTGCGTCCAATTGCTGGTGGTTTGGTGGTTGAACAGTTAGGAAACGTGAGGGGCTTGGCGGCATGCCATCGGCGATGGTCGACGACGAAGAAGGAAGTCGAGGAACTAGGCAGGTACGACCAATTTGCAGCTGTGACGGCCATGTCGAACCCGACGGACGGCCCGCTGCGAGCAAACAGCAAACAGCAAACGTTGCGAGCACTCGCCTCCAGGCACACAAGCATTCACGTCCATGGCGACGACGGGTCTCAGCGACTCAGCGACTCAGCGACTCAGCGACGGCACTTTGGGTGCCATAGACAGTACCGACGTCAGCGTGGCGCCGTGGGGCAGGCTACAGAAGACGCCACGCGAGCGGCAGCAAACTCCCCTTCGAATGACAGCCCTGGGGCTCTGGAGGGATGGATAGAGTGCAGTTCGCCTAGGGCTTCGGGCGGTGCACTGGTGGCACGCCTTCCAAGGTTGTCTGACTGAAGCGCGACACGGGACTTTCGCACGTACGACTACCACTGCGACTGCAATTGGCAACTCCCCGTACGCGAACCTCGACCTCGTTCGCAAGAATGGCCTGATACTCTCCTCAACGCCTTCACGACCCTCTGCCCCGCGCCCCGCGCCCCAGTTGCAGCCACGGCCTCAGCCTGCGTTGCCCGTTGTGCGGCGATCCTCCAGCCAGGGTTGGTCAGCGTAACCTCTTTTCCGCCTGCTGCGCGCTCAGCCCAGGAACATCCTACTGAGTCGTCGTCGCGCCCACACACTGCACCTGCCACGCCGACCCTGCCTGCTTCCCTGCAACTTCTCCCGCACCCCTGCCTGGCCTCGCCGCCGAGACGCTCACGCTCCAGCAATCCCCAGCAGTTGCACCGCGCTCCCGTTGCCGCGCACTCGCCCGCTGCTGATTTGCGCTCCAGAGGAACCGCTCCTGCGAATCTTGGCCTGGCCCTAGCTGCTCTGGGAAAGAACCTTCATTCCCAGACCCAGATCCTTCTCATATAAACTCTGCACCGCGACATCCACGTCACACCCAACTCTGCCCTACTGTAGTGCACAAGCCTCGCCTGCTCGCTTCTCCATCACCAGGTCTACACGCGGTGACTCCCACTAACCCCGTGTTCTGGCGCCTGTTGCCGCGTGAAACTGTGCTCGCCAACCTTAAGCGGACGTTGGCTACCGTACACCCTGCCTGCCATTGTGCCACTTGGACCCTGCGTACTCTAGTAGGCACCTGGCCCTCCTCGGAGCCACGCTTTCTTCTCCTCGCACTTCTTTACCGCTGGGCCCAGAGCGAATTATTAGATTCGACTTCGGCTGGACAGTAGCGGTAGAGCAAGGCAGGAACGAACCGACCTCCCTGACAGGCCCAATCTCGCCACCATGGATACCACTTTTATTACCATTCACGGTAAGCTTCACGTGCCGTGCCGCATTTACTAAGGCCATTCTGACCCTGCAGATCTCACCGACGATGCTCATATCCTGTACTCTTCAGACTCAATCGTTGACATTCTCGGCCATACGCCTGATGAGGTCGTCAATAGATCTGTATGGCACTTCTTCCATCCCGAAGAGCTGCCGCTTGCCAAAGCCCAGCACAGCCGGGGTGTGCGTCTTGACAAGGCTGCAGTCTTGTCGTACTGTCGTTTGAAAAACAGACAGGGTGACTGGGTGGGATGCGAGTGCTGCTTCTCTATTGTCTACGATGTCATGGTCTGCTGCACCAGTATCTACAGGGCTGGTATGCAGAGCCAGAGTAAGCTACACCTCCTATTCGACACATGCTACTCCCATACTGACTGCTGCAGAGCGAGCGATCGAGGCCCCCATTGTTCGCAAGCTGTTTGCCTCTTCGCCAAAGGACCCGCGATACCACATGTTGTCGCATCTGTCCAGCAAGTTTGATCTTGGCCCTGAGCGCCAGACTCACGAGCCCCGTGCTGCACTTTTCCTGAATCGGTTCACGCGAACTTTGACAGTCATGTACGCCACCAGCGGAATCGAGCAAATCATCGGCATCTCTGGAGAAGAGATGAAAGGAAAGAGCTTCTACTATTGCATCGCTGACAACTGCCTGAACGATGCAGTGCGCTGTCTCGAGTCAGCCAAAGGCAACGATTCTATTGCCTACATGCGCTTCTTCTTCCGGGACCCGCGCCAGCCCGATCCGCCTGGGGGGGGACATGACCTCCGACGATAGCGAAGACGACATCATGACCGACGTAACAAGCTCTGATGAAGACGAGTCTGACGTCAGCGTCACCCACGATCCGTCCACTTCATACGAGCCCAACTCGCGAAGCCTTTCGCGTCCGGATCATGACATTTATGAGCACCCTTCACTTCCGCGCGTAGAGTCCGGCGATAGTGTCCTCCCAAGGGACACCCACCATGGCGTATTTGGGGAGCATGCTGCGAACAGATCGTCTGCGTCCTCTGTGCCGAGTTCCCCTGACTCCGAGCCTCGCGACGGGTTGATTGAACTTGAGGCTGTTGTTTCTTGCACCTCTGACGGACTCGTCGTTTGTCTGCGTCGCGCCCGTCCGCTCATACCTGGGACGTTGCCAGTCTCGCAGCCAGCACCATACAATGGTATCTATGCGGCACCTTGGGCTGCACAACCACTCTTCCATCCTGCCCCACAGCAGTACCCTCCTTATCCTTTGGGGGCTGTACACCCACAAATGCAGCAGGCAGCACCATCGCTACAGTTCCAGAATGCCTTCATGCAAAGCATTCGCGATGTCGCCGTCTTCGCCTGGGCCCTTACAGGTATCAACGGCAGCCTCGCAGAGTATGCTCGAGGTACCCCGATAGGCGAGTCTCAGCCACCAGAGGGTTTGCCTGTGTGGAACCCTCTACCTGACCCGAACGCGTTCGGGAAACTTTCTGCAACACCATCGGGATACGTCTCGGGCTCAGCCAGTAGCTCTTCGAGCAAAGATCCGTTCGGTTTTGGAGATCCGGGGCTTAGCTGAAAGCCTCGCTCAATATGGCATTGATGATATGATAGCCAGAAATCTATGGAAACCACTTCCCAGCTCGACGATTGCAAGGTCTCTTGACGGGGTCTCAAGCCCAGTAACATCCGCGCCTTGAGAATATTAGACAAAATGGCGAAACATTGATGGTCTTCAGTGGGCGATGGACGCATGATGGCAAGCGGGTCATGCTTCAAATTTGCGATGACGATGGTATGCTTTACGGCCAACATTCTCCTTTCTGATTCATCATCCGGAATGGTAAGAAAAAAAATTCCAAACATATTAGAGATCTCCACTCCTGTAATGGACGTCAACTCACCTTTGAAAACTTCTGTGAACAATAACGATTTGAAGTATCGGGATAACACTCATTCACTTAGGAGAGAATGCGACTAGCTGCAGCGAAGCGCTGCCGATTTGTCCCTGTCGTATTTGGCGGCTGCGCTTTCGCTTAACATCCATGTGGTTCCTATTCTTGGGTGTCGGGCGGCCCATCCCAGCACCGCCCACTACAAAAGTCTATTTATCGCTACCCATGTAGAAAGCCTCAGCACAAGTGCCTTGAAGACAGCATGTACAGAATGCTTTGCAAAGTTCGAGTGCTGAAACCACTGCTATGATCTCAATTACAGTGCGGGAAAGCCAACCACTTTGTCTGTTCTTTGTGGCCCGGCCACTGAAGTCACGTTTTGCTTTCATTTCATTGTCACGCCCAGGGCGGAGGCTAGATCTCCATTGCTGACGACGAATAGGGGAGGCAGTTTTACGCCTTTGCCGCGTTGGATAGGAATATAGCCTTCGCTAGTGTTTATTTCAGTTGTTGGTCATTTTAGGTCGCCGATGCACTTCGCCTTGTTGCTACGCCACATATTTGCGGCGATATGTACCCTGAGCTCGACTCGCTGCGTGACGTTTGACTTGACTCACTCTGCGGATGGCATATTATTCCATCTTGATCACTAACAAACGCACAAAAATGAATCAAAATACTTTCAAGACGAGGCCACGCACAGCGAGGTCTTCATCATGGCTTCGCACACTCGTCGTCACCTCGTTCCTCTTCACACTACTTCCCGCAGTATGTCTGGCACAAGAGAGCACATCCAATTCTGGAGCATCGGTTACAGCAAATGCACGAGCACCAGATACTTCGTCGAGTGCAACAATCCGACCAAGCTCTACAAGCTCAGCGCCACCGCAAACACATACAGTTCAGGTCGGTTTAGCGGATCATAAGTTTGTCCCGGACGTCACAGAGGCCAAGATTGGTGATGTAAGTTGTATCTGAGACTCTTAAGCCCTCTCGTGAACAAGTCATACTAACCCACAACAGACTGTCGAGTTCCGCTTCTATCCCACCAACCACAGCGTCGTCCGCGCAGAGTACAACTTCCCCTGCATACCCTATGAGATGACCGGGAACAACAAGCAAGGCTTCTTCTCCGGCTTCAACGCCGTGAGCAAAGTCCTCGACGACGTATGTCCACCATCCATCTCTCTCACCCAGTATCCACTAACTTCTCCAAGGCTCCAAGATACTCTATCAAAATCAACGACACAAACCCCATTTACTTCTACTGCTCCGCCCCCGGCTCCTGCATCACATACGGCATGGTCGGCGCTATTAACCCCAACTCCAGCACCCCGATCTCCACTCAACAGACAAAAGCCAAGGACAGCGCATACATGCTGAATCCCGGCGAGCCTTTCCCCGCTGAATCTCCCCTGCCCCCGAATCTGCCCAGCTCAACATCCGTCCCGATCGCCGTCGCCCCTCAGAAACACTCCGCCCTCAGCCCCGGCGCCATCGCGGGTATCGTCATCGCAGCACTCAGTGTCGTTGCGCTGGCTGCGGGATTATTCTTCTTCATGGGCAGGAGCAAGAGCCTCAAAGATGAAGTCAACCGGAAATCTACACATCTAGGCGGGGGACTACAATCTCCCGCCCCAGGACAGGTATGCAGTCCCACGCCTCAAATGCAGCAACAAGGCTACTTCGATGCGAAATATACTCCACAGCTGCAACCACAGCCATACGTCCTCTCCCCCCCAGGTCACCCAGCGTACTCCATGCCACAGACACCATCGACGTACAGCGAGCCACAGGAATTGCCGCTGAACACGACGACGCAGAAGTTTGGCGCATATGGGTTGCAGGAGCAGCGGCTAAGTTCGGCGCCACCGTATGGGTGGCATGTTAATGCGGCGCCAGCGGAGATGGAGGGGACACCTGGAAGGGAGGAGATTAAATGGGAAGAGGTGAGTAATCGGGGGAGTGGGGCTGGGAGGAGGATGTTTTGATACTTTGTCTATGCTAGGCGTTCGCATGTAGTACGGTAGATAGAAGTAATGTTGTCATATTCACATTCAATCAGAGCATATTGTGTATATAGAAAAGACTTCTTGTATATTTTGTTTCGGTAGCTTATCAAACGAGTGCAGAGCAAACCGTTCCCACATAAATCCAAAGCGGGACCTGCATCACAAACACAGCTACAGCCACTGCATCCTCCCGCCCGGTTCCATCCGCCATTTCCACCACCCGTTCCCGTCTTGTACGACCACGCCCCTCGCCAATGGTTCAAGCCTATCGAAATTAGATGGCGCAGCACGCTACAAACAAGTTCAATCATACCAAAATAACAAGGACAGTCAACACGACCAGCCACAACATGATCCAACGGTGCCCGAGCAACTGCACGAGCCTGCCGATAGCAAGACCATTCTGTAAAGTCGTGGCGCAGACGATGAGCCGCAGCCACGCGATCAGTGCGACCGCAGCCATGTCGCTCATCACAAAGCGCAGAATGCGCTCCACGGTGTCCATGAGACGGTTGACGTCTGCGAGAAGAACCCAGATATGCCCAGCAGCTTCGAGACACGCAGATCCCACCGCGAGGGATCTGTCCGAGGTGATGCCCAGCTGAACGCGCAGAGCGAGTGGGAGGGCAGCGAAGGCTCGAGATTTGAACGGTGCGGTAAGCTGGGTGGTGATTAGATGGTTATCGCGAGTGGTGGATGGACGGGGACGCACGTGGCTGGACTGGTGCTTGAGATCGTTGAGTACTTTAAACCAGTAGGGAATGTTGATGGAGGGGAGGTTGAGAGATAAGGTTGACGTTGTTGCGTGACATGCATCGATAACTTCTGTCTTGTATCGGCCGTACACGATGGCTAATAGCGCGCACATGAGAACGATCTGGAGGAAGTTCATTGTGGCTCGGTAAAGGACGATTGTTGTTGTAGGAATTTCGTCGTATGACTACAGTGTTGGAGGAGTCGGGAGAAGTGTTATGAAAAGCTATCTATGGCCATATACTCAAGTTTATACCTCCCACTTAGGTGTCTTGCGTACTTCAATCTTAAGGTCTCACGGGAGGCAGGCGAAACACGCGGGAAGGAGAGGTTCGTTTGGTCGCACACTGGACGATCGCCGCAAAAGGTGGAGCCGGGTGGTCGATGGTCAAGAAGCAAATGGATGCTGGGTGTTTACCACCACCGAGAAATGCTGGGTGTTTACCACCACCGAGAAATGCTGGAAGAAGTGGCAATGCACACGGGAAGTAGCTGAGAGACAGGGGTAGTATGGCACCGGGGAAGCGGTACGGCAGCTGAAGGTCATCTAACAGTGGGGAACCTGTTCCAACGCATCGGTCATAAAGGTGAAAAGATGAGACACGACCAATTGCTGCTAGGTTTTTGGGATCTACGCATCGGGGCCGTGGTTGATGTGTTCGTTTGAAGTCTGAGACCCCGTTCCTTGAATTTCCTGTCGATTCGCAACTACCCGCAAGAAATCAGGGTGGGACACCCCTAGCGAGAAGGAAAACTAGAACCTGTGAGCTGAAAGCCGTTAGCTGCTATGTTTAACTTTGTTGCTCTGATCATCGGCGTCTGGCACAGATGTGCCCAAATTCTCATGCACTAACGCTATACTAAGACACCCAAGCCTGACATTGAGGTATCATCACAACTCTCCGCACAGATCATCATGACTCTTGTGACACTCCCACTATCCGACAAGACAAACATTCTATCTGTGGACGATTGCATCCATCTATGCTTACGGCGCTCAAGGCCGCAATTATCCATCCTTTCCAATTTGTCTTAGATCCATATAGCAGCTCTTTATCAGTTTCACATACTGAACTTATGCCAAAAGGGCGTATCCATCTCGTTCTCGACGATTCGCTGTTCGTCTTTTCGTCTTCACTATCTCTGCGTTTACTCGTCTCAGACTCAACGACTAGGTAAACATGCAACAGTCACATCTGACACTCTGAGACATAGGAAGCATTGTATAAGTTCTGGAATCATGTCGAGCTATGTTATGATTTTTCCATGTTCACTTGATTGTTGCTGATCCGCCTCCTCACTTTCATCCAAAAGTGAGCTTACTATGCCTTATCTGCATACAACCTCTACTCGGGAGAGCGTTCAATCTTCCCAGCAAATGCAAACTGACACGATCTGGTCAGCATCGTCTTACAATCAGGACGAGAAAATCAACACCTCAACTAGCGTCTACAGACCCTTTCCTCAGGACGTGTGGGAAGACAGTATCGTTCATTGGATCAAGAAACACGAGATTACACTCCATAATACAGTACTCCTCACAGAACGCAAGCCATACGACGCTGCGACTCGCAAGTCAGATACAGAAGTCTTGAGTCATTGGGCTTCAACAGAAGCTAAATCTGTATCCAATTGGCATCCTGTAAGCTCCACCATAATGCTATTCTACAAGGTCACTAACATGTTCTTCAGAGGCGGGCCACATGATTTCACAGGCCGGCCTCCCAACACGGTCCCGGATCTACTCCACGTTACCTTGGTCTACCATCCGGAAACACCTTACCAGACAACATATCACGTATACTACGGGAGGCATGGTGCAGACGAACTTCTCATCAAACATGTCACCAAAATGGAGGAGGGTGATATTAAATTACACCTTCAGCCGTACCGTCCCCCACCACCAACTCTAATCTTCACGGCGCAACCCGACACCGCCAACTGCGTCGCCGCACAAGAATCCCAAACACCACGATCTCCTATGATGGGACCACACCAATATTCAGCCGTGCTCCAAGATCTTCACCTAGCCAGATAAACAACCATCTGTCCTTTGATCCAGGCCCGCGATTTAGTGTACCACTGGGACACATGTCACAGACGCGTGGCCAAGAACAGCCTGTTCTTGAAGTATGCCATGCTGATATTTGCTTTTCTTTGCTTCTTTACCTGCTGTCTTTGTATCCCGAGAACTGGCATGGTCAATCTATCGCTTTGCGCCGCTTTCTTCTTACCTGCTGCTGTTCTTTATACTCCGAGGAACTACCATGGCCATTTCATCGCTTATCGCTGTTTTCTACCCACCCACCGTTTTAATACCCTTCGATCCACCACATTCATTCACCGCTGTAGGAGTTTTGCTTAAGCTCCTGACCACCATGCTCCATTTGCCTTCCTTCGAGGCCCTAACCAGTCCATTACCTACGTCTCTTTTCTCGTATGTATAATGGCATATAGTTGACTCTTCATACAATCAATAATATTGCCTAACTTTGGTTGCGCGATGATAGCAGTACTTGACGTAAACGTTCGCATTTGAGAGTCTCTGCAGGGACACTCTCTGGTGTAGCGTTGATGACTATCGAGATATTGAAGCAGATGACCCTGAGCTCAACATGTGGGTGTTGGACTTTGAGCTCGCGGCGACTGATCGAGAGCACGAGATACATACTCTGGTGGAGGATGAAGGAGACATTGAAGGATGGAGGTTGGAGGATAGTAGACGGACCCCGATGCGTATGTAGGATGGAGGAGATTAGGTGGGAGAAAGAGAGTGAGGCGTTTGTTTGTGGTTTTGTAGATAAGAGGTAGTGTGTTCATATTCACATTACAAGTACACATATCCTCATTATTGTGTGTAGAAAAGACTTCTTGTTTCTTTTATTTATGGTTAACTTGTTCGAAACTTTCGTATCCGCGCGAGTTTCGCTTGCGGTCTGCAGTAGACCGGATTCCTCTTCAGCACACACCCACACACCCTCATCTCCATGCACATCCCGCCCTCGCTGCGCAGAAATAAAGAAGACTAACCTAGTCCCGGCTTTTCTTAGGAAAGGTTAAAACTGTCCTGTCCCATCCCGTCATCCAAAGTAAGATTCGTAAAGCAGACCAAGAAAAGCAGGCAGGTTGGTCGATGAGAAATAGAGGAAGAAGAGAAAGAGGAAGTGAACAATTGTCGCGATTACATGTTGTACATTTCCAATTCAGAAAAAAGAATAGAGTATGTGTGAGCGGGAAAAGCGTCGCGTCCGGCGGTCCGCCAGGTAAGAATCCCCAGCCGTATAGCATAACAAACAGAAATGGGCAAGGGCCACTTTAAGGAGCGGGGTATCGTAACTCGTGTCGCTCATGTCGAAGGAGAAGTAGAGGCCACCGTCGCGACAGGTGTCGGTTCTGGTGGGTTGGTTTCTTCTGTCAAAGGTGGTAATGCTGGCTCGACACTCTTCCGTGGCGGTGAATTGTTGCCCGGCAGGCTAGCCGTCGACAAGGTTGGCGAACTCGTAGACTGTGAGGCCGCAAGTGGTGGTGTACAGTTTGAGCCCGTGGAATGTGTCTGAGCTAGCTTTGCTCTTCTGCTGGTGTAGTCACTCAAGCTTAGCTTTTTCCGCGCTGGTATGGGGTTGACGGCATTGTTAACCGCTGGAGAGAAAGGCGATCCAATCGTCAAGCTACCAGGGGACTGTGCGATGGCGCTCCCGGCCAGAACGTTCGAAACCGAACCTGTTGTGGCCACAGGAGCAGCCTCAGCAGGGTTCACGAGATCAGACTTTGCTGGCATATCGACATGTAGATCGACGGCCTTTTGAGGTTCTTCTGCGGGAGGTGCCGATGATGGCCACGGCGGTGCCGGGGGGTTGAGTGGAGGATGTGAGGTCCTTGGAGAGACATCTAGAGTAGGTGCATCTGTCATATCCTCTTCCTTTTGTTCGGTAGGCTTCGGAGTAGTGACTTCGACTTCTTCCATGTCGACATCAACGATGGGTGGCGGCGTTGTCTCCTTCGCCGGAGTCGGCTCGCGAGGTGTGATATCGACAGTCGGCCCGGTCGAGGTGTCCATGGCCGACGGCTCCTCTAGCGGCGGAGAAGGAGGCAGTGGCGAGGGTTTATTCGAGGACACGTCTTTGAGGGTGGGTGACTTGCGTTCCATCTTGACAGACGTAGATCGGATGCGTTCCCGCTGGATCTTGTCTTCTTGGGCTTGTTGTAGGAGCTTGCGCTTGAACGATAGAGGTGGCTTCATGTCGCGTGGCCTTGCACAGCTCTGAGGCGCAACAGGGCTGCCATCCTCTGTTTGTGTCGAAGCTTCCTTGTATACAGGCTTCGGTCTGGGTGCAGCGCGGCCATTGGTTTTCGTCGAGCTGCCGGACGTCTTACGGGCCACACCGTGGCTGTGTTCGCGATGTCGCGCCGATGGGGAGGGTTCCGGATGACCCAAGCGTTTCTGTACAGCGGCATTAGTATCGTAAAGTGACGCTCGGGAGAAGCGCCTTACGGTGGATGACAGGCTGGGCGTGTTCAGGGAAGACCCGGCGCTATTCCGCTTGCCCTTTTTGCCCTTGTGATCGGCGTCGAAGTCCATCTGCTTGAACAGCTTTTCCTGTTGTTGAAGCTTTCGCTTCTCACGCTCAGACATCTTCAGGTCCCCCTCGGTAGAGAAGTGCGTAGCTGGCGTGTGATCACGACTACTAGACTTGCGGGAGCCCGATGTGGATCTAGCGTCCATTTGGTCGTCATCGCCGACATCGTGGTTCAACGTCTCGCTGCCCGCGCGGCTATTCGTGGCATGGCCTGTGCTCAAAGGTGAGATCTGCGATTTCTTTGTCTTTCTTCCCTTGGGTTTGGGCTGCTCGGCAATCGTGCTGCGGCGAGCGCGCTCGAGAAGACACTCATGCCCCGTCGAGGTGTCGCACGCGCACCCGCCAAAGTTGGCTAGCACACATGAAGCCCATGGTTGTATTTTCCTGAAGCCGTCCTTTGCGCCGTTTGTAACAACCTTTGCTAGCTGCTTGAAGACTTCAGAGTCGATGTCCCAACCAACAGTAAGCTCCTCGCCTGGATCAATCTGTCGTGAGGCAAGGAAGCAAAAGTGAAACTCGTTGCTCGACTCGATAAAGATCTTCATGTGCATGTTGGGCACACAGCTTCTCCTTGCGTAGCGAAGGATGTTGCCTTCTCGCCGAACATCAATGTATATGGGAAGGTGGGGTGGAAAGAAAACGAAGGGTTCGGGATGCCGCAGAAGCTCCCAACGGTTCGAGGGTTCGGAGAAGTAGTCTTCCTTGCGTCCCACCAAGCCTTTGAGTTCGCCAATGTATCCGCCTTCAGCAACAATCTCATCCACCGTGATGAAATGCCACTGCGGGTGCTGTCCATGCGCGACTATGCCAGAGTCCACCTCGATTTGCTTGGCAATGCTGGGTGCACCGAGCTCGTGTATTGGTTGGTCTATTCGTGAGAAAAGGTCGTGTGGTTTCTTGCCTCCGCTGGCATCAGCCAAGGCTTCTGGATCTGTTAGCCATGTCGAGATGTCGTTGGCCACACCAATGCTGGTATATGAGTTTGAGTCTGGTGAGGGTGGTTCTGACTGCCGATAGAGGGTCATGAACTCGGAAGAGAACTCCTCCAACGACGCGTCCTGGTTGGTTGGAGACTTGACGGGGCTGTGGCCGTTCAGCATGACCGAAGCACCCCGTTTGCGAGAAGCCGGAACGAGAGCAGGCGTTTGGCTGATGCTCACGGAATTGGAGGTGCGATGGCTGGTCTTTGGACGCTTATTCGGTGGAGGCTGATCTCGCGGGCTCCCACTTTTTCGTTCGGGGTTGTAGTGTAATTCGGTGGTATGCGACGGCCACCCGTTAGGCTGGACGGCACCGGAAGTGTCCTTGGTACGTTTCTTCGGGTTCTTGGCTGCGGTCTTTGGTCGGCCTTTCCGTTCAACGAGCATCTCTCGTCGCAAGCGCTGTTTTTCGGATGCGCTGGTCTTGTCGACAGGGCGTGGAGCACAGTCGGTACACTCGTGCACGTCTGGGACATGCTGGGCGGACTCGTAGTAGCACACGATGTGCTGCCATGTGTCGCACTTCTCGCACAAGACGGTGTTGCCGTCATCGTCGGCAAAGCCACATATGCATTTGATCGTGGACGACTCTTCTTCCTCTATCGTCCCGTCCGGGATGGGAGAGCCGTTAGTGTAGGGGGGTGGTGTGGTACCGTTTGGCGTGGGTGTAGGAGCTGGCTGAGGTTCAGCGTGCGCCTTGACCGACGAGACGTCAGTCATAATCTGGCAGACACGCTGAACAAGGGAACTGTGGGATGGTATTGTGGGTGGCTCAGGCTCTACGTGCTTTGGATCGCATGACGCCCTACGCGACAACGACCAAAGCACAACTGGCACGGACGACGCCAACGAATCTAACGATGACTGGCAGCGGACTGCCGGCGTTCTGGGTGGATTCGAGTGTTTATCGCGGAGCTGGGGGCCTGGAGAAGAGGCTTTCGTGTCCGGGAGCGTGGGCAGACGAGGAGCAGGGCGTGGGAAATGGCACTGCAACGTCACGGAGCACGCGTAAAGGCACGGCTATCATCAGAAGAGGGTGCTGAGCTCGTGGGCAGACGTGTCCATGTGGTGCGCGCACGGTAAAGGAGAGGTGACGAGAGAGGGAGGGAGAGGCGGGTCTCGGAGGGCGTGGTTGGCGACGGCAACAAAGGAAGCAGGGCGCGCAGTCAAGGGCGACGAGTTCGACCACGGAGGCTGCGCTGTTAGCGATTCGGGGTGGCAGAGAGGATGTTGGTCGAGGCGACGGAGTCAGTGGTGAATGCAGGACTGCAAAGGTGCGAATGAGGAGGAATCGCGCATTCGGTTAGTTCAGCAACGAGGTCTGTGCGCGAGTCCAGCTTTCGTTCGGGCATGGACAAGGAGCGCAGAACGCTAGAATGCTGAAATTAGCAGCAAAGCGTGCAGTGAGCAACGGCGAATCATATCTACGACGGCTCTGGCGCGACAGTGCGCACTGAGTAGAGGGCATGTTGTTCGACGAGCGTGGCCAGGGTCTACCATGAGGACGACCGCCGGCATCGCGAGAGATAAAAGATGCAACAGAGTCGGAAGGGGCGCTGAATTGTGTGATGAGACGGCAGCGACAACGCGGCCAATGAGGCGCTGTGAAGCATGTGGGACCACGTGCCTAGTGCGGAAGGGGCAAGGCGCGTCACCTAGGCAAGAGTTTCGCTGGGATGTCGATCATGTTCGTTGCCGTTCGCCTTCGTAGGCCTGAGCTCTGTGATGATGAAAACAGACCGACACTGACCGCGCGCATGGAATGTCTGCTGCTCGAAACATTCCTCGCGTCCACGGCGTGCGCCCGGTCCGACAAACCGACAAACTTCCGAGAGGCGTCGTGAAGAGGCCGTCGCTGTCGTGAGGGCGTGACAAGGACGGCCTGCCCCCGCTTCAAACCGCGCTTTTGAAACGTGCATAAAGGCCAACGTCATCCGCAGCCGTCGCTGCCACCATCTGCCTGCTACCCAGCCGAGCACAGTGAACCCGAGCACAACAACAGCTCCGACCCATCCGTAGCCCCATTCTATTAGCTCTCGCATTTCACGCGACCTTTGCGTGGTGTCGCGTCGCCAGAGCACGGATGGACACACAGTCCAGCCTGTTCCCCAGAGATTGGGCGCCCTGGACCGCCCTGTGTCCCGCGCAGCGTTCGCATATCTTCACCCCGAGCCTTCACCCTACACAAACAAACAGGACCGTGTCTGGGCGCGTCCGCGCACACCTTGCACAGACGGCTCCCGAGATTGCGACTTACAACTCACGTCCGTAACAATGCAGCCTGACGCTACACGTCGCTCTTTGATTACACAGCAACACGACTCGTAGGCCTGCAAATGTCTTCAGCCTGTCCTGCCTTGGGAAGGCGTAGAACCATCTACGGGACCTCGTCACGGAGATGCTGCTCAATACGCGCTCGCTCCATCTCGCAGCCGAGGCGAGACTCCAGCACTGCCTTGTACATCTTCATCATTTCAACCGTAGTTTAGAAAAGTAGCACCAAACGAGTCAAGCTCGCGGTACTTCTCCGCATCGTGGGGTAAGCCTGACGGTAGGTTCTGAGATTATCTAATTACATCGTGGCTACAATAGCCCTACGGCGTCGTTGCATCATGACGCCTTCTCGATTCTCGTCATGTCCGCAATGATTCGTCTCCTGTCTCTTTCGTTACCGCTTCTCTCCGTCGTCACGGCGGCAGTGAGCCCTCAGTCTGTCGGTTCGGATCTGTCCATCGTCACTCACAATGACCTCTACGGCAACGATACTACAAGAAATGCAGCAGTTGTCGCGCTTCGCACCCAATGCAGCTACTCGAGCGCTGCCTCACGATGCGCTGCCCTTGGGACATCACTTTGGAACCCAGACGGCTTGCAGCAGGACCTGGGCTTCCTGCGCTTCCTTGCCCATGACAAGAACAGCGATAATGCTGGCACATTCTGGGTTGGTGGCAACAGCACGGCGGCATGTCGAGCAATAAATGTCGACGGCACGATCACGAGCACTGCTTGTTCTATCGCATTGCCCGCACTGTGCTCCAACACAGTGAACGGTACTGCTTCCCAGGTAACTGTAACAACCAACAACGCGACTATCACGGGCATTCGACAAAGCAAAGCGTTCCGTTTCCTGGGCCTCAACTATGCAACCATACCTGCACGTTTCGCGCAATCAGTCTACCTTCCGCCCGCACCCAACACATCTGCGCTAGAGTATGGCCCAACATGCATCCAGCTGAACTGCAAGACGTGCAGCGAGGACTGTCTGTCGCTAAACATATGGACACCATACCTGCCCAACGGCAAAGTTGCCGCACACAAGAAGAAGGCAGTAATGGTTTGGATATACGGTGGGGGCTTTACTAGTGGTGCTGCCAGTGATACGACCTTCGATGGAAGTGCTCTTGCGTCCCGAGGAGACGTCGTGGCGGTCACAATCAACTACAGACTGGGCACGCTTGGAGCCCTCTCAGTAGAGAACACAACCGTGACGGGTAACCAAGGAATCCGCGACCAGAGCACTGCCCTGGACTGGATTCGCGCCCATATCGAAGACTTTGGAGGTGACAAGGACAGGATCACTATTTTCGGACAAAGCGCAGGCTCGGCATCTGTGAGGGCGTTACTTGCTTCCCCACAAGCAAGCAAGAAGGTTGCAGGTGCCATCATGCAGAGCTCGCCGTTGCTTGCTACAGGCAGTGACACTGGATATGCAACATACAAGCCCATGTCAGCGTACGCCAACCAGACCATGGCTATTATCAGCGAGTCAGGGTGTACCAATGCGAGCGACGTGATCGACTGCTTGAGGAAGATCGACGCGTTGACGCTCTATAGCCAGAAGACATTTGTCAGGTAAGTTCAACACGTTGTTGAAAATATGTATTACGTTTGACTGTACACTAACGCGATCCAGATTCCCCGTTGCCGATGGCACCTTCCTCCCCAATTCCGGCCTCTCCCTCTCCTCAACAGGCCCCAAGCTCTCCATACCCATCCTGGCCGGCCTGATGCACGACGACGGCTCAAACTTCATCACCTATCCGACATCACTCAATCTCACCGCCGTCTACGCCGCGGCCAGTCTGCCAGTCTCCACTATCATCGACAATCCATCGGTCTTCCCAATCCCGTACAACGCCCTTACCACGCAGAACTTGTTCAATCTGACCTCGCGAGTGTCCACGGACCGCATCTTCCGTTAGCCTCGACCCAGAGTACTGCCCATGTCGCAAGCCAAGAACAACGTCTTCAAGAAAATATACGCATACGAATTCGATCGCGCATACCAGATTGCGGGATACAGCCCTAACCCGCCTGCTTGCGAAGCCCCTGTCACTCCGGCGCACCCCTTTGGCGACCCGACATTGCCCTTCTACAAGTGCCATTCAGGCGAGTTGTATGCCGTCTTTGGAACAACGATTAGTCAGGGCGAGGTCCCGAGAGATCAGAACGACATCCCGTTCAGTCAGTACATTGTCGATTCGTGGAGTGCGTTCGCGCGCACGGGTGACCCGACGCCTGCCAAAGACTACTTGAGCGCGAGGGGCTTCACTAACACGACCATGTTTGTAGCCAAAGCTGGGACCTGGGATCCCGTTGGCGCTAGCAACGCGAAGCCGGTAAGAGTCTTGGACTTGAATGTCAGGAATGAAGCGTGGCGGGAGCTGCAGCAGTGCGAAACGCTGGGAACGGGATTGGAGTACTATGCCAACTAGATGATGGTGTCTGCCATCTAGAATACTCCCATTGTATATATGGACTCGATGTATATTCCCTCATCACCGCACAATACCAACATGAACAACAAACCCACTCCCCTCCTTCAACTCCTGCCCCAACATATCGTCGGGAACCTGCCACACCTCAAACTTGTCGTGGAAACTCTTCAGCCACGCTTCAAACACGTCCGGACTCCGCAGCTGCTGCGCAATCAAACACACCGTCGGCGTCTCGTCGCGCGCACGCAATCGACACAGCGCCGCGCACGTACTATTCAGCGGCTCGATGAGTGACTCGTTGTATATGCAATCGCACGCAACAATCACATCCACCGCCTGTCTATCCCTGACGTCGTCCTTTTCCCAATCCAGCGCTTCGACCTTGATCCTCTCTTCCCCTCCTACAGACTTCTTCCCCTTCCCCGCTCTAGCCTTTGGAAACATAACATGCATATTCTCAGCGACGTTTTGCCGGAGGAATTTGAGCACGTAGTCCTGGTCTGTGGCGGTGTAGCGGGAGACTTTGGGGGCGAGGGTGAGGGCGACGATGGCGGAGACGCCGGCGCCGAGTTCGAGGATGGTGGAGGTGGGAGTGAGGAGGGTGGAGAGCGGGCAGGTGGGGGAGGAGAGCCAGGTTGCGAAGAGGGGGGTTATTTTCCATACGACTGGGGCAAGTTAGTTGGTGTGGATATGGATGAAGGGGTTGAAGATGGAGAATTTGTAGATGTGATAGCGAATAAAGACGTGGGAAATGGGTTATATTGTGGAAGAGAGAGTATTGTATATTGCTAGAATCGAGTGATTGGTGTGGGTTGGAGAGGTTGCAAACTTGACATGGAAGTAGAAAATGTTCAAGCCACGCATGCTTGAAATTCAAGTGTGAATTGCGTGAAGCTGATTGTTTTCGACAAAGAGAAATGTGGGGATCAAGGCCAGCCTGGAGATTCTTAGATGTAAGATGACGGCTGCACGTGAGTGGATGGACAATGAAGAGGCAAAACGCCACACCTACCAGCTCCTGTCGTGCCCTCCTTGCGATTCGAGTTCAGCAACCCTGGCGACTGGTGGACGACCAAATCATGGCCTGCAACGCTTACTTCGAGCGTAGATGCTTGCGAGTCGATGAAGCCGAGTGACTGAGAAGGGATATCTTGCGAGAACACGACAAACGCCTCTGCCACAGTATGAGCATTTAGTCATACACACCCTTATGTGGTGCCTGCAAAGTGGCGGATGTAATACAGTGAGGTGTGGTGGAGCGAATCGCATGGTCACAGCACATCGTTGTGCCGAGGGCCAGAGCTCGATACTTCTACACACCTTCTTCAGCATCGGCCACGGGATGCGTCCCCAGGATTTTGGACAGGTCCATTGTGGCTGTACCCGTCTGGTATGGCGGAGTAGGGACTTGGCTAGGCCTCGGCCAACGCTGCTTTGTCTGAGTCTGGAGAAGTGCAGGGCTCGTGATGCAGGGCACGCGAGACGACCAAGTCTCAGCGAGGAGTTTTGCCTTGGACGGGCTCTTGGCTCGTCTACAGGCTTGGGTGGCCTGGAATGCTGGTGTACCTCGGTGCTGATGTGATACAAGAGGTGCGCTGCAGAAACACAACGAAAGAGGGTCGCAAATCTAGAAGGCGACGCGCTGTCGATCTCTGTGCTGGCCCTGCGCTCTGCGCTCTGCAGGCGTCGAATTGGCAGCCTTCCGACGTGTTGAGGTGGAGCTGGGAGCTGGCGACGGTTGCCCTAGCGCACTTCCCCGATTTGGTGCGTCATTGCTCTCGAGCTTGGACACATGCCTTGGCGGCGTTTGGCGGGCGAGCAGTGATGCTCACTATAACTTACCGTTGAGCTCCTCCCCCAGCCCTCACATCCGCACGACCCGCTGCATTTCACTGGCGGCCATATACCCACGCGCGCTTCTCTTCCTGTTGTTTTCTGCGATACCCCTCTCCCTGTTCCTTCACGTATTCACACACGACCACAGCATATTCCACACGGCCGTCGTCATGCCTCAAGACCTCAAGAAATTCGCGCCTCAGGCCCAGGCCACGAGGAAAGGCCCATATACCACCGAAGCAGCCGGCGCACAGCCAGTCGAGGGCGAGACCACACCGCGCCGCAACCTCGCCGCGAAAGAGGAGCTCAAGATGGTCCCCTCGCCAGAAGTCACCACCATGTACGAAGTCCTGCGCCATGCCTCGAACAAGTTTGGCAACGCAAAGGCCGTCGGATCGCGACGGATCGTCAACAAGATTGTCGAGACGAAGAAGATCAAGAAGATGGTCGACGGCAAGGAGCAGGAAGTCGACAAGAACTGGGAGTACTTTGAGCTGAGCTCATACACATACAAGAGCTTCGTCGAGTTTGAGAAGATTGCTCTTGCTGCAGGTTCAGCCATCCAGAAGCTTGGATTCAAGCCTGAGGACCGGCTGCATCTGTTTGCCGCGACGAGCATGCAATGGCTGGCTTCAGCGCACGGTGGGCATCTCGAAACTGCATGTGACGGCCATCACTGACTTGTACAGGCGCCCTTTCGCAGTCTCTGGCTATTGTCACGGCGTATGACACGCTCGGCGAGGAGGGCCTCAAGCACTCGATGCACCAGACCAAGGCCAAGCTGATGTTCACCGACCCAGAGCTCCTGCCCAAGCTCATCAACCCCTTCAAAGAGGCCAAGGACATTGAGGTCGTCATCTACGGCACCAAGAACGACCCGAACCCCCAGGACATCGAGAAGCTGACCAGCGCCCACCCGCACTTGAAGGTCATGAGCTTTGACGAGCTCATCAAGCTGGGCGAGGAGAACCCTGCCGAGCCCATTCCTCCCAAGGGCGAAGACCTGGCATGTATTATGTACACTTCTGGATCCACAGGAACACCAAAGGGTGTCATGATTAAGCACCGCAACGTCGTTGCTGCGAGTAGGTGCTCTCTATGTTACGTACGCAACAATCACTGACAAAAGTAGTTGCTGGTGTCGATGTTATTGTCGGCAAGTATCTCGGACCCGGCGATGTCCTCCTCGCATACCTTCCCGCCGCCCACATCCTCGAGTTTGTTTTCGAAAATGCCGTGCTCTACTGGGGTGGAACTCTCGGATATGGCACTATCCGCACACTGTCCGATACTTCCGTACGCAACTGCGCTGGTGACATCCGCGAGCTGAAGCCCACGGTCCTTGTCGGTGTTCCCCAGGTGTGGGAGACCGTAAAGAAGGGAATCGTCAACAAAGTTAACTCAGGTGGTGCGATCAAGAGCAACATGTTCTGGGGCGCATACGCAGCCAAGAACTTCCTGCTGGGCTCTGGCCTGCCAGGCAGTGGTCTTCTCGACACCATTGTGTTCAACAAGGTCAAGGAGGCCACTGGAGGAAGGCTGCGAATCTGCTTGAATGGTGGAGGTCCCATTTCCAAAGAGACCCAGCGCTTCATCTCAGTCGCCATCACACCCATGATTTCCGGCTACGGTCTCACTGAGACCTGCGCCATGGGAGCCGTCATGGACCCGCTCGCATGGACCGACCAGGCCCTCGGTGAAATGCCTGCCTGCGTTGAAATGAAGCTCGTCGATTTCGCCGACGCCGGCTACTTCGCCAAGAGCAACCCTCCCCAGGGTGAGATTTGGATCCGCGGCGGCGCCGTCGTCAGCGGCTACCTCGACATGCCCGAAGAGACCGAAGAGAGCTTCACCAAAGACGGCTGGTTCAAGACAGGCGACATTGGCGAATTCGACTCCCTCGGTCAAATCCGCATCATCGACCGCAAGAAGAACCTCGTCAAGACCTTGGCCGGCGAGTACATTGCGCTCGAGAAACTCGAATCGGTATACCGCAGCGCGCCTATCGTGGCCAACATTTGTGTCTACGCTGCAGAGGATCGCCAGAAACCTGTCGCTATCATTGTCCCGGCGGAGCCCGCGCTTAAGAAACTCGCGGCTGAGCAGGGCGTCAAGGGCGACCATCTCGAGGAACTCGTGCACGACAAGAAACTCAACAATGCGGTGTTGAAGCAGCTGCAGGATGCGGGACGCAAGGGCGGACTTGCGGGCTTTGAGACGATTGAAGGTGTCGTTATGGCGGACGAGGAGTGGACGCCGCAGAATGTAAGTCTTGCATATACTGGTTTCAACTTGAAAGGCCATGATACTAACATCATCACTAGGGTCTCACAACCGCCGCCCAAAAGCTGAACCGCAAGGGTATATTGCAGCAGTACCAAAAGGAAGTTGACCAGGCTTACGGCCGCTCATAGACCTGTTCGGGCCTGGCACTAGGTAGTTGTGACAATGCTGTGGCGGTAATGCTTTGAATATCGAAGGAGGAAAAATAAATACCAGGATATCACTTATGAATGTGGATGATTTTGCGTGTGTGCTGTACTTCTAGCTTCGAATGGGTATATAGTCTGTTGTTATGCTGCTTTGCTCCAATCCGTGCATGATGCTTCGTGATTGAGCACTGGTACTTGCGTGCTCAAGTTGGCTAATACCCGGGCCATGCTCGACCCATCCAATCTGGCTCAGCCGATGGCATCTGTGCGCACCATGGCTTCTCCTTTGCTGTGTAGGGTGTCAAGGGCAGGTCGTACGGCATGCGGAAGCCGATGACTGTCTTGCCAGCCTGCCCTTCATCCGCGCCTTTGTTCACATCTTGACTCGACACATCTTCCGTGCCAGGCATATCCTTTCCAAACACCGGCACCATAATCGCCTCCTTGCTCTCAGCGAACAGTTCCGGCCAGACCACAACACCCGCTTCCCAGCTCTGGATCCACGTCTCGTCTTTCTTGTTCACGACGTCGCCCCAGGCTTGCTTGCTCAAGTTGGCCGAAGTAACCATTGCCCAGTCGATTGTCTTGTGCTTCTCATCGCTGTAGCGGATGTAGGTTTTGATGTGCGGTGCTGCAGGGCCACGCATAGCCTGTCCTTTTGAATTGCTGTCTGGTGTTGCTTTCCAGTGACAAAATAGAGGATGCAGGTATTCGAGTTGCTTTTGCTGTTGTATGGATAGCAGTTTCATGTGGATTGAACTGCCAGAGTCGTAGCCATCTAGTGAAGTTCGGACCTCGTCGGATGTTGGGAAGATGATATTGAACTTTGGAGATAGTGGCTTGTCTTGCTTTGCACTCGACATGCCTCCCTTGGAGAATAACTTGGGAGGTTTCGAACTGGATGCTGCCGGGGCTTCTTCCAACTGGCCAGCAGCTGAACGGCAAAGGACCGATTGGAACTTGTTGAGCCAGGTTGGAGCTGCACCTAGAGTCGCTATTGACGAAACCTGCATGACAATGTGTGGTGCTGACGCTTTCTTTGCGTTCGCTGTGATCGGTACATTGGACAGAATCTCTTCGAGACCGAGCCAGCCAAATGATGTTTGCTGAGCCGGTTTTGTGGCAATAGGCTTCTGGCGTGATGGTACACTACCGATAAATGCTGCCTTGATAGAAGAAAAGTCGTAGTCCCGAAGTTGTTTTGTCAGACTATCCAGTCGCTTTCCGTACGCACTGAAATATCGTAGAAGGTCGACTTTGAATCGCGCTCCACTACCAACTGGGTGTGCAGTATCATCTGTCTTATCTGTTACGGCTGAACTAGGGAGAAGTGGTAACATGGGCGACCGCCATACAGCTTGGGTCATGTTGCCCCAATCCTACAAACGCAAACACACGCTGTTAGTGGACGTCTTCTAGTCATTTCTACATAGTATGTCTTACCTTGAAGATCATATTTGCCGTATGGATGACGACCTGTGCTTGTTCATCATGCGTGAACAGCACAAGCATTTTCGAGTGGTGAGTGCCGAACGGATCAGGGATGTACGCATGAAGCAGCTGGATGTTGGGATAGCGCTCTGCTGCTTCCTGTAAACATGTTAGTGTGATGTGAAAACAAAGTCTAGATCAGGGTGCAGAGCCCATACCAATAGAGCGATCCTCCTCTCGTCCTCGTTCTTCCAGAAGCCATGGATAAACTTGACCTTCACCAAGTCCCTCACATCCTCATCGAAGTGCTTCCTGGACGCAAGTTAGTACTGTAGGCGTGGAATCTTGCGATTATCCATCTGTGTGATCTCGGAAACTCACATAACAAAGTCGATGTCGTGAAGAAAATTGAAGTTCCAGCACTCTTTGATCATTGGGTTGCCCAGTATATCCCCCAGCCGCACAGCGTCCACATTCTGACGCGGTCCCAAATCTTGGATATGAGTGAGTTGAAACGGCGAAGACACATAATCTGTGCATTCTGCCTTCCCTGTAGTAGCTCTTTCCGTAGGCGTCTCCTGCTGCGCTTCTGGCTGCAAAATGGGCGAATGCGGTTCTTTCGGCAGATTGTCGAAACCCCACGTTCGTGCGACGAGGGCGTCTGTTACTGCAGAATTTTGACGCGTTGAGGGCGGCGGACTGATTGCTCTACCGAGGCCGCTGCGAGGTGGATGTGGAAGGTGATGGTTAGTCGGCGCTAGTGCTTGTTGGGGGTGACTGTCATCGAGTTTCTGGCGCTTTGACGGACGATCGTCCTCTTGCATGGCCATGGCACCTGTACGCGGTACTCTGGTGAGAGAGTGAGATTAAGGGCGGAAGGGCGGAAGGGCGGGTGTAGGCGAGTATAGACTGTTCTGTGAGCGAGGTTGTGTTTACGGCACTCGCGCTTGGACCATTGGGACTGTGGAAGGCGCGAGCAGCAGACGTCACTGGAAGAGATGAGAGACGATGGAAATCACCGTAGGAAGCATCACAATGCACAGTGATAATGTCTGAAATCGTGAATGTTTTCATTCTTGGTCTAGGCCGTGAGGCTACTTTTCAAAGCCAATCACTCGAGGAAGGCTACAAACATACGCCATCTAACATGACTGAGCATCGTAACCATGATGCTTTCTAACGATCGCTAAGAAATTGAATATTACTCTGTCCGCCAAGGAAGAGAGACAACCAAACGCCATACATCGCTCGTGAAGATGAAGATCCAATCTATGCTGCACTAGCACTCTGAATGGGTTGCGCAACCTTGGTAATCTGGTTACCAGCCCTGATGATTGGGTTGCCTGCGTCGTCCAGGACCAGACCGACATCCTTGTTCTCACGCTGAGCGCGCTTCCAGATCTCCACTTCACAGCCACCGCGGATGACACCAACCCTCATGGTAGAAAGGAGGTTGTGGGCTCCGTTGGAGTGGAAGTAGACACCGCCGTTGAACATGGCGGTGGCATCCTTGCCAACGCCGCTCTTGATAAGCGTCTTGCCACCGGGGTGCTCGTTGATGAAGTCGGTAACGTCATGAACGACACCAGCGACAGCGATGAGACCACGGCCGTTCTTGGCCTGCTCGACATAGTCGTCCCATTCTATGACAGGCAGCTGGTCGAGAGGGACACCCCAGTCGAGCTTGGCGCGCTTCTGGTCAATCTTCTTCTGGAGCTGCTGGACACGACCCTTCTCGATTTCGTTGGAGCGGAACTGCTTGAGGTTGGAGGCGAGGCCGAGCTTGCTCCACAGCCAGATGGACCACTTGGTAGGGTCGTACTGGTGCCACTCGATGGCGTTGCGGTAGTCGGAGGGGAACTCGTGGTGGAAGTTGTGGTAGCCCTCTCCGAGAGTGACAAGAGCGGTAATGACGTGGTCACGAGGAGAGTTGCGGTCGTCGAAGGGCTGGTCACCGAGCCAGTGAGCAAGCGAGTTGACGCAGAAGGTGGCCTGCTGGACGAAGAAGATACGGAGGATACCAGCGTAGATGAAGCCACCCATCCAATCGCCCCACATGAGACCGGCGACGGCAGAGGGAAAGATCAAGCCCATGGTGACGACGGCCTTGATGTAGTTCTTGTGCTGCCATACGACAACGGGGTCCTCGTTCAAGTCGGTGATGTCGGTGCGGCCGATACGCTTGGGGTTCTGCTTCATGACCATCCATCCGAGATGGCTGTAGAGAAGGCCCTTGCGGACACTGTAGGGGTCCTTGTTGGTGTCGGTGTAGCGGTGGTGGGCGCGGTGGTCACGGCTCCACCAGCGGATGGAACCCTCAACAGCACCAGCGCCGACGGCGGCGAGCCAGATCCTCAGAGGAAGACCGGCGTTGTATGACTTGTGTGCCCAGAGACGATGGTATCCGGCGGTGATACCGAGGCCAGTCCAGAAGTAGTAGATGACAGCCCACGCAGCGGTCTTCCACTGCAGAGGGGTCCAGAAGGCGGCGACGCAGCCAGCGAGAGGCACGCCGATGATGAAGATGACCTTGCGAGTGTTAGCGATTGCGGCAAGGTTGGGCATCTAGATAGAACTTACGTTGAGCCAGTTGACATGCTGGTACCAGTTTGACCGCGTGATGGGCATGTCTGTAATGTGCGGCTTCTTAGGATCGTACTTGGAGTTGCGGTTGGGCTCCGAGGTGCTCGCCATAGGAGACGGCTGCTTGACAAACTCGGGGTCGATGGCCTGCATGCCAGCAACAGCCTGGTGGGAAGGCATATTGAGGTGTGTTGACAGGTAAAGGCGAACGAGCGAAAGATAATGTTCGGCGGTAGGAAGTGACTAGCCGCTCAGTGAATGCGAGCTCCGGTCAGCCTCCGATGTGTTGTAGAAGCTCCAGCAGCGAAGAGGAGACTTCACCACGCTCGAGTGAATGACGAGGTGGAAGGCGTGTGTGTGGTGGATGAAGCAGGAAGCGGTAAGGGACAGGAGCGAAAAAGAGGCAGGCACACAATTAATAAAGGCGGTGGAATGGAGCTGCTACTCTGTTGAACCCCAACACTTTCCTCGCGCTAAGCGAAGCCTTTGGAAGAAACCGGGGACCTTGCATGAGTGCTCGCCCGCCGTCGAGACCTGCCAGTGTCGTAACTTTGTGCATCTTCGGCCTAGCGCTGCCTGCCATTCGTCTTCCAGGGTCCTGCACGGGCGATTAGCTGGCCGCGTGCTGTTGCGGTGCGAAAAAGATTTCGAGACTAGCGGATCTTTGCCGTGCCAGCGGCCGTGATCTCGGCGGCGAAGACGGTTCTTGGGTGGCGCTGCCTGTGCTCGCAGGAACAGCTCATCAATCCCACACATCGAGACTTCCCCAGATTCTGAGCGCCCAACAGGCATCGGCATTGGCGTGACGGAGCACTGCACGCCGAATTGGCTGCCAGCCATTTCGCTGAGTCGCGACAACGACAGCCAAAGAGCGGTCTGATAGTGACGCCTCGGCAGCGCTTCCCGGTGCGAGAATCTTCTCACGCGTTGGTGATGCCACCCGCTTGAATCAAGTCTCGTCATGACTGCTAGTCCTGATACTTGCCCCACAGAAGCACACAATGGCGACCTGGCAAATCAGATCCAGCTGTATGGCCGACGCATGCGAATGCTGTTGATATCTCTCGCTACCAAACTATATGCAGCCCTACGTATGTGTGCAGCCAACACCAGAGACAAACTTGAAACGCATCTCACATGAGACGGACCGTCAAGAGAGAGGCCTCGGAGCATCTGCAACGGTGGCAAATACCTCGGTCAGTGCTCCAACGTGCAAATGGCATCCGAGACGAGCAAAACGAGCTTCCTCCGAGGTATGAACGCTGCCAGACGACCCTGGCCCGGGCTTTGTCATCGGACCCACGGCACCGCCACTCGACACGGCTTCGCAAGCCCATCCGTTTTGGGCACAGTGCGCCTCAACACCATTCTCATCCCGTCGCCCAGCCAAACAGGCGTTCCTTGATAGCACGCAGTGACGACTTTGGTCGAATCGTCATCACCACTCCTATCAGGATATGTCACCGTGGACGTGGTAACTTCACATGCTGACTGCTGGCCTCGGTCTCAGGTGGGGGAGTTGCAGTATGTTTTGTTGGATGCCAGGTTTCGGGGTCGACCGTTGATCTCCATGTCGCAAGCGGAGTGTTGAGTTCATGCAGCAGCCTGGGGTATGCCGCCGCAGTATCGACAGAGCGGACGCTTGCGTACACGTCCCGGCACGTCTTCCGCTGATGCTCTCGGTATGAACGCATGGAAAACGCTTACATGCGTTGTTCGGGTAGGGCTGAAGGCGACCCGACTGACATCGTAACCCATAAGAGACACTGCTCTGCGAGATGATCCAGAGGGAGTCGAGCCCAATTTCTTGTAGGTCGATATCAGGATAGCAGTGTGGTGCGGTCATCAATTCGGACTGATGAATATATTTGTGTTCCTTCACACAATCAGCTTTGACGTCGGTGACTTACGATGCACGAAGGTCCTGAATCTGAACGGTCTGGTCGCTTGCTGATATAGAGCAACACGCCCCGCAACAACAGCACCGCTAGACACGATCCATATAGACTGGGCAGTAGAGAGGTTGACGCGATGACGCCTGACGTTTACCCTGGGACTTTGCAGCCTACGTATATCACGATTCCCAAGGTCAGCATTGCTTACCACATGTGCGCAGCTGCGGCAGTTTAGTCAGGCAGTCAGAGAATTCGAAGACTGATTCCAAGCCCGGCATCCGGCGACTATACATCGTGCATATCCAACGTCAAGCCCGGAATCACATCTCTATGCGACGTGGGATGCAATTCCATGCTCCGCAACCGCAATGCTGCGAGGATATGACCCTCCCCCATCGGAAGCTGCCGACAGCCACGTGATAACACCCTGTAGAGCTGACCAATTACAAGACGCAGAGCAGCTTATCAGTAAACCTCTTGTCTTCATTTTAGCAACCCATGTGGCAGCCCCAGGCTTTTCAGCACTTCTGCCTTAGCGAACCAATGTGCCGTGGAGATCAGATGCTGTATCGCGGCGCATTACGAACCGCATCGGCCAGCTCCAGCACGGTGGCAGTGGTCCTGAGTTCTTGGGACCTGGACTAGGTCGTCGGGTGCGAATGTTTGTGTATCGTGGGCATTGGCAGTTGCGATAATGCTCGGATCCACTTTCGCTATATAGACGAGTTGGGACCTCTGTTGCAATTGTTATTTTCATCTCGTTGCACATCGGCTTGCGCATTCTTCTTCTCCTGGGCTATCTAGTTCGAGGACGTCACTTCCCCGCAAATCGCATAGCATAGCTTGAGACAATTTCGAAGCCATTGCAAAAAGCATTCGCGATCACCAACCCCAGCGGAGGCAAAACGCGCTATTCGCATATCTAAGCGATACCAAGACAACTATCTTATCCAGTGACTGGTCGTGTAAATTCATATCATCAGCCAAAAAGTGCGAGAATATCAGCCTTCGACTCACAGCTTGCGCGTCTTATCTGATCTGCTTGCACCGACCATAACCTTATCTGGGTTTGGCGACCTTCAGAAGCACAAGTTACATTTGAGCGCAGGCCGTACGACTTTAAAGAGCATTGGACTTTGGAAATCGACCTGCTTCAAGAATACCTTGCACAATGGCCGATCGAATTGGACCCGATCAAGGACCGAAGCGCACATGGGGAGAGAAGTTTAGGCGGGTTGGCAAGGCTTTTACTACCAAGTACGATTTCTCACCTGGATGCCGAGACATCTTTACGCATTCAGATGCGGTGACTAATTGTGGACAGAGACGGCCTCATTGGCAAATATGACTATGCATTCCTCTTCAGACCAAACCTGCCCTTTATGAAGAAGGAGAGGCGTGCTGCTCCTTTTTTCGGCCTTCACGATCGCTTACCAGTTCTCCTCGCGCTTCTTCTTGGATTTCAGTAGGCAGAAATTATCCATAATATGCATGTCGGCCGTATACTGACTTCATACTAGACACGCTCTTGCTATGTTGGCCGGTGTCATCACTCCACCCATCATACTGGCCAATGCCGCCAACTTGACGCCAGACCAGCAGCGTTACCTCGTTTCCACCTCCCTCATCGTGTGTGGCATCCTCTCCTCCATTCAAATAACTCGTTTCCATATCTGGCGCACTCCCTACTACATCGGCACAGGCCTTATTTCCGTCGTTGGAACTAGTTTTGCTACTATCCCCGTCGCGACTGGCGCCCTGAGCCAAATGTACGCAACAGGATTCTGTCCGACCTCACCCACTGGTCAGAAGTTACCATGTCCTGATGGCTATGGTGCTATCCTGGGAACTGCAGCGTGTTGTGCGCTTCTAGAGATTGGCATGTCCTTCACTTCACCGCGCATGCTCAAGAAGATCTTCCCACCAATCGTCACCGGTCCGACGGTCATGTTAATTGGTGTTAATTTGATCTCCTCTGGATTCAAGAACTGGGCTGGCGGATCGGGAGATTGCTTCGGGCGCCCCCAGACTGGACTGTTCAGGCTCTGTCCCAATATCAATGCTCCTCGTCCGTTGCCATGGGGCTCGGCGGAGTTCATCGGTCTGGGATTCAGCGTATTCATCACCATCATCATCTGTGAGCGGTTCGGCGCGCCGATCATGAAATCCACTGCCGTTGTCATTGGGCTGCTTGTTGGCTGTATTATCGCTGGTGCAACTGGATACTTTGACCGTAAACCCATTGATGCTGCACCCGCAGTTTCATTCATCTGGGTGCATACATTCAAACTCAGCGTCTACGGACCGATCGTCTTACCATTACTGGCAGTATACATGGTCCTTGCTATGGAAGCTATCGGCGACATCACCGCTACGTGTGATGTCTCGCGCCTCGAGGTCGATGGCGACATGTACGATTCTCGCATACAAGGAGGTATTCTGGCCGATGGCTTGAACGGTATGATCAGTGCTCTCTGTACGAACACACCAGTGAGGTAAGTTGATGATGCCCACGCTTTGTGCTCTACTAACAACCCTTAAGTACCTTTGCCCAGAACAACGGCGTGATAGCCCTCACCCGGTGCGCAAACCGCCGAGCAGGCTATGCATGCTGCTTCTGGTTAATCGTCATGGGCGTATTCGCCAAGTTCGCCGCCGCCCTTGTCGCTATTCCCTCAGCCGTGCTAGGCGGCATGACAACCTTCCTTTTCTCTAGCGTCACAGTATCAGGTATCCGCATCATCTCCACCACGGTTAGTCTCTTCCCCAACTCATTTATAGCAAAAACTAACCCCTCTACAGCCCTTCACTCGCCGCACCCGCTTCATCCTCGCCGCCGGCTTCACCCTCGGTCTTGGCGCCACCATGGTACCCAACTGGTTCGCCTTCGTATTCACATACAAAGGCGACAACCGCGCGTTATCAGGCTTCTACAATGCGATCGTGCTCATCATGGAGACGGGCTTTGCGGTCGTCGCTTTTGTCAATTTGGCGCTGAATTTGATGCTGCCCGAGGAAATTGAAGATGAGGAGACGCCGGAACTCACGGCGAACGAAGCGGATGAGGTCGCAGATAGAGAGGAGTGGGAGAGGATCAGGAAGGGGAGGAAGGATGAGGAGGGCGGGGTGAGTGAGGATGGGGTGGGTGCTAAGGTCGTGTAGGGTGGGAGATGGGGAGTTGGGGCATCTTATAAAAGGTTCTGTTGTACCAGCATCAAGCTCACTCGGTCTATACACCACTCCCTCTCCACCCAAGTGCCTCTGCCCAAGCATTGTAAATCCTGATCTCCGCGTCTGTCAATCATGTTTCCTGGCGCTGACCATCCACTATTGATACCGAGTATTTGACCCAGCTAGTTGGCGCTACGTTCAAAGTTACTAGTCTTTGCCTCTGTAGACTTCCGGAATGAAGCTATGCAGATTCGGCGCATCGACGTGCTTGTCTTTGCTCCTGGTGGCAATAACCCCAAGATACCAGGACATGTAAGTGTGTATTGCGAATGTGCTTCGGCAGAACCGCTCTCCCTGTGGAAAATGTGGTGCTCGAAGCCTAACACAGAAAAAGATAGGAAGACGATTCTGTGGGGCAGTTCAGCGTCCGCTTCGCCTGTTTATCTGCGCTTTTCTTGTAAATTCCCGTTGAGGTCGTGTTGATATGACTCAATCCCTTCGCCGTTGGCCATGTATGCCCTGCTGTTGAGCCAAGCCTTGTATTCGTCTTTGACATGGAATTCATATCCTGTTGGGTAGTGAACAGGAAAGACGAGTGCCTCGTGTTCGGGGACGCTGGTGGTTCGAAACGTGCAAGTGTCAATTGGACTCAGATAATCAAAATCCGCGCATGCTCATGTAACGCTCGTAAACAACCTTGAGAAGAGTCTTGATCAAATAATGTCGTCGCTCTCGCAGATCCGATCCCACGCCTCATGGATGTCGAAGAAGCCGTCACTAAAGAGGAAGACGAGTTTTTGTGACAAAGCGCCTTCTTGGTATGTTCGTACCCGACAAATCCAAACAGATGTTAATATTTTGAGAATGAGCTCGGCGCCATCTACAAACTTTCCATCAATCCTGGAGACAAGTTGCATCATGTTTATCACGAATGCTACGATAATTGACCTGACAGGAAGAAGCGCCGTAGGCAAACGAGATTTACAACGCGACATCCCGCATCTACCAGCAAGCCGACTTCCTCTTCCTAGCCCCAGTAAGTCGCATACGTGCTATTGCCCGCAATGACATTCGCGAACTCCCTCGCAATGACGCGGCTCGTCTGCTCACTCGGATGCAGCGGATCATACCACTCATAACTATCCGGGCTATCCGCCAGCGTACAATTCGAACTCGTCTGCGCATCACATAGGTTCACCACGCCCTGGACATTAGGCGGCGCCGTCCCATTAAAGTACTTTGCAGGGTTGTGATAGATGTCTGTCATCAAAGAATTGACGTCAAAGCTCGCAACGTTGATGTCGTCCCACGTTTGGTTGAACGTTACTTCATACGGCGTACGGTACTCGTAGACTTGGTTCAACGCGGCGACGGTCTCATGCATACGGCCGTTGATGGCAGTGGCGTTCATGCCTTGCTTAGTAGGGAAAAACTGGGTTGCTGGGAGGCCGCCGTCTTCGGGTAGTGCGTACTGAGGCAGCAGGTTTAGGGGTGCTAGGTTCATGATAACGAAGTAGCGGCCGCCGTTGGCGTACAATCTCGAGATCTGGTTGTACACGCAGTCCATGTAGTCGGCGACGGTTTTGCCCTTGATCTGGCTATCGGTCAGGAAGGCATCGTTGCCGAGATCGTTGGTGCCAATCCAGATGGTATAGACGGTGTTGTCAGGTGTTCCGGTGAAGAATTTGGTGCCGTTAGCCGTGGTATAGTTGGAGTCGGCGATGAAGGCTGGAAGCTCGTAGCTGTCAATGTCTGGGAATGGCGCTTTAATGGCAGCGAAAAGTCGAGGTGTGACTTGATTGGAGCAAACGGCGCCGGAGACTGCGTAGTTGTACAAATTTGCGCTGGTGTAAATGGCGGCATATCGTGCCCATGATAGACCACCAGATGCAGTTGCATAACCCTGGTTCGTGTTAGAAATCATTACAGCGATGTTGGTCTAATGATCTCGTCCGATGGGTAGAAGACCTTCCAGTCCTCATCCTGTATCTACTACACGCAGCAGCATTGTTGTGATACCATATGCGAGCAGAAGTGAAGGGAAAACGGTCAGGATTCACATACTACTCCTCCATCCCATCCAACGGGAGGTGCCGAGCCATTGTTGTTGATGAAGTATCCAAGCCGGTTTTCATCCGTGTAGCTGTCGCCGAACGTGACCAATGTTTCGAAGTGTCCGCTCCTCCAGCATGAGGACGGTTGGGCAGCTAGTCCGACGCCAGCCGCTGAGCTAGCGAGAAGCATACGCAAGGACCATGAAGAAGGCATAATTAGAGACGTTCCTGACGATCAGTGTAGCAAGTACAGCTATTTGTATATCGCGTGGTGGCTGGTGGCGAATGGCTCAATGCCGGAGCGCTAGATATTCCCCTCCGCCGATGCATCTGCTATAGGCCGGGGAACCAATCTACGGCAAATTGAAGCTTCTTGCGGGGATTGAGGGGGACGTGAGCCCGGTTACAACATGGTGATGATGTCGCTTGCGGCCACTAAGCGCTTTTCGCATATAGTTTATTCGCGATCAGCCTAATGAGGGATACCGGAATTGATGCTCCTATTCAGTCACGGAGTGCTGTAAGTTGCTCGAGCGAGCTTTGAGTTTGATGCGTAAAAGGCTTAAATCCAAAGACGAGTGTTGTATATGTCTTGCCAAGGCATGGTTGTTGTAGCTACTCGATCTTTTGCCAACAACTAGAGCACGGTTGCCGAGCGGGGGACGCGCATAAGACATGCCAAAAAGCTTCATGAGAAATGCGTCATCAGAAATGCGCAATTGTATGGCCATGCGCGGCCACCGATGGAGTACAGCTTGGAGAAGTTGTCTTTCGCCAATTCATTTTCTGCGTGTCATCAGGCAAGCTTGAGGCGTGTCTTCCCCACACGTCAGTGTTGCTCCCAGACGTATCCTATTTATGCAAAACACCAGCCTGCAGCGTCAAGGATACAATTGATGGACACGTTCTTATGTGCAGTGGACAGGAAATGAGGAATCGCGATGTGTTGGCTCAAGTGCGTCAGGAGTAGTTGTGCCAGCATGCATGGCGATCCTGCAAATTTGGTAGCTCCAGAAGAAGGGTTCGAGGTTTGCAACATTGTTAAGCGCGCTTGCCTGCCGCGAATCTCGCGCACACCAACGCGAGATTTCTACTGCATGTATGCGGCGAGCTTGTGGAGTGTATGTTCAACGATTTGGTTTAAAGGTCCGATTTGCCGTATAGAGATTAATGTTGGTAGGGCTTGGTAGCGATCGTGCTCTCACAACACACTTCTGATCGGCAAACATTGGGAGGATCGCGAAATCAGTTTGCAGCCATGAGAGGCGCCGACGTATGGCCTGCAGCACTTGCTTCGCGGAAGCGGCTGTGCAAGGCTCAAGCAGCCCACATGCGCTAACACTCACGTGTTGACCTCGGGAGTTGGCCATTCCAGGCCCATGCCAAACGAGGTGCTCGGACGTGGTTTTGGGGGCCGACTGTCCATACATGCTGACTTCCATTTTGAGACGATGTCTCGCAATGGAACACCCAGCGATGCATAGCCGTGTATGATCAAATGAGAGACCCGTAGAGTCGGCATGCCGAATCTCACTCGGCAGAGATGACATCCTTCGGCAAAAGCACTGAGTCGTGGATCGTGGGTGCTGGGCTGGAGGCGCCAGGAATGCATTCGCTACCAGACTGCCGGTGTAAGGGCTTGGGATGACAGCAGGACCCAATTATGACGGCCTATGAATGCTTTGACGTGCCATCGGCACCCTCCGCACAGACTGGAGACGTGTTGACCGTCGGCTTGCTTTGACGGCGTTGGTGATTGCTCTTTCCTCCTCTACTTGGACCCTTGATGCCGTCGTCTTCCATTGATACCTTACCCCAAGCTCAGACCATACCATTATCCATCACGAATCCATCTGTGTACAGACTAGACGTGGAAATACGTGTGGGCATGCAAAGTGTCGAGTGGACGCTCCACTACTCCTTCACTGGCCCCATCGAGGCGCGCGAGCAGGCCAACGGCTGATAACCGCGACAACCGCTAAAACCAACAGTCGACCACCGGCTCTATCAACACCATCGGTTCAACCTGCTTCGAACGGGGAGATGGTGAGCACGTTCAGCTACACTGAGCCTGTTACTGCGCAAGAGAATGAGTCTGACAAGCACATTTTCTAGATGACGTACGCTGTCATCGCCCCTGCACATGGGTTGTAGCCAAGACGCCTTCACTCTATCTGCCGGCGAGTGGGATACGAATAAGACATATCGAGTCTGGTGATTTCCCGCGTATTCGCAGACGTTTCAGCTCCGTCATAATGGCTGTATGGGACAAGTCTTGGAGGCGCAACATGCCCTTACCCCACCGCCACCTACTGTTGCTCTTTCTCGAATACAGGATAGGAATGGCGCATCTTCAAGACATTGTCGTATGTTAGTAGATGGTCCTTACTGAGTACGACCTGGGCACGAAAACTGTCGCCTGGCTCTGCCGTCTCAACGATCGACGATTACGCTGCGAAGTCAGTACTATGGCGACTCGAGAACAAACATAGGAGACAGGAAGGGATCCCGACAAGAAGTAAGTGCATGAGAGCAAATGTCGAGAAGGTGCACTACCCGCATAGCTTGATGTATCGCTGGCGCAAGCATACCCTTTCTGCGGCAGCACATGTTGATCAGTCAACAGAAGCATCCTGTTATTGCATGTCATGGGACTATCTCCCCGAGCGCCACATAATTAGAGAAAAGCTCGTATCGCCGCTACATCTACCGGAGTACATTGCGACGTTGCCGTTGGCGGACGACTTTTGGAGCAAACAAGGAAAACATGTCGTTATCTGCGACCACAGACGATGTGGCTGGGTAATTTTAGCCGCGAATGGTCTAGAAGCATTTTCTCACTCACATGGGAAGGTAAAGGTTCAGTTCAGTATCCTGAAGCTCAAGGCGGACCTCCTGGATAAGGAAATCGAACTGCGCGGCGGTCCAGCCAAGATATGCAGTGAAAGGCCACAAGCCCAGCGATTCGAGAAGGTCACCAACAACACAAATCGCGTCTCGGCCAATTCCAGCCTGTGTGGGATCTGAAAGGCAGTCAGCTGTATACTCCTCAACTTGACAAAGCACCGCTTAGTCCTTGAATGGAAGTCTTCTTGGCCCATATGCTACCTTTGGTACCTGACGGAACGTAGCAATTCGGAAGACTACACACCTGGATGCCAACCTCCTATGGGTAGTCTTTTGTAATCCGTCTGGACGTCTCGCAGACCCGCTGCGGCGACTAGCTCTTGCAGCCTTGGGGCCACCCTCGGGTCACGCTGTAGATCTGTCATTGACCTAGCATAGCCCTGCCACCAGCGATATACTGCAGAGCGTTCTGTCAGTCGCCCGCTGTTCGACTGGATATGAAGATGGTACTCTGCGACCTGGACCCAACCCCCTGGGCGCAACAGTACCCTCATGTCCCGAATGTAAGACGCCCATCTATTCTTCTTGATACCAGGTGAAACGAATCTGGAATGTATGAGGTCGTACGGTCTGGTTTCGAAAACCTCGGGGTCATTAAGCCTGTCGTTCAGGTTGTAGCTGAAGAGCTCCAGATTGTCGGGTTGGTCAGGAAGCCCCCTGCGCTCGCGAAGGATAGTGTCAGCCTGGATCCCGGACGTGCTTGATATGCAGGCGCCTTACATAGGAAAAATGTCGATGGCGGTGACCTGTTGCGATTAGCATGATTCCATGCAAGCTCGTCGCGCGAAAGAATTGTGCACAACACCAGGGTCGAAGCGTACCTTGCAGTCTTCGAAGGTTTCCGCAAATTGGACGCACCAGTCGCCACCACCATAACCGCAATCGAGGACGCTGTTTGGATCTCGCAGCCGAATTGTGGAAGAAACGAAAGAATCTCCGAGAAGCCTCTGAAAGATATCATGTTGGGCCGTCAACCTGTCTTCTTCCCGATCGTCATTCGCAACAGGCACGCAATATATCTTCTCGTCCACGGATATTTTCTGGAAGACCCTCCCATGAATGCTGACCATCGCAAAGTCGTCCCCCATGCTGCGCTACGCTCCGACTCAGTTTCTGGGGGCGTGTTGGTGGAAAGCCGAGGGGGTACCCACCAGGCAATCGGCAGCATGCGGTTGTACGGCGATTATAAACTCGCGCTGAGCGATCGATCTGGCTGCTGGTAGCGGGATTTATCTGCTTAGTGAGCGTCACTGTCAGGACATTACCTGGAGCATAACTTGCGACGTGTATTCTTACTCCAGCTGGACCTAAACAAGTTCGATGGCGTGGCAAACAGCAGTCGTCACCCACCAATGCTGACTGGAGGAGTAGGCGAGCAAACTGACCTCCCACTTTCTTGTTCGAAGAGAGCTTGTGAGTTGGGCAGCCTTCCGGCAATGCAAGTCTCGGTTAGAAGGCATCACAACCACAAATTGCAATTGCTCCCGTGATGAGCTGACTCCTGAGCCCGCTCAGCCGCATCGGGTGCTGCAATATCTCGAGATACTGCACGATGGCAGTCATGCAATCAGTGTCCAAAGCACTGATCCTAGTCCGCGACAGCCCTGTATTACATGCCTGGATGCAAGAGCGGTCAGCTGTACGCCATGGATGGCTCGCATGGCAGACCGCCCCGCCACCAAGAAAAATGACCGTCATCAGTGGAAGCGAAAGCCCTGAAGATCATTCGCTCCACCAGGGCTTGTTATACAAGCTTCGACAACAGCAGATGCAGTAGGCCTAGCTTTACGAAGATGCAAGACAGTCCGTAACTAAAAGAAACCGGACACTGGTCAACATAGCTGGTCAAAACTCACTTGACCGACAACGGTCCGCTTCGGCTCTTGACCGGCGGGAGAAAATTCGCAGTTGTCGATCTGACTAGGCTCCGACTTGACGGATTGACAAGACAACACATGTAGCACGGCATATACGTGGCTGGGAAGCCTAGGATGGAATTGACCCACGACGGCCTGTCCCGCCACGCTTCCTGTCACAATTTACCGCTGACACGGCATCGGGAGACACCAAAACTGGTCCGCGAAGGTGTCGGACACGGATCATTGAGATTGTTAGCAGACATTTTGCTGCCTCCAAAACGACCAAATACACATAAACAGCGACACGACAAAGTATAATCCCGGGCGGGGCCCACCCCAAACTGTGCCAAACTATACCACACGACATAATTCCCACCCCTTACAGCAAATGGTTTCTTCTCCTCGGGTGCTTGATGGCACTCCACCGAGGCAGCAGCTAACACAGATTAGGACTGGCCGCACGACAATTAGTTCAAGCTTCCGCTCGGGCCAGTCCTGTGTCGTGTCCCAAATTGTTTGCTGTGCTAACACAACATGACATTCTCTATCAAGGACTCGGTACGGACATCAACTGAAAAGCAGTACGGAATAGATCGATGTTCAAGGGTGAGGAACTGGCACGTCGGCAAGCTTTGCAGTGCCACGAAGTCAGAACGACGAAGCTACTAGCTTTTATCCAAGAAGCAGGGGACCGAAAACGACATGAAGCACGGACAACATGGCATCAGACTCAAGGTTACTTCTGTTTCGACAGCCTTAAACAGATCCTGTCAAGATGTCTAGTACAAGGTTAAGTAAGACTGCATCTCGTGTCATGCGAGGAATCAAGGATGCCCCCGCTCTGCATTGCGCATCACCACCGCTTTCGCTTCACTTGCGAGAACACGATTGCACTGCGTCAAAAGCTTTCCGTTAGTCATGGTGTTGGCAATCATTAGTACAATGTTTTGACTAGGCAAACACAACGTTCCCGCTGCAGAACTCCGAACGCGAGCGACTTCATCAACGTATTACACGCCAGCCTCTTTACACTCCACAGACCCAACACTCTTACTTGACCAGTACACGATGGTGTTCAAGATTCAGAATCTACGTCGCATTTCAGCATGAATACCTTGAAGAGCAAGCTCCCTTTTAGGGGCAGACCTGCATTTGACTCTACCCTTGGAGGATGCTCCACGTCACACAGAAAGTATGGCTGGGATCAGGGTCGAATGATGCCGGAGCAGGGGCCGTGACAGATGTGGTTGGCCCGATGAGAGCGTTTGCATGGGAAAAGTGTCGGGTCGTCGCTTCTCAGTTCCACGTTGCATGCGTTTCAACTGCTGCGACTCGCGACGGAAATAGACTCGAGCACGGAGTCCGGTTACTAGCAATATTGACTATCTCCGGCCTACCTACTCCTTGTCTGACGAATTTGTCATTAGCAGACCGCTACAGGCGACTGAGTGATATTTGATTGCGATTGGTGGTTGATATGAGTAAGACAAACATGGCTAATGGATCAATTCACAACCCCACAATTGTAAGCAGCATGCTTAGGCGATATTCGACCCTCGCTGCCAGCTGACGAACACTCATACCTATGTCGAGAGCTGGAATATGTCTGTTCATCCTACGTGAGATGGTCTAGATTACAATTTGAAGGTAGCTTGTCGATGCTTTACGCGTCTTGCATTTATTGAGGCACATCGAAGGCCGAAAGTCTTTCCTGGTCTTACAATACACAATTGCTCTGACTTTGGTGACTAGATGTTCCATAGAGAGTTAGTGTTAGTCAGCACATATGATGAGTAACTAAAGTACGAAGAGGCAAAGATGTGTGATCGGTGCATTTGGAGTGAAAGCAACTCTTGGGACGACATGTGGATGCGAAACAAAGCAAGGACTTTGGAACCGAGAGAATGTCATGATCAGTGATGATTTCGAGGATACCGAGCTAGTATAAGTACAACGACCTCGGGAATCTACGATGCTCGAGTTTCAACCAGGAACCATAGGCCCCACATGGTCTCACAATGCTATGAACATTGGAAGCGCAACACCATGATCTTGGTCTTACGTGTACTCAACCAGTCTTACGAAGACTGTAGAGCCAATACTGAGAACAAAAAGACGCAATTGCAGTACTTCTGTGTATGCAAGCACCAAAATGAGCAATTCTCCTCCGCATTGCAATCTCAGGCGTCCTCCTTGAACTGGACTCTTGCGCCGACTACAACAAGCCCACCAGGCCGTTGAAAACATCACCTGACGCCCCGTATTATCACAAGCTCCATCTGAACTCAGAAGAGATGATGAGCGTGGCATGTGAAAGTCGAAGAGGCTCGCACGACGCCAAGGTTTGGTTGGGGTCCCCACATTGTCGACTCGTGAGCAATTGCCGAGGCACAACGGTCAGTCGTCATGAAGCCGGAAACGAGGTGCTCGGCTTTCACAAGGATGCTGATCAAAACCACGACGCGTCCACCAGCTGTTACTCTGACCATACCCACTCATTCCCCTTCACCACATTCTAAGTCCATCTCTCATTGAGGTTGTTGGGATCTTTGCTGATACCCGCGAAACCCCTGCATTGCTCTTTCATAGCTGTAGCAAGCTCCTCTCTCATCACATAGCAAGGTCTGCGTTGAGCATAATCTCGCATAACACAATATGGCTCCTCAAGAGCTGCGGTACGATGGCCAGACGGTTGTTGTCACGGGCGCTGGCGGTGGTCTTGGTCGCGAATATGCCATCTTCTTCGGCAGTCGCGGCGCGAATGTCGTCGTGAACGACCTCGGTGGAAGCTTCAAGGGCGAGGGCAAGGGCTCCGGGGTATGTTTCCATCACCACGAGCTCGTAAAACGAGTGTCAGAGGCTCGCGATTGCGATGTCCCGTGACACCACATTGCACTTTCACATGCTAACAGCTTCGCATAGGCCGCAGATAAGGTCGTCGACGAGATCCGCTCCGCAGGCGGCAAGGCCGTCGCCAACTACGACTCGGTCGAGAACGGAGAGAACATTGTCAAGACGGCGATTGATGCGTTCGGTCGCATCGATGTCCTGATCAACAATGCGGGTATCCTGCGCGATGTCAGCTTCAAGAACATGAAGCAGTCGGATTGGGACCTCATCTACAACGTCCACGTCAAGGGAGCGTACAAGTGCGCACACGCTGCATGGCCATACTTCAGGAAACAGAAGTACGGAAGGCTCATCAGCACCGCGTCGGCGGCCGGTCTCTTCGGATCCTTCGGCCAGACCAACTATTCTGGTGTGTATTCTCCAACCCTTTGCTTTCGCAGTGTTGAGCGCTAACCTTTGCAGCTGCCAAACTCGCGCTTGTTGGCTTCACCGAGACACTTGCAAAGGAGGGCCTGAAGTACAACATCCTCTGCAACGTCATCGCGCCCATCGCGGCCAGCCGAATGACCGAGACTGTTATGCCCCCTGATGTCCTCGAGAAGCTGAAGCCCGAGTGGATCGTTCCGCTCGTTGCCGTCCTTACACACAAGTCGTCCACTGAGACTGGTGCGATATTCGAGGCTGGAGGAGGCCACATTGCCAAGCTGCGCTGGGAGCGAGCCTCTGGTGCTTTGTTGAAGGCTGACGACACCCTGACTCCTGGCGCCGTTGCGGCCAAGTGGAACGAGGTTGTCAACTTCTCCAAGCCCGAGCACCCACAGGGCCCAGCAAACGCTCTTGAGCTGCTCGAGGCGGCCCAGAAGGTCCCCAGCAACCCCAAGGGCGAGGAGCTGGACTTCAAGGGCAAGGTCGCGCTCGTCACTGGTGGAGGTGCTGGCCTTGGTCGCATCTACTGTCTGCAGCTGGCCAAGCGCGGCGCAAAGGTTGTTGTCAACGACCTTGTCAACCCTGACGATGTCGTTCAGGAGATCCAGAAGCTCGGCGGTGAGGCTGTTGGCAACAAGGCCGATGTGCAGAACGGCGAGGCTGTCGTCAAGACCGCCATTGAGAAGTACGGCCGCATCGACATCCTCATCAACAACGCTGGTATCCTCCGCGACAAGGCTTTCGCCAACATGACCGACGACCAGTGGGACATCATCCACAAGGTGCATCTCCACGGCACTTACTCCTGCACCAAGGCTGCATGGCCTTTCATGCTGAAGCAGAAGTATGGCCGCATCATCAACACCACATCCACCAGTGGCATCTACGGCAACTTCGGCCAGGCCAACTACGCCTCAGCCAAGTGCGGTATCCTCGGATTCTCAAAGTCCCTCGCCCTCGAGGGCAAGAAGAACAACATCTTCGTCAACACCGTCGCACCCAATGCTGGTACTGCCCTCACCCGCACCATCATGCCCGAGGAGGTTGTCCAGGCTCTCAAGCCCGACTACAACGCACCTCTCGTCGTCCTTCTCTGCTCCGACAAGGCTCCTGAGCCAACGGGCGGACTATACGAGATGGGCTCTGGCTGGTTCGCAGCAACCAGGTGGCAGCGCACCGGAGGCCACGGCTTCCCAGTCGACGTCAAGCTCACCCCCGAGGCCGTTCTCGCACAATGGGAGCGCATCACCAACTTCGACGACGGTCGCGCTGATCACCCCTACGACAACGCCAGCGGCCTCAAATCCATCATGGCAAACATGGAGAACACCAGCAAGGGCAAGAAGGAGAAGAAGTCTAGCAAGAGCAACGAGGACGTCCTCGAAGCCCAGAAGAAGGCTTTGGCTGGCGAAGCCAGACGGTACTCCGTTCGAGTACACTGAGCGCGATGTCATTCTCTACAGTAAGTGTCTATTATACACGCTAACGTATTCTATGCTAACTCATACACTTAGACCTCGGAGTGGGCGCAAAGCGTACCGACCTCCCCTTCGTATACGAGGGCTCCAACGACTTCCAAGTCATCCCAACCTTTGGTGTCATTCCTCCCTTCAACGCCGAACCACCCTTCGAATTTTCCGAGATCGTCCCCAACTTCGACCCGCGCATGCTGCTCCACGGTGAGCAATACCTCGAGATCCGCAAGTTCCCCATCCCCACCGAGGCGAAGCTCATCGCGATTCCCAAGCTCGTCGAGGTCGTCGACAAGGGCGCTGCTGGGCTGGTCGTGTACGGCTCCGTCACAAAGGATGCGAAGACCGGCGAGGATATCTTCTACAACGAGAGCACAGTGTTCATCCGTGGCTCAGGAAACTTTGGCGGACAAAAGAAGGGCGCAGACCGTGGTGCAGCAACCAAGATCCACACACCGCCTAAGCGCGAGCCCGACGTCGTTGTCGAGGAGAAGACTTCGGAGGAGCAAGCTGCCCTCTACCGTCTCACCGGCGACCTTAACCCTCTGCACATCGACCCGCAATTCAGCAAGGCTGGCGGCTTCCCTACTCCTATTCTTCACGGTCTATGCAGCTTCGGTATCAGCGGAAAGCACGTGTTGCAGAAGTTTGGACCTTTCAAGAACATCAAGGTCCGCTTCGCGGGCGTTGTGCTTCCTGGCCAGACGCTCATCACTGAGATGTGGAAGACTGGAAACACCGTCATGTTCCAGACAAAGGTCAAGGAGACTGGCAAGTTGGCGATTAGCGGGGCCGGCGCTGAGCTGTTGGGCGGCGCAAGCAAGTTGTAAACGTGTGTTGTAAGTGCATCGACCTTGTTGTTTGATATAGGCGTTTAAGAAAGCCTTTTTGTAAATATGTAGTGTTATGATATCAGAGTATCTTGTTCCTTCAATTCTCCAACGTCTGTGATCTGTCTGTGATCTTTCGTGATGAGTTGCGAATATCATTCCATAAGTGTCACCGTGTGTCGAGTTGAGGAAGTGTTAGATATTCAGCCGTGTGGCCATATATTGTACCCATCTTGCTTGAGTTCCTTAACTCACACTTTACCTGTCCCTATTTCTTCTCCATGTAGCGATCTTGTCCCTTTACTCCATCTGCCAGGCTACTTTCTACTAAAGTTTGTAGCTGCAGTCGCACATTATGGCACAATCACACTATCACGTCTCGATCACACGGAGAGGTGCATGGCTAGTACCACAGAACTGCCAGAACGCCTCAATCAGCATCCCATTCTCCTAGTTCACAGGTTTACGCAGTATGTCTCTTGTTTGGCAGCATCTTACCCCATCTTCGTTTTCTTACCGCTCAAATCTCCGCGCTATCATGTCCAAGCAAGATCCTCTTCCCGAGACACCCATCGCCGAGCACGACTATGCCCTCACCTCGTTGTCCACGATGAAACAAGTACCCCAGTCTCCAGCTCGACCAGCGACGCCCCATTGTCCGCCATCAATCCATGAGCCGCATGCACCCCCGCCCATCCCGCCGCGGTCGCTGCAGAGACCAGTCTCGGTGCTTACTGCGCCAGCGGAAAGACACCTCATCGCCCTCGAGCACTGGCGATGCAACCTGCCGACGTCGTTCTACGAGCCGCAGGAACACGCGTGGGGGATCGCAAAAGCCCCCGCTGAAGAACGGGTGGAAGTGGTGGAGAAGAAGAAGAATAAGAAGGGAAGATACCCATGGCACAAAACTAGGCTTTTGTTGCGGTTCATGGGTTCGTGCTTCATCTTGACAGCCATAGCACTAGTCTACCTCCGCTTCAACGGTTCATATCGCTTCAGCGATCCATACCGCTTCAGCGATCCATACCGCTTCAACGATTCATACCGCTTCAACGATTCGTACCGCTTCAACGATTCATATGATTTCTTCACGCTGTGGGTTTACATGGTAGTAAGTGTTCCCGTCGCATACGAAGTACAAGTCCTTAACGTTGCCGGTGTAGTGCCCTGCCGCGCTCACATACAACATCGCGGAGATGCTTTGTGGCTTCATTGTGGGTAGGGGCATCAATCGGTGTGTGAACACGGGCATGGATGGCCTGTTCACGATTGGGCTGGTGGGTATAGGGTTCAGGTTCGTCGCGGAAGCGCATGGAGTCAAGGGCGATGATGTGATTGGGGCTATTTGTATACTTGGTGGCGTGTTGCAGGCGGGTGTTTGGGCATATGGCATTTGCTCGTTCTGCAAGTGATGGAGATCAGTAAAGGTGTTTGCTCGTAATGTAAGTAATGCAAGCCATTGGCGAGAGATGTCACGATAACGACGGTGTTGTGTTCGCCATGTCAACATGGCAACGTGTGGTTTTTATTATTATGCAGTAAGATACGTATGTTAAGCGGGCAACGGGGTCTATAATTGCGTAACGAGGTGATAGATAATGGCCGGCGTACTCAAGCCTTGGGGCGATGCTCGGTAGACTCAAGCTCGAACTGGTCAGTGTTCGGGGGCTTCCAGAACTGCTTGTCGCCCTTGGCGAGACGGATGAACCATGGCTGGGCACGAGCAGAATCGGAGTTGACTAGCTGAATATTAGCAAAAGTCCGTAACAGTACAGACGACCAATACTCACAACTCCAGTACTCCTTGTTGTCATAATCAGGAGGCAAGAGCTTGCCACGCGAGATGGTGGCAAGAGCCCATGTAGTGGTGTTAATGATGGCGTAGGTCATGATACCGGCGATCAGTCCGTACGCAATCGAGTACGAAAATGGCATGAACATGAGTGTCACAAAGGCCGGGATGCTATCGCCAGGATAGTTCCAGTTGATGGCGAGAACTCCACGCATCATCATGCAGCCGACGAGAATAAGCGCACCGCCTGTTGCCCATGGCGGGATGGAAGCGAAGATGGGTGCGAAGAAGAGCGAGATGAAAAATAGCACCCCGGTCGTGATCGCTGTGAGACCTGTGCGTCCACCTTCTTGGATACCAGCCTGGATGGTCGTCAGCAAGTGTCACATCAACACAAGAGTCGAATACTTACACCTGACTCAACGAATGCAGTGACTGGCGAAGAGCCGAACAGTGAGCCAATGGAGATGGAAATCGCATCAGCACTGTAAGCGATAGTGCTCTTGGGGAAGTCACCCGTTGCAGGGTCAACAACTCCTGAGAAGCGAGCCATGGAGTAGAGAGTACCAGTAGCATCCAAGATATCAACGTAGAGCATAGTGAAGACGGCAAGGGCGAATTGGCCACCCACATTGCTGAGATCCCAGTCCTGCGCGAGAAGTGTGTTCTTGATAGGGTGGAAAGCCACCACATTCTTGAAGAACTCAAAGCGGGCATCTCCAACGACAGTGCGTGGGAAGAATGTGATGGGAGTGTCGCGGGGCCAGGAGCAGAACGACACAAGCGCGATACCGACAATCATCGAACCACGAACTTTGTATGTCATCAACAAGGCTGTGAGGACACCACCAACGAGGAAGCCGAGCCACATTGTAGGGTTGGTCGCCTTGTGTCCAGTGCATGCGCCAGTGTCTGGGTCCAGGAATTCTGGCGGGCAGCCTCCAAGCTCAAGCGGCGTGGCCTTGGCTCCAGTGATGGCACCCAATCCCGCACTGTATGAAAGACCGATCAAGGTAAGGAAGAGACCAATACCAGCTCCACAAGCTACTTTGATGGAGGCTGGGATGATGCGGGCAAGCCATTGTCGAATACCGAGGAGAGAAAGAGCAACGAAGATGAAACCTTCAACAAACACAGCTGTCATTGCGACGCGGTAGTCAATCGGGCCGGTACCGTGGAATCCGACCATCTGATAAGCCAGATAAGCATTCAGCCCCATGGCAGGAGCGACGGCAACAGGCAAGTTCGCACTGATACCCATGAGGAAGGATCCGAGCGCAGCAATGGCAGCCGTTGCAGTAATAAAGTCACGGTTGACCTCGACGAGGCAAAGAGAGTACGCATCGTCTTTCATGCAGGTCGGGTCGATTGGGTCATTGCAGACACATGTCGCTCCTGAGTCGGTAAGAACGGAGGACTAAGAGCCTATGTCAGCCAATGTTTGTCTCCAAAGTATGTCGAATAACTTACGTTCACCGCGATGATGTAGGCCATGGTAAAGAACGTCGTAAGACCAGCTCTGAGTTCAGTGGAGAACCTGGCATTGGGAATCTCGTTGGGCTTTGGTCATTAGCTTAGGTCGCGAAGAACAAAACGTGGACATACATGACCAGATCCATCAAGATGGAAGTATTTTCCAACAACCGAGCGAGCCACCCGGTCATTGAGGGCCGCCTTATTTCGTTCGACGAAGCCCATGTTTGCAGACTGACAGCGAAAATGAAGCGCAGAACGAGATTGAGGAAAGATTGACGTGAACGCTACGACCCCAGACGAGCATTCATGTGGAAAGCTACTTGTCTAAAAGCTAGAGGACCCTCGATGATCTGTGTAAGGAAAGGGGCCAATTTCTTAGTGCCCGTGGGACATGAGTCGTGTGCATGTTTCCGTCGACACCTCTTTATTTGGCAAATGCACTGGTCGGCCATGCCCCACAGTGTGAGGCCAGTCTGGCATCGACAATGCGTCTACGGGACATGCTCCAGATTGGAAGGTCGACTAGATGGCAAGAAACTACGCCTTGTCTCATCACCCTCTGGGCGTACCTCGGCGCGATGCGGGCGATGCGGGCGATGCAGCTCATTGCCCATGGCACTGTCGAAGGAATCAGTCCAGGGTGTTGTTGAGCCCGGCCAACCTCCCGCTTAAGAAGGCCTACCGTAGTTCGCGCAGCCCCCAGCGTCCTTGGAGACCCCACCAGGCAAGTCAGGTACGACTGCAGACGGCTGGACAGACAACTTACTCTGCGCATGTCCTTTTCACCTCATTGCCCGCATGTGAAGTTTGATGAACCATGGCAGCTGTCAAACAAGAAAAGAGTCGCAGGATCGGGGACAGTCCCTTGGTGAAACTTGCCCCCAGAGTACCAGACAGGCAGGTCCTTGTTGCTAAAATTCCTACGTGAACGCCAATCAGACAATTCTCCACAGGGTTCGCGCGTCGGTGGAGTAACCCAAAGTGGATAAAGCCAATGGCTTACCCCAGACTGTCGGGTCGTACCAAGCAGCCCTACATGTTTCGTCGATTTCTCATGTGCTTACTGGCCCGGGACAGCGGACTCGTCGCCGGACCCTTTTTCCCTTCAAGAGAGGCGGGATTTAGGCATCCGAGGAGCAGTCGTCGTTGCGTCGCTAGTGTTCCCTCCATGAGAACGCCTCGGACGGATCACACGAGCCGTCTTTCTGCGTGGTTGATGGTTGCAGTGGCAAGACAGGCCTGCGAATTGGGACGTGCCTGGCTGTGCGTAGATCTTCAAGTGAGCTGGTGGAGTCCCTGTGGAACAGTGGAATCTTCCAAGGTCACTATCGTCGATCTCTATCTGACCGAATGCATGAACAGGAAAACAATTGGGGCAGACATGTCCAAGCTCCCAAAGGTCGCTTCCCACGGCGCCATCTCGGAGGAGTCCGCGCTCCCAGTCGAACCACATGTGTCTACGGCGAGATCGAGACGGTTCCCGTTTCGACATTAGTCGGCAGTAGTCAAGATGGAGAGTCATTTTCCGTCCTCGACTAGGATGAGCGTTGCTGGGCATCAATTCGAATCTCCGTCACTGAATATGTTGGCATTGAACGTCCCCCCACCGCGAGCACTGGTAGATTGGCCCACTTTGACATGTCGACATGTTTCCAACCTTTTGATGTCCCTCCCACTGCACGCGGAGACGGTAGGCGCAAGGAAGGCCAAGAGTAGCAAAAGAGCAGGAAGTCGCGAAACGAACATCCTCGGCAACTTCACACTCGTCTGGAAGCATACACAGCGCGAAAACAACTTCCAACAAGTCAAAAGCAGGAGACAAGGGCGGCTTCATCAGCTTCTTTGGCAAGAAATCCAAAGGCATTCAGGAAATTCAGAGCCTGCCATCGCTCAAGAAGTCACCGCCTCCTGCAGGAGAGCAGGATCATGATATAGCTCCATGCCCTCCCACTGCGCCCTTGCCTCAGCCGCCACAGCAAAATCTATACAGACAGCCGTCGGATCAATCTGTGAACGATGTTCATGCCATCTCCCCCGACTACTTTCCGTCTCCACCACTGAGGGCATTGCCTTCACGTCCACCTACTGGAGCACTTCCACCACCACCATCAACATCTCCAGGCCTACATAGTCGACCCGGTACGTACGTAACGCGACAAGAAATCGTTGATTCCGATCTGCAACGTGGCAGCCATGTTGCCAATATCTCGATTGGGACTTTGACGTCCCGATTTGAAAGCGATCAACAGTGATCAGCATTGCCCGTGCCCGTACTGACTCGTCTTACAGATACCGTTGGGAGAAAGTCGCAGTACTCGACCTACTCACATGGCTCTTCCGATCGCACTACAGTATCCAATAGGAGTGTCTTCTCAAACGCATCTCAATACGACAGTGCCATTTCGGAAGCAAGCTATGAGGACTCTCCCTATGGCAGCAATGTCTTACTCGAACCTGTTGAGCGAGGATCCCGAACAGGGAGTAGGCAGAGCGATCATGCTGCGAAAGCTGCGCAAGGCACCCAGGGCCCATTTGCACGTGCGTTGGCTAAGATGGAGAACGCCGGAGCGCGCATCGTTGCTACGCGCCTGAGCGAAGAGTGGGAAGGCCTAGAAGACGACGAGAGCTATCAAGAGGTCATCTTCGAGAAGCGACTGTGGGCTCTGACTGCGTATCAACGCCTTACGCAAAACAAACAGTTGCAGTCGCCAGCACACGAATTGCTTAGCAACAGCCGTCCAGCAGACCAGAGACGAATACTTCATCTCCACGGCTCTTTAGGTGCGTGATACTGCCGCTCCCTGCATGATTTCAAATCTGACTCTTCTAGCTGATGGATGGATGCTTGCCACTCGTTACCCGGCGGCAACTGTATACACGTTGTCTTCGATGAAGAGCGCGAGTCCACCAACATCTTACCCCGCTCCCCTGAACCATCACTCCCTTTACGTCCCTTCAATCTCCTCAGCGACTCCATTCCCAGACGGATACTTCGATGCAGTCATCTCGCGTACCGTCTCGACCGCTCTTGCGCAATGAAGAGTGGGCGCGATGTTTCTTCGATTGCATGCGCACGCTGAAGCCGGGTGGCCAGTTGGACATTCTCACACTTGACTGTCACATGAGCTGCGAAGGCCCGAAACTGTCAGCTTGGGTGGACGATCACATCTCAACTCGACTAGAGGAGGAAGGCCTGAGCATGCAAGCCTCCGACACTGTGTTGGACACCATGGAGATTGTGGGTCTTGATAACATTCGTCGCGCACGCATAGCATTGCCAGCATATTCGCCGAGAACAATGGCGCGGCCTGCACCACAGCCATCACACACATTTAGCGCTACCATCCCTCCTATAACGTCTCAAGACAGTGCAGACGCAAGCAGAATGATGTCGCTTCTTGGCCGGCACTTTTACCAGGACTTACATGGCAAGTTTCTGCACGCACGGCAGGGCGAGGAGTGGTTCTGGTCACGCAAAGACCTTCGAGAGGAGTGCGAGCGCCACAAGACAAAGATGGTGCTTACCATTGCTTGTGCCACCAAGCCCAAGGCGTCTCCTGGCGAGAGCTATCTTGACATCTAGGCACGCTTTGTGCCTATTCTTCTTTTTTGTGGCGCACAATAGTAGAACTGGACATCACAGGATCGGCTCATTTGCTTTTGCATATATCCCCATGTACTGAACCTTTGCAGTATTTCACATGCCAAATACCATTTTCCTTTTTCGTCTTCATCATTCTATGTGCTTAGACTCTCGCGTCGTTTATCTTGTCTGGAACTAGACTAGACTGAGCTAGTCAGAGACCAGGAATAGGCCGTCGTATGCCTCTCAATCTTTTCGGCTTCGGCACGCCCCGCTCCACTTAGTATATCAGAGGCCGACATCGCCCCGCGGAATGACTCTCCTGTATTTCGTTTGTAAATGCAATTGCCCGTAAGCGAGCACACTTGAATCGTTGTTCACATTCACGATTCAGCTCCTGACGTATGTTGAGCGTGTGATTGAGCTGAAGACAAGTATACGCGAAACATTATGAACAGATCTGGAACATGAACGAAGCACCGGACGATGCTGCTCCACATTCCGAGATCTATTAGCACCCCATGTATTATGTGAGACGCATATCCTGTATATATCTCCGACTGAATATAGTTGCATGGTTACCCACGGCTTCATTGTCAAAGTTAAATCCGAAACCTGGTATGAGTTCGCCCAAGGCACAATTTACTACACGGCTTGAACCAGTGGCTTTCGAACCGGGTTGGGATCTTGCATTGGCACGACGCTAACAAGCAGCAATGCGCTGCCATGTCCAAGATATCCGCGGACACATTCGAAAATACAGGTAGTAAATGATCGCCCCCTAGAGCAATGGATAGGTTTATTGAAAGCTTGGTGGGTAAAGTGCCTCAAGTTTCTATGGCTTCACCACAGGCCCCAGCAACATTTACTTCCCCACTTATGTGTAGGGCAAAAAGAGAAGCAGTAGCACTTTGGCCCGCATCACTACATGCCAGGCAAAGTCACCCAAAATCGCAAAAAAAAGAGAGAATTAAGCCCGATGCGGGGGTCGAACAAAGGGGGAGTTAGCTGAGAGTATTGATGAGTGAGTAGCGATGATGCTTACCCCGCAACCTTGAGATTATATCAATCGCCTCTAAGAGAAGGTGAAACATAAGAGTCTCACGCTCTACCGATTGACTGCGAGCATGTTAGGTGATGATGCTGGAGAGGGTGGGCGGATGAACGTACGCTAACCAGGCAGTTATTGCTGACTAATGATGGAATGGCGGATAATTAATTGAGTCATAATGCAATAGTGTAGAGCGTTGCACAGTGGAATGAGGCGAGAGATAGTAATTGATGGTGGTGTGCCGTGAGTGGAGTTTGACGGAAAATTCTGGTCAAAATTTGCACTGGAGTATGGGGCGAGGCCGACGAACATCACAATCCCAAATACATGCAATCATTGTATGCCCATATTGACTGGCAATACGAACGCTTCCATGAGCCTCGCCCAACCGAATTTTGGATCTTGCACTATTACTGATCTGACATACATGCATCGGGTTCTCGTTTTCTTCTGATACCTCGTGCACCAGAACGGCGCAAATGCATGCAATGCTCACTGTCGTACTTTGAACCCAACAACAGAAAGTCAGAACATCTCTTTACGACACAATCTCAGTCTTCTTGCACTGTATTGGGCATATGCTTTTTCATCTTCCTTCTTATACATACAAGAGCATTAGAGGCTTTTTGAACCTGCAAATACAACATGAGAACTCGACATGATGCGCTAGATAATGCATCTCAAGCCAATATCTGTTATCCATGTCTAAGTCACATTGAAACACTGAGATCTCATCATCTGCGTGACAGAAATATTCGAGGCATCTAAAGAACCCCACCGCAGACGCGAAGACTCACATGAAAGCGGTCTGTCCAGGTTTGAAGCCTGTCAGGCGGAGAGATTGCAGCAGACATGTACGGGGCGAATCATATCTTGGCTTTCTGAGCAGCTTGGGAATGTTGTTTGAATAAAGGAACTGCGGAGAACATGGACTTTATATACATGGCACCCATAGCAGTCCAAGGCTTAAGCATGAATATCGCGCAGCCGATGTTTGTGCTTCTCGACGCAACATGCAGACTTCTGTCTTGCACTTTTGAACAGCTCATGTAGCCGGGCACGAGCTACTGTATTCTCCTGGCTTCAAGTCTCTGACCTTCCATAAAAGTGGCTATGGTCGGTTTCGATTTCGACTCTCCCAAACACATGGAAGCCTTGTGTTCTCGATTTCAGGCTTTGGCAAAACAAAAGAGACATTGCTGCCTTCCAATCACTTTCGGGTTCGAACGCGAACGCGAACGTCGAGCCAAGAGAGAGAAAGAAGAAAGGGGAAGATGGGCTTAAATACCCGTCCTTGAGCACAAACGATCACTTGACACAAGCTGTTGGTCCAACACGTAATCAATATCTTCCTCTAATAATACCGCATGAAGTGCGTCCCCACCCCAGCGCTATATGGCCTTACACCACCGCTCCAAATATCGATCCACACCTTTCTCGCCATTTAGCACCGCGCCAATCTCTTCCAAGGCAACATCGCACCGAATCATACCAAAACCGCCAGTCTGCCCCTGGATCACCGGCATGATCAAGCCCAGCTCGACCAGCGTTTCCCACTCGCGCCGCGCAACGTCTTTGCCCCAGACCTTGCTGATGCTGCCAGACGCTGACATGCCCCCTGCTGCCGACTGGATGCGCGCTTTGGAGGCGAGGGTGACATATTCATCGTATGCCATGTTGAAGTTGCATGTGTCGCTGTCGTGGATGATGTCGAGGCGGGCGGCGGAAATCAGGAGAGAAAGGGCGAGTGTTGATAGGTTCGGGATCAGGTAGAGTTTCGAATCAGGCAGGACAAGACCGTTGTTCGGTGCAAATGGTAGGTCTGGTGATAATGTGGCGGTAGGGAGGAAGAAGGTGTAGAGAACAGCTGGAATGGACTTTGTGCGGTAAAAGTGCTGCGCTAAATGCTGAGTGAGGAATGGGGCTGATGCGAAGAGTTTCTACAAGGCGAGTTAGTTGTCTATCATGTTCAGAATATAAACAGGTGACTCACGTTGACGTTGGTGTTCCACTCAGCCAGGATATCTTGCTTCGCATCCTTGTTTGCTTTTTTAGCGGGCGTGCCATTAGTTTGTAGACTCTTCGCACCACCCTCCAGTATGCCACGCTCTTCGACACTCAAGTGCCCGGGCTCAATGATTAGGCCAGCTTTGCACATCTCTTGGAACGCAGTAAACGTCTTCGCCAGGCTGAGGTGCACATAGCGATGGCTGAAACGACTCTTTACTCGTTTCTCCAGGCTGTTGGTCACATCAATCCGTGTAGTCAGTCCCAAGACAGCAATTGGTGCTTTGCGTGACTGTGCAATGTCGAAGAGATTATACAGCAAAGTCTGTCGAGGGTGCTGGGCAAAAAGGTCAAATTCATCTATGACGAAGATGACTGCTTTGGCGACCTGATCAGTGTATTCGCCCGTGTGCTCAGATGGATGCGATAACAGTGCAAGCAGTGTGGTTAATGTGTCGGCATAATTCTTCCCTGGTCCACTGCCATCGTCCTCGATGTCCATCTCTTTTCCAAGCTGCCGCCAGATCTCTCGGAGCGCGATTTTGTCGTCGGTATGTATGAAGCCATTCAGACGCACTACGTGGTATTCGCCAGCGTTTTCTTTGGCCACTTCTGACAGGACCTTGTTCACAAGAGCAGTCTTTCCGCTACCACGGGCGCCAATCAGCAACATCGAGTTTCCCTCTCCAGCTGTCACCGTCTGCTCGACAATCTGGTGTACCGACGTGTATTCAGCATCCAGATTGACTAGTGGTGTTGGCCTTTTGGCAGCAATACGCTCGAGGATGATTGTCTTGAGGAGATCCAACTCGCGGCCCGCTGGAAGATTTCCATATATCAACGGTGCTGCGGCCTTTTTTTGGGCTGAATTGGGCTTATTGAACGGACTAGGCTCGGTAGGATCTAATATGCTTTCCATGACACTGTTGCCATCGATGTCCATGGCTCCCTCATCATCATCATCGCTTTTCACTCCGTCCCCGGTATCCACACCATTATGCCCATTGCTTATGTGATCGGTTCGGTTCGAGCGACGTCGGGCGCTAGCAGTTTGTTTGAGCTTTCTGCTACTACGTGGGGGGCGTGCATCGAGCTCGTCTTCGGTTTCTGGTATTGTTGTCCGCTTTTCCAAGGGTTTCCGCTTCTTGGAAGACCTGGAAGGTGTCGCTCCAGCAAGTTCGTCCTCGTCCTCTTCCTCCACCAAAGCCTTCTTGTTCGCGCCTGTGGCCGACTTCCTCGTCGATGGTTGTGTAGGAGTGTCTGGCGCTTCGGGGTCTTCTGTGCCCTCCTCCTGACTTGCTTCTGAACTGACAGCACGTCTACGCGCGCTAGATTTCGGAGCTGATGGCTTGCGTGCCGAAGCCGCGGGTGTCTTTGCGACCTTCCCACGTTTCGAGGCTATTGTCACCTCCGAAGCCCTTGGTCGCCCCCTTCCACGCTTCGGTGTCGTAGCGACCTCCTGGAGTTCATCCGTGGTGCTTTCGGTTCCTTGTCTAGACGCAGCAAGGGATCGCCGTGGAGCTGATCTCAACGCAGGCGCTACGCTGAGGGCTCCCTCTATGTCGTCGTATATGTCAATATCGGGCACAGCAGTGCGCTTGGTCGTTGTGCCATTCGTCGCTTTCTTCGCAGGCCGCTCAGTCTCTGTCCCTTCGCCAGTGCTTCCTGCCGCATACGAAGTTGATCGATTCGCGAGCCTTCCAGAGGCTCTCTTTGCCGACCCCTTTACCAGCGGGCTAGATGCGATGCGCTTCGGTGTGTCAAGCTTTCTCCGTTTCGAGGAGCGAGGGGAGTCGTCCATATTCGCGATCGATTACTTGAGTATTATGGGAGGTTGCTTCGTGGTGCTGCAATCATCGCCGGTACATGGTTGCGAAACGAAACGCTATCGAATCAACAATAATGTGCATGTGCAGTGAAAGCTAGCTGTCGAGGCGCGCCAGGCACATGCGGAAGTCGCGACGCGCTAGTTCCGCCCATCGCGTGCGCCCGTGCCTGCCAAGACACGCCCTCGTCCCACGTCGGTGCTGACAAACGTCTTCGCTCTCATCTCAACCACCGATATCGCATGCGTACTATACGCGCTATGGCTACCATCGGCTGACTGAGGACTCGAGCATCACTATCTTAGGATGCATGACCTCGGGATGCATCGGACACGCCCTACCGTTGATTACTACACGCCAATGACGATGGCGGGAACAGTGACTGTCAGGGTATATGGGATGATATGAAGTCGACATGAGCCTGCTTCCAAACCTCTCATCGCTTTTCTATGGCTTCAAATCATAGCGCAGCGGTTGAGCTGACCTCGTACGACCAGCAACATGCACTAGTCGCGAGGGACGTTGAGGTTTTTCACCATGATGCAGATAACGACCAAGCTTTCTATCTCCCACCGACTGATGGCGGCAAAGATGCATGGTTGTGTTTGATGGCATGCTTTATGCTTGAAGCAATGATTTGGGGTAAGTCTTACAAATTAAGTGACAAACACACGATCGCTGACGTTATAGGCTTTCCTTCTTCATACGGCATCTTCCAGGAGTACTATGCCGCCAACGACTTTGCCGGGTCGAGCAACATCGCTGTCGTTGGTACTTGCGCCATGGGCCTCATGTACATGGGTCTCACAGGCTGGTACGCAGTCTTAAAGTTCTTTCCCAGCTTTCGGAAGTGGGCTGCACCTGTCGGCCTTGTGATCCTGTGTCTGTCACTCACGTTGGGCTCGTTCTCGACAAGTGTGACTCATCTCATTCTCACTCAAGGCATCATGTATTCGGTGGGTGGTTGTCTCGCCTGGTCACCTATTTTGCTCTATCTCGATGAGTGGTGGGTCCGACGGAGAGGCTTCGCATACGGAGTTGCCATGGCTGGTCTGGGCTGTAGCGGCGCCATTCTTCCCATCATCCTCGAATGGCTTTTGCAGTCATACGGTTTCCGAACGACGTTGAGAATTTGTGCAGTCGCCTTCGCTGTACTGAATCTTCCGATTCTGTTCTTCTTCAAACCTCGACTACCACTCCCACAAACATCGCAGTCACGGAAGTTCGACATGTCTTTCTGGACGTGCCGCAATTTTCTGATATTGCAGTCTGGCAACATCATCCAAAGCATGGGTTTCTTTCTTCCTGCAATTTACCTGCCAACCTATGCCCGTTCACTTGGCGCGAGCACCATCCAAAGTACAATTACAATCATTCTACTGAATGCAGCATCCTTCGTGGGCTGTCTCTGCATGGGCGCGGCGACCGACAAGTATCATGTTGTCTACTGCTTGCTTGTATCAGCCATGGGCTCAGCAGTAGGTGTATTTCTCTTTTGGGGGTTTTCGACTTCTTTAGCGCTGCTTTACGTCTTTTGCATTGTATACGGTGCTTTTGCTGGATCCCAGTCCAGCGCATGGAGTGCAATCGTCACCGACACACAGAAAAAGAGAAGGGGTGCGGACTCCGGGATGGTATGGGCATTTTTGGCGGCAGGCAAAGGGGTTGGTAATTTGTGCAGTGGCCCGCTTTCCGAAGCTCTTCTGCACGCAGGAAACTGGAGTGCAGGGTTCGCCTATGGAAGTGGCTATGGGGCTCTCATCGCATTTACCGGCGTGACCGCGCTCTTTGGTTGTGGGGGCTTTGCTGCTAAGCGCATTGGGTGGCTGTGAGCACAATCATGTCACTTCCTGAAATCCCAACATGTCTACTTCTTCTTTCCGACAATATTACTCCGCCAATGGACGTTCCAGAAAATCACCCGAACCAACGGATAGACGAGTGTCTCCACTGCGCACCGTTTCGTTTTGGCTGATCAACATACTATTGCGAATGCTCGATCGGTGTTGTGCATCCTCATCTCTGCTGCAAGGTTGTAGCCTCACCTCTACGGCATCACCGATCGTTGATCGGCAAAGCCTCGCATGATACGATGTCTCTCATGGCATGGTTCTATGCAATTAAGACGTCACACACCCGGCATATGTGCTGAACAGTAGCTATCGGCTTTAATCGCACATCGACTTGTGCAATGCAAACAAGGCCAAAAGAAGTCCAGAAAGCAAGGCGACGTTGGTTGAAACACTCTGCCTCAAACGAGATGCCTGTTCTAGATGCAGATCGTGACTTGGCCATTTGGACCAATAGGATATGCACATGTTTGATCTTGGCGGAGGACGCGCAATCCTGAAACGGGTGCGACCCGCTGCGTCCCTTCATCACGCCAACACCACTTGCTCCCGCGTCCGTTTCTCTTCACAAGGCTTAAGGTGCTTCGGAGAAAAGAAGGATTGTCGCGTACAATTAACACGCCCAACCCGGTCTCGCCCAGACCGGCACTGGTGAAGACTTGGCGCATTGACGCGCGCTCCGGGCGTACATCACCTCTGCGCTTGGCGGATTGGATACCAACTGAAACACATGGCCGAGTCTACAGGGAGCCATTGAGTGTTCCCTCGGTTGTTCATGCCTGCAGAGCAATGTCACTGGCGGAGACCACATGAACGACCCAGATGTTCGAAACAGCTTCCCTGACGCCTGGTTGATGTTTATGAAGAATCAAAGGACATCCCAGGTCTTAGCCTATCAGTATCAGACAATCCGATTACTATGGTAAGTGGAGCGATGGCGGGGACCCGCAGCAGGTAGATGGGACATGACGACTGCCATGATCGACAGAAAGTGTATATAACCATCAGGCTGCTTCGCCCTTGGATATACATCACAACAAGTCCACTTGGCTTTTGTATCATCGGTTCTTCTCCAGTTCTTCTCTGCCTTCTCCATTCACTCTCTACCCCAGCGGTATTACATTCACTTGGCTGAGCCACTCCCTCATTACAACTTTCGACTCAGTCTCAACTTTGAAAAACTTCATCATCCATCAGTCATTATGAGGTCCGCTATCATCCTCTCTCTTGCGGGCTCTTCGCTCGCTCTGCCTTTTGGCAATGCCATTGATGCCGGTACGTTAATAACACGTCCTTCACTCCTACGGTACACACATACTTACAGATTACAGCATTGGGTACCAACCTTGAGGCTCGCCAGGGCCAGGGCTTCCCCAACTTCCCCAAGCCAGGTGGTGGTGCTTCAGGCGGTGGATTCCCCAAGCCTGGTGGCAACTCCCCTGGAGGCTTTCCTGGTGGCAACTCCCCTGGAGGTAACTCCCCTGGAGGCTTTCCTGGTGGCAACTCCCCTGGAGGTAACTCCCCTGGAGGCTTTCCTGGTGGCAATTCCCCTGGTGGTAACTCCCCTGGAGGCTTTCCTGGTGGCAATTCCCCTGGTGGTGGATTCCCCGGTGGTCAGGCTCCTGGCGCACCCCAGCCCACTGGAGGATTCCCTGGTGGTAACTCTCCTGGGGGCTTCCCTCAGCCTGGTGGCGGTGCTCCTGGCGGCGGCTTCCCCGGCGGTCCTGGCGTACCTCAGCCAACTGGTGGCTTCCCTGGTGGTGGTCCTATCGGAGGTGCACCTGGCTCACCTGAAGGCGGTGCTCCCACCATCCCCAACCTCCCAGGCGCCCCCGGCTCGCCAGAAGGCGGTGCTCCCAGCCTCCCTGAGCCATCTGGTGGATTTTCTCTCCCAGGTGCACCTCCTTCCAGACGCCTAGCGATCGACTACCAGCTCGCTCCCGGCGCACCACACATCTACAAGCGTCAGGATCTCCCAGAGTTCACCCCTCTTCCTGGCGGCCCCACCCCTCCTACCCCAACTGGAGGCCTCCCCATCCCTGGTGTGCCAGCCCCAACTGGCGGCCCATCCTTCCCTGCGCCAACTGGAGGCCTCCCAACACCCGGAAAGCCCCCCAAGCCCAACACGCCTGGTCTCCCCGGTATGCCTCCCAACGACGAGGAGGGTGGTGATGGTGGCAGCTGGTGGGATTGGGTCAAGGACAAGTTCGGTAACAAGGGCGGAAACCAGGAGTAGATATGTGAAGAGGACCAAAACGAAACCAGGGGATGTGGATAGACGGAGGAAGCACACTTTTGTCTCTAAGACATTTTCGATTCTACTTGTATACTTTCATAGAGGCCGAAGAGCTGTAGAGTAGCAATGTCACAATACGTTGTTTACAAACATTTGTCTAGTCTTAATCTAGTGACACACCTTCGGTCTGTCTGCGCGTTTGTCTCATGTATAAGCGTTCTTGGAGATCCCTCCCGATCGAGGGCAGATATACGAGAAGCTCGATGTTGCTGCTATCGCGTCTCGCCAACGCGAGAAGAGTGATCGAATGCTTTTCAGATGCAAACCCACTACCGAGACGACGGACTTTTTTTAATGGCCAGACGCGGTCAGGAAGCCACGAACGATGCATGTGCCGAACTTTATTTTCTTCACGCTTATAGCAATCTCCAGCTCAATCGTTCCAATTCAGCATTCGAACATGGTTACATATGTATCATCTCTGGTGGTAAAGAACTTTCGTCATGTGACCGTGATAAAATGTCCACGCATATTCCCCTTGCAATCCACGCCGCCGAACCTTCCAAGCTTATTATCTCACATCACAAAACCTCGCTGGCTATAGGACTATCCTTATTATAGTGTTACATTAAATTTATGGGGAGTTACGTTTTGAAGAGGTTGAGCAAAAGCGCATTGTGTAGCGCGTCCCCTGGTTGACAAGATCTACGAATTTGAGCATTGGAGATTTCGGCAGCCAGTGGGAAGTTGCCCACTTCTCGGAGAGTGTTTGGTTCATACTATTGAGGCATGGCACTGCGTTATGAGTCGAATTTCGGATGCGAGACGACGGCGATGGCTTTCATCATGAACAGAAAGCGCGATTGAGCAGAGAGCACCTAGTAGTCTGGTGAAAACAATGTCTTCGGTAAGGCAGGATGCTGAAGCTGTGATGGCGTAGTTGTAGACAACCCAGCTGCGGTCGATGACTATTGGTCTGAGGTTATCCTCGAGCGATATTTTCTCGAAGAGATGAAGTCGAGGGGGAAAGGCGCCAGTCGACCTGAGGCATTCCAATCGCGTCTGTCTTTAAATTTGGACAAGAGCCACCAATTGTCCAATTATATAAGGCTCGGTAGTGAAGCCCCAATACTTTTCAGGTGAGCAATGTGGTCAACATACTGTTCTGCATATGTGAAGTCTAGAAAGGATGAAATTTTGCAGTATGCAGACATACGCTGGAGCTGGGTCGAGCTCTATTGCATACTTGGGAGTGATTTTCTTGCATACATTCAAGTGTTTCTTAATGCACAGCTCAACTAATCCAGGGTCTGCATGTCTGAGCCTCATTTACACCCCGGCGCTTAAATCAGCATTGACCAATGAAATGTGCGTCTTTGTGACTTGGCCCACAGGCGCGGCAAATGCAGACTTAACATTGAAGGAAAACCTCGCTCATACGGCTAGGCATCTATGAGAATGTTTCATTGCCTAGTTGGCATTGCATGGTCGTGTCGTACCCTGCATGTTCTTATTTGATGGGCAGCAACTCCCATCACTTGAAGTACAATCTACAACACCCTGACGTTTATGCAGTATCTCGGTGAAGCATGACGTTCAACAACTACACTTGGGTGCCTACATTGGCCATGAACTTGCATTTCAACTGCAGCCAGGCAGCTACGTTATGGGATCTGGACCTGAACAGGATGCCCCCTTCGCAGCGTCCTAAAATTTATTCTGCTGTACGAGACGGTCTGCAGGATCATCTGCAGAAGAACAACCTCAGTCAGCCACCCGAAGGAGAACTCTTCGTGTGGCTACAGGGAACACGTACTGTACAGAATGCACTCGAGATCAATTTCACGGAATGCCGAAACGAACTGTGTCCTCTCTGGGGCTTCGAGGGAAACTCGGATATCGCTGGTCGAGGGGTATGAATACGACAAATTCGAAAGACGGAGGTTAGAGGCTGACCAGATCAGATGCTAGCGACATAATTGATACAAGCAGTACTAGTGTCACTCTACGTCGGTGCATTACTTGCCATTCGATTTGACAAGGTCCCAAAAGCCGAGAGTAGAGCTGGACTGATATCTCGGACGCTATTTGCACTGCAACACTCGACTCTGGCTTTCCTCAACGCTTCATTTGTTTTCGCGATTGCCATGCTATCCGCCTCGCTGATGTCTATCGCGAAAACTGTGGACAACTTCACCTTCATCGCGTCAGCATGGGCCCTTACCATACTCATGCCAATCAGCTCAGTAATTCCCGTAGTTCTTCTGCAACTTGCTGCATCAGATATGCTCAGGCGAAACAGAGGCCGGATCCTGCTGTGGGCGCTCGTAGACGTTCTGATCATCATTATACTGGTCTTGTCATTCATACCCAAGAAACTTGATCATAATATGAACGGTGCTGAGTGGAAAAAGTACCAGAAGCAGGCCGATTGGGAAGTACTCTGCATCAATACGCGCGCGGAATATCAACTGGTCCTTTTGATATTTCTTGCTTGGGCTTTGGCCGGCTCGCTTCTCTTGGGGATAACGAGCTACCTTGTCGGCACCTTAGTTGCCAGATTGCGACACTCGTCAGCAGGGAAGTTGTATAAGCAGATCGTTCGAGTACTGTGGTGGACATGTCTTGTCCTCGCTTTTGTGAGCATGTGGTTGTGTCTGATTTGGTTTATCCAATTCCAAAGCTACACGGACAAACGTGCTGCGGTCGATAACAAGGACACAGAGTGGTCTTTTGGGCAGATTTTGGCTTTCGCAACGTGGGTTCCTGTGCTTGTTGAATTCGGGTACCTGTGGTGGGAACGACCACTTGATGCGCTGAACGGACGGCTCATGCATCCGTACGAGGTCAAGGAGGTATCAAAGCAGACCCAAGCGTTCGAGATGAGTCGAGAGGCAGAAGTAGTATGATGTATTCGATAAGCAAGCTCTCGCGAAACTTGATATTCGAAGTAGCGTGAATGTAACGTCATGGCGACACAAGTGCGTGGCTCTGCAATAACCTGACACATTTCGAGTCAGCAATGCTATACGAAGGACAACTGCAAGGTCGGATAAGGCGCGCAATATTCGCCAGGATCTCTCGACAAAAACAATCCATCGGATGCTCGTGCCGTCCCGCGAATCCCAAAGGCCAGATCTTGGGAACCCACGGACATATGCTGGAGTACAGGGAGCCTGCTAGTAAAAATCCGGTCGTCAGAGTAGCACTACTGGAATAGACCGTGAACCCTCAACGCGGTAAAGGCGGCGACCTTGGAATGAGCCTTTGCAGGAACAGCTGCCTTTTGCTTCATGTCCCATTAGTCGACATGCCTAGGTCGATTGCCGTGATATTTACCGACGGCCAAAATTGGTAGGAAAATCCTTAGGAGTGCTGCGCCAATGTAAGGCATGTGTGGCACTGTAGTCAGTGGTGTAAGCGATGATGCACTGAGCTCACTGGGCTTCAATGGGCATGGATCCAACAGCAGGGCATGCTGTCAGATCTATTCCTGGTTATGCAGGTAAGACAGCAGGCATGCCATGAGGTGCAGTCGCACATGGAAATAGTCTAACCATCCTGTCGGTAGAATGTCAAAGTCCGAGGAGGTTTCGTGACCAGTCAATGATCCAGCAATCACCTGCATGGCCAGACAACATGCAGCTGAGACGGATATGTACCTCGAAAGCCGCTAGCATCGGTTGACTCGATTTTTAATAAGGCAGAACGAAAGGCGATGCAGGACTGTATTCGGCTACCTTTCGGAGTGTACACTATTTTTTCCATGGGCCAACTTTCTCAGGCAATTGGCTTCACAAGTATGCCGAGCGCTATATGTGGGCTGCTATAATCATTTATCAGAGTGAATACCATAGGTATTTGGCAGGAACTCACTATATCACTAAATCCTTGACCCTGTCCAGCATCTACCGCGTTCAATGTTTGTCCAATGTATTTAATCACGTGCCGTTCGCAATAGATGGCGAACTCGGCTAGACGCCATGTGAAGTGCCAGTCAGCAATTGACCCAAGCTCAGGCGCTAATGACGGGTGTGGACATCGCTTCAACGCATCCGTAAAGCTCAAGCTTTAGGGTTCGGAGGGTCCAGATCGCTTAAAATTTCCGCATTGAGTAATGGTTTCGCTGGTGGGCTTTTGTAGTCGCCGTTCACTCAAGCCTTGAGCCGTCTCGTGGAAGCCACAACTTCGGTGTATGCCCCTGCACTCTTGCATGGGGAGGGCACACAATCTGCGCTGTGCCTTATCAGAACCGGGCGGGTACTTGTGTCGATCTCCTTCCACGAGCAGCATAGAAATGATCTCATAAGTTTGAGTAGGACTTGGTTCACGATCCCAGATTCAACTCAAGATCGCACAAATTTGAAGAGAGCTTTCGAGAATGATCGTTCGCATGAGCTCTGTCCTTACTCGGTAGCTAACAATGCCCCGATGTTGGGATGATTTTTGGCGCAGCCACTTTAGACGTGTGGTCTCCCAGTTCGAAACCTTGCGAGCTTCTACCTATCCATATGCATGAATGACCTGAGGTTGTCAGTGCTTTTGAAGTTGAATAATGCGACTCGTGCAGCCGACCTGTTATTGAGCACTACCTGGGAGCTAGCCCTGAAGTCTGACGTTCGTATTGAGTTCGAATGCGGGCAGTGACGGTGCGAGATAGTCCGATACCGAAAGAACGGACCAAGCACGGTATCAGATATCCAAGCGAGCTCGAAGGTGTAGATGGATAACCACAACGGTGACTAGAGGTACCTTAGCATCGGCGCCGGTGCTGTGTGATGGTTCCGAAAACAACGTCAGTCGTTGTCCATCAGCGAAGTTGAGTTTTGACCCAGGGCCTGGGACATGGTGCCAGGTCTCGTGGTGGCGGCATGCATATACTGCATTAGTGTTCATGGATGCGACTCCAGGCACTTTATGAACTGCGGAGCCGCCAAGTCCACATCTCTGTGGGGAATGTGGGCATTGATCGGACACCAGCTGATCTTTGCGTGGATTTGTATAATTGACCTGGAGGAGAGTCTTCTTGCCTACAACGTGCTAGTGCAAATTTCCAGCTGACTGCACATTCGGGCAAGAATAGCGACTCTCCAGTAAAGAAATGTGCCGGCATGATGCCCGTCGCGGCGGATACCTACGCTCTGCAGGTCCCAAGCGGCGCAAATGGCGGGCAGCCGCCGGCGGGCTTGTTATGGGAATGGGAGTGTCATATCATCAGGCTGCAGAGGCCCCAGTTGCCAGGTCCACGCACTCCTGGGCGCAAATCATCACGGTGTCCCGAACGGGAAAGAAAGCGGGACGTGCTTGCCAGGAATGACAACCTTTCAGCTGGCTCTGGGACAGCCACAAGCGCAGGGTTATCTCTGGTTCCGTACAGTCAACATGTCAGTGACGTTGGAAGGCCCCTGAACTGAATAGGAAATCAGGCGATGCGTGACTACGGGTCATGCTCCGGCAGGATGGGTGGAGGCATGGGTCGACGGCGGATTGATTTAAGCTTGCTGGTGCACAGCGACGCCATAGGTCGATCAACACTAAGCTGCTTTGGAAGAGGCTCTATTCCTTGGGAAGCCGGCCAAGCATCAGATGCAGCCCAGCCTGTGGAGAGAGGAGAGCAGGCCATTGTGGCAACGCGCTCAATGTGCCGGCGAGATGCGAATGCGACTGGATTGCGACGGGACGTATTGGTGCCTCAATTGCGCAGAAGCTCAGCTGGTGCATTCAGGGGAGGTCGTCACCCAACGCATGCGCGACACCCAGGCATACTCGTGGAAAGCAATACCATGACCAGCAAAGATTGTCGTGCGTCCGTAATGCAGTGTTTGCCAGGGGTAGGTCCGCGTGTGTCGACGCCAGAGTTCGACACCAGGTGCCTTCCGAGTCCCACGTTCCACCCATGGCGTACACCTCCACCCGCGTGCAGTTGCTACTGACTCCTGCCCAGAGAACTAGCAGAGAGCAGCAACATGCCCGTGGTGGGGAAGCCCGGGTATCTGTTTTGTGACTCGGTTGCTGCCCAGGTGTTTATCTTCCACGAGGGAAGGCCTCGGCGTTGGCAAGCGGACTCTTTGTGTCGTTCCGAAGCCGGACAATAGCGAAACATGAACGTTAGCCTCTCGGCAGACCGTCATTCTACCTTCGCGACCACACGATTCCCGCCATCTAACTTTTGTGATATCGCGTTGCTATTCTGGGCAGATTGCCGTCAGATCCTGATCCCGCGATTGGAGCGCTCCTTGCTCGTGGTCCGTCCGCCCAGAGATCCATGATCCCTGGGTTGCTCACAGACCACAGCCGCCCATCCTTCATCATTGTCCCTGTAAGCGGTCCTTCCACTGTCCTAGCGTCAGCCATCGCACCCCGGTTCAGTGGCACACAATTCGATCGAACCTCGCACCACTGCTGTCGAATGGAGACATGTTCTTGGTCTGCGCTGCACCAATTCACTCTACCAGTCCGTGTGACCGCTTCCCGCTGCCTCTCTACCCACAGCAACTGAACCGATCCGCATGTACCTTGCTCAACTAAATCGAGCATAGCCTGTGTCCTAGTCCAGACCACTTGTTTCTGTTTCTGTTCTGTTCTGGGGGTGCCATCGACTTTACGTACAGCCTTGTCCGTCCTGTCTGTCAACGGACGGCTTGCCGCCTGCAATTCTTTAGGCCAGCTGCGGACTCTGACACCTGGTACGTGCTGCCTCCTCTTGTATAACTAACGCAGACGCCCATTCTCCACATAGCTCCCGTGGGCTTAGTCAATTGACGTTCATGTGCAAGTCTTATTACTGTACTACCTCAGCATCGTCCACCTTCACTGTCGTCTAAAGACCAGCCTCACTATCGTCTGGCACACGAGCTGTCTCTCATATATGCTGGACTCTTTGTGGCCCCGCAGGAAATTTTTCGACTGCTGATCGACTTGTTGAAGAGGCCAATCACTCTTCGCTCCGCCGTACCCGCATCACAGCGCGCCAACATCTTTCCGCCTGGTCTTGTCTCGCCTCGCTCACCATCACATCGATCGCTCTTTCAAAAACGCCTATTCGGTAGACCTGAGCCTTTTGTTACACTTCCTCGTAGCTTAGGACCATGGAAAGCGGACAGATGACCTCGCCCCCAGCTGGCGCCGGCGACGTTTCTCCGACCGGCAACTTCCCAGGTACATCAGCGAGCAGCAAGATGCGCAAGAGGACAAAGACCGGCTGCCTCACGTGTCGAAAACGTCGCATCAAATGCGGAGAAGAACGCCCTACTTGCGCCAACTGCATCAAGTCTAAGCGTCAGTGCGAGGGCTACAACCAGCGGGTCATATTCAAGACTCCGATTGAAAACTGGCCGAACCACCCTGGTAATGTCAGTACTATACAGTACCACACCTCGATGCTTCCTGGTACTCGAAACCAGTCTTATCATCCGCATCAATCACAAGACGACTCACTCTTGTCGATCCAGCCACGGCCGTTGAACAGCTTCGATTTCTCCGCTATTGAATCGAGTGCAGAAGTACAACTAGCCACATCCCGGCAAGCTATTGGAGTGGATCCTCACAACTATGCTCCAGGGACGAGCTATCAGCATCCATTACCATCACCACACCATCAACAACCACTCATCTCGCCACGTCACCATCCACAGATGTCACCTGCAGCATCATACTTTCCTCATCATGCTACGGGACACCCCAGTCCAGTACAATATAATCACGAGCCGACTGTCAGCTATCAGTCTTCTCCTCGATATAGCCAGGACCATACTGCATATCCCCAGTTGCCCATATCGTACAACCAGAATGCCGAGACAACATCTGCCGTCTCTCAAGATATTTCGCACTCATCACTTTATCGGCGCCAGTCCGCAACCCAAGCGGACGACCAAAACTCGTACCACTCATATTCTAGTGTGTCACCACGGAGTGACCACTACAATACATACGCTGAAGCTCGTCCCGTATTGCAGCGATATAACAGCCATCCACAGTCCAGTATGGAGCACATACAAGGTACTTCGGCAGCTATGAGCCAATATGGATCATACAACTACCCGACAGCAGTTCTTCGTGATGACATTAACCATTCTAGCTATTCTTCTACTCAGATACCCATTCATGATTTGACACCGGATGTAAAGTACATGCAGCAGCCCGTTCTCGGTATGTCTCATGTTTAGTTACATACGTCTCACTTGCAATGACTATTATTATCTCCCTTCCGCGTCCAATCATATAATTTTCTCTTCTCTTCACACCGTGCAAACCCCCCTGTCATCACAGTCTCCGTGTAGTGCCCCAACCTAAATCTTGTAGCCTGTACAGGTGACCACTTCGTGCCCCTCACTTTCTATGGCAATGATAGCTAACGTGTCAACTTTGCCAGAACAAAATCCGTCCGTACCGCAAACTGAGCCAAGTCAGCCACAGCTATCACTGAGTGGTTTCGGCGGCATCGATCACGTCAGCCCAACGCAAGTCCTCGACGAAGCAGCGATCGAAAATGAGGATGATGACTATTGGGATCTTCAGTCGGACGAGGAAATGCTCGACGCGGAGGATCGGGATAACGAAGACAATATGCTTGCGAGCAAGGAGTTCAACATCATCCGTCGCATACACCATGAGCATGCCAATGAGCTTGCAGTCAGACGACATGATGCTTTCATCTATGAAGGTCTCTTGACAAATTATAAGCCCGAGTATGCCGCAAGTCCCCTGAGAAATCTCCAGGTTGCGCGCGTCTTCGCTCATTACATCCATGTAGTACGTCTCTCATCATGTCATGCCGTGTCTTTTTGTAGATCCGAAGGCGTCTGAGAAGAGTTGTGCCTTCCTTCGGACAGTAAACAGGACACAGGTGCTATGATCATGCGCTGACAATCTATAGACCGGTCCAAGTGTGTCCATCTACGAGCGGAACCCCCGAAATTCGACGATGATATTCGAAGACAGCATACCTGCTGAGCAACAATCCCTGTGGACCTATACCCTTCCTCTAAAAGCCCTCGGAAATCAAGGACTTCTACATGCTATGCTAGCACTTGCGAGCTTGCAAATTGCGCGGCTCCAAGGAGCATCTCTTACTCCATCGTACAAGCATTACGCATACTCTCTCAAGCGTCTTAGCCGTAGCTTAGGTCATCCAAAGAAACGCCTATCGCTTTCAACGCTGGCGAATTCGATGCTCTTGGCCTACTACGAAGTATGGACTGCGGAACATGTCAAATGGTCGACTCATCTGGTCGGCGCTGCACAACTCCTCATTGAACTTGACTTCCGCTCACTTACTCGAGAAGCTCGACGCCTCAAAGCCGCGCAGAATGCAGAAGACAGACAGTTCCCCTATCAGAACCCAGAAATACTTATCGACCAAAAGCACTTCAATAAGACGCTGGAAGAGCGTGCAATGATGCCAGACCAGAATCTCGTGAGCGCTATTATTGGCAAGAAAGTCAACTATGACGACTTTGGTATGATTGTCGAGGAAACTGGCGCCAGATACGAGACAAAGACGAATTTGCCGGACAAGCTCGATTTGCAAACCTTTGAAACTCTCCAGGATCTTTACTGGTGGTACGCCCGTCATGATGCTTTTCAGAGCATTGTTAGCGGTAACCCTTTGATGTAAGCTGCCATTTCAAGTCTTACAAAACACTTACTGATAATTCCAAGCTTGCCATACCGGAAGTGGTCGGACTGTCCACCACGAGCTCCTCTTGGCCGCGCCGACGCACTCTATGGCACACACGATCACATGATACTTCTCATTGGCCGTATAACAGACTTTACGGTCCAAGACCGCGCCCGTAAAATTCGACAAGTAGATGCAGACGGTAGTTGGAGGCCTCGGCCAGGCATGCCTGGTTTTGGCAGCATGGGACCACCGCCGTCAACTGCAAATGCAAGCTCGGGCGGCCAACCGCCAACTTCTAACAAGTCTATGGGCCCACCATCAAACATGAAGGGTCCGCCATCGGGATGGACGGGACCGCCTCCTCCTGGATGGAAAAGGCCATCACCCCCAGGCTTTGGTCGTGGTCAAGGTGCACCATCTGCACCAACGGACAATTCCAGTCAAGGGAGAGAGCCTTCACGAGGTCCACCACCGCCTGCAATGCCAGAATTCCTGGGCATGGCCCCGAGTGGGCCACATGCACCTCTATCCAGCACTTACGCGAACCCCAACTATCAGCGCTCACCACCAACGCCAAGCGCCCCTCATCCCAAGTACGCCGATTTGCCAGCTGCATATCAAGCTGCTATGGAAGAGTGGGAAACGATCACTGCTGCGCACAACACTGTCTCGTCCATCTTGACCAACACGGAGTCGTTTGCGCCTCTACCACCAGACACCTATCCCCCAGTCCCAGGCGGTACAGGAAACATGACTCCCTTTGGTCCAGCTCTGATCCACCGAAGTTACGACATCAGCATCATCTGGTGTCTGTTGCATCTAGCGAAGATCATGCTTCTCCGCTCACACCCAGCCATGCCACCAGCAGCACAGATGGCTGCAGGTGTAGGTGCACCAGCTACAAAAACATACGCGATGCTTATAGGCCGCATTACAGCCGGCATGCAGCTTCCCGCGGGCGAGGACTTGTCGCCATCGCTGGGAGCAGTATTGACCGAGTCTTCACTCTCGCTCTTCTTCGCTGGCGTGCAGTATCAAGCACCCGCACAGCGCGAGTGGCTCATCACGCGTCTCGTTGACGTTGATCGCAGAACGGGCTGGGCGTCAGCGGGTATTATCGCTCAGGGATGCGAAACGGCGTGGGATAGAGCGGCGGCCATGGGGCGTGGACCGCCCTACAAACGTCGCCTTAAAAGAGTAGGAGAAGAAGGGCCACTGCTCAAGGAAGACAAAGTGGCAGAAGTACCGAGGGATAGGCTGTATGAGGATGAGGAAGATGCATCACTGCAAAGAGGGGGTCCGATTGGTGGCGGACAGGGAAACCGGGAACGTGGTTTTGTGGTGAAGAATAGGCCTGGGACGTGGGCGATGAATTTGCTGGGCACGGAGGAGGACTTGCGCGCGGGTATGGAGAGAGTGGGACTTTGAGGGGGCATTGCTGAGTTGCAGATGCGGACTGAAGAGATATGCGAAGGGCTTAGATCCAATAGTGATATGAAACGAAGACGAGGGAAAGCGCATGGAACACGAGAAGAACACAAGACAACATGCGAGTCCTGCTGGCTGCAAAATAAAACGTTGGAACAACCATGCAGCAGGGCAAGATTACGACAGCTCATTGTGATCGACCTCAACGGACTTGGGCACTCGTCATTTCGAGGCAACACACGTACACACAAGAGGGATCTCGAACCATCCTACGACACGAGCAACATGACATGACAAGTCAAATATACTAAACCCTCGGCAGCAACAGATGGATTTCGACATCATCGGACACGAAAAGCTCATATTCGGTACGCAGGGTTAAGGAGATGAATGATACGCGATGCCACAAAATCGAATTAGCCTAAATGTTGCCACGATATTTTACATGTTCAGCTCAAATTCGGGGTGTGATAATGATGCAATATGCTGTCCCACGCTTTCACGCTGCTCTGCAATGCTCCATAGCTCTCCCATACCAACGCCGTGAATCCAAAAGACATAGACAGCTTAACATGAACAATCTTGACTCCATAACACCGTGATCCGTCTATCTTCATGCCACGCGCGCCGCGCTCTCACGTTGTCGTCATTGAGCGCTTAGAAGAACCAGTACATGACTCCGCCGCCGGCGGTCATCAGCACGCCAAACCACCACCACTGGTCTGCGCGGGTGTTTCCCTCGGTGCGCTTGAACAGGACCTCGTGAGGTAGAGAGCGCTTGAGTTTGCTGGCGGCGGTGGGCGAGGCAGTAGTGAGTGGGTTGAGCGTCGTGGTTGGCAGCATCTTGGGGGTGTCGTAGATACGGTAGAGAGGCATGATGGGGGCGCCGTCGGCCTGGAAGAGATCGAGACGCGGTCGCTTGTTGTACGTGTCCGTGTAGACTTGGTATGCCTGTTTCAGCGGGTTAGAATCTCTCCATGTTGATTCGTTGCGTTTGTGGGCAGTTTAAGGGTTTAGGGGTGTCGAGGACGGACCTTGAACTTCTCAGTTGCATTGTATCGCGTGAAGACGGAATTCTTGTACTGGCATGGGTCGCTGTACAGTTGCCGGCCGTCGACTTTGATGGGCTTCAGGTGGAGGCTGCCGTTGGCGAGCTTCTCGTAGCTGCCGTGCTGCCACTGCATTATGCCTTTTGGGCATCTGGGTAGTTGGGCTGCGGGCTGGTTAGCATGCGTAGCACGTGCGCAGGCCGTGGTCTACGTACGGTTCGCGATGGCGCGGTAGTATGCCGCCTCGAAGTGGCCGTCGGCCGAGAAGGAGTAGCTGATTCCCGTGTGCTTGGGTTCGATGAGATGGTCGGCCTTGGGGTCGTAGAAGCCCTGTTGAGCGTATTAGCCTCGATATGCCCGGTTCGCGTATTTGCTGAGCGAGATGCGTACATCGCCGGTGATGGTGCCGTTGGACTTGCTGGTCCACGTGCCAATCAGATCCGTCGAGGGCTCGCTTTGCGCCTGCACCTGCACCTGCAGCAGTGCGACTCCTGAGAGCAGGAGCGCGACTATCCTCGACACCATTATGTGTAGGTAGTGCGAATGCGCAAGTAAGCGAGTGTATACGGTCGGTAGCAGGCAGAGGCGGGAAAGGGGCGCGTGAGGTGTGGTAAAGAGGTCGTTGAGAGTGCGGTGGTGGTTTCAGGTGGTGATGAAGTTGCGAAGTTGCGAAGTTACCATCTCGCCGCCCGCCGCCTCCTGCTTGGCTTGGAATGCGCCGTTTTGCAGGGGTCCGCGGTAACGTGCAGATCGCCGGCGCCGCCTCACTGTCCGCGCATGCACTTGCGTCTTTTCGCTGCTTCTGTGCATCCGACATCCGCCTCAGCTTATCGATAGTCACAAGGCAGTGGTCTGTCTATCCGTCCACCAAGTCGTCGGGACGGGGGAAACCTCGACCTCTCTTGGAGCAAGTATCGAATACCGCCGAGTGCTACTATTTTTGGATCATCACCACCTGCGCGCGTCGTGCATCATGGCAGCATCACTCGCAGCAGTGAAAACCGAATTGAGGAAGAAGATCAAGGGCGTCTTGACAGACCTGCCCGAGGCTGCAGCTGCTTCTCAATGTATGCACCCAATGCACATGCCGCGCTATTTCTGCTCATGTTGATAGCATCACATGCAACAAAGACGCTGCTCTCCATGCCCGAATACCATGCCGCGCAGAGGATAAGTGTATACCTGTCCATGCCTGGTGGCGAGATTTCCACGAGCAGCATTGTCCGTGATGCTCTCAGCCAGGGCAAGAAGGTCTTCATCCCTTACACCTACAACTCCAGCACTCCGAGAGACGGCCAGCCAAAGTCCATCATGGACATGGTCCAACTGCACTCGATGAGCGACTTTGAATCACTACAGCCTGACAAGTGGGGCATTCCAACTCCCAGCAAGGACTCAATCGCATCACGTGCCAACTGCTTTGGCGGCGAAGGCATCACAAACGGAGAAATGACCCATGTCTCAGACGGCCTCGATCTCATCATCATGCCGGGCATGGCCTTTGATTCCACCTTTGGTCGTCTGGGACACGGCAAGGGCTTCTACGACTACTTCTTGACTCGATGTCACCAAGCGTCGCGCATGCCTTTTCGCGGTAAGAACTACTGGTATTGCGTATGCCGAGGGCTAACTAACCACGTCAAGTCGGTCTCGCATTGACCGAGCAGTTGCTTCCACCGAATGAATCGGTCCCAATGGACACGTCCGATTATCGCCTTGACGCCTTGGTGACGGGTGATGGCGTCCTCCACCGCGCGAGTGCTTGAAGCGCTTCAATGCCCTTCTGCCTTTTCAAAATAGCCCATCATATCGAATCACAACCCAGATCAGCCGCTTTTCATTTTGAGTATTTCATGGGTATCGCAACGTGCTTCCTCGAGTCGAGTCGTCTTCCGTTGTAGCTTATTGTAGCTGTTGGATGAGGGAGATGTTGTCGCCCTTGAGCAGGATTTGGCCTATCGTCCGTTAGTGGTGCACCTGCGCTTCTGGGTCATGTACGCACCAATGCTGCGCCTCTCCTCGGGCGTCTCTTTCTTCGCATTGGCGAGGGTCACCTCGACCGCGTCGTCAATCACAAGGTTCATGAACTCGTCAAATCCCTATCCACAATCAGCATTTTGCTGCGAGGGCCATTGTAGGCATCCTCACTCTCAGCTTTCCCTCGATGCGCATTCCCAGGTTCTCGTAGAGCCATACTGAGATGGTTGCGCGCGACTGCAGAAGCTTGAAGATGAAGTTGATAGGTGGGAGAAGCACTGCGCAAGTCTTAGTATTGTTGCTATGCGGCGCAAGCTTGGGCTGTTTGTTTCGTACCTTTTCCACCACCGCGGCCTAATACTTGTTAGCAGCTGTCGCAAACGATGTAAAGTTATACACGTACCTCCTCCACGTCCAGTCATTTTCTCGTGATTGAGAAGAGAAAGCTGGGTGTTTGATTGCGCTTGCGGATGTGGTCAAGAAGCGGTTGCAGGTGGCTGTCGTGGTGTCGTGGTGTCGTGGTTGGCGGTGGAGTGAAGCTGTTCCTCGTTGGGGTGAACATTTCAGGCTAGGCTTGGCGGGCAGGAGCGCGGGACTGTCGACTTTGTCTATGCGACCGATGCGCTTTCTCCGTCCTCACCAAACAAACCACCACTCGGCAACTGCCCCGCCCAAATTGCTTCACTGATTCTCTCCTCATAGCACCCACACACCCCCGGTGCATGCACGCAACCTAAGGAATACCCCGCCGCGTTTCTTCTCCGGGCGCTCTCCGCTCCCAGTCCCCCACTACACCCCCAAACTTGCTTGAATATGGCCGCGAATGGAGCGCAGCAGGGCTTCGAGCCCGTGCTGGCGGCACACAATATGATGCAGTCGGCAGGGAACCGGGCGCAAAAAGAGCAGGCACACCAGTTCCTGGAACAGTTCCAGAAGTCGGTATGTTAGGGTGGGCGGAGAAGAGGCACACTGGGCTGACAGGACGCCATAGCAAGAGGCATGGGTAACGACGCTGGCCATCATCGAGTCGCCAGCAGCAGACGCAGCAGCCAAACTGTTTGCGGCTACCACTCTCAAGGGCAAGGTAGGTTGCTGTTCACGCGTTGGGCTTCCTCTCTGACTCGGCCAGATCGTGTATGATCTCCACCAAGTGCCCCGCGCACAGCTCCCAGAGCTTCGAGCCTCAATAATGCGGAATCTCGCGACCTTCCATGCTGGGCCCAAGCCTATCAGATTGCAGCTTTGCGTTTGCTTGGCGAATTTGGCCATACAAATGACAGAATGGAAGGATGTTCTGTCGGATGTCGTCACCGCACTTGGATCAGATCCGGCGACGCTGCCCTGTGTCCTCGACTTCCTCCGCGTACTGCCTGAAGAAGTCACGCATGGACGAAAAATCGCTCTCACAGTACGTTCGAACGAGCCGCAGCCCATTCCACAGCCCGGCACCTCCCCGCGGTACCGGCACATGATGTCAGAATAACAGTCTAATGCTTGGTGGCCAGGAACACGAATTGACTATGAGGACGGTCGAGTTGATCGAGGACAATGCGCAGCAAGCTCTGCAACTTCTGATTCGATATGCGACATCTTCACGTACGTAGGGCATTCCAACCCAGTCCTTGCTCGCTAACATGCTCCAGCCGCGGCCGCACGGAACCCACAGCTGCTCAACTGTATAACCTCGTGGATGCGCGAAATCCCGTTAGAGTCGATCATCAACTCTCCTCTTCTTAAAATCATCGCCGATGACCTGTCCGAAACTACCGACGAGCCGTTTGATGCCGCAGTGGAATGCATGAGTGCTTTGATTGCCGAAACCCGCGACGTGGACGAAACCATGCAGTCTATTCTGACGCTCTATCCGCAAGTAATCGCCCTCCGACCGAAGCTTGCCCAGGCCGCTCAGGAAGAGGATACAGACAAATTCAAGGGCATTGCCAAGGTATTTGCAGAAGCCGGTGAATCCTGGGTATTGTTGATTGCGCGTTTGCCGACCGACTTCCGGAATCTGGTGGAAGCCATCCTCGAAGCAGCCGCTCTCGACAAGGAGAGGGATGCGATTTCCCACACCTTCAAGTTCTGGTATGACCTCAAGCAGTATCTGACTATCGAAAAGTACGGGGAAGCTAGAATGCAGAGTCTCGATATATACTCCAAGCTGGTCGACATAATGATAGGCCACCTCGAGTTCCCGAAGCCTGAGAGTGGTGATGAAAAGGACTTGTTTGAGGGCGACAGAGAAGCAGAGGAAAAATTCCGCGAATTTCGACACCAGATGGGCGATGTGCTAAAGGACTGCTGCGAAGTCATGGGCGTCGTAGAGTGCTTGCAGAAACCGTACGATCTTATCCAGCGATGGGTGCAGACATATGGCCAGCAAGCAGGGCCAAATAACGTCCCTGAATGGCAAAAGTTGGAGGCACCACTGTTCGCAGTGCGAGCGATGGGCCGCATGGTACCACCGGATGAGGACGTCATGCTGCCTCGCCTGATACCACTTATTGCAGCGATACCCGACCACAACAAGCTCCGCTTCCAAGCGGTCATGGCACTTGGTCGGTACACTGAGTGGACTGCGCAACACCCAGATACCTTGCAGCCACAACTCGACTTTATCATGGCAGCTTTCGAACACTCAACCAAGGATGTCATCCGGGCCGCCGCGCTGTCATTCAAGTTCTTCTGCAATGACTGCGCAGGCCTGCTCGTCAACTTTATACTCCCGCTACAACAATTCTACGCCAAGCACCTCAACAACCTCCCCATCAGCAGCCAGGAAGAGATTACAGAGGGCGTAGCATCGGTGGTTGCCAAGGTACCACACGACCAGATGTACCAGACACTCAAGCTGTATCTGGACCCAGTTATGCAGCACCTCGTCACAATTGCGCAGCAGGCAAAGGACGAACCAGAGCAGAAGCTACTTGCCGGTGAGTATTCACTTGGACCCGCCAAACACTATGCTAACTAGGAGCAGACAAGATCAATCTGATCACGATATTCGTGGAGACTGTCAGACCAGAAATACCTTCTGGCCAAGAGCACCCCGCTGTCAAGTACTGCCAGGAGATTTTCCCCATGCTCGGCAACATCATCGAGCACTTCAACAAAAGCATCCCAATCCTTGAGCGAGTATGTCGGTCGCTGGCGGTGATATATGGTATTGTCTTACCGCACCGCTATGCGCCCATTACTGCCAGACCTCGCTACCAGACTAAGTGCTGGCTTTGACTCCTCAAGACAAGGCTGTTTCTTGTGGGCCACGGCTTCCGTTGTTCGCGAGTTCTCCCAAGGGGTTGACGAAGTTGATCCCAGCCTCGCAAACGATGTGTACCAGTTCTACGAGCAGCAAGCCAAGACTTTCTTACGCATTCTCAGCGATCTGCCACCCGAAGAGTTGCCGGATCTCATTGAGGATTACTTCCGCCTCGCTGCCGATATGGCGCTCTATTTCCCATCCGAGTCGATATCATCGCCCCTCATGGAGACCATATTGCTTGCAGCATGCAGCTCCCTTACCCTGCTGAAGGAAGACCCTATCATTGCCACACTACACTTCCTCCGCGACCTGCTCGCGTATGGTCGCAACTCTTCACCATCGTCCAGCTTCGAAACCGCCCGTCAGGAGGTACCAGAAGCTCTGCGCAACCGTGTCAAGCAGCTCGTGGTCGGTGCTGGAGTTCAACTTGTTCAGCGTATCATGACCGGCATGATGTACAGCTTCCCAGAAGGCGCCTTTGCCGATTCTTCTGGTGTACTGCTTGACCTCTTCGAGCTTATGCCGGAGCAGGTCGCTCAATGGGTAGCCAACACTGTGAACATGCTTCCACAAGGTAGCATTACACCGCAAGAGAGCGAGCGCTTCCTGAACAACATCCGACAGCGCATTCAGACTGGCGATGTCCGGATGATTAGGACCATCTTGCAAGACTTCACGACCAGCTACCGTCGCCGCAACGTGGCGCCAAGAGAAGGATTAGGTCGACTGGAGGCCTCGCGGTTCAGGTTCTCCGGTTAGACGCTGGATATTGACACGCGAATTCTTTTCCAGAATGTGGATGCATATGGGGTCAAGAGGAAGCAAAAGCAGGGTAGGATCGTTGGTGACAGTGGCCGTTCACACAAGAAGCAGGACGTTTGTTGAGGTATGTGTGCGTTACCGAAAGATAGGAAATGTGTGTATATCAGAAATGGCATTTTTGTGTTTGAAAGCGTTTGTTGGGCATTTGCATGGAAGGTTGCGTGGGGTGGGATATGATACCAAATTTTGAGATGCGAAGAAGGGTGTGCTTTTCTTGTAGAATTTCTCTAGCAGCTTTGTAGATAGCAATCGATCTTTGAAATACATTTCTCTGTCCAGCATGTTGTGTGTACTCTGAGGCATTGCTGGGTTGCGGTGTTACGACGAGGAGAGGCGACAAGAATCAAGATTTTCGCAGACCTTAAAGTCATGCTTGATCATAGATACTGGGTTTGCATAAGGAAACCGCTCTCGAAGTACTGCCCCAGTTTCAAGACATTGCTATTTTGGCTGCGGTGAACAGCTTACGGCAATATTCGATCTGCCACTTTTACTGACCTATGTAGAATGCTGAATTACATGCTCGCTCAAGTGGAGTAATGGTCCCCGGGCTTGATTCATAAGGAAGCAAATGTCAGAGACTGATTTAGAAGTTCTGCTGTTAGATAACGATATCCGATTGACGTGCATCGCTTTTTACACGCGCATGCATCTAAGATATGGTGGTATTGCAGAACTTAAAGAGTAGTCGAGTGTCAAGTTTGATTTTTACGTGCAGGTGTACGAGAGCGCTGTTAATCGTGACTTCGAGCTATTGCGGTGCCCCTGAAGATGTCGTCCGTTGGAAAGGGACATCTGGAGTAGCTCAAAGCCAGAAACCCCAAACCCTATACAGTCCACCACAAGCACTCAAAAAGATAAAAAGAACGCTTCTCAACATCAGGAGAGACGTTGCCTACATCGTGATATGAGTGCGAAGCTAGAAGCCTCGTCTGTAACTATCTGGTGGTCCATAAACTGGTTCCAGGACACCACAGCATCTCCACGACCACTTCACGAGGGAGTACCGAGTGCAAAAAGGATATTCCGACACCGGGAATCGAACCCGGGCCTTGCCGGCGCTTGGTAGCGAACTACTCTGATGAGAGCGGCAAATCCTAGCCACTAGACCATATCGGATGAGGTGATTGATACAGATCGTCAGATTCAAATATTATGTATTGACGTTTGGCAAACGAGGACAGCAACATCTAGCGTTCAGTCCTGCATTCAAAGATAGACGGAAGCTTGTGGTGCAGAGCTCTGAAGTGGATTGGGAGGGGGGAATTTGGAAGGCTTTTTCGAAGTGTGGAGCAAGCAACATCACAGATCTTTGGCAGGGACTGACGGGAGCAACAGAGATGGACGGATTGGACTCACGCAGGTCGGTATGGTATTGGTACTACAGCACTGCCATATAACAAAAAAGCTTCAAGTCATACGCATGCGACAGCTATCATTTCGACAAGTTTTGCGCAGAGCTGTAGCTTTTGTGCCCTTTGTAAAACCTTCAAGACATCAAGCATGCTTCTCTTCTGTTCTGCTACAAGCCTCGCAAGCTTTGGGCCTCGACGATCGGCAAAAGTTGGCGGGTCTTTAGGCGATGTCAGGGGCTACAGCACGCTCAGTGCGCCAGCGTTGCCCTAGCCTTCGCCTTTTTAGACTTAATCGCACAGGACAACAACAAAGACGCGACTCATAAATGCCGCAACAGCAGTCAGTGACTACGACAGATTTTTTATTCTCCGCACTCAAGCGTGTGCTGGAAAATTGTCTGAGACTTCTGCGAGTGCAACCCATTCCGATCCTCATACATGCTGGCTTTGAACTTGTGAACGTCTTCTACGATTCTGCAGCAGCAGCAGTAGAAGCTCTTAGTATTACATACCGAGGTATGCCTTCAAGCTACTGCATGGCAAAGCTGCTTTGCTCACTTTTCTCGGACGGCGCAGACTACTTTGAGAGCTTATCGTAGAGACGAAAAGCCCGATCCGTACCCAGCACTACTTTTAAGCAAACCCTATAGTAAAGTCACGGTATTTGCGCTCTTTTCCACAGGTCCAAATGTGCAAGTTGATCAAACGCTTCAGCTCTTGAGGCAAAGATATGCCGGCGGGCTCATGAATATGGCGTCGACACAAATAGTATTGTCGGTCTGAGGGACGTGCAGGATGAGTCCTAAGATACAACCAGACCTAATATACATGTCTACCCCCTCTTTCCCACAACAGCCCTAACAATCCCTCCAAACCAACACACCAAGAACCACACCCATACTCCCACACATTTGATGGCCCGAAACGGTACGCCAATCACATTGATAGCCTCCTTCAACGCATCCATGATGAACCACAACGCCACAACAGCATACACTACGAGACAAAATTTGGCGAGTAACAGAGTGAAGCATTTGATCTGTGCGAAGCCACTGTCGAATTTACCTGTCGGAGATGGCGGAGCGGCAGATTTGGGAGTGATAGGCCGCGTGGTGGTGTTGATTGTTGGAGTTGGTTTGGTGAGCGTCTTCTTTGGCGTGCAGGGGCGGGGCGGGGCGGTCGATGGACTTCGTAGGGCACTGGGGTGAGGCGTGGGCGTTGCCAGACGTTCGAAGGGATCAACATAACTGGACATTGGCCTGGGCGCTGGTGCATTGAAGACTACTGGCGCTGTTGTTGGTTTGGCGAGACGTGGACCTGCAGGTCGAAGCCATGGAAAACGCTGTGTCAATGTGCGTTTGGGCGTCGTGTCTTTTGCCGGCTTTTCGGGCGTCTTTTCTGGACTCTTCATCTTGATTTGCGGAACGGCTTTGGCTCTTTCTTTCTTTTTCTCGTTGTCGGACGATGTGGGACTTGTTGATTTGCCCTTTTCGGCACCAGAGGAAGTAGGACTTCCGTCAACGGCACCACTGACGTCCTTGCTCTTGTAGCCGAAGATTGAGTCGCCTTCGACAGAGTTGTGGCGTGTGAAGTTTGGCATGGATTTGACAGGGCCAGAGTCACAAGAGCTTTGCGAAGAGGCAGTGTCGAAAGGCCGATTGTAGAGCTTGTGACTGCTTTCTGTTTGCACACGCTCGGCATTTTGCGTTGTGACCTTGGCTCTAGGCTTGATTCGCACTGTGATACTTGGAGGAAGCGCTGACGCCGAAGAGGGGGAACGTGATGCGCCAGCCGTCGAATCAGGACGGTAGACGCGGTAGCATGAGGTGGGTGAGGCCGTTGTGGCAGAATTTGCGCCAACCGTGACAGACTTTGGAGGAGAAGTGGCGCTACGAAGGCCAGTCGCATGTGGCTTTTGGCCCTTTGTATCGAGCTTGCTATTAGGAAGTGTCCACTTATGTTGAGGCACAGGTGGACTAATTGGAAATGATCCTGCTGCAGTTGGAATGCCGGTGCCACTTTCTGTAGACGCGCGCTGATCAGTAATGTTTCGAGATGCGTAATCATAAGACACGATTCTCGACGGGACTTGAACTCCTTGACTGTTGTTCCTTTCTCGGCTCTGTTGAGCCTTCTCTTGATAGGTCCTCAAAGCATCGGCCTGCGCAGCTGTTGACACTGCTTTCTTTGGTAATCTGGTGTACTCGAGTATTGGCAAGCGAGTCGTTGGCATGAGCACTGCAAACGCATCGCTTTCGAAAGCAGGAAAAGAATCTGTCGAGTCGGTTCGAATTGTGGCGAAGCCTGTTTTCCTGCTGGTTGGTATCCTCTTCGATTTCTCTTCCTTGCGAGACTTCGGAGACTGGTCAGGGGAGGAGAGGGCTGAGCCGCAACTTTCGTCCGAACTTCCACCTCTTTGATGTGAGATGTTTGGAATCTTCGAAGGCATCACAAAAGCTTCTCTATGTGCGTGTAGTCTGTTAGTCATTCCATCCTTGGTGGGCGACAACTGCACAGAGCAGTCGCCTAGAATCTGGACTACAGGTGAGTCATGAGACCGGCTGCGACGACGAAATAGCATTTTTACTGTGATCAAGAAGACTGCAAAGGTTTGTTGGGTATGTAAGCACGGTAGATGCAATGACTGTGGGTAAATGTAATACTGAAAAAAAGGTAGGAAATCTTACATATATGCATCTTCTGCCATCGCTATATCCACCTAGGGCTCATACAGGCGTGTGGTTGGCTCGGAATGGACGGTGGCTGGTGTGGTGATGGTTGAGATCCGAGGAATGTGGTGTGACGCATGAAGCGACTGTGCACCGAAAGCGCTGCCCATCACGACCTGAATTCAGGATGGCTGGACATACTCCTAGACTGACGTGATAGATTGAATGTCATGTATGCGGTCTATCTGGACTACTGCCCATACCGCTTGCATGCTTGCTGAGATATGCGGGTATACGTTGCACAATGTGGTTTCGACCATGGGTGGAAGCCAGTATGCGGGGTGACTATCGAACGCCAAAGAAAAAGACCAGCATGAGAAACTCTCTCCATAACGCCGGAGCAATCATGACCATACCAGCAGATCAGTTACCGCCCGTTGGCTCGATCTCCGAAAATTCTAGCCAACGACCATTGACGGCTTTCTTCCAGGTTCGGATAGATGCGTCATCCCCCGTTGAAACAAGCAGGTCACCTATGAAGCGTGTCAGTAGCACTCTGTAAAGTTCATAAGTATCAGACATACCCATGTGCGAGAAAGCGACGCGCCATACCGCGCCGTGGTGGTTGGTGAGTTCGTCCGTGAGCTTGACCGTCTGTCTGATACGCCCAGGATACTGCTCATTCTCACGGGACGTTTCTGGTGCTTTGGATGCCCCTGCCAGTCCGGCTCCTATGCCTGAAGGTGCGTTCTTGCGAGGTCCAGGGCGAGGTGAAACGGGGCCGACCACGGTCGAGTTGGACGAGGTTCCGCCAGCTGAAGCATTACCGGAAGCATTACCGGAAGCAGGTGTGGACAACTCGTAAATGCGAATTGAACCGTCTTTACTAGCTGTAGCAAGAATGTCGTAGCCTCGCATGGAGCCGTTTGCCCAAGCCAAATCGCGGATGATCTGACGAGCACCCTCGAGTTTGGCAACATGAAAGAAACGCTTAGCTTTGTCTGTCCTGTAGATGAATACATCCTTCATGGCTGCGACAGCCAAAGAGAGGGACTTGCGGTCGAGACCAGCCATGATCGCGGTCCAGCAGGGGAGTTTTTCCTTGTGGAAGACAACCTTGAATCCGACCTCTTCTTGGCGTTGAGGAGGATTGTCCTCGGAGACCCAATGTTCGGCTAGGATGCTCCATTCGTTTAGGCTACTCTGGTCGACAGGCTCGTAGACAGTGAGATAACCATCACGAGTAATCAGCGCGAGCCAAGTCTCTTGCATAATGTTCTTGAAGTCTAGCGACATGAAAGGTGCATGGGTATGTGAGACAAGATTCGTGATCAGCTTGAATCTGTTCCCTGACATGGGGACCTCAGTGACATCTTCCTGCCAGAGCTTGCAGCGGCCGTCTTCGCCAATGCTGCCGACAACTTCGCCCATGAAGGGACCGTTCCATTTGACCTAGTGGACGTCAGCGACGGGTTCCATGTGTGGCGACTTTGTATGCATGGGCCACAATCGAGGCTTGCCGCTGACGACTAGATAAGAACGGGAGACTTACGTCGACAATCTCAGCATCGTGCGCCTTCCAGCTCTCGACCAAAGTCCACGATTCATCCTTCTTGTCCCACACCTTGAGACGGTGGTCGGAGCTCGCGGTGACCATGCGCGTGCCGAAGTAGTTAAAGTCTACAGCGAGCACCAGATCCTGGTGGCCATGGGGAAAGGTCTGGAAACCGCGCTCTGCTGCCATGTTCGCATAGGCGTGACGCGCTTGGACAAACTGCGTCTCGAGCTGCTCTGCGACACGCTTGTCGACACTGGAAAGGCCGCCGTCAGCACAGGGCTCCTGGATCAAGGGAGACACGAGATCAGCATGCTCCAGGGCATCTTCAATAGTGACTGCAAAGTTGAGATGGGAGTGTCGGTGATGGGAAAGCGGACCAGAATGCAACCGTGCTTCGTCGCGTGTGGGGCTGAGGGACGAATCGCTTGCGGCCTGCGAGGGAAGTCGCGAGGGCGTGAGGTTCGACAGAAATGCTGGGCGCACGAGGCGACGGGTCACGGCATCCAGGTTCGCCTTGATAGCATCAAGCTGGGAGTGCTGGACACGCTGGTTCGGGTCCATTATGGATGGTTGCCAACGCGGTCGATGGCTGGAGCTTCTCTCGTTTTGGATTAGCAAGAGAGGAAGAAGCCGGGGCCTGTCAGTTTGTGAACACCTTTCAACACCACGCCGCCACGCCAACAGTCATCATAAACACGCACACTTTGCTGCAGGTCACTCCTTCCTCGAACATTCTGGCGTCGTTTTGCGTTTGCAGGGCGTTTGCCTAACTCCGATCGCTAAACTTTGTGTACACTCCCCACAGCGACGCGCATTGGCCGAAGCGAGCATCTACCACATCGACTTGGCTACTCTGCAAACTTATCTAAAGCGGCCGCGACGGCGGGTTTGGCAATCCTCCTGTTGAGGAAACGAAAGAGCGTGGCCCCGGGGTTACGTAGTGGTGCTCACGTGCCGAGGGCACCATCATCAACGCGTCACTCCAGCTGAGCAGCATGTCGACAACTCTGACCACTACCGAGACACTTTCACTCTCCTCGCTCTCGCTAGCATGTATTGGGGTCTTGGCAAACACTCTCCAAGGTGAAGGTGAGCCGCTCATTGCATCGATTGCCTTCAGCGGCATCGCTTTCGCAGCGTGCTATGCTTTGATACGATGGCTTGGCAATGCATTCATGAAGATCGGATTGAAAGGGAAAGACTTGTGCAAGCTCAAGCAGACTGAGATGTAAGTGCGAGACCGTATCGCCCTAGTGGTGTAGCTTACAGACGCAGCCCCGAGACCATGGGCGCAGTGTGTGCTCTGGTCTATCTCTTCGTTCTCATTGTCTTCATACCGTGGCCCTTCTACAAGGACATTGTCGTAGCGACCTCTGGTGGCGGTAACCGAGACGTGATGAGAGATTTGGAAGAGATTGAAACTGGGAGACTGCTGCACAGGTTTCCACACAACAAGCTTGCGTCCTACCTCTCCGCCACACTCTCGCTGCAGTGCACGGTGCTGCTCGGAATCGGCGATGACCTGTTCGACATCAGATGGCGACACAAGGTGCTCATCCCAGCCATTGCTGTTATTCCCATGCTTGTTGTGTACTTTGTGGATTTTGGAGTGACCCAGATGGTTGTGCCGCTGCCATTACGGCCCTACCTTGGCGAGCTCTTTGATCTCGGTATGTTCGGATGTCTTCGTGTCAGACTTGCAATACGCTAACGAACGTCAAGGTTGGCTGTACTACGTGTACATGGCCCTCATGACCATCTTCTCTACCAACGGCATCAACATCTTGGCGGGCATCAATGGCATCGAGGTTGCGCAATCGGTGGTGATTGCAGTACTGATTGCGATCAACGACGTTTTATATCTGTCGCCCTTCACAGCATACCCTCACCCAGCAACAGACTCGCATCTGTTTTCTTTGTACTTCCTGCTCCCATTCATTGGGGTGTCCATGGCGCTCCTGATGCACAACTGGTATCCGGCCAAAGTGTTTGTTGGTGATACTTACTGCTACTTTGCAGGCATGGTATTTGCAGTCGTCTCCATCCAGGGACACTTTACCAAGACGCTGGCTCTGCTTCTGCTCCCACAGGCATTCAACTTTCTCTACTCGAGTCCGCAGGTGTTCAAGCTTATCCCGTGCCCCCGGCATCGGCTGCCACACTTCAACGCGCGCTCGGGCTTACTTGAACCTTCCCGCGTCGAGTTCCGCAAACCACTGCCGGCGGCGATAGCAGAAGGTCTCAAGCTGATGCACCGGCTTCGGCTGGCGGATGTAGCAGTCGATGCAGAGGGGACGGTGGTCTCATCGTCCAACTTTACCTTGATCAACCTGTGGCTCGTATGGTTTGGGCCGATGCGGGAAGATCGGTTGGCCATGGGGCTCGTTGTCTTTCAGTTCCTGGTGGGGATACTAGGGCTCTTCATTCGACATCGCATGGCGCTGCTCATCTTCTCGGCGGATAATCTGTAGTTGTATGTAGTAAGGGTTCGCAGCCTCGGCACGTATATTGCTGTCTTGTGTATATTGTATATCAAGATTGGACATGGTCAGCAATGTGATCGGCAAGCATGTTCGCATGCTGCCGAATTGCTAGCGTGCGTGGCTGTCCTTGACAGCACTCTGCGTCGACGAATCGGAAGTTTGGGAGAGGAGCTGACGCTGACGTGGGGCAGAGTGAGAGTGAGAAACGCGGGGCAGCTGCTGTCAGCGCGGGAACGCGCATGCGAGCATCGTCATCAACGGACTGCCCTTTCACCGTGGACGAAGGCCTCGAGGACGCCTCGCCATAGCCTCAGATATCTCAGCGCGATGGGCAAACAAATGCTACGTGTGCAAACAGGATGCATTCACAGCAGTCTTCACGCGCGGGTGACTCTCAGGATGCGGCGTTTTCGGCGCAGACCGTCATCATTCGGCATGCGATTCGATAGCTCGGCCAGTGCCCCTCTGGCTCCGAACATCGGCCTGGCGCGTTTTGTTCCTGCTTTGCCTCTGCGATTTTGACTTTGGCGCGCGCCTCATTTAAGCCGAGAGCTGCCCTCGCCGAGAGTTGGCTCAGTTCTTACTTCTCCTGATTCTCTCTCTCTCTCTCTCTCTCTCTCTCTATCCGCAGGCTCTGCCGCTGCCATTGAAATTCTTGTACCACCAATACCTAAATCATACACCATGCCTTCTGCCGTGAAACCGCCACAGACTCTGTATGACAAGGTCTTCGAGGACCACATTGTCGAGGAGAAGGAAGATGGCACAGTCCTGCTTTACATTGGTATGCTTGATGCCGTGCTTCCTGCCTGCTTCATGCTAACAGCTCCGCAGACAGGCATCTTGTGCACGAAGTGACATCACCAGTAAGAAGACGTCGAAAATGCTTTGGTGGCCGTCAACACTCACACAGCCACAGCAAGCCTTCGAGGGTCTGCGAAATGCCGGCCGGAAGGTCCGGAGACCCGACTGCACCCTTGCCACGGTAGACCATGTATGTCCAGACTCCCCATCATCACGCTTCCGCGTCTGACAGGCAGCAGAACATCCCCACGGCATCACGGAAAAACCTCACCACGACCGAGAAGTTCATCGACGAGGCCGACTCGCGGACACAATGCATGACCCTCGAGGACAATGTCAAGGCCTTCGACCTCACATACTTTGGTCTCGACGACAAGAGGCAAGGTATCGTTCACATCATCGGACCCGAGCAAGGCTTCACTCTGCCAGGAACCACGGTTGTCTGCGGTGACAGCCACACATCCACACACGGCGCTTTTGGTGCGCTTGCGTTCGGCATTGGCACAAGTGAAGTCGAGCACGTCCTGGCTACACAGACACTCATCACACAAAGGAGCAAGAACATGAAGGTCCAGGTCGAAGGAGATTTGTTACCTGGCGTTAGCAGCAAGGACATCATCCTGCACGTCATCGGCCAGATTGGTACTGCTGGTGGTACTGGTGCAGTCATCGAATTCTGCGGCTCAGCTATTCGCAATCTCAGCATGGAAGCACGCATGTCGATATGCAACATGTCCATCGAAGGCGGGGCGAGAGCCGGAATGGTCGCCCCAGACCAGATCACGATTGACTATCTCAAGGGACGCCCCCTCGCACCCAAGACGGACAGCCCAGAATGGAAGAAGGCCTGCAGTTATTGGCTGAGTCTGAAATCAGACGAGGGCGCCAAGTTCGATATCGAGGTCAACATCGACGCCAAGGACATTGCGCCGACGGTCTCCTGGGGAACTTCGCCGCAGGATGTCGTTCCCATCACAGGCGTCGTTCCCGGTCCTGACGACTTCCAGGATGATGTCAAGAAGGATGCCTGCAGACGTGCTTTGAAGTACATGGGCCTCACTGCTGGCACCCCCATGCAAGAAGTCAAGGTCGACAAGGTCTTTATTGGCTCTTGCACAAATGCACGTATCGAGGATCTGCGGGCAGCGGCACGCGTTGTCGAGGGCAAGAAGATTGCGTCCAACATCATGCGCGCCATGATTGTTCCTGGGTCCGGTCTGGTGAAGAAGCAGGCAGAAGCTGAGGGTCTCGACAAGATCTTCACCGAAGCCGGTTTCGAGTGGAGAGAAGCTGGTTGCTCAATGTGCCTGGGCATGAATCCTGACATTCTTTCGCCTGGCGAGCGCTGCGCGTCGACTTCGAACCGAAACTTTGAAGGCCGACAGGGAGCAGGCGGTCGAACACATCTTATGTCGCCTGTCATGGCTGCCGCCGCCGCCATTGTAGGAAACCTTGCCGATGTGCGGAAACTCGCTCCTCCAACCTCGTCGGCCGCGAATGGCTCACCAAAGGTTGAGCTCGATGCACACATGGAGGAGGTCAGCAGCGACGACGAGATCGACCGCATAATGGACCTCCCCGCCGATTCCCAGATGCACACAGCACCAACCAGCACCAAGGGTGCCACAGCCGGCATGCCAAAGTTCGAGACTCTCCGCGGCTATGCAGCACCCATGGACATTGCCAACATTGACACCGACGCCATCATCCCCAAGCAATTCCTAAAGACAATCAAGCGCTCTGGCCTCGGCTCCGCTCTCTTCCATGCCTGGCGCTACGAAGCTGGCAGTGACAAGGAAGACGCCAGCTTCGTCCTCAACCAGGAACCGTTCCGCAACTCCAAAATCCTCGTCTGCACTGGACCCAACTTTGGATGCGGTTCAAGTCGAGAGCACGCTCCATGGGCGTTGCTCGACTTTGGCATCAAATGCATCATCGCCCCTTCATTTGGTGACATCTTCTTCAACAATACGTTTAAGAACGGCATGTTGCCTGTACGCATCACTGACCAAGCCGCTCTCAACAAGCTTTACGAGATCGCCAAGTCGGGGCAGGAGTTGGAAGTCGATCTCCCCAACCAAGTTATCCGCGACTCCAACGGCACCGAAATCACAAAGTTCGACGTTGAGGAGTTCAGGAAACATTGCCTTGTCAATGGTCTGGACGACATTGGCCTGACTATGGCGAATGAGGAGAAGATCCAGACACATGAGAAGAAGAGAACGGCGGTCTGGCCGTGGCTGGATGGTAGCGGTTATCTGAAGAGGCATGGACGTGGGCCGGTAAAGATCGAGGCAAAGCCGGTGCCCAAGACTAACCGGGGTGAGGTGCTAAATGAGCCGCTGGAGTGGTAGAGAAGCCGGGGTATGATCTTCTAGGGAGGGGTCTATTCCGCGAATGCGATGGTTAAATAGCTATGAGTACATGATGGACGATATCAAGGGCACGATTCATTATAATACTTTGCTTTCGCTATATTGTCCAGGGAGCTTCAATGCTGTCCAAACGCCAGCCTTTTCGGTATACCGCGCTATGCAGCCCACAATCTACGAATATCAACGCCATACGCCTCGTCGCTGTCTTCCATGAGCCTTGGACTTGTGATTATATCATCTGCCCGGCTGCTGTCCAGCAAGGCCCGGCCCGTCCTTTGTCCACGCGCCCCTCCTCATACCTTCTTCAATCCTGCCCCAAATTCTCTCCACAACCTCTCTGTCCCTCCACCTGCCCTTCTCTGTACCAGTCCACTTGTCCACCTTGACCGGCAAAACACCCCTACCCAGATTGATGACGTTCTCTGGCGGCTCCTCGTTGCTCCAGCCCACATAGACGCCTGGGTAGTGGCTGAACAGCTCAGCAGGGTTGCTGTACTTGTAAGTCTTGAACTGCCATGTTTGGCCCGTTGTGAAGATGGCCACGACACGGCTCCAATAGGTAGGCTTGAACGAAGACGTGGAATCGACGAGGATGAATGTGATGGGCGACGACGAGATGGAGGGCATGACGCGCTGGACACGCACCATGTTGGTGCTGGCAGACGTAGCGTCGGCGGGCGTGAAGACGCCGTCGTCGAGGAACTGCTTGACGTTGCCCATGCGCAGGAGGGAAGAGGCGGATGGCGAGAGCAGGATGATTGGTTCGAGACGCTTTGTGGGTTTGCGCTGGAGGTTGGAGACGAGGGCGGTGGATTGGGGGAGAGATGGGGGCACTGATTTGGGGTCGTGGGGGCCTTTGCGGAGGAATATTTGGCTGGCCTGGATGCGGAATTTGTCAAAGTCCTGGATGGATGGACAAGGTCAGTATACCATCTGTGAAGGGTTGTCAATGCAACGTACGACAGGCTTTGTCCCCCGGAGAGCAGTGTTGTGGTCGCCCATGCGCCGCTCTCCGTCGTAGATCTGGAGTAGGCGCGCATCCACCATCTTGCCCGCACCAGTGCGCTTCATGTCTTTGTCCATGGGCACGCCCTTGCCGCCGGCGATGGCGGCCGCATCACCGGCTGCTGCGGCTGCGGCATTGCTGTCGATGGGCGCGATGCTATCACTGCTGTCCGTCTCGCCGCTCAGCCAGGCGATGAGCTCGATCTTCTGCGCAAAGGTCAGGTTCTGCACGGAGCCTCCTGCGCCAGACGGGAGTTCCTCGTTGAGCGTCTGGACTGCGGCGAAGTAGTCCGTCACCGAGGCATCTTTGTTCAGCCATGCGAAGTAGCAGCTGCGCAGGTCCAAGGGCTTATTGTCTGGCGCAAAACGGGTTGCCGATGTGAGCGGGAAGGTGCGATGTGCCCCATTGACGTTGAAAGACACGTGAGTCGCTGCGGCGAGGCCGGTGACGATGTCTGCTGGTGCTGGGTCGGCGCTGGTGCTCAGCGTGGGCACGGCGCCCTCTTTGATGGAGAGGCGCAGATTGTAGAGCGCATCTTCGGCTTCGGCTTGCGCGGTCGACATTACGGGCAGGAGTGACGCGTACAGACGCGCTGCGGTGTGCGATTGGGCTTGGTCGAGTTGTCGCTGGCGGGCTTTGTAAAGTCGAAGCTCCAAGCTAGCCTGCACTTTTGGCCCCAGTCCCGAGGTTTTGCCGCGCGGACTTCCGCTTTGTTCGAGTCAAACATTCATCAGATTTCGTCTTCGCTCATAACAGAGCGAACGAGGTGCAAATCCTGACCCGCTGAGAAGCCCGATCACGTATGAATGCGTCGATGAGGAAAGATAGCGACATGCATACTGCAGGGCGTATAGGCGCCTCTACCCTTCGGGTTACAAAGCTGACATATTGTGCTTCGTAACTGAGCGTGCAAGCATGGAATGCTGTCCTTTCTCTCTGGTCTTACAATTCAATGCACATCTTCCCTTACATCTCACCTATTTCTCGGATTGAAAGACTTCGCCATGGACGTAACCACTACCACTGAATCGGCATATATCGTTCTTCAGATTCCCGCATCATCACCAAGAATCAAGGAACTCGTCATCAAGTTCCGAGACACCAGGCTCGCAGTCCTCCAAGCCGATCCAGGAAGCAGTCTAGCACAATACGAGGTTGAATCTCAACTTCCAGACTCGATATGGCATGGTCGACTCGCGGGTAACACAAAGTTCCTCGTATGTGTACAGGCCACTGATCGTACGCTTCCACCCGAGCATCTTCTCCTGCAAGGGGACTGGGCTGGCTATGCAGCGCTCCGAGAGCGTGTGAGTGTCGAGGATTATTATCTCGTTCCGGAGCAACCAGTACCTGAAGATCCAGATATAGAGATTAGATGGCATTTGTACGATCTCTACACTGTGCCCGCGCACCGTGGCCGCAACGTCGCGAAGAAGCTAGTGGCTGGCTGTGTAGCTGTGGTGGAGGGCGACCTCGGCATGGACGATAGCTACAAGATAGCACGCTTAAGACTGTACGCCAACCCAAGCTATTCGTGGCTCATCAAATGGTATGAAAGATTTGGTTTCAAGGAGGGGGGCAGAGTGAACTTGAGGCAAGGCTTTGTGGCCAGCGCCATGCAAGACAGCGTGCCAAAGGACACGACTAGTACGCGAGAACTGTGGGAGAGGTGGGAAAGGCCATTTGCTTACATCATGGAGAGGGTATTCGAGGTTGCTTGAATTAGTATGGACGTAGACTGCCGTATCCTTACGCGCCCTTCTAGTGAGGTTCTTTCTCCAGTCTCCTTCACCTCAACGCCCGCCCTAACACAAGCATGACGCAACGACTAGCTCACGACTAACGCAAGGTAACAGCTTTCATACCCTACCATCGGTTCTCGTCGGCCAGCCATGGTAAGACCCGAGCTCACCCAAATTGTATGAGGCTCTGTCTGAGCGCTGCGAACACCTGTTCGCGGGCCCACTTTTATCTTGCTCGTGTGACAGCAGTGACGCACTGTTACTACGAGGGGCGCGCGTGCGAGCTGCTGAGGGATATATAAGAGAAAGGGAGAGCTCTTACGTGAGGACTATTACCTCACTACTGTCCTTTGCCTTTACCTTTACCAATGAACTCGCGATTCCAATGCCTGACAGATTCAAAAGCTCAACCCATATCTCGAAGAGCATTCGCTCATGTCGCCATGGTGAGTTTTCACGACTTCGCGCCGGGCCAGGTGGGTGACCTGCACATTTAGAATATGGCAATCATTCGCAAAGTGTTATAGCTAGTCTACCCGCCTATTGATTGACTAACACCCACCAGTGACCAAGAGTCTTACCACGGGCGTTCCCACATCACCACCTAGACAAATTCTGCTAACCATGGGCGACAAAATTGAAACAACTACCTGACCGCAACGCCCAACACCTCCGTACTGGCTTCACAGTAATCGCGCCAGCAAGAGCCTCTTATGACTTACCGAAACTTTCTATACCAAATATCATCGGTAACAGCATGTACATCGTTCGACCTCACCCACGCCTGAGATGCACAACTCCCACTTCACTCTCGTAGCTAGATGTCAGTATGTAAGCTGCCCAGCGCTATTCCTAGTCGAGGCTAACACAGTCCAGCCTCTTCTCCAATCAGGTTGTAACTTACTCACAACTCGATCACCTCACTGGTTCCATATAGCCCTATCTGCAGCCGACCAAGAGACCAGCCTTTTGGACCTGAGTAGCATGGCACTTGAGCCTTAATGGAAGGTCCCCAGATCATATGTGTCTGGTGCGATGTCACTTCAGCGATTTGGTGTCTAATTCGGCTGGCTTTCCATATTGGCACTCCGATAATGCTGCAGTATGGGCCCAGGGTACGGCGATGAGTTTCCGGGAATCTGGTTCGGGTTGCCTTGTGCATTGACGGAAGGTGCCTCACACTTAGGTGATGGGTGTCATGTCACTCCGGCGTGCTGGTGCAGTGGAAGCTCGGGACGGTGGGTGGTGAGTGGAGAGTGAAGTTGGCATAGGAAGGAATGAATGAATGGGATGGAAGGACTGAAGGGTCACAAATACCATATGTCAATCAAAACCTCTACAGTTGTCCGTTCACCTAACTCTATGCTTGACGAGCCCTCGGGCATTGCTAAGTCGCACTCTGAACATTGGTTGTGTCGACTCTAGGACAAGCCATCCAGCATAGGAGGTCCACGTCAAAGTTTGATGAGCTTCGTCACAGTGTTCTAGGATGTTGACGTGAGTCGAGGCCGTGCTCAAACCGTTATGTACCTGCCGGCACTAAGATGCTGATCCACATTTGAGCCTCATGATCGAGCCCACAGCACGGGTCTTCCTCTTCCGTACTTCCGAACAATCCTCGCGGAAGTGACGGTATTCTTGAGAAGCTGGGAGTGGGCAGATCCCTAGCATGCCAACTCTGTCCTCGGAATAACGAACCGTCCTCCCGAATCCGCAGTGTCGATTGCACTCCTTCCAGAAATCCCTCAGCCAAGCGGAGGGGAACTGCCGTTGTGGACGCAGGTGGGTTACATTCGACACCAACATTTTCTCTGCTACAACAAATGATTGTCTCCGCTCTTGCCAGGTCGCGGCAAAGCGTCGGATGCGGCGCTACGACATGGTCCAGCCAGTCGCAGTCCTGCTCGTATGATCACGATCCCCACACTTTGGCCTTGTGTGAGGTAAAACTCCGGAGACACCAGCTTAGGCTGCGGGGAAGAGCCTCGTGTGGAGCGGCGTGGTCGGAAGCACGATGAAGAATTGCGGAGGCCTTGCTGCTTTGGGCTTGGTCGGGCCCGAAGCCACCGACGCTTGTCTTGCGCTGAGAAGTTTCTTGTCAAACAAGAACTCGGGAGCCTCGTCTCGGTGCGCCATTCGCGTTTACTAAGAAATGGACCGTTGTTCAGCGGCTGGCCCGTGTCAATGGCGCCGCGCTCGAGGCGACTGCGATGGGTTGTGCTGTCATTGCGATCGCTAGTACCCCATTGTTATGAGTCGTGCGGACGATTGTTCGGTGGCTTTGCGGGGAGGCAACACTGTCTGTTCCAAGTCCACGTCTCTGGATATGGAGAAGATTTTATGTTTCAGAGTAAGAAGCTGGCCGCCGAAGAGTGAACAGGGCCAACTGTTTCATAATCGAATGTACTGACATGAACAGCTACCACAACTCAGCATATAGAATCTCGAATATGATGCCTGGGAACGATTCATGGACACCCGACAAGCACTCCGTTGCCAACTACCGAGGCGTAGGCATGACTTGCAACCGTCGCCTTGGCGATGATTCTCCACGCCCCGGCATGCAGGTGACGTCAAAAGCCCCATGGGACCTGGCGGCTACACTTCGGCACGGTCTAGGAAACGACGACGACCTGGTTATGGCTTGCAGAATTTTTGAATAGCCGGGACAGTCGGCCATGTATATAAGGATCAGTAGGGACGCAAAGATGCACCTTCAAGCCGATTTCCAGCCTTCTTCAATCGACAATGGCGGCCATCCTATCTTCGTTGCTTGCGGGCTCTGCCCTGCTCAATGCGGTCAACGCTCAAGACTTCAGTGGTGGAGCGCGCGATGAGGACGCATTTTCCTTCGTGCAGCCTAAGAACTGGAAAATTCTCACTGAGTATGGCTCTTCACCAGCTGTATATCCCTCCCCGAACATCACCGGAATTGGTGGTTGGGAGGCTGCTCTCGAGAAGGCGAAAGCCTGGACTGCGCAGCTCACCACCGAAGAAAAGGCGGACATGGTCACTGGTCAAGCCGGACCTTGCGTCGGTAACATCGTTGCCATTCCTCGCCTCAACTTCACCGGTCTCTGTCTTCAAGATGGACCCTTGGGCATCCGAGTCGCCGATTACGCCAGCGTTTTCTCTGCGGGTGTGTCAGCTGGTGCTACCTGGGACAAGGACATCATGTATGAGCGTGGCCACGCCATGGGTGTCGAGTTCAAGGCCAAGGGCGCACATATTCTTCTAGGACCTGTCGCTGGACCTCTCGGACGATCTGCCTATGCCGGCCGCAATTGGGAGGGATTCAGCTCCGACCCTTACCTTTCAGGAGGTTAGTTGCTCTTATATGAAGCATAAAAATATTTGCTAACTTTGCTGTCTAGTTGCAATGGAGAAGACTATCATTGGCCACCAGGATGCTGGTGTCCAGGCTACCGCCAAACATTGGATAGGCAACGAGCAGGAGATCCAGAGAAACCCTGTCTACAACCCTAACAACACAAACGAAAAGACCTCCAATGCTCTCTCGTCCAACATCGACGACCGCACAATGCACGAGCTGTACATGTGGCCTTTTGCCAATGCGGTCAAGAGTGGTGCTTCGAGCTTCATGTGCAGCTACCAGCGAATCAATGGCTCTTACGGATGCCAGAACTCTGCATCTCAAAACGGTCTGCTCAAGGGCGAGCTCGGCTTCCAGGGTTACATCATGTCAGACTGGGGTGCGACTCATTCTGGTGTTGCCTCGATTGAAGCTGGTATGGATATGAACATGCCAGGAGGTCAGTACATCTGAAAAATGGGATAGTAGGAGATATTGTACTAATTATTGTCAAGGTCTCGGCCCCTATGGCACGAATTTCGGCACACCCTCTTTCTTCGGCGGGAACGTTACTCTTGGAGTCAACAACGGCACTCTTAACACTGCTCGTGTCGATGATATGGTCATCCGCATTATGACTCCCTACTTCTGGCTCAACCAGGACAAGGAATTCCCCTCTGTTGATCCCTCTTCCGGAGATATGAACACCTTCTCGCCCCGTTCTTCATGGACCCGCAACTACACCTTCACTGGGGAGCGAAGCCGCGACGTCCGTGGCAACCACGCCGAGTTGATTCGGAGGCACGGTGCTGCCGGTTCTGTCCTTCTCAAGAACAAGAACGGCGCATTGCCCCTCAAGGCGCCCAAGAATATTGCCGTCTTTGGCAATGATGCTGGAGCACCCACTCAGAGCAGCGTTCTTAACCAGGTCAACTACGAATACGGCAGTCTGTTTGCTGGTGGCGGCAGCGGTACGGGTCAGTTCACCTATCAGGTTACCCCCCTGCAAGCTCTTCAGGCCAAGGCGCAGGAGGACAAGGCTCTTGTTCAGTACTGGCTGAACAACACCTTGATTGCCAACTCCAACATCAGCACTCTCTTGATCCCTCGTGGAGTTCCAGACGTATGCATCGTCATGCTCAAGACATGGGCCCAGGAAGCTGAGGATCGCCCGCATTTGAGATCTGACTGGCACGGAGACGATGTTGTTGAGAGCGTCGCGTCTTACTGCAACAACACTGTTGTCGTCACTCACTCCTCTGGTGTTAACACTCTACCCTGGAGTGACCACCCCAACGTTACCGCCATCCTTGCCGCTCATTTCCCCGGTCAGGAGAGTGGTAACAGCCTCGTCGACTTGCTCTATGGCGAGGTCAACCCCTCTGGTCATCTGCCCTACACTATCGCCATGAACGGTTCTGACTACAATGCTCCGCCGACAACCGCTATCAACTCTACCGGTTTCGATGACTGGCAGTCATACTTCGAGGAGAAGCTCGAAATCGACTACCGCTACTTTGATGCACACAACATTACCGTCCGCTACGAGTTCGGTTTCGGTCTATCTTATACCACCTTCAACATGTCCGGCCTCGAGCTCTCCCCTCTCGTCGACGGGATCACTTCCGAGCCCGAGGACCTTCCCATCCAGCCAGGAGGCAACCCAGCCCTCTGGGAGTACGTTTACAACGCCACTGTCTCAGTAACCAACACCGGCAAGGTCGCCGGTGCCGCTGTGCCCCAATTGTACGTTGGCTTTCCATCCAGCGCGCCAGCTGGCACTCCTCCCCGCCAGCTCCGTGGATTCGAGAAGGTTCACCTCGAGGTTGGCGAGACCCAGACAGTTGGCTTTGAGCTGATGCGTCGTGATCTGAGCTACTGGGACATCATTAGCCAGCAGTGGTTGATCCCCGAAGGAGAGTTCACCATCTACGTTGGTTTCAGCAGCAGAGACCTTGTTGAGCACAAGAAGGTCACTGTCGTTGGTGGATATTAGCTACACGACTGGTCCAAGAGGATACAGTTAGTAATGACGATATGATAGATAGCTATAATTTTATTGTATAAATTCAGCTCACATTCAATTTTCCGTGCATCCTGTCGATTGGTCCAGTTGCGTTTCGGGAGGATAACGACAAGACGCGGAAGGCGCGGTGCACAAAGGGTAAGCTCCTCGCCGCCCGACAAGACCTGCCCACAGTAAGTGTGCCCATGATCAGATATTAATCCACCGGGAATGATAGTCGGTAGGGAAATTACCGACCCTGGAGGTCTCTACTGCAGTGTTGCGTTGATTTAGCTTCACGCTCTTGAACTCATTGTCTTCTTCATCGTCATCGTCGTCAATGCCACAGACGACCACAAACGGCACTGGTCTCTTACCGCCAGACTCCAATGACGCCTCCACAGATATCTTCACTGGATAGCACGCCGTCAGCAACCACGCTGAAGGCCAGCTTTGTGACATCAGTCTCTCCAAGCCGATCTCGAGACTTATACTGAGCCACACGACAGGCGATGGCGCTTTTACTGGTTCCTGCACTGGCTTCTCCATTACCGCCTTCACTTTTGATCGCACTGCCAGCAACACCACCAGGGTCAAAAGGCAACGCAACCCCGACGAAGAGACGAACGCCATTCACCAAGGTAGCAGCAGTACTGTCGTACTGGATGGCATGCACATAGCAGCGAATTGCATATGATGGGGACTCGAAGATACTGCTTCCATCATTATACGTGAACCATTCACACCCCAGAACTCTTTTGCTCTTTTACTATTATGCTTCTTTACTGACCTTGGTAATACCGCGCAGTACCCGATACTCTGGGAGCATCCAATCCCCTTTCTTATGCTGGCAAACTTTGTAATCCCGACCTACGCCGCAGTTTGTGCGAAGACAAGACCAGGCCCAGACGCCATACACCCAGGCGAGGCCGCTCCAATGGATGGAACCAGTCGATCACCCACCCGACCTTGCCTTTGAATACCTCGACATGCACGTGTATCAAAATCAAACTGCACCGACGCCGTCAATGGCTATGGTGGAGGTGGCTCACCAGCTATACCAACTGAATCGCGGTCTGGACCCGAAGTACTTTGACGTAAGAGGCCGCCCAGGAATAGAGTGTGAAACTAAGCTACAATGCAAAGACCGCTGCACTGGACTTGTCACAATAATTTTGTTGTAATCTTCACGGCTCTTCAATGCAACTGTACCAATCACGTCGAGTACGGATCCGAGGAACCAAGCGCCAATCGAGCAGGCCACTACACCCTATTGTTGGTGTCTCCCACCCGAGGTCTGTTACTACTGTTAGGCTGGAAGGGAATTAGTACAAGTTCGGACACTGATCACGTAGGAGTCCCTTTTGTATAAATAAATAGCTCCTGGTACTTTGCCTCCCCTAACACTATCTATCTTGAGTCTGACCCTATTTACCTGACAACTACTCCCATCAACTTGAATGTTTTGGGTTCAGTACGAAGCGCATCAGATCCACAAAAGAAGCAGTCAACCTGGAACGCGCGCGTCCCATAGCAGGAAGCCACTATTAACAAGCTTCAAGCTCACCCATCTTATACGTGAGCAACGTCGTGACTGCCGACACACGAACCGAGTACAAGGCATGAGGGTTCCCATGGACTTCTTTACATGCCAGGCGATATGCCACTACATGGGGCCTGAGAGAGAAAATTGCATACGCCATACCCGACCTACATCTTCGGCCACGAAATGATGCCGGGTCTATTACGAAGGCAGTTGGGCAAATAAAGTATGCGACCTTATGTCACGTAGCCGGAAAACTTCATGACATGCTTCACTACATGGATATCACAGGTTCACTACCGCTGCTGACAGAACTATTTACCGTCATCAAACTCCCCAGCTTCTACCTCACACCACCTACAAGTCCACTCGTCTATGCTATAGGCACGTCAGCCCTCAATAGCACTGACATCGACGACGACGAGTTGTGGGACAGCGATGTGTGGGACAGTGGCTTCAAAGATAGTGACGTCGAAGACGAAGGCTAAGGCGATGGTAATGGCCACCAAAGCAGCACTGGCGACGTCCAAGATGGCACAGGCGAAGACGGCAAGAGACAGCTTGCAAATATCAGCAGCACCAGCACTAGCACGAAAGTAGAACGAGAATACGGCAGAAGATTGGTAAACAGCCATGTGAGCTGTGCATTCAACCGAGATTGCTCCCTCACACCCCGACAAGGGTCTCCTCTATGCCACACACACCACCGTTTTGCAGCTAGAGTCGTTACATTGCGAGCAGCAAACGGACAGTATGCCAGGCTTTTGAAGGAGGTCGAATTATAATAACATTTCGCCTTTCATCCACCGATGCAACATGCAACAACATCGCGCAGCTTTTCAGCGAATCAAGCAATCATGCGACGGCTACACAATATGACAGATGGATACCGAGTTCTGCGTTGTTAAAGGCACTACTCCAGTCGTGTTCACTTTGACTGTAAGTGAGTTTCTGTCTAACAAAATTGTTGTCTCCACCGCTGTCGATTACGGAGCAATGCCTTTCTAAGAACTGGAAGATGCCCTGACTAGACACGCGAGAAAACATGACCAGTATGGTGGACTGCCACCACATAACAGCAAACACTACATGGCTAAGCAATACTAAGCCGATGAGACTGGCGGCCCTTGTCCTTCAGCCGTGGGCGAGGTTTAACGAGCGCCAGCTTCATTCTATCTACTCACCGCGTCATTTCTTGGTACACGAGATATGACCTCGCTATATTCCACGCCGACTTTTCGAACAAGAAAGAGGTAGTTCCATAATGTCCAAGACTTTGGAGTTGGCATCAGTGACGATTTAGGCTTAACGCGGCTAGTTTCGGAAGGCGGGAGCGACTCAGTATGAATTCATGGGAGTAGAAACCATGTGCGAATTTGCTGCTTCTAGTCCAAGGGAGTAACTTTATAAGTCGACGGTGAAGACTTGCAGGTGGACGAGGCGCAATCGAGCTAAGACTATGCTCAGGGAAACATCTTTCGCTATGGCTAGTCCCATTCGAGACTGTCTCCGTTGACGAGGAAGCTAGGCAGACATTCCGGTACTTTGAACAGGAACGTCATCCTTGACGTGCCCGTCCCCATCCTTGGTAGCCGTAGCTCTATCCCCAAACGCAAGCTTCACCACTGTTAGCGTGTGGTAAACCGTTGGTTTCCATAGTGGAGTCTATATATAGGCCAAGATCAATCAATATGTATTGATACGATGTTCCTGGGCCATGGATGTCCCTTGCGTGGCGACGGAGTATCCTGCCAATGTGGTATCTGCTACGAGCTGGCGATGTCTCGTGGAACGAGTGGCGCAATAACGGTGCTCGGAATTGCCATGTTATCGTCGACATGATACACGCGGTAGTAAGACATGTGCTGGGTGGTGGAAGTGAAGGCCCGTGGACGTTTGTACTCTCGGCATGATACACGTGCGGCAGTCTTATCTCTCGCAGACGCAACATCCAAGTGAGTCGGGTCCAGGATGTGACTTTGGCTCCAGAGATGCCTGGTGGAATGCACTGAGTGCCTAGAGCAAAGCCACGCGAGCTTTTGGCATTGATATCACATGCAGAGGCAGTACTCCGGAGGACTATTCGCGGACTTGGCGTGTTGTAAACGGAAGGTCCTGCACTTGCCGTCCATAGCTGCTCCGCTAGCACGGCACGTGACGTCCAAAAAGCCCGCGCGGGCAATGGTCAACGCATGGAAGCATGCGCAAGGGAACCACTCCATCCGGACTCAACCCGCGACGTCGTTTGTTGTTTGTCGTATCGCATCAGCATGTGGCGAGGCTGGTATTGACCGGCACAGGCATCAGATTAATGACCGAACGGCACCTTGCCGCATGCACTTCACCAGCACTCGACGCCATGAAACGCGCCTCGAGGTCTGGCACTATGGTCGATGAAGCGAGGCCGGTGCCTGAGATGCTTATCGCCGCACTACTGCAGGCTTCAGAGTACAAGCGACTTTACCCGGTCACTTCCTTCCTCTCCAGGCACTAATGTCTTCGCTCGTTTGTGGCAGCAGCCCGAGCAGTGCCCCGTTCCATGTCTTGGAACTCTCCGAAGCATCGCGTGTTGCTGTCACGACATGACGAGCAGCCATGGCCGTGCAGCAGGGTCTCGCAGCCACCTTGCGCGTGCTCTTCACAGGGACTTCGGGTGCTGGTCGCGCGGATGCTCTGTGCTTGCTGGAGCGTCGTCCAACCGTTCGCACCAAAAGCTTCGTCAAGGTGCGCAAGGCACGACTGGCGCAGCGTCCGCGGCTTACCCGCTCCATGCCATGCCCCGAGGCCGACTAGACACCCTAGAGGCGCCATGGGTGAAATTGCGAGTGCATGTCACTCCAAGTGCGCCAACGCGCTTCGAGGGCACTCGAGCAATGCGTCATCCAGGTACCAAACCCCTTGCAGGGTAGGTCTTATGCAGATGGCTTATTGCACGCCTGCAATAGGCTGGAGCTCTCCGAAGCCTGTGCCACTGTCGCTCCACACGCTCGGACACGGCTGGCGAGCGCGGGCAGCACACACACACACACACTAGTCCTCTACACCTGTCGTCGGCACTCTTGAGACGGTTGCGAGCACATGGAGATTCGTGTGTACCTTGACCGTCACCATGTGATGCATCGCAGGTCGAATCTGTCTTCCTCTTCCTCTTCCTCTTCGTCTTCTCCAGCATCGCTCGCGCCGGTCCATGGGCCCATCAAACGGTAGGAACTTGGCATTTGTCGCAACCTCAGCCTTGCCCCAACTTTGAGGTGGAACAAGGATGCTGGCCATGTCGACTGCGTGCTCGAGCGCCCTTGCGAACCCGCCCTCGGTTTTAGCTCCTTCCACACGGCTTCCAAGCTTCCATATCTTTTCCAGAACGTTTCCTCATTCCGCATCCCCCGCGACGCATGCAATCTGATGATGTGATATAACCCTTCCGTCGCACCAACGGCAGCTGACGCCTGCTCCGACACTCGTTCATCCACTCCTTCGCCCCTAACTTTGTCGCGACGCCTGCATATCCCTTCTTGCCCTCCTTCCGTAGCCTTGACCGTGGAATTTTCACTCTCTGCTGTCGTTACGGGTCGCTTTGGAGTTCGCGTGCTTTTCCTGTCGGCATGTTAGGCGCGCGTTGTCGAGTTCTCGTGTTCAGCTAACCACCCGGCTACCTCGCCAAGATGGACGATGGCCTCGACATTCCCGAGGAGTCCATGCGACACATTGAGGCATTGCTGGCGAGACACCCACCACATATGATCCAGCAAATGTTTTCGCAGACACTGGCCTCACGTATGTTTATAGCAGTACTTTACATCTAGTGTCGTCGCGTTGCTTACATTCCGTAGGTCGTAGTTCTGTCGCCTCGTCCTTCATGTCAACAGCCACTTCTAGTACAAATTCGTCATCGTCTTCTGGTTCATCATGGAGATCGCGACTTTCCATTGCGTCTACATTCTCAAGTTCTTCTGGTGGTAGCAGTATCGCATCCTCAAATTCCTCACGCTCTAGAATGAGGCGGGCAGAACCGCGCTCGTATCCTGCTGGCCTTGACCCCACGCGACCCGTGCCTGCCCTCTTGACCCCGGCCTCCGACGTCAGCAGTCCCCTTGATGTGAAGCCCGAACCAAGCTTCACCCCTACAGACGATATCAGCGTCGCATCGCCTGTCACGACTGCCGACAATAAGGATCAAAGTCAGTCTGGCGAGCCGTACATGTTCTGTACTTATTGCGCCGAGCAAAAATCGCTCAAAACTTTCAAGGCAAAGTCGGACTGGAAAAAGCATGAAATGAGGATGCACGAGACGGGAGAGGACTGGCCCTGTATCGTCATTGGCTGTAACCGCATCTTTGATCGACAGAAGGATTTTGTCAAGCATCATCAGCGCTATCACTCCGGACGACCCCTGCCATCTCTCACTGATATTGGCATTACCTTGTTGCCAAGAAGGGTATTTGGCTGTGGCTTCGACAAGTGTAAAGAGGTCAGCATCGGCTGGGATGAGCGTTGTGATCACGTTGCGAAGCATATGAAGAATGGTGCCACCTTCGACCAGTGGAAGTATTCCAACGTAATCCGGAATCTGATACGGCAGGAGGCCTTGCATGATACGTGGAAAGAACTTGTCGCGTGCTTAGACGAGCGGCTGCGCGAGACTCGATCACACATCAGCTGGTGTCCCGACAACACGAGAATCCTTCGACAGAAGCTCCAATGTTGTGACCTCCGGCCAAGTCGAGAAGAGGTGTTGATTACTGCTATGAGCCTTCGTGCAGACATCTCTCTGGATCCCGTACACCAACAATTACCACTAGGCTTCGTCACTCCAAGCAGAGATTCGGTTCCACACAGCGACAAGTTGTCACGAGAACAACGGATGCAGATTCTGATTGGCAATTCCAACCCACAACTATCCCGCTCACGACTAGCCTCCATCAACGCTGCTCTTATTAGAGTCACTCAAACCGCAGGCCACAGCGCAAATTATGACTGTGGATCATCTCCATTCATCGAACCAGAATCACCAGCAGTCGACACGACAAATCGCCGCATCAGCTACATGGATGTCGACCCTGGAGATTATCTTGACGTTGCCCAGCCTGTCATCCCGGATATGGCCCATCCAATGAGTGCACCCTCGATGAACCCGCCGCATCCCCAAGTTCCAGCACTGGACCACCACCACCACCAACAACAACAACAACAACAACAGCAGCAAACAAACACAACCGCCGACGAATTCACTGATCAAGCCAAGCCTCCAGCCAATCCTCTGGGATGGTGCTACCCCAGCTACTTCGATGCCGCCCCACAGTTTGAGGAGTCGCAATACTACGAAAGGCCTTCCTTTGGCTCAATGATTTCCAAGCCACTGCATAAAATTGGAAACAGGCTCAATAACTCCAGGCAAAACTCACCGCACGCATCACATATGCAGTCAGCGTCGCAAATGAGTCAAGAACCTGAAATGGGCGCAGATTTTGCACTTCAGAATCCTGTAGCCGCCATGGGCATGCGCCATCCTCCTCACCATACCCAACAACAGCATTTGCCACAACATATACCACAACAACAGCAACACCCTCAATACCACGCCATGTCGCAAGCGCCACAACAACACTACCGTAATGTCCCACCAATGCATGATCAACAACTCCATCTCTTTACGAATCAAGGTTGATGATGGATTTTTGGGCGTACTGACACTTCTCTTCTTTCGTATGTTATTTCGAGCGAGCATGCATTATTTCTATTATTACTTTTCTTTGATACCCCGTGCCTCGGCATATAGATCCTGTATGATTATGTTATGGAGGGAATGACGTAGAGTAGGTTTTACGGAGACCGAAAATGAATCCCGTACTTCAACGCCTCTTCATGATTTGGTTGGGTGTCGCTTATTGTCAGTATTGCTGTGCCGCTTGAGTGCATTTGCGTATAACCGCAATCATCCGTGCAACTTGGACCATCGACATTAGCTTGATAGCTGCGTGGGTACCGGCCCCAGCCTTAAAGACCGACGCGCCTTGCTGCACAAATCTGACAAACACGCTTTCACTCGCACATATCGGGGCGAACCAGCAAACATCATGGAACTGGTTTTGTAAGGGCGATGTGCAGCCGACTATGGGTATGTAATGACAGACATACGAAAAGGAGAGTATCCCAAAGGTTCTTTAGCGCGCTGTGAAATGCGTTGAGAGAGCTTTGTCCATGCTGAACTTCCTGATGACGAAGCTAACGGCCAAAGCGCTGCCCGAGATACCTGTCATCATCATGAAGACATACTGAAACCCTTTCATGTATGCTTCTAGAATGGCCGTCTTCTGTGGCCCATCCGCCATGGTTCGAAGTACATATACCCATCGTTCCGAGTCGTGTGCAATTTCCGCAGGTAATCCGGACGCTGCCAAATTTTCAGACATGGCGTTCTGGAAGATTGTGCCGGCAAGGGCAACACCAAGCGGCATTCCAAGGCTTCGGAAGAATCCGTACATACTGGCGGCCATGCTGCAGTCCTCGGGCCTTGAGATTGCTTGAATGCCCACATTGACACTCGTCAGTACCATGCCCGTTCCGATGCCGAACACTGCCAGTATCACGTACAGTACCACATCGCTAGTGTGAATACCGAAGAGCAGCAGAAGACCACTAGCGAGAGTTGTGACTGTCCAGCCGCCCCAGATTGCCCAGCGAAATCGTCCGAGCCTACTTGTGATGACTGAGACGACAATGGAGCCAGGCACCAGGAGACACATGGCCGGCAATAAGTCCTTTCCGGCTTCTGTTGGCGATTGACCTCGTACAGACATGAAATAGAAAGGAATGTAGTATAGTGCGGTGAAGAGCTGTCTAGAATCAGTATGACAATCGTATCGAGATGGAGCTCGGCTTACAATTAGTCCATTGACGAGCGCACAGTAGAATGCTGCAATAGCACTCCAGTTGTAAAAGATGGAGATGGGTAGCAGACTGTGAGGCTGGGCAAAATGTTGCCACCAGAAGAAGATGACGAGCGCAAAAAGCCCAGCGACTATTGGCGCCAATGTCGCAGCAGAATTCCAAGGGTGTTGGATACCTCCCCAGGACAGGCCAACAAGGAAGCTGATCATGCCACCGACAAAGATGAGAGCGCCAATCCAGTCAGTCTGCTTCAGCTTCTGAGACAACGTGATCTCTGCGACTCTGTTGAGACGGACGAACATGATTGCGACGATGAAGCCAATGCCACAAAACGGATAGTTAATATGGAAGCACCATCGCCAGGAACTGGTGATAGGTCAGTATGAGCTAGCAACATGTTCAAAGACTGGACTTGCGCTTTCTCGGTCAAGACGCCGCCGATGAGTGGGCCAAGAATCGATCCAAAGGACCACGAGCCCAACACTAGAGGGAAGTATTTCGGTCGCTGTCTGAGCGGTACAATGTCGCAGAAGATGACTTGTGTGAGACAGATTATGCCGCCACCGCCTACGCCTTGTATGCTTCGGCCTGCCAACAGCGTTGTGAAGTCCTTTGATACCGAGCAAAGTATTGTACCAACTGTAAAGAAGATGAGAGACAAGACGAGGAGTTGCTGCCGACCAAAGGTCTGACTGATGGACGCGATGACTGGCTGGAAGATGGCTGAGGTGAGCAGATACGATGTACCAGCCCAGAATGCCTGTGCTGAGGTACCATTGAGCTTGCGCGCTATTTCCTACGACAAAGTCAGTACCTTTCTGTCGAATGTGGGTGTTGCTTGGACTGACTGGCAGCACAGTGACTAATATCGAGGAATCCAAGGCCACCATGAGCGAGATAAACGCGAGGCTGATCATAATGAGCCACTCGTTCTTGTTTGGTGTCCACGTCTCTGGTATCGATACTGCAGCCTCGCCCTTGGCTTCCACATCTATGTAAATATTGGCCTTTTGCACGCTTTCCATTGGAACTATCCGTACAGTAACGACAGTCGCCTCCTTGAACGTCTTGTCGCTCTCGGAGTCATCAACTATCACATTTAGCATCGTGCACCGCATAAAGTGTATCTCGAGTACAAGGCATACTTTTCTCGTTGATGAAGCTTGTGTAGTAGCTGGGTATGCTCAATAGAGCTGAGTTGCGCTTCGTCGAGGCGGACCAGGCATCTGCGTCCCCGGGGCGCATGCTCTCCGTAGCAGCCGCCATGACGTAGTCTTGATCTAAGGTGAAGGCGATACCGATTTTCCGATGATGCGGTATGAGATGATCTGATCTCTTGGATAATTCAAGTTTGAGTCTTTATCAACTGGGTAGAGGAGGAGTACGGATTTTCGGGGTGTAACTTGGGGGTTGTGGTTGGGTAAAGGAAGAAAGCGAGAGGTCGGGTCGAGATGAATTAGAGCAGTTGTATTAAGATTACACTGCGATGCCTTTCACTTCACAGGACTGGCCTCTACTCATAAATACACTGGAAACGGTGCTATAGCGCAATTTGACGCCGCGGCCTTGCTGCATGTACTTCAAGACACCGTAACGTCTCAAGTGTGCACTCAGCCCCATTACGATCATTATTTTAGGGCGCAACTGTCGGGCGATGGGTGGCTTGAAATGTGTGAGCTGCAAGGCGACGCCGACAGCGTGGGTCAGGACCTTGGAGCGCGGTTCATCCGCCTGAACAAGCTTTTAGGGCTGCCGTGACCATCCTGCTTGCGGTTTGACACACGGGTATTAACAAGCACAAAACATTTCTCAGCTGACATGTGTGTTGTCTTGTTAGCGCCCGGGCTCAGCTCACAATAGTCAGGCTTATGCACTGCTATTAATCGACTATCGTGCTGGCTTTAACTTAACCAGGTAACGGGCATATCGTTAGCGTATGCAACAAACATTGGGGTCCAATAGTGAGCACCTTCGCAGTGTTCTCGAATTCTTCTAGTCCAGCGCTGCACCGGAGGCTCAACTTGCGTAGAACGCGACGTGGGGTGCGAGCTGAAAGGAGTGCGCAAGCCACGCTCTGGTTTGCGATGCTTTCCAGTCGACTTTTACATTGTCAATCCACTCGCACGGGCCGGAACCGTAGAATTGGCTTGACACGTATCCTTTCCTGTCTCGGAGCGCGCGGTTGGGGCCATTTGTTTGGTGTTGATGCGACTACTGCAACATGTTGGAGCTTCTATGTGCCCAGCTCACATTCGTGCTTTTTAAATAGTATTTCGAATTCAGTCTACTATAGTGCAAACCAGAGCACTTTCAGATAGCACTACTTGCCGAATCACGATCGACGAAAGCGCCAGTTTGGCGCTCGCAGTACGGCGTGCAGTGTTGCGAGCATGAATATTCCACCCCTTGTCGGGGTGGCCGTACGCCTTTCATCGGGCCGAGACTACAGTGTGAGGCTCAGCTCGCAGGTACATGCAAGTTACTTTTGGATCAGACATGTGAGCCAAGGTCTGTGCCATAATCTTGAAACGAAGATGGATATAATAACCTTGGGGGAATCAAATGTAGAAGATGTCAGCATACCAAGATTTGGTACAGCCCCGATTGCGAAACACACCGCTCTCCTCTAATCTCTTTAATATTTTCTTCAAGCCTCTTACACTTAGTTTGTGTTCAAGACACGTCGTTGATACATTGCCCACAATGGCCAAGTCGGCAGATATGCTTCCTACCTTCACTCGGATTGCGCCATCAATATACGAGCACATACCCTCGATTAGGTACAGCAACTCCTACACAACACTGGAAGGAACAGATGCTCCTTCACTCATCATCCTTTGTACCTGGACTGGAGCTCAATGTCGCTACATCGCCAAGTATACCGAGCAATACCAACGCCTCTTCCCATCCACAAGCATCATGGTCATCGCCACGACAGCCAAAGACCTCTGTCTCCGTAACTCTAAGCGGAAACAAGATCGTCTAAGACTTGCGATCGATCGAATTTCAAGCGTCGATTCCTGTAGCGCTAGCAGTAGCCCAACAAGCATATTGTTGCACGTCTTCTCTGAAGGCGGCAGTAACAAAGCATGCGAGCTTGCTGAAGCATACTTCAACACCACTAGTAGAAAGTTACCCGTCTCTGCACTGTGCTTCGACAGCACACCAGGCCATCCTCGGTTTCGACGCCTCTGCGACGCTTTAGGCAAATCACTCCCGCCGATCCCGGTCCTTAAGCACGCCAGTTTGTTAGTTGGGAGCGCTATACTTGGAGCTGTTTGGGTCACGTACAACGTGTTCATTGGGTTTGAGAATAATGTCATCACACAGTCTCGACAGCGACTACTCGACCCAACACACTTTGATCTCTCAGCTCCACGGTGCTACATGTACTCCCAAGAAGATGCGCTTATTGCGTGGCAAGATATCAAAGAACATGCTGGAGAGTCGATGGATTATAACGTACCGGTCAACGAAGTTCTCTTCGAGGGAAGCGGTCATGTGGGACATGCTAGACAAGAGCCACAGCGATATTGGAACTCGGTCATGGCGACTTGGCAAACTGCCCGTGCGTTCGAAGAGAAGTCCAGGGTCACTGTTCTTATAGAGGAGATCAAGTCTCACGAGAGAAAGAGGTGGAGTGACGCGAGGCTGATTAGTGCAAGAGTAGTAGTAGGGATTTAACGCGACTTGGCATTCATCGTTCCGTTACATGTGTAACTCTTTTCAAGTCTTTAAGCTTACTAAACTTTTTCATCGGCTTTCTTCACTAGTACTACTTACCAGTGTTGCTGAAGACTTTCTAATTCGCTGTTACGCATCGCTTGAGGTGTCTTCATGATGCAGGAACGAATTACTGCTCATGCCTACAGGCTTACGAAAGCTGCGCTGGCCGTGGTCTTTATACCTGACAGACGCTTCATCTGGTACGCTAGATGCAGTGATAGCAGAACAATTATCCACTTGAGCCCTTGCCCTTGGACGTATGGCAGAGTCATCGGGTGACTTGAGTGTCCTGCATGCCATTGTAGACACTCTCCATATGCTCCACGAGAAGCGTGTGGAGCTGAATTATAGCAGAGTGAGCCGTGCAACAAGTGCCACTCGAACTCTACCCTGATCGGAAGTTCTGCGTTTGGCTTCCCATCAAGCAACTAAGATGCAGAAGCTCGAACGCAGAGCCTACAGTCTAGCTGCAACACCTGAGCCTGCCGCAGAGCCACCGGGAGTTCGTATCATATCATGTGTGTTTGCGATCATTGGTCTTTGAGCAAAGGTACGAGTGACATGGCCTTTTGTTCTCGGGTGGTGCCTGTTCGATTGCCTGGGCGTAGTAAAGTTCGAGCGCCCTATCGAGGTGTGCCGATGCGTTCGCAGTACTATCCATCGCATGTGTACAAAGAAGGGGAGGCTTGTCATCGTTGGCCGTCGATGACCTCAGAGGTAATTATGGCATGGTGGTGAGTTCATTGATACGTAGAAAGTAGTAGAGACGACCCTAGTAGTTACTGCATGCGGAGTACTTCCAATGAATATGTTGTGACTGTGACTATAATCGACAGCATGTGGTGCATGCAATTGGAAGTCAGAAGGAGCCGCGGCCACCAACAAGCGTTGGCGCCCCCGACTAAGCAATCCCTCGCCTATCGATCAGTTGCAACATACCATAGGTACTTTAATCACTTTCTCGGCACATGCTTCTAGATTTCATCTCGTCAGATGTACTCCTCGCACTCGAGGCAGATTCCTACCAGGTTGAGGTGGCTGAGAAAATTGTATCCAACGCGAACCTTGCCATACACAATCCTGGACATAGTCGCGCAGCGAAGACAAGAATTGATGCTCAAAAGGTTTGTGCTATGTACGAAACCTTCAGGGCAACAGAGGTGTACTCTAAATTTCCTCGATGGAGAGAAGTTTGATGCACCTCACGGGGTGCACCCGGACCAGGTCACCTCGGGCGGGCCCCGAGGCTACCGAATAAGTCCCCCGAGTCAACACCACGATCTACATTTACAGTCGTACTTGCAGGCATCCAAGCTTTTGTAGTCGCAGTATGCTTCTCATGCTACTCACGGAGCCCGTGGAATCCCGTCTCATAGGATTTGCGTCGACGCCTGACGTCATTCCGTCAACTTTGGTGTTGCTGGCTAGAACATCGTCCTAGGTCGACGATGGGTCCCCTCAGTAGGGCCGTTACATCTTGCCTGGGATATATATTTGAACATAGCCTCACCATACTCCAGTGCTCACAGCGATCCTCTTTCAACGACATATGCAATCAAACCTGTCTTTCAACAAGATCTCACCAAGCCTTCACTACGACTTCCAATCCTATCACTCCAAAGTACGGCCTCAAACATGGCTGATGAAAACAAACACCTCAAGGTGCTCATTGTTGGATCAGGTATCGCCGGACCGGCCCTGGCTTATTGGTTGCACACACTTCTGCCAACTGCACACGTCACCATCTTAGAGCGAGCGCCTGAATTAAGGTTGGGAGGCCAAGCTGTCGACATAAGATCGGCCGCGTTGCCTATTGTTGAGAAAATGGGTCTTCTTCACAAAGTGAAGGACAAAACCACGACGGAGGTGGGCATGGAGTTTGTATACGCGGATGGGAAGAGCAAGGCAACGTTCCCAGCTACTGGCAACGACGAACAGCAGAGCAGTAGGCTTCACTAAAGTCGGAGGAAGATGATGTCTTGCTAACACGTAACAGTGACTTCAGAGTATGAGATTCTGCGAGGCGACATGGCAAAGATCCTGTACGACGCGACCGTGGACATGCCCAATGTCGAATATATGTTTGACGAGACCGTTGCCACAATCGAGCAGAAGACAGACGGCAAAGTCGACATTACATTCGCCAACCAGCTCCAGTCTGCCTCGTACGACCTCGTGGTTGGCGCAGATGGAATGATGTCCCGGACCCGCCGCAGTGTGTTTGGTCACGGTCCGAATAACGACGACTACCTGAACCGCTTGGGTCAGTATGGAGCATTCTTCAAAATCCCACGTACAGGCGAAGACACCGACTATGCACAGTGGTGGAATGCATCGCGCGGGCGGTTGATTCTGAAGCGGCCGGATCAGTACGGTACTACGCGCGTTTACGCTGCCATCACCGACAGCAATCTCAGCCGCTTCGACGAGATCGACAAGCTGTTGAAGAACAGAAGCGTCCAGGAGCAGAAAGAGTGGTTAGCGAGGGAATTTGAGGGAGCTGGCTGGATGAGTGAGAGGATCGTCAAGGGCATGATGGAGTGCGACGACTTCTACATGCAGCAGATTGCCCAAGTCAAGATGCCCGAGTGGAGTAAGGGTCATGTGGCTCTCCTCGGCGATGCGGCATACTGTCCTTCGCCAATCTCTGGACTGGTAAGTACCAAGGAAGCGCAACCTGAGAGGAGATGTGACTTATTCATGATAGGGAGCCGGGTCGGGTATCGTCGGCGCATACGTCCTGGCTGGTGAAGTATCCAAATCACCGGAAGATATACCTGCTGCACTCAAGCGCTACGAAGCCAGAACGAGGGCGTTTGTCGACCAGGTTCAGAAACTGATTCCTGGTGCACCACAATGCGCCAACCCGCAGACAGATTGGGGTATCAAGCTCTTCAATAAGACCATGGGCTTCATCTCGCATCCTGTCATCCGGAAGTTTGGCGGTCTGATTGGAAAATTTGTTCCAGCTTTTGGAGGGACCAAATGGGATGTACCCGATTACGGCGTCATTATTGAGGCTTGATGGTGGTCCCTGGAAAGCCACATGCAATGTACCACACTACTACACTACTACACAACATCTCCTTCATGAGCCAACGTTTCAGCAATCAACCACCGAAATCTAACGGATGCTCAGGATCTGCATGCGCTTCTCAGTCACATGGAATGACGGATAGCGTTGAATGAGGAGGATGACTGGGCTTGTGCGTTTAATGCATGCTTTCTCTTTATTTATCGAAGCGAGTCCGATGTCCCTCAATCGCTGAAATCGCTGAGAAGGTCAACGCCGACGCCGCGTAATGCAGAAACGGCCCATTGTGGATATTTTTCCTTTTGCTGATTGTACAACTTTGCGAAGAAGTCTCTCACAAACTGGGGATACCGATCCTCCAAGATAGCTTCGCGTGCCAGACGCATCAGATTCAGCTGATAGTGTACATTGTGCATCGTCAACAGATGGGCGCCAGCAGTCTCCTTGGCGGTGACATGATAGATGTAGGCGCGAGTGATGGCCAGACCTCCTTGTGCAGCAGGTCTGCAGCAAGTGCACTGGCAGCCGTCTTCGATTGGGCCAAAGTCGTCAGAATAGACAGCATTGCGGAGGTTGAGCACGCCAGCGGATGTAATGGCATTGCCGAAGCGCTGAGCTTGTCAGAAGATGTCCAAATTGTAGCAGAAGGACGACTCACTGCAGTCCTGGTTGGCCACACGCAGTCGAACATGTCTGCGCCAAGCGCGACTGAGACGACGAGGTCTTCTGGATAACCCTGCAGAGGTCAGCATGACGCGGCAGTAGCATCATCATCAGCAGTGCTCACCACGCCCATGACATATCGCGGCTTCTTCTCCGGCAGCAGCTCGGTGCAAGTCTGCACGACGTTGCAATACGATTCCTTCTCTTCACCGCCCGAGAGTCCTCCGATTGCAATGCCTGGGGTATCTCGCGCCACCATCTCGGCTGTGCACTCTTTCCTCATGTCCAGATCCAGGCCGCCCTGTATGATGCAAAAGAGGTTCTGCCGCTCAGGGTATTGGTGGGCTTGTATGCAGCGATCGAGCCAGCGGACGGAGCGCTCCATGGCCTCCTTCATGCGCGCATGGTCGGGCGAGGTGGTTGCAATGACATCGTCGAGCTGCATGATGATGTCGGAGCCAATCGAGTTCTGCAGGGAGATGGAGTGCTCGGGCGTGAGCAGCATGGGCGAGCCGTCGTGGGGGCTCAAGAAGCGCACGCCTTCCTCGGTCACTTTGGCGAGCTTGAGCAGCGACACCATCTGGAAGCTGGACTTAACGTCAGCAGGCGCGTCGTCGTCGAGCACGAGGGCGGCATCACCTACCCACCACTGTCTGCACTGGTCAGCGTCTCCCGTGGTGCTGGAGCCTTGGGGAGGGGCAAGCACCTGTGAGCATGTTATGTGGCCATGATTGGAGCTTGTGCGCGCCGCCAATTGCGTCCAGTGCGGCTTGTCCTGGCTTGAGGCCTCTCCACGATGTCAGATGTGGCAGCACCAGGCGCAGACATGGTGCAGTCGGCGTACAAATGGTATGTGTTGTTCAGGCAGAGTCGGCAGCCTTGGTCCTCGAGCTGGTCAGGCGTGAGACCCTTGAGCGAAGCCTGCGTGGCTACAGGCATGAAGATGGGGAGGGGCACGGGGCCGTGGGGCAGGTGCAGCGTTGCAGCACGCGCTTTCGTGACCTGGCATGCGTGTGGTGAGCAGAGCGATACTGGATTGTCACGTGGGAGCGCGTCCGTACCGAGCATTTGCCCAGGAGCTCGAACGTGAGCGCCGACGGCATGGGAACGGGTGCCATGGTAACGCGATCAAGTGTGAAGGACTCCGGCACGTGCCACTCACGGCTTCTCCAAAATTCTAGCTTGGCGACGTGTTAGCGTGTTAGCGTGTTAGCGCGCCGTCTTCCGAACTCGCCTGGAACCCTGACCTCGGGAACTCGGGAAGCGACCTTGGGAACTCCAGCCAAGACACCATGCCACGTGCGTCCCGACCTTGCGCCTCGTCACCCTCTATCAACATCTCTGCCTGTACGCTCATTATACCTATACCGACTCGGATTATCCTTCATCCCCTTCCGCCCAATGCCGCCGCCGCCGCCGCCGCCACCGCCGCAAGGACCGGCCCCTGCGCGGTGGTGCGACGCCATCTCGACATGATCTCACAGGACCATCCTGCGCAGATCAGTCTTCCACGGAGACTACCATCCGAAGAAACAAATATCTTTGCATTGAGGAGCCTCTTCCAGGGCATCTGACGCTCTGCTCACATTTGGTCCACGTCCTTGCCTGGCAATAATCCCCCAAATTCCCATCTCAGCATCTTGAAACCCGTCTCGCTTCACATCCTCAACATGCAGGCATCCGCCAAGACCTCATCCAAACTGCAATATACCTTGGCAGCGCCTGCTACATGCTCTCTAACAGGAACTGTCAGGCCAAGACGTGCACCGCCATTCCGCCCACTCGCTTCCCCCATCGGGTCAGCCTCCTAGATCCCGCGTTCCTGATTGTCACGATCGCGGCCAGCTCCTACCAGCTGGGGCCCCTTGCGCCTTGTCTACGCTCAGTGACAGCTCTGTGGCATCTGTCTTTGTGGGAGATTAGTGGGTATTGCCCATGCTCATAGTCGCCTACGCCGGTCACGTAGCCACAGTTCGGCCCAACTGGCCCCATTCCCTGCTTGTCAAACACGTCCAAGAAGACACATGATGCAGCATGATGTGTTTGCTTCTCGACCAATTTTCCGAACGGAAGGCACGGCTATGCGACATTGACCCGACTATATAGCACAATGGCCCGCCCAAGAAACAAGCTGTCCAAAACCTCGTTTCTTTTACATTCTTTCTTACACAGTGCCGAGCACTAATTCTTAATTTGTTGAGCTGTGCTCTTCATTCTTTCGTTTTTGAGTCTTTCGAATACTTTTAGCTGTCTTATTTACATACTTTCCCTGCAAACCCGCATTATATCCTTCGCCATAATGAAGACCATCTATCCCTTGGTCGCGCTTCTTTCCGCGGCTATTGTAGCCGCCGGGCCAATCCCCAAGGCCGACATTTCAGAGACACGATCTAACGACTTAATTCACGCTCCCCAGCGAGCTCGCACCGAGGCTGCTCCTGCACCTGCGCCACCTGCTGGGCACGTTGCAGCGGCTCCCGCACCTGCGCCCCCCGCAGAGCACGTTACGGCCCCTCCCGCCCCAGATGCTGAAGCCCAGCGTCTGAAAGATGAAGAGGCTAAGAAGGCTGCTGATGCAATGGAAGCCGAACATGTAGCCAAGGCTGAGGCCGAAGCTAAAGCCCACCAGGAGGGTATGTGTGAATCTTCATCGATCTTTGACACTGGCTGACATGATTTAGCTGCGGCAAAGATGGAGGCAGAGCACGTAGCCAAGGCCCAGGCTCAAGACAAAGCTCACCAGGAGGGTATGTATCAAAATTGGCTCCATGTAATTAAGTACTGACGCGGTTTAGCTGCGGCCAAGATGGAGGCAGAACACGTGGCCAAGGCCCAGGCTGAAGACAAAGCCAAGCAGGAAGGTACTGAAGACCCAAATCATTGTTGGCTCTGCATGACGAATCCTTCACTGACACTCCATTCTAGCTGCCGCCGCAATGGAACAGATGCATGCCGAGCAAGAGAAGCAGAAGGCAGAAGAGGAGCAAAAGAAGGCAAAGGAGATGGAGGTAAGCACTTTAACCATATATCTCTTCTACATGGAGCACACACTTACATATTTCAGGCCATGCATGTTGCTCAGGAGGAAGCCAAAAACGCAGAGGACCAGAAAAAGGCAAAGGAAATGGAGGTCAGTGTTTGACGCTATACACAATCTTGCATATCTGGGTTATATTGACTTTTTGCAGGCCATGCATATTGCCCAAGAGGAGGCAAAGAATGCTGAACATAAGGCGGCCGCAGATGAGATGGGTGAGTCACTTCATCAAACTACTATGTAAACAGCCACTAATCTTGGCCTCGCGGCTGTGTAGAACGCAAGCATCAGGAAGAAGCCAAACAACGTGAGATGGCTCATCAATCAGCCGCTGCCGTGCCACCCCCAGCTGAGATGCCACCTCCAGCTGCGACTCCTGAGCATCCCGTCGCAAACGCTACCAGCGCTGCGATGGCAGAGATGACCAGTGCCGCTGTTGTCCATCCACCTGCGCCAGCAGCTCCTCCAGCCGTTAGCCATCCCGCACCAGCAGCCCCTCCAGCAGTCGTCCACCCTTCACCAGCAGCTCCTCCAGCAGTCGTCCACCCTTCACCGGCAGCTCCTCCAGCAGTCGTCCACCCTTCACCGGCAGCTCCTCCAGCAGTCAGCCATCCTGCAGTAGCCCCTCCAGCAGCTGCCAACACTACCATGGCCATGCCTACGGCGGCACCTACAGTCTCGGAGAGCTTTATGCTTGTTGATGGACAGGCTAAGCCTACCGCGCACCCAGCCAACGCGACACAGGCGGCGGTCAGTTCAGCGGAAGAGAAGGTCGCTGAAAGCACAATGGCTAGCATCACTTCAGCAGCTAGCGAGCCAACTCCCGCGCCCGCTGCTCCAGTCGAGGAAAAGCCAGAGTCTGTTGCAGGAGCCATGCCAGTCGAGACGCCCAAGCAAGAAGAGGCCCCAAAGCCAGAACAAGCTCCTGCTGAGGCCCCGAAGCAAGAAGAAGCCCCTGCTGAGGAGGCGCCAGCGGAAGAAGCTCCCGCTGAGGAAGCCCCGGCCGAACAAGCACCAGCGGAAGAAGCCCCTGCTGAGGAAACGCCAGCAGAGGATGCACCAGCTGGGGAAGCCCCGGCGGCAGAGCCTGTTCCCGCTGCGGAGAACAACGCACCGTCCTCCGAGGTCGTCCAGTATCCCGCTGGCTTTCTTATCGGCCGTTCGCGCGAATGAACAGCTGCGTGGTGGTCACCAGCTATTGTCTGGCAAGAAGGTAGCATCTTCTTGTCATAGTGTTGGTCGCGTGTGACCTAGCAGCAAAGTCGTCAACTCAGTTGCTAGCTAGCATATAATGCTTGGATCCATCCCCGTAATCTGGTTCGTGTTTCCACCTAGCAAATGTTGAATGCAATGAGACACATATTCCTCTGGGCGTTCCATCTTAGAAATAAGGACATCGCATGTCATTCAATGATCATGAGGACTATAGAAGAAAGATACCGGAGAGACTGGTCTCTGCACGTATCCCAATGGTGTAGAAAGTCGTTTCCAACTTGGTAACTTAGGAGATCATGGGCGATGCTTACTCTTCCACGAAATCATACACCATCCTGACTCTCAGCTCTTCCCCCTCGTTATTCTTCACGTAGACGCGTCTGGTATGTCGCCTCTCCCCATCTACTATCTCGAACCCCCATAGGTGATGAGCTTCCCACTGCCCACTTTCCTTCTTGCCTTGCGCTTCAACAAGTTTCCCACTACTGTCACCCTCGATCCAACCGCCACCTCCGGCACCTACAACTTCGCTCTTCTCACCCTCCTCAACACTAACCCAGCGACTGCGACCTGCTACATCCCCGAAGAAAGCATCCTTGTTGCTGCGCCATTCCCAGTCTAGCGTGTAGTCTTCGGTAGTGCCGGCGATTTTACCGCTGGTGACTGACTGGGCCATTTTGATGTGTTGCTCGTCAGATTGAGTAATTTTAAGGTGGATGGATGCAGCGGTGGCTGCTTTGCGGACGAGTAAGCCTACGCCTTGAAGCGCGAGTACGGAGGCGAAGTCATCAGAGCAAGACTTGTTTAGTTTCCAGTTTCCAGAGAGGGACTGGAGAGTTTTCGAGGGAGGGGCGGCCATGATCAGGCGCTTCGATATACAGGCCTCTGTTGCTCAAGGACGATGGTATAAGTAAGCAATCAATGTAGAGTTCCCATCGCGATACAAATCGCGCCTACGAGTTAGTGTTGACGCCGTTGATGTCCAAAATGATGTCGTCACTGCTTCCACGCCATGATCATTGGCGTCAAACCCTGGAGAGTATGGCAAGGCCAGCCTTCCCCTAAGATGCCCAAGAGCCCTAGGGAATATCGAGTGCACTTTCAAAGAAACCTGGACAGCTTGGGGCGGGTCGCATCGGAGTCTGTGCATGTCTCACTGAACAGCAGCGACATCACAGGCAACATCATAGAGAGTACCGCTTATCGATAGAGGTCAGCGCTTGAAAGGCTTCAACGACCCTCAACACACCATCGCCATGGCTGCAAGACACTGGGCAGCTCCAGCATAATTTCTTGTCGACGAAAATAAACTGTCTGCCGCACGTAAAAGAACGTGGGACCGACTGGGTCGTGTCGATGAACAATGAGATGCCTCACGCTTGATGTCATCTCTGAAAGCGCGTCCCGAACCTGGTAACCCGCCGGTTACATCGGTTGCATTTGCCAGCAGCACGCGAAGGCTCATCATGCGAGGCTCTGTTGAGCCGTCACACCATAGGCTGGCAGAAGCGGCGGTGCTGGGATCATCGTACTGCTGGCTGCGCACAACGTCAAGTTGCGGCTGAGTGCTGACGGCAACAGCAGCGTCACGCAAGTCACCTCGATAACACTGATCGTGACGATAAAAGCGCATTCTCTGTACTCCAGTAGAAGCTTACACACGCGTCCTTGGGAATTCGAAATCTACGTTATCCCTGAAACGAGTCCTCGACGCAGCTGCCCAGACCCTCCATCCTCGAAAATGATGCTTTCCACCACCATCAGCTTGCTCTCGATTGGAGCAATATCGGCCGTCGCAAACGCTCTCCCTGCCACACCAAAAGGCATCGCAGCTCGTGCAGGCGGCCCTGCTATCGTTCCGATCCCGCCAACCTGCAGCGTCTCCGATCCTCTGCCAAGCTCAGAGTCCACGTCCTACCAGCCCGCGCCCTCGACCAACGACGCTCTACTATACAACGCATACTACGGCTCGTTCTCGGCAAATAAAACAGCCATGGCACAGCAGTGTCTCGAGCAATGCTATGGTTATGGCTACCATGTCGAATGCAAGACCGCATTTTGGGCAGAGAATCTCGTTATGCCCGCTGGATATTATGGCACACCGGGCGGACAGCTCTCCACTGGGTGTTTATTCTTCGACAGGGCGCTGACAAAAGAGGACTTTGTGCCTGCACCCGAGGGTCAGGCTACGGATGCGTTTGCGGGCAACATTGTATGCTAGGAGCTGAAGCTCACTATGCTACGAGCTTTGTGTCGTAGACCCTGGATGTGAAGGGTTTTTTAGGCGTCTCGGAGTCTCATGCGCATTCTTTGGGACAGATGGGCGGGTATAGCAGGGAGGAGGTACGGTGGGATGGCCGGTAACCTTCTGGCTACAAACTCTTGTCGTGTTGGTCGAACTCTCCTACACACACGTCAATTCTAATCCTTTTTGAACCTTCACACCCGCTCTTATCTACATGGTTGTTCCTCTCCATGCCCTTTTTATTGGATTGTACGATGTTGTCTGCTTTTCCTAGTACAGCGTTCAGTTATGACAGGAAAACAGCAACTAGTTGCGAACGACGATACTTTATAGCCATACCGGTTGCCCATGAAGTCAGCTTCAGGTTCACTATTAAACCCCGTTGTTTTTGTCCCTGTGAAGGACCCTCGATGCGGCCTTCTATTGCCACTTTATCAAGGGGCCGTTTGCTTTCAGCTCAAGCTCGGCCAAGGCCGCATGGGGGCTGCACGATACTCCGCTGGGAGTCACACATACATTATGCCATCGAAACTGCAAACAAAAGATGATGCGCAGCCACAGTAAAGTCAACGAGGCGAGCCTGCCTCGGTTGGACCCCATGCATCTCAGCCTACCCGTACTACCTAAACACACTTGGCGCAATGGCTGAATTACTAGGACAGCTATGGCACAGAGGTATTGTAGTTTATGATCTTTCTACACCTCCACAGTCGCTCTTGTCGGAAGCATCGCGCATGTCGAGTCATGAACACTGGTCACATTGCTTGTTAAAGAAACGAACGCACTATTCAGCCTACAAACCATGCAGTCTTGATCCCACGACTTCATTCTATTCTTAGACCTCACGACGTGGCTCGTGCACACCTGCGTTCTTCAGCCTCCACTTTCACGAACAATACTCGGTGTCTGGACGCGTTTCGGGCACCTTTCTCGCGAGGGCGAGAAGGCTGCGCCGCGGTCCCAGATCTCGCCTAGGCTCAATTCGCTAGCTTAGCCTGATTTGGGTTGGACAATGATCCAAGTCTGAGATTTCACTGAAAATGCCTCATCTGCTTCTGTTCACATATCGAAGGGATCAAATCGTCTAGGTTTTCAGAAGGCAGCATTCATCTGAGCTTCATCGGCCAACAATTGCGTTGTGTGCGGGAGCGATAGACTCAATCTCAGTAGGCTATCCGAAAAGCGTATTTGTATTGTATAGCAATTGAAATACAAATAATCTAGCTTTCGAACTCATATCTTCGTATATTGGCCGTTTCTATACAACATGGTAAATCTGACAACAAGCATGAATAACTGACAACACCATCCAGAACATTCCAGTGTCCAAACGACGGAACTAAAGCCAAAATCCTGGAAACATCTACCCTGAAGGCGGCGAGAAGGTGATTGCAAAACGCCAAAGTACCTACGCTACCTTGAATCGATCTAATAGAGAGTAGAAACTGGGTATAGTTATAAATCAAGCTCGACATGAGATATGAACAAAGAAAGGGCGTATGAATTTTGTTCAAGGACTCTCGGCTTTCACCGCCGCGATGACCTTGAATTCCCCGTGTAGGATTTCGAGCAGCTTCCGAAGTGTATCTGAATTGCTGCTTCTTCTGTGCGGCGCCACCCCTTCTTCGTATTCACCATCGGCGTCGTCGTCTTGTGTCAAAAGTTCAATAGTCTTCCTGAGCTTCTCGTACGCAGAGTTGAGTTCCGAATGCGAGACTTCGAGCTTGTTATATCTATCGGTCAGGAGAGAGAGTTGTTCCTCAAGATCGCGAGCGTGTTTCTCCTTGCGCTCACGGAATGCGCGTTGGGCAGCTCGGTTTTGGGCGCGTCGTCGCTTTTCGCTAAGTTAGCAATCATCCTGATGAGAGCCAATCAGCCTTAGACTTACACCGGACGTGACAGGTGTCCTCTCCGTTGACGGTGAGCCATGTATGGTCGTGAATACGGGTTTGGCAAGTGCTGCTGGAGGAGAACTGCCGTAAGGAATGTCGTGGTCTGAGCCGAAATCCGACGGTGTCATTGGCATAGGATATGAGCCAAACTGCATTTGCTCGTCCACGATATGAGGGTAGTAGGCTGGCTGAATTGGCGCAGAGAAGGCGTCGTAGGTGGAAGAGATCTTTGCTGAGTTAATGATATACATTGAGACAAATCACGCAATGTGCTTACCGGAGAACCGCTGAGACTGGGGACCTTTGAAAGTTCGGGTGACATCTCGAACACCGTGGTCTGGTGTGGCGGTGCGATGCAATTGCCCTGGGCCATCCAGTATTCAAACGATTGCGAATCCATACTAGGCGCTTGCGACAGCTAAGGTGGTGACGCGAAACTGGACGACTAGACGACTTAAAGCTGCTTATCTTTTGACTATAATGGAGTGAGATCGGAAGCCTAGGTATTCTCTCAGTGATGTGTCGTTGCAGGGCGGAAGTTTTGAAAGTCAAGTCCTCGATGTGGTGGAGACAGGCTTACATAGCGGAGGGCAAGCCATGATTATATACAGTGGCTCACATGAGCGACGGACGTTACGCATTTCCCGTATCGGAAGCAGCGGCCTGAGCAGGGATATAGTTCAGTCTCTACAATGATGCTCGCGTAGAACGGAGCCTGGCGATGTGGCTCTGTGCAAGACTGCATGTTCAACGCTGTGATCATAGGCGTGGTGATCCAACTTCATCCCGGTACACGCGTAAGAGCACGCACCAGCAGTGCGGCAAGCTTCTTAGGGTTGTACTTCTCGTACTCAAGTGGCTCGAAGAGCAGCACCAGCAGCAAACCGGTGCCAGGGTCGACATGAACGGCGTACGCTATACCGTATCGGGTATGTGATAAAACACAAACGGCATCGCTAGACTAAGCCACAAGCGGTAACGACGAGCGAGTCTTGCAGGAAACAGGCCAGTCATTTATCGTGATATTTGTACCGACAGGGAATCTGACATTGTCTTCTCGAAGGCCTGCCCAGCCTAACAACTGCCCACTTGAGCCTTTCTTACAGACAATACATGGTAGGGCTAGACATGCCAAGATGCAAAAGCAATAAACCATGGGTACAGGTGCTGTCTAAGACTGGTGAGCATGGTACCTATGCCATGTGCAAACGTATTAGGCATGTGCGTGGGGTTTCGAAAAGAAGACCGAGAAACATACGAGTCTCCCACGGGCTATGGGTTGTGTAACGGGAGCATAATTCCTCAGGGTTACGTTGGGGAGTGTATGCTATTGTGTGTCAGACCCACAGGCTGGGAGACAGGTAGGAGCTGGGACAGTGGTGGACGCCGAATCTCGGTCGAGCTGACCAACGCTAGCCATTTCCGATGAAGTTTGCAGCACACCGGGGCAGCTGCAGTCACCGACTTTCTTCTTCGCAGGCAACCAACCACCGAAGCGAAGACGACCCTTTCTCCCAGAAATAGCATGCCTGGAGCTGTTAGTGCTGCGACCCTGAATGCAATGCAGCTCCTGCTGTTGCCTCAAGAATCTCGTCGAGTGCGATGCGTCATCGCCCTCGTCCAAGCACTTGCGCCCTCCCTGTCAGGATAGCACAGGGCAAAGTGCGAAACGAGATGGTACTGTCAACCGGGTATGCGAGCCGTGTGACCATGATGTAGGTACTTATCAGCAGCCTCAACTATGTATGAGACGCCCTTGAATCAGCCACTAAGCCAACCAGCTTGTACTGTAATGAGTCGAGCTCATGCCATGTCACGAATTACACATTAGGAGTGACGTTACGAACGTCTTCGCATCAACGGCCATTCATCACGCTTATCAACACTGCCGTTTGTCAAATAATGGATTAAGACTTGTGTGTTGCATATTCAATCTACCTAGGTACATCCGCGCCATTCTACAGAGAAGAAAACCCGCAATCTGGTATGCCGGCAATCTCTCAAAGTTCTGTAAAACATGTTGGAGATGCAAGAAGATTAGCTTAGAGGTGTGAGCTATTCATGCATTGTCGATCCGCCCTTCAAACGCTCAAAGAATGCAAGAATTATGCGGTGCAGCCTGAAATGCTTAGATGATAACAGGAGATACCTGACCACTTCTCCTGTTTATCACCGGACCCTAACCATCGGTCCGGGCGTGCAGAAGCGAACGACCGGTCTTGCCATGCTCAGTCTGGTCACATATAGTCTTCCGACCAGGCTCGTCAGCCGCCCTCTTCCCCTAGTATGCCGCTCCGCCTTTCGGCTCGGCACTGCAGGGCGATATCCCGCGATCGATAACAGAGGACGGCATCTCTACCCCGCTGCTGACACCACTATCCCAGGCGTTGCGGCAAGGATGCAGCAACTTCAGCCGGATAAGACTATTGCCAACCTTTCCCGACCATGAGAAGAAACAAAAAGGAATCTGAGTCTGTAAAGACATGGAACGCGGTTTGCTCTGCATCACAGTGTTCAAATGCTAGACTGATGAAAACAAAACCCTGGCATGGAAAGCCCTAGCTGAAAGCTATCGGCGGGCTCTTCCGGCACGAGTAAAAGTAATCATTTCGAAGGCGTGCTTTGCGCACGTCTCATAAACATTATCAGGGTCTCTAAACGGGTTAGTTCCGTAGAGGAAATCTCTTGGTACAAAGCTGAGAAGTACGGCGGTAGATCATGGCGGGCACTAGCGACACAGCAACGACTCCAATCCTGGTCTGCAGGTCGTTTGCAGCGTCGCAAGGAGCATACCACGCTTCGTTGGCCTCAGATTTCGGTGGAACTGGAAAGTGACAATGGATTATCGACCTTGAGTACATGCGAATTCCCCTTGGACAGCCAGACCAACTAAATGGGCTATGAACAGCGTGTATACGCATGTAAACCCGTCCTGTTTGGTATTCGGTTTCAGTTCCAATGATATAAGCGCGTTGCGTATTCTCTCACCAGCCCGCACCTTGAGCATGCAGGAGCAAAGTATGTCAGGGACGATAATTTTGAACCAGAAATCCAAAGGTAGATGTCCGAGATAGACAGTCCAGTGAATTTGGAAAAGTACTGCGCAGTGCCACGTCAGCCCCCAACGCCGAGTTTGTCAAATAATTTCCGACCCATTGTACTGGTGAACCCTTGTCGGTCCCGATTATGAAAAATGGTACAAACTCAGACTCATACACCATCATCTTACCGCACTAAATGCGTGACCTTTGACTCGGTCTACATACTACACAGCATAGGAATACATTATGCAAACTGTCATTTATTGAATGTGGCGTGAACTCACTAGACAATGCACGTTTTGAAGATCCGTCAGGGCACAGCAAGTCTATGATTGGGAATAAAGCATAGCATTTCCGAATATATTGACAGTTGAAGAAGCGAGGGTAAAGAGACTACAGCTAAATATACATCTCAAGCTAAAGCACCAAAATCAACAAGAATCAACAGAGTTGATAAGATGATGAAAGCAATGCTACTTACCCATGAGAGAAAGAAGCTTTCTCTTGCAGTATTACAAGCACGATATACTACAGGACTACTGATTAGGGTCAATTACCATAACATGTCTAACATGATGAGTCTATGACAACTACTGGGGAGGTGTTTGATCAGGTTTGCACCGTCTGACATTTGGACAGGCGCATTGGTAAACACAAATGTCACAGTACGTAAGTGATTCGGAGCAGAACGTTATCGGGAGGATAACACGGCTCCGCGTAAGTCTTTCGTGCAATGGACAGGGAGGTAATCACCAAAGGTGCTTGGATGTTGTCGTCATGAGTTGGTCCGGGTTTGGTATGGCCTGGTCCATGGAGGCAAAAAGGTGATTTTCGTGGATTGCTCGGGAAGTGCTGCGAGGAAAGGATCCGAGTTGGTGTACAGAGGGGGCGGAGCGCATTGGTCTGACAGCTGCGGTTATGTGTTGATCTGGCACCGAGGCCACGGCGTTGCTTGCATGGGAATCTGTGGGTAGATCTGCTTGTGGTACGGTTGCAAATGGCAGTATGTCGGGATTCGCGTCGGACGGCTGCAGTGGGGTTGGTCTTTGGACGCGCAGGGGCTTACCTTTCCACGTCACTCTCCTCACGTAAAAACACCACGTGCTGTGCCGGAATTTTAGCACCGATGTGTATAATCGCGCCTGAATACTAAGAGTGATTAGCGCCAAGAGAGCCCGTCTCTCATTTTGGGAAGCCAAAACGCCGTGCCGCTATGCATAAGGGGAAGGGGGATACTCTAGAGTGTCCACAAGCCACTGCGTCTCTTGCCCAGAGGGTACACGAGCAGTGCTGCCATGAAAAGTCCGACGGTCAGACCGATCGCGATCTGGATCATGGACGCAGCGACGTTGAATACAATTGCGTTGAGACTATCCGTGGTTGTCTGGAAGGAGTTAGTCAATGATGTGCTTAGGGGAGGGATTGACCTACGTCGCCGGCATCACCCGCACCTCTGATTAGTGCCGATGCCGTTTTCAGCGCCGAGTTGATGCTGCCACTGGATGCCAAACTGCCGGGTACTTGAACGTAGACAGCGGGGAGTAGGACGGCAGCAGCGACGCCGTGCCGCAGTCTGCTGTAAAGATTTGCCAATACACCAATGGTAAAGGCACCAAATGTGTACGCAATAGGAGCGCTTGAGGAGAACTTCATGTTGGCGAAGAAATTGACCGTATAACCGGCAGTGGCAATGAAGATCATGGCGGGCATTTGCTTGTACTTTGCCTGTACGGTAAAAGTGGTGAAGAAGACGTAGAGAGGGACAAAGAGAAAATTCCAGTATGGATTGAGAGGGTCCTGGCATTGAGTCTGTTCAGTGGCGTTGGAGTCGATGGCGCCGTAGATGGCCGTGCCAACGGTGATACCGTAGCCCAGGAAGAGCGAGTAGATGATGGCGAAGACGAGACGAATAGACCCAGGAACAATAGCGCGGGACTGAAGCTCCAAAGCCGAGCTCAACACAAGCCAGCCGGGAAGGATCATTGCAATAGCACTTTGCGCTATGGCAGAGAAACAAAAAAGGTTCCCGTTGTTGATGCTACCAAAGGCACGCGCGAGGAAAGAAAGGGATATTGTTGCTGTGATTTCAAACACAGTGCTGTACGTCTTGGATAGGGGTGCGATGACGAGCTGGAGCAAGCCAAGGAAACACCCCATGACGAGGATGATGGGCATGTCGATCAGACGCGCCTTGAAGAAGACTGAGACAGCAGCACTGGCAAGACCGTACATGACGACGCATAGCCAGACGTTGTGACGGTCCTTTGCGTTGATGACTTGGTCGAGACGCACGAGAGCCTCGTCGAGACTGATGACGTCGTGCAGAACTTCCTTGTAGATTTCGTGCGTATCTTTGAGCTTGCCGAGATTGACGCCCTGTGTGGTGCGTACGATCTTGACTTCGGCGGTACTGCAGAGGTCAGTTTGGTGTTGGAGTTGGCATGGTGTAGTTGTTACTCACTGGGTCAGGACGTCGTCAAAGGAGATGATCATGCAACCGGGAATGTAGAGGAACTGGCTGTTGATGTCGAGCACCTTGGCCGTGGCAGCGAGATACTCCTCGAGGCGATGTGTGGGCGCACCAAACAGCATCAGGGCGCGGCACATGCGGATGATGTACTGCTGGCGCTTGAGGATGTTGGCAACGTGGACCTTGATGCGCGTGTCCTTGTCCTCCTTGGCCTTCCAGACCTTGGCAAGCACGCCGCCGCTGGCTGTGCGCTTGTGATGCGGCCTGATGGTCTCCTTCTTGTCGTTGGGGTTTGCGAGCTTGGCCGAGGCGCCGATGAGCGTAGCCAGCGTTTCTTGCGACTGATTGCCCCGCTCCACGTCGTGATACCACTTCTTGCGGGAGGGCGTGGCAGCACCAGACGAAGAGCCTGGCCGTGTGCGAATCGGCGAGGCAGTGCTGGCCTCGGAGGGGGTCTCGTTGAGCGCGTTGAGCGCGTTGAGCGGGGGCACGGGTGTCTTATAGGCCTGGAGCAGCTGGTAGAAGATGCCGCCCTGGCTGCTGCCCGTGACGGCGTAGTTGTCCTCCTGGTCGGATTCGGCCAGCGCGGGCGCGTGGAAGTTGTCGCCATTGGCATCAGCATCAGCATCGGCGCGCCCTGCGTGGTGAGCGTTGAGCAGCTCTTCGGCGTCTGCCGTGTGCCGGTCGTGGCTGCTGTGGCTGCTGTGGCTGCTCTCTGCCCCGCTGATGCGACGGTAGCTGCGACTGCGCTCGGGCGGCGGAGGAATCTCGGCTGCTGAGCTGTTGAAGCGCACTCGTGTGCGGCCAGTCGCCTGCTCGGGCTGTATCGTGGGCGACGGGTGCGCGGGCCCGACGGCGTGCATTTCATACATTTCGTGCATTTCGTGCATTTCGTGTGACTCGACGCGGGTGCCGTCGGAAGAGTTGGTCGACGACGGCTCCATGGTGGGCAAGGCAGGCATGCTCGAAACCTCCAAGTTGAAGCTTGTGACGCGCAGGCTGAAGAGGGCGGGACAGCGTCTTTAAGCCATGGCGGCTGGCAGCTGGTAGCAGCACTGGCCGTCGCAAAGTTTATTACTCGGGTGTCCGGTGCCAGCACGCACGCTGCAAGGAGGTGCCAGAACGTTGGCGTTAGGTCATATCGCCCAGGCGTCGGTCCGATGCTCCCAAGAATAAACCTTTGGTCAGAGTCTCGAAGAAACTGTGGAGCTACGCGAGCGCTGGACTCGCTGGGCAGCGCTGCACAAACAAAGGAGGCCGCTGGAAGGGGAAGCGGCGAGCGCAAAATCAAGAGTCGCATCGCGAGCCATGATGCCATTTCTCGCGGAATGCTGTTTCGAGACGACATCGTGAGTAACAGCAACCTTCATGATTGGCTGACTGCACGCGCTACCGCCCATGGCCGATAACTCCGCGCGTCGCCCCTTCCTCGAAAAAACGGGTCAAGATGCACCATGTGCTGGACAGTTACGCATACGATGGGACCGTAGCTTCAGCTCAACACAACTTTCTTCTTCCAACTCTGATTCCTAGGCCTGGAAACCCCATCTGCCACCCGGTGTAACCTCCCTTCACACGCAAGCGATCCATCAGGTCCGTGGTTGGGTGTCATTGGGGTCAAGGACACGACTGCTCACATCACTGATGCCATCTGCAAGTACGTGCACACCGAAAGTTTGTCTGATCCCCGCAGAAGGTCTGCTGGCGAAGCACCATCAGCCATCCAAGAGATCCGGCACGTTGATCGTAAATCGTACGCCACTGGTGCCGGCTCGAATCAACCCGCGCTGGGCACGCCTGAGCCTTTGTCATGTTATGAATATCAACTGACGAAGGAGTCTTGAACACCTTTACACATAGTACCCGCTACCAAGCGACAATTATACACACACGGACCGTTTCGAAATTGCATTGCTGCTCACTTGAGCACGGCTGATGTGCACAACGTGTCGTGGCGCCCAAAATTTGCTTTCATGGTTCCTCCGTGCAGAGATAATAACGCATAAATGACCACCTCTGTCAGTGCGAAGCACACCTAGAGTGAGACTGGTTGGGGGTCACCTGGACTGGCACTGTAGCTGATACGACCGGCTGGCAGAAAAAACAACGCAATCAGTGCTCCACCACGAACTTGTGGGTAGCTTAACCAAGTCAGGCTCATGTTCGACATCAACTGGATGAGCTTCACTCACTGGTGAGTTCCTGGTCCAGGGCTAGTCCAACCTGCCCCCTGCCAGCCTTGCATACCCATCAGTTCCGCCGTCTTATCAATCTGGACTACGCAGTTGATCTCGCCATAGCTACCAACCCATCAGTGGGAAGCTCCCGAACTTGGCATGACAAGAAGCTTACGGATGCGAGTGATACTGTCCCGAGAATACCTCGTCGGACTGCATATACACTGTTGTAATGCTGAAGAAGCGTGTGTCTTCTCGAGGTAGAGCAATTTTTGAACGTCGATAATGGGGTCGTCCGTCAATGGCGATATTTGCAGCCCAACCTTCTTCCACTCCTTTCCTGGTCAACGCACAGATGTCTTCGTATATCGGATGGCCTGGCCCATAGTTTTCGTTCAAATGTCGCTCGAGATCTTTGCCGGGGGTCCTGGTGGCATTAGTCACGTCCACTCGGGTAGTGGACTTTCGGGTCTGTACAGGTTTTCGACTTGGGCGAAGAAGTCCTGACAGCGCTCGAGCAATTTGCGCGCATTCGCATGCTGGTCAAGGTCGACTTCAACGTTGGGTGCGCCTGGTTGCTCTTGCTGCATGGTGAAGAGGGTTGGATGAAAGAGAGGGGTGCGTTGGGCAGCCGGTGTAAAATATCATGAAATTTGCTGGTTTGACTACCAAATACGCTCAATACATGTGAGCTGCTATCCTAAGCTACCGTAAGCCTACCCCGCCGCGGGACCTGATCGCGGATGTAGCAGCGGGACCCGCACGTGCCTCAGGCTCTAAGTCGGTTTCGTAAGAAGGAATATTGCTGTAATCCGCAGCATGATTGGAAGGCCGGAGGGTTGTCACTTTTCGTCTTCCGTATACACAGTAGGTAACTCAGCACCTACCATGCATGCCACGGCGAAGAATGTCTGCGGTCTGTTTGGGTCTCGGTGGCAACCAACAGCTCGGGTCATGTCCGTGCACGCGCCCATGACCTGACCTGACCCTTGCCACGGCTTTCAATGACGCCTCAGCTCTGGAGACGTGCCAGAGTACCACAAGCCAAGGTTTCCTTGTCACAGTCTTCCAAAGCACCTCTCACAAGCTCGACTTGGATAGCAGTCGTGTTGGACCCTGCTATATTGTTACCCTAGCATCTATCATCGCCTGTCCACCCTCAGGTCGCGCCTCCCCCGCATTTATTCCCCGCGGTCCGCATTTCTTCTCCACGCGTTCGCTGCACGGTGGCCTGACGCGCGTTGGACCGCGCACAAACTCAGCGAATGGCGGCCGGTGCAAACAATGATGATAGCAACAGCGCTCCTGGTGACCAACTCTCTGTCCTGCCAGATGAACTTTTACTGCACATCTTCGAAACACTGGGGCGATCGTCGAGAAAGAGCTTATGCAATGTATCTCGCTTGAACAAGAAGTACCACAGACTGAGCGATGCGGTGCTCTACAAGAGCATTCTTTTCGAGACACCAGAGTTTCACCTCACATTCAGCGAGTCATTGAGTCGGCGGCCACGACGCGGATCCGCTATTTACGAGGTCAAGCTGTCGTACCCCTCGTCAGAGCTCTCCCATCTGGCGCTGGATGCGCCAGTTCACAACTCATATCTGGATCCAACACGTGTCGATGGTCTCTCACGCACTTTATCAATCATGTCGAATCTGGAAAAGCTCGACATCTCCGTACCAGATGTGCTTCTGCACGGTATCGGGACACTTTTCAATGGGCCATTTGATCTGGCATGTCTCAAAACGTGTTCCTTGTTCTACCAGTGTGCCAACGATGCGTACTGGGATCTCAGAGAGAACATACACATCTTCGCTCACCCCACTTTGGAGACTTTAATCATCAGAAGAGCAAAGCTTGATGAGCGCGGGTTCGACTTTATCGAACGGCCACACGTCACGGCTCTAAAGAGGTTGCATCTGGTCGAGTGTGATATCAACGATGACGCACTCGCAGATGTGCTCGAGTTCCCAGAAGCGCTTGAAGAATTTGTCATGACACAGACGGAAGAGCCCGAGCCTGAATTAGAAGAGAGCTCTGATAGCTTGAGCGATTACATCATTGCGCTCAAGTCGCAGGCAGAGTTTTTGAAAAGCATCACCTTCGACTCTCCCACGCTACACAACCGAAAAACGTTGCGACTCCGCGAATTCGAGGCTTTGAAGACGCTAAGACTCAATTGGGATCATCAGCTATTTGCAAAGTCGTCAAAGAAACCTCGACTCCACTCAGTCGGCTTTCCGCCCGAAATGGAGACCTTGGAGTTCTTCAACGAACTTGGCACTGACAGCGAAGTCACTGACTTGTTCGTTGTCGCAATCGAGAGCAAGGAGATCATTGCCAAGACTTGGAAAACCATGGTGGTGGTGGAAGGCGATGAAGGCGTTCCCCTAGCGATCAAAGAGGCATGCAGGACAGTGGGTTTGCAACTTGACATCATCGGAGCAATGGACACAGATACAGACACGTACACAGGTACGGACACAGATGATGATACGGACGCGGAGACGGACGAAGAATAGACCAAAATAGACCAAGATGGAATTGGAGTAGAAATTATGCAATAGAAGCAATATCAGCAGCTATAGTACCTCTTAGAAAGCAGCCTGCCGCAGCTGGCTAATGAATCCTGGTCGAGGGGCCACTGTCTCGCGCATCGTGGGTCTATCTGCTATCATCCTTTCGCCTCGGCGTCCTGCCAACGGAGCTATCATGGCACACCTTGGGCGTGTTCGATTCTGAATTAAAACGCACGCGTTCTGAAGACTTCCACAACGCAATATGCAGGCCTAGGGCGATGGACTTTTGATAGATAGCTACCAATAACTTCCATTAAGTGTCCAGTGACGTTTCGCATATTCACTGCCAGCTGGACTCATGTCATGCGACTCTACGTGGCAGCGCTAGTGAGTTTGTAATACCCAAGCATATTCACGTCGCACTCTCACCAACTTTTTCAACTCTATTCTCAACCTCCACTGGCGGCGCGAACAATTTGAACCCTATCAAAAGTCATATCATGAAGACGGATATGCCTCGTTCGCTTTTGAGCCTCCCAGCAGAACTACGCGACATGATATACGACTATGTCATTCCGAATGATCCACTTGAGCATCCGCGCTCTCTTAACGTCGGGATCATGAATACTTGCAAGTAATTGCGAGCTAAAGTTGAGCCGAAGGTGCTCGCAAACATGCAAGAAGAGCTGGACGACATCTTTAGCGCATGTCTGAGACGTTGGAACGATGTATTCACATTCTCCAAACCGCAAACGCTGCACGAATTGTAAGATTTCACTATACACGGCCGCATGAACTTCAGTAAGCGATGTTCGCAACATCAGTCACCGCATACCTATCTACATCACTATATCAAGGGACTTTTGATTATACACTTTCATACCTTGACGACTGCAATCACGATACTGCATGTTCGAGTACTTATTGTCTTATCGACACGGATTGGATAACTCGGCACTTCTCGACGCAAAGACCCTAGCATTGGTGGCCATGTCTGAAGGACTTGAGTCTAGATTGGAGCCAAGCACTTCTTTGCAGAGTGGGCGGGAGGAAGCGGGCCGGTGGCCATCTCAAATTCATCCAGCGAGATTCTCTGATCTAGAACCTTGAGGTCGAGATTAGGACAGATGTTAAGTAAATCTCGTCTGAGTTCATGCGAAAAGACACGACAAGGAGTCTGCTAGAATAGCATTGTTTGTGGTGCTGCGGGAATCTGGACGTGAACTAGGTTATTTTGGTATCCTGTGGTCTGTTCCAAGCTGATCAAATACTGCTAGAGAAGAGTATACCGTGTTCACCTTGTCTTTCTGAAGATATACGCACGTTTTTTCCCTGATACTCCTATATAAAGAATTTACGCGTAGCAGGACATGTGTGAATTAAATCTGAAGTCGAGACAGTCACCCTGGACTATTACATACCAGGGATATTACCCACGAAAAGAGATACTATAGACTGATCGTGTGAAAGTTTGTGCTCTTATGCCATTATTCGTGCACATAGTATTACGTGATCGCGGCACAGTAACTCTTTTCTCTAACATGTGCAATTCTGCTATATATTTTAATGGACTCCACCCTGTCTAGCAATGGCAGAATCGTAACCAATGCTATTCCTATTAGTTTCCATGCAATTGCTCTGCACTTCATACGATGTGCTGACCTAGACTTTATTCTGACGCAAATTAGATCTGTCCTTCTGTATAATATTTTCCTGCGAACAGTTGTTCCCTAGGCTGGTCTCGAGTTCAATGTTCTTTTGAGAGTTTGCTTCCGAATGCAACTCGATAGTGCCTTCACTATATCGACTTCGCCCTGTTCGACGAGAAGTTGATCCGCCTTGCTGAGTATTCGTATTATTTTGGTATACCCCGCGGGTCCAGAAGTTGCGGCGGAATAGGGGGCGGATGATCGGTAAATTGACCGTGAAAATTCCAACAAAAAGCTCGCGAAACCCCTAAGAGTTTATGATTAGTCCCGACGGCTGAGCGCTAAGCGTAAGAACTGTTCGCACTATCGCTGCAGCAATAACTAAGAGGCCTGAACACATTACAAAACTGATAGCAATCTTCTTCCTAGTTCGAACTTTGAGATTCCAAAGTAAAGGGATAGGGATAGCAAGTATCATGACATCCGTAAGGACATTAAGGATGCCACTAACGTAGAAGTTTTGCGGCTTGGAGGAGCAGGCTCTCGAAGGGAGAGGGCGAACTTGCGAATTGTTTGAAGTTCTGTGAGATGTGAGTTTGATTGAGGACTGCAAGGGTGCATTAGACAGAGTGAAAGACTTACGGAAAGCAGCCAAATGTAAGGGTTAAGATGACCGCAGTATATGTCGCCAAGCAGATCTAAAGAAAGTATGTAGTGGACTGTTTTAGGAAGGTACCGGTAGTGGGGCGGCGATAGAAGATGAGAACCATGAACTTCATCGTCTCTGTTCATACGTCAGTATCTTACTGCAAATGAGAGGGCTTCGTGTAACGCACAGATGAAAGTGATGTACTCGTACCATGCTACAAGCTGAACCTTTGATCCCAATGTAAGATTCGTAACGTCCTTATCAGTGAGCAGGTTAATATTGGCCGGCGTGACATTGTTATTGGTGCCGGTTTTATCTGTAGGAAGTATCTATGAGTATGGATACTCTGTTGAACGTTGCAAAGAGAACTTACATGCGATGTCGACCACAATAATGCCAAGTGTGTACAACGCAAGTGTCTAGACTATCATTAGCCTTGTGATTCATTGACCGTCGGGGTGTAGAGTGAGAGAATTACTAGAAAGGCCAAGTAGTCATTACCTTTAATGTTCCTGAAGCTAACTGTTCTGACGCGCACAGCAATCCGCGTTAGGATTATGAAGGTGCCGGAAGCATACCATGCCTAGGCACTCAATCAGATCTGTTCTATGAGGGGATCAGAGGTGTATCGAGATGAACATACAAATGCTTCCTTCAAGAAGCTATTAACCTTTGCCAGCTGAATGTGAGACTCCATTCTTTCCTTTCATTGCGCAAGAACAATAATCAGGTTATTGCAAGTAAACGTAGACGAGACGAACGCCTGCATGAAGTGCAGAGCCCACGCTGAGAATGCTTATATGTGAAGAGGTCTGTCCAGAGTTGTGGCTGTTAGGGTTTGGAGCTAGCGAGTAAAGAGGCTTTTAGACGAGGGTGCGGATGTCCCACATCATGCGCGTTGAGAGATAACGAGCTGCGCCCGTCACCTGGCAGAAGAGATCGCCGAACATATGCCTCGATCTGGACGCAGTCACTGCTAGTCAGGCTGAAGCAAGCAGGTTTGGGTCTATCTATGCTGCAGGTCGTAGAACAGAGGAGCGAGGTTAGTTAACCTCAGCAACCTTATAATTAGCATTTAACATAATTACACAGCAGTTCCTATACGTCTCACTATAGATTAGAGCGTTAGTAGCAGGAAGACTGTGGGTTGTGAGCAGACTGATAGAAGATGATCTATCACAAGTACTCTCTGACTGCTCATTATATGCGATAACAAATTTCCTCCTTATAGGCCTTAAAGTGGTTAGAGACTGTGTTTTAAGTTTAAGTTTCTAAAATCTAGGTACTGCTCGCTTAGGAAACGAGATAGTCGAAGCTAATACAGCTAAACTCTATGAACGAATCGTTAGCGTATCTTCGGGTAGCAAGATCTATACGAGAGCGGACGAGGAACGATTCCGATTGACGATTAATACTAGCTTCTGCTGCCTTGCATAAGTTTGTGCTAACCTTAGTAACCTAGCTACACTAAAGTTTTGTTTAAGAGATTAGATTGTAGAGACTTAGCTTAAACGCGTAGACGATCTGTAAAACCTAACATTCTACTCTTCGCTAGTCTCTCGAGACCGTAGAAAACGAAAGGTATTAGAAGACAAGCTCCTAAGTCTTAGGTTTTGCTCTAGTATCTACTAGAGATACTAGTACTGCGATAATCCTAACGTTAAGAACATAGAGGTCTACAGCGCTTAGAACGTTGTTAACGATAATGCAACGAAATTTGTTACTAGGTTTCATACTCAAAACAGGTAAGAGACGCTTAATCTATAGCTAAAAGTTTTTTTTAATGTTATAAGCTTAGAGAGCTAGGCTCTTATAGAATTGCTAATTAGCGCTACTATAGTACATTTGCTTATTAGTTATAAGGCAGAGCTTAGAGCTTAGTAGAGTACATGGAATTTTAGAGAACAACGGGTAGGAAAAAACTGATATTAAGTAAGATTTTCCTGTTTAACCTCGCTCACTGAACACTACATGCCGACGCAGACATTACTTCTTGCCCACATGTTGCTACAGTCGCCGTTGATTCCCGTATTCCACCGAAGGAAATCCGCGAGCGTGATTTTTTGGTAACTGATGATTTGACCGCAGACCACGCCGTCAGCAACGTAGTGGAACTTTTTGCACAAATGGTCACCATACCTGGCTGCGTGGGTTGAGGTGTCTGGATTCCATTGCCTGCAGTTGTCGTTGTGGTTGGTGGAGCAATCGTTGCACCACCAATGGTACCAACGCACACATTGACCTCAGCCCACATCCCTGAGCAATCGTCCTTGACCGTGGGGTTCCACCTGAAAAAATCTGCCAGGGTAATCTTTTGGTAGCTGATGACCTGGCTACAAGTCACTCCTCTGGCGATCCAATGGAACTTGCTGCAGTCTGACACCATTCCAGGCTGGATGGGTTGTGGAGTCGCAATACCATTCCCCATCGTCGTCGAAGGAGGCTTGACGGGTGTAACGGGTGGCTGATTCGTGGGTGAGGCTGATCTCGTCACGGTGGGTGAGGGCATCGTCGAGCTAACGATAGGTACGCTGGAAGGGCTTGGGATGGCTTGAAATCCACCTCGACGCAGTAGCTATGGCCAGTTTGATAGTTCCCGCACTCTTCGGTAAGTGTTGGGTTCTGCGGGAACAATGAGCGCCGAACAAGCGGTTAGATGTGACTCACGTACCCAACTCAGAAGCTGTTCCGGCGTGATATTGTAGAAATAAGTCATCATCGGACACTCTATCGAGCCATCGAGGTTGTCGTGCCATATTGTGCAACCAGGATGCGCACCGGGGTCGACGATGCCCTTAGGAGTAGGGCCACGACGCATGTGAGGTATATGACTGGCCAAAGCAGCGGTCGCAAATACGACATAAATGACTGTGGCGAGCATATTTTCGAAGAGCATGAACATGTATTATGTGCAAGTACTCAAGTGGATTTTGAAGATTTATACGGATCTTGCACCTTGCCGTGTAGTGCTTATGATATGTTAGGACCCCCTCATCTCGCCTGCGAGACCTTGCCATGTGTAGAATCGACCCCAACATTGAGGCATGATATTATGTGGCGCTATAAATAGCACTAGAGGATATTCATTCTAGTATAGAACGTAAGACTCATTTCGCTTGGTAGTGAGTGGCAAGGGGTAGGTGAAGGTAGCTGAAGCCTTGGCTTTTCAACAACGGAAAAAAGACCGAGGCCTGCTACATAATCCAACAATCAGCCAAGGTGGCGTTGATCAAGTATATGCAATGGCGCGGCGTAGTCGCCTTTGATTGCCAGAATCTGCTATACCGAGAATTGCACATAGTGGTAATATTATATTATGATATGAACTCGCAACTCGAACAGGAAGCTACAGTTACAAAAATAGCAATATGGTGTGAAAACCGGCTATGAACGCAGACGTGAACAAAATTGCATCGTCCCATAGTACAAGACCCCCCGAAGTTTTCGGCAAGCACTTGCTGGTCGGTCCAGTAATGTTTGGCCATGTCTGGGCTGAACATTCTGTGTGATTCAGCATGCGCGCAGAGACTTGATCAGCAACTTCCTTATCGATCGATAATGCGCATGTCTGCACGGGTTGCGGACCATCTGCGAGAATGGGACACGGTCCGCTAAACCCAGGTATCTCCTTTTGTATTCCAATGGCACCGACAGGAGTTGCGCATGGACCAGTAGCCGTGATATTGGGCATAAGCCCATTCTCGGGGTCTAGGCTAAAGAAGACCAGTTGGTTGAGAGAGACGTTCGGTTTGCGATCAATGGGAATATCGCCGGTAGTCTCATTGCAGGCATCAGTGATCGCAAAACTATAGCGCATGAACAATTTCTGCGCTGTAGCATTCACGATCTCGTCGACCGGATCGATGATGAGACATTTTTTGGGTGGCGGAGCTGGCTTCTCGATGCCTGGTACTCCAGGAAAATAACCTCCTGATGCGATGATGTTGTTGGCTGAAGGTTCGCCATCCAGAGCAACGATTTCCCAATTCCACTTGATGACATAAGACCAAGCCGCAGAGCCATTGTGAAGGCCAAAAACGACAGGAAAGGGGTATACAGGCTTGTATACGGTGTTGTTTTTCGGAAAGACGATGTCTAGTTGAACTGTAGTCGGGAGCTCCGCAGCGCGCATTAAGGGGGCTGAACCAAGGAGGCATAGCAATGCGCTCCAATAGTGAGGGTGGAATCTCATGGTGGAGTGACGGATTGGGTGCTGACCGGAACAAATTCGAGAAAAGAATGAGTGGTATGTCCTCACATCCCAAGAAATAGAAAGTGCAGGCGAGCAGCATCACCCACGCTACCTGGTCAAGGGAGGAAAGTCTGGGCAGTCAGATATTACTTGGCGCCATGGCTATGACTTATGGATTACCGTCAAGCAGTTTATCCGGGCATAAGCGCGTCCTCGGCTACCA